TTCCTCCTCCCCCTCCTCCTCCTCCTCCTCCTCTTCCTCCTCCTCCTTCTCCTCCTCCTCTCCTTCCTCCTCCCCTCTTCCTCCTCTTCCTCCTCCTTCCTCCTCTCCTCCTCCTCTCCTCCTCCTCTTCCTCCTCCTTCTTCTCTTCCTCCTCCTCCTCCTCCTCTTCTCCTGGCCATCTTCTCACTGGGTTTCCTCTTTTCCCACACAGGAGTGAAAGGCTGTTGTTGTCCCCGTGATTGGCTCCCCATGAATGGGCTTTGCTACAAGATCTTCGATGACCAAAAGAACTGGAACGATGCAGAGGTGAGAAGTGCTTGTGTGCCTGTGAATCTCCCAGCCCAGGCAGGGGAGAAGTCTAGGGAGAGCCTTGCACAGCCTCCCCCCCCCCCAAGTTCCCTCTGGCTAGGCTGCGGTGGAGAACCCCCCGGCTGTGTGGAGGGAAAGGTAGCAAAGACCATGGTTTTAGGACAGTCTGAAATGCGAGTGTTCCCTGGACTATACACCGGTGTGGGCTTTCATGGCCCGTATCTGTTGGGCAGCGCTGAGCTTCAGGGTTGGGGGACCATCTTGCAGACCACAGACTTCCTGATGTCTCACTGGGAACTCCGGGGGCCTCCACAGATGCCCTTGCCTCTGAAGTGATGGGAATCAGAGCGTTTGTCTCAGGCGTCTAGATCAGGAATTGTCCAAGAGCTGCGGAATCTAGCAAGGGCCTCTGAGGGGAGTCAAGGCAGTCAAGAAAGTGGCTAGGGCCCTGCGATCAGATCCCTGTTCTTTTTTCATTTTCACAAATTGACACACGCGAACATATTTGCTTGTCTCCTTAACCAAGGCCCTTTCCCTCTTCTCTCTTTCTCTCTCTCCCAGATGTTCTGCAGGAAATACAAGCCAGGCTGCCACCTCGCCTCCCTTCATAGCATTGATGATTCAGATGATGTGGCCGAGTACGTCTCCGACTATCTCAGGAGTGGCAGCAATGTCTGGATTGGACTGAATGATCCAAAGAAAGTAAGTTCCTTCCTGTTGCTGATGTTCATCAATTCATTTGTACTTTTTTTTGAAGGATCTGCCAACAGGAATCAGAATAGAGTAGAGCTGGAAGGGATCTTGGAGGTCGTCTAGTCCAACCCCTTGCTGTCCAGTCTCTTCTTAAAAGCCTCCATTGATGAAGCACCCACAACTTCTGATGGACAGCTGCTCCATTGATTAGTTATCCTCACTGTTAAGACGTTTCTCCTTAATTCCAGGTTGCTCCTCTCCTTGATTAGTTGGTTAGTTAGTTAGATGGATGGATGGATGGATAGATAGATAGAGATAGATAGATAGATAGATAGATAGATAGATAGATAGATAGGATGGGTGGATGGATGGATGGATGGATAGATTGGATGAATTGGATGGATGGATGATAGATGGATGGATGAACAGATGATGGATGGATGGATGGATGGATGGATGGATGGATGGATGGATAGATAGATGGATGGATGATGGATGGATGGATGGATTGATGGACTGATGGATGGATGGATAGATGGGTGATGGATGGATGGCTTGATGGATTGAAGGATGGATGGATGGGTGGATGGATAGATGGAAGATGGATGATGGATGGATGGATAGATAAAGAAAGAGAGAGAGAATTGGCCCAGTCCATGCCCATGTTCTCTCTCTCTACCCGGGTCCTGCAGAGTCAGAGTCCCTTCCTTAGTTGGTTAACGTGGCTTCCCTGTCATTACAGCAACGTGTCTGGCAGTGGGCAGACAGATCCAGAACGAGCTACCTCACTTGGAAACCAGGGGAGCCCAACAACGCTGGGAACGATGAATACTGCGTTGAACTTTGGAACCCGTCAGGTAAGCCAAGGGGGAGGGGAGGGCACTGAGGATGTGCTTCCAACAATGAGGATCCATTTGATCCATCTTGGGACATTTACTCTTTGGCAACCACATACAAGAGGAAAAATTAACACCTGCCTAGGTTAATTAAAAAATCAAACACAATCACAACCCTAAAACTTAATAAACAAAGAATGAATTGAATAAATAGAGTATTCTTTATTCTATCTTTAATAGAACAAAGAATAAACATTTTCCCAAAAACTGGTCTGACCTCTAGAGAAGGCACGGGGGACCTAAGGAAAAAATAACTCCTCCTGACCTCAGAAGCCCCCCAGCCCTTGTTAACCTGATGCAAAGCCAACAACATCACAAACCGCATAATATATTTATTAAGTCTTGATGTCGGGGGGCCAGGACCAAGGCAGACGTTTGCCGCACAATCTCTTTTCTTGGCTTTTGATCGCAGCAGTTTACAATGGATGCCAATGGATTTGATCCAACCTTTCCTCCAGCAGATATTTTTGAAACTAAGGCGACACATTGTGGCTACTTTCACAAAAAAAAAAAAAAAAGTCGGCTAAGTTAAATATTCCAGATGTTATGTTGACCTTGCCCTCTGCAGAAATATCTAAATTTGTAGGTGAGGTTACTAACCTCAGTTGCATCCATGCTACCAGCAGAGTCCCAGGCTGAGAGTCAGGACAGTCCCAGTCAGCCTCGATACAATTTGGCCAGGGAACCACAAGTGAAACCATAGCACGCCTGTGCTGTTCTGTGCAAGCTAGGATGTCTAACTAAGGGGCCTCTGTGCAAGCCAGAATACCGGTTCCCACAGCCATCGTCTAGGAATGTCCTTAGCACATGACAAAAAAGGGTCAAGATAACAGTCATGACCAGGGGTAGTAGGCAACCTTGGCTCTTTTATGACTGGTGGATTTCAACTCCCAGAATTCCTGAGCCAGCCAGGCTGAGAGCAAGGGAGAGGTTTCCAAGCTGAGCCATTCTGACTCAAGAATTCTGGGAGTTGAAGTCCACCAGTCATAAAAGAGCCAAGGTTGAAATCAATGCTCCACCCAGTTTTGACCTGCAAAAGAGATGTTGAGACTCTAGAAAGAGTACAGAGAAGAGCAACAAAGATGATTAGGGGACTGGAGGCTAAAACATATAAGGAACGGTTGCTAGAATTGGGTATGTCTAGTTTAACGAAGAGAAGGACAAGGGGGGACATGATAGCAGTATTCCAATATCTCAGGGGCTGCCATAAAGAAGAGGGAATCAAGCTATTTTCCAAAGCACCTGAAGGCAGGACAAGAAGCAACGGGTGGAAACTAATCAAGGAGAGAAGCAACCTAGAACTAAGGAGAAACTTCCTGACAGTGAGAACAATTAATCAGTGGAACAGCTTGCCTCCAGAAGCAGTAAATGCTCCAACACTGGAAGTTTTTAAGAAGAGACTGGACAGCCACTTGTCCGAAATGGTGTAGGGTTTCCTGCCCGAGCAGGGGGTTGGACTAGATGACCTCCAAGGTCCCTTCCAACTTTACTAATATGAACAATATGAACAATATGAACAAATGTCAGGTCCTTTGCTGCCCTCTTGAAACCGAGCAGAGCTTTGCATGCAAAGCCTGGTTGCTGTACCCTGATTGGTTGGCTAGCTGAGTTATTTGGGTTACAACGATCTGCTAAACGCCCGGCCCGTTTTAGCAAATGAGGTTCTTCACCTGTGGTACCTTCACATCCTCCTGCAAACAAGGGAGGAGATGTGAAAATGCTTCCCTGGAACTCTGAGGGAGTCCCTGCAATTTGTTTTTCTCCCCTCTTTTTCTGCCCAGGTTACACAAAGTGGAACGACGAGAATTGTGCGTCCTTGCGTTCGTTCCTCTGCAAGTGCAGATTCTAGGACAAACGGCTCCTCCTCCTGCCCCAGAGGGACAGAAGCACCTGGTGAAGAAGCAACAAAGCCCACCTGTCTGCCAAAATCTCTGCTCTGCACCCCTTCGCTTATCACGGTTGATTTCTGTAGCTTGGATCTGATTTCGCTCATTGTGATGGGCCAGAAGAAGGTCAAATAAACTCAGTCTTGGCATGACCAGCCCCATTTTTCTTTCTAGAGCCAAGGGGACTGTTTGATATCTTGTGGGTTCTGTGAGCCTAAAGGGCTAGAAGAGGCTTCTTGGACCAGTAGTGAACAATGAAGAACTGGGTGGGCCCATCATGGAAGGTGGGAAATGCAAAGGAAAGGCCACCGCATTAATCTCCCCGAGGACCTTAAAAGGCCCCAAGCATCAAGCTTCCTAGAGGAGTCTAAGAAACCAGGTTTCTTAGACAGGCAAAGTACCTAGGACTGCAAAGAGAGTCACCCAACTGAATCAGAGTAAATATCAGAATATTGCCCGCTATGATAGTCATATAAAGGACTACCTATATCAAGAAGAGGTACATCCAACTGTGGGAAGTCAGCCCTCCCCCCAGAGAAGGAAATATTAAAAGGGCAGAAAAATATATTTCCTCAAAGGATCTTAAAAATGCAGGAAAGCATGCCCAGTTTTCATGCCCTTGGTCTCCCTTTCCCAAGCAGAAACCAGCTCTATAGAGATGCAGATGTAAATCCAGGGAGCTAGGAGATTAAGAGGACAAAGACCTAAAATCTACATACCCCATCCAAACTCTAAGAGTCGTCAGCCCCAGGGAAGCAGGAGATGACCTTTGGACATAATAAGATTGACCCATCATCATCAGAATACCAGAAAGGCACATCCCTGGTGGACATGTTCTATTCTAAAAAAATATTGGTCTAAGATTCATAGATGGTTAGAAAAGATGGTGAAAATCCAGATAGAATTTAAACCAGAACTGTTCCTGTTAGGTATATTAAGACCTAACTATGGCAAAGAAAATGATTATTTAATCTTACAGGTATTGACAGCTGCAAGAATAGTATTCGCCCAGTTTTGGAAAAATGAAAACCTACCATCAGACCAGATTATAATTTTGAAAATCCTAGATTGTGCAGAAATGGACAGATTAACGTTAGAGATGAAGGAGAAAGAGGATTCAATTTTCTATAAAACCTGGGGAAAATTTTATCAGTGGGTTGAAACACGTTAGAATAAGAAGAGATTTTAGAGCTTTATTATATTAAGCTTGATGATTGGAAATAATTGTTATGCTATCAACTATATTAATTATTTAAAGGAATATTACTGTTTTACTAAATGTCAGTTGTAACTATACTGATTTATTCTTATAAATGTCTAGTATTATATAAACAATAATACTCAATATGAAGACCCAGATGACAGCTTGTTCGCTGAATTATGTATTTACTGTAGTTATCCACATCCTGTCCCCTTTATCCCAATTTCCCTGTACCCGCCCCAACCCCACCTTTTCCCTACCCATATAAAATCTAATAAAATATATTTTTTTAAAAAAAGAATACCAGAAAGGCACACTCAGACTCAGGTCAAAGTTCATGCCACAGGAACAACTCCAAACAAAAGGCTCCAGAGGGTATAAAAACCTACTTCCTACATGTGCTCAGTCCCTTTTTTTCACTTCTCTTGCTGCCAGAACCATCTTCCTGTCTGGCTCTCCTCTCCAATAAACTACAACCTTTTTTCCAAAGCAGTTGCCATGTTTATTCCCAGCTTGGATGAATCATGATGAAGACCTTTCTTCCAACACAATATCTGGAATGGTACAGGAACCCAAGAGAACAAAAACCATTTGCTGCATTTGATTGCTGGGTGTCCTTGGAAACTCAAAACTCACAATAACATCTCATTTGCTGCTGCAGCACCTGCTGTGCTTTCGCAGTCTTGACCATTTTGGGCAGAGTTCTGGGCAGGTGTCTGACTGACTAGACCTTCAAAAGGTGGAACTGTGCCTTCTAGAACCTGAAGGTTAATTAACTGCCCTCACCAGACAAAAATCTTGAAACTGTTCCTCTATAGCAAAAGTTGTGGTCCAAAAAGAACTGAGCTGCCTCTTTTGCAGTGGGCAGCTTAAGCATTTTTAAAAAATTATATAAATAGAACACCACAAAACTGTAAAAATCCAAAATATGACAGCTAAAAGATGGGGAGGGAAGAATAGGATGTGAAGGGGGGAGGTGGGATCTGATATCATCTATCAACCCTCCCCATTGTGAAAAGCCTCCATTGGAGCCCCAAGCCAAGCAGCCAAGCCAGGCTTTTGGGCCCTTATGGAAGGTCAGGAGAATAGAATAGAATAGAATAGAATAGAATAGAATAGAATAGAATAGAATAGAATAGAATAGAATAGAATAGAAAATATGGAAGGGAATAGAATAGAATAGAATAGAATAGAATAGAATAGAATAGAATAGAATAGAATAGAATAGAAAATATGGAATAGAATAGAATAGAATAGAATAGAATAGAATAGAATAGAATAGAATAGAATAGAATAGAATAGAAAATATGGAATGGAATGGAATGGAATATAATAGAATAGAATAGAATAGAATAGAATAGAATAGAATAGAATAGAATAGAATAGAATAGAATAGAACAGAGTTGGAAGGGACCTTGGAGGTCATCTAATCTAACCCCCCTGCCAAAGCAGGAGACCCTACCTACACCATTTCGGACAGATGTCAATCCATTCTCTTCTTGAAAGCCCCCAGTGATGAAGGGTTGCAACTGACTTCACTCTGGGAGGGGGGAACTGTGATATTCCAGAAGACTCCCCCCCCCCATCTTGCTTTGAGTTAACCTTATCTGTTATTTTGCTAGTTTAGTTGGTGGTTGAAACGCTGCCAGTTTCTTTAGTTGATTGGGCAACCCGTTGCTGCTCCTGAGAATCAGAAGATTAATGCTACACTTGCTATGAAAGTATAAATTAAGGAAAAGGGCAAAGATAAGCGCAGATTGCGCAACGTCCCTCGTTATCGGTCTTTGACCCATTGAAAATTTCTGGTGGTTTGGGTAAAGGACCCCTGTGTGGGCTCCTGCTTCACCTCCGCATACTTTTAGATGACCTGGGGCCAGATTGGCGCATCTCACTCGTTGGGCCGGCACTGCTTGGCTTCCCAGATCCCCCCCCCTCATGTCCTCCCTCATTCCGCTGAAAAAAGATCAGGCTGGCAGGATGTGAAGCGATGCTAGCGGGATGGCGGCCATGACCTCAACAGTGGCTCTGCAGAATAAAGGAGGCCAGTCACGGTTAGGCAGAATTTATTGGAGCTTTTGGCCCATCAGGAGCAGCAAAACCAGATCGCAGCTACGGAGAGCATCCCTTGAGCGAAGGGGGCAGAGCAGAGATTGCGGAAGAGCTTCGTTGCTTCTCCAGACATCGCCAGGTGCTTCTCTCCTTCTGGAGCAAGAGAAAGAGCAATGTGCGCTAGAATTTGCACTGGCAGAGAAAAGCATCCTTGGACTCGCACACCTGATCGTTCCACAGGCGATACCCTGGGTGGCAAAAGAGAGAGGTTTTCGGGGACTCCCTGGGAGCGTTTCTGGGGTTCCCCCCTCATTGGCAGAAGAATGTGAGGACGCCACAGAGGGAGACTCTCATCTGCTAAAATGGACCTGGAGTTCAGCGTGGTCTTGTAACCCAGATAACTTCAATTTCCATCCTGTTTCTTTTGTTTCTTTTGTTTGGGATTTGCAGGCTGTTCTTTTTATTGGCTTTTTATTGGACGGGCCATGTGTCCGTTTTTCTCTTCTATGCAAGCTGTCAGTGCTGAGATTCATCTGACTACCATGAGGTAGACTTTTGATATATATTGTGAGAGAGAGGGGGGGGAGGGAGGGAGGGAGGGAGAGAGAGAGAGAGAGAGAGATTTAAGCTAGAAAGCACAAAAACCAGATGTCCTGTGACAGTGATGACTTTTGAAAAGGAGTTTAAGATGGAGCTTATTTGTTTTATTATGAGCGGATGGTTCTGTAATCATTTTCATATACAACTCCAGTTTATAGGAATAGAATAGAATAGAATAGAATAGAATAGAATAGAATAGAATAGAATAGAATAGAAAATAGGGAATAGAGTAGAATAGAAAATAGGGAACAGAATAGAATAGAATAGAATAGAATAGAATAGAATAGAATAGAATAGAATGGAATGGAATGGAATGGAATGGAATAGAATAGAATAGAATAGAATAGAATAGAATTGGAAGGGACCTTGGAGGTCTTCTAGTCCAGCCCCCCGCTCAAGCAGGAGAACCTATACCATCTCAGACAAGTGTCTGTCCAGCCTCTTCTTAAAAATCTCCAGTGATGGAGCGCCCACAATTTCTGGAGGCAGGCTGTTCCACTGGTTAATTCTTCTTGTTAATATAATTTTACTATGATTGTTATGCTGCTTTTGTTAGGGTGTTGGTTATAAGAGGGGTGTCTATGTAACTGTTTTAAAAAAACAAACAATGGTCATGATTGTTCCAAGACGGATCGTTGTTGGAATTGTACCTCAACTGCCTCATCACCATCTTGACTTACCTGAAAGGGACACAAGCTCAACGCAGAATTCTTTGTTCTGGTAGCGATCGGGCTGATTTTTGTTCCAGTTTAGGTAGTCGATGCAAGATCTGTCCGTCCACTCCCAGGAGAAGTCCTATGATGAAAAAGAAGCCATGTTAGCCAGTTGAGGAAGGGGCTCGGGGTCTTCAGGGCCAAGTCAGAGAGGAAAGTTTTCAGGTTTTAAAGGGTAAATCCAATAGAACATCCCTCTCTCCACCTCTGCCTCCACCTCGGTTGATCTGCAACAGCTAAGCAGGGTTAAACATGGTGAATGCTTGGATGGGGGATGATCAGGAGACCCAAAGGAAAAACCACCCCAGCAGAAAACTATCAGGAGGTGTTTGTGAAGTCACCAGCTCAGCTTGAGAGCCACTTTGCCTCATGCTCAACGTGGTGGCAGCCCTGGAAGATAATGGCTGACCTCAGAGAGACAAATAGGGTCAAAGTCAAGGAGTCCTTGGGTGGGGGACCACCAGCAAAACCCCAGGGCTATCCGTGACACTCAGAAAATGGAAAACACCCTGGACAACTGTATGTCTGCCTGCCTGTGTGGGAGGGCTTGTGGTGGTGGATGGCACCTACTTCTGTGTTACTGCCAGAAAAATAATATTTCTATTTGGGAAGTCTCCAGGAGCTGAGTTCAGCTCCAGGGTAAGGTCCCTTCTCTGTATATCAGTGGTTCTCAACCTGTGGGTCGGGACCCCATTTGGGGTCGAACGACCATTTCACGGGGATCGCCAAACAAGGCTGTCCACCATTTTTCCCCCTTTTCTTTGGCCACGCCCCTGGCACCCGGTGATGTATAAGTGGTTGGGGGTCACCACAACATGGGGAACTGTATTACGGGGTCGCGGCATCAGAAAGGTTGAGAACCACTGCTGTATATGATCAAGAATGTTTCAGGAATTGAAACTGGCCCATCAGGGCCTTGAGAAGGTTTAGAGGTCATTCACTGGGCCCAAAAAGAGGAAGGCAGACTGGAGGAGGAGCCTAAGATGGGGGTCAGTGCGGGATCTGACCCTTTGGGGCTTGAAACACGGCAGTCAGTTCTTCCACTGGGCCTGAACGGCTGGTGAGGGGAAGGAGACACAACATTGGAACAAATGACATTTTTCAAAAGTTTTTGTCCAAGGCAAGAATTTTTATCAGAGAGCTCTCCACCTCCCATTGGACGATCCTTCAAAAAGCTCCTTAGAAATGAGGGAAAGGGATTAATGAACAGCAGCAATAGAAAGGACTTACTTTCTTCTTATCCTACAGTCCGATCCAAACTTCGGCGTGACCTTTGTGATAGTCAGAGATGTACTCAGCAATCTCAAGTGACTCTCCATAGCGGTGAAAGGAGGCGAGGTGGCAGCCTGGCTTGTATTTCCTGCAGAACATCTGGGAGAGAGCAACCACAAAGAAGGGCATTGGTCCAGCAGAGAAGAAACACGTGTGTTATGTGTGTTTGTACTGCACAAGGGAGAAAAGAGCAGGGATCAGACTGCCTGGGTCCTACCCACTATCTTGACTTCGTTGAAGCCTGCAGATTTCCTCGCTCGGGTCTGCAGCTCCTGATCAGTTCCTGACTTTAAATTCACATTTCATCAGTTACAGTTTGAGACACCCCCCGCCCCTCACTTCAGCAGCCAGGCAGTCCGAAGAGTTGCCAGCCAAACATCAGGAAATCTCTTGTCTACAAGACGGTCACTCAATCCTGAAGCTCAACCCTGAATAAAGATGAACACAGTTGGGTGGGACCTTGCAGGTCTTCTAGGTCTGCTCAAGCAGGAGACCCTCTCCCTTTTCAGACAAGCTGACGGTCCAGTCTCTCCTTGAAAGCCTCCAGTGTTGGAGTAACCACAACATCTGGAGAGAAGCCGTTCCACTGATTAATTGTCCTGTGCAGAAATTTCTCTTTAATTCTAGGTTGGTTCTCTCCTTGATTGGTTTCCATCCATTGCTTCTTGTGTGCCTTTGGGTGCTTTGGAGAATAGGTTGACACACACACCCCTCTTCTTTGTGGCAGCCCCTCCAATACTGGAAGACTGCTCTCATGTCACACACACAACCCCTGCAACCGTTCTTCATTTATTTTAGCCTCCAGCCCCCGACACTACCCCACAGATAATGGCCACGGAAACCTAAATCATTAGGCTATGTAGTCCAGAGGATACTTGCATTTCAAACTATCCTACAATGATGATCTTTGCTACCTTTTCAGACACCAGCCTAGCGATTCAGCCCAATCCTAGGGGACTTGGGGGGCTGTGCAAGGCTCTGCCTAGACTTCTTTCCACTGTCTGGGTCAAGATAGCAGCACTTCTCCCCTCTGCATCCTCCCAGGTCTTCAATTCATTGAAGATCTTGTAGCACAGCCCATTCATGGGGAGCCAATCGAAGGGACAATTATTGCCTTTGGCTCCTGTGTGGGAAGAGAAGAGGTCCAATGAGAAGATGGCCAGGAGAAGAGGAGGAGGAGGACTGTGGGGTCCCTGGTGCTCCCTGAGCTGGGTGTTTTGTTTCATAATCCAACCAGGGAACATCATCAGTGCTAGAAGAGAGTGAGTTTGTAGAGAAGAGGAGGAGGAGGAGGAGGAGGAAGAGGAGGAGGAGGAGGAGGAGGAGTGGACAGCTGGGTCTGTAGAATATGCTTAACCTCCTGATTTACAAACATCTTTGGTGACAATAAACTGTGTTCTGTATCCTGAACTAAGATGCTTTGTAATTCAAGACCAGACAGGGACAACTCAACGAAGATGGTTATAAAAACAAATATTTATTCCGGGAATACTTGGCAGAACTCATGATTCTGTAGTTTCATCTGGATGTTGTATATTTGTCCATTTTCCTAGGTAAAATCAGTAATTCCTCCATATTCACTTTAGCCTGGTTACAGACGATGTCCATGCGTGTGGCATGGTTGGTTTCACACAAAGACAATTAAACACGAGCTGGCACGTAGCCAGGATATCCTGTGATGAACTTAGTAGCCCTGCCCACTGACTTGTTAACATAGGATTCACTGAACAGCTAAAACTACATTACCCACAAGCCATCTCTTAAGGAGACAGTGCTTAACCCTTTAAAAGTCTCAGTTTAATCTTCATTTACATTTTGAAAAGAAAAACTAATCATGTTGACTGAAGGCGCTACTTGGATCAGTAACAAAACATCTGTTAAAAAACTTTGGTCCAGTTGCCACAGTTTAGCCTTTTTACTTACAAGCCAAACAGGAATAAAAGCAACTTTGGGGAGAGGATTCTGGGGGGGGGGTCAAATCAGGAAGGGGTTCAGATGCAAGAGCTTCAGCCTCTCTGGACACGAGGGACCCTGCTCGAACTCACCACTCAGGGAGAAGAACACAACCAGCAAGCCGAAGCTCACGAAGATGAATCGCCCCATGGTCTTCCTTCCTTCCCTGCAGAGAGAACTGGGGGGGGGAGAGAGGAAAGGGGGGTGAGATGGGGGGAAGTCCAACCTGGGGCCAAGCTGGGAGTCCCACACTTTGCGTTACACTTTTTCACTTGCCCAGCTGGACCCCGTTTCTCCCTCCTTCTTCAGGCAGCAGCCTTGGGGGGGGTCACAGTGGATCCTGCATTGCTACCTATAGAAGAGCTCCCCCCCAAAAGGTTCTCTTTCCCAGATATCCCCCTGGTAGATACTGGTACCTGCTGGAACCTGGACATTGCCTGCAGCCCCCTGAAAGAGGTCCCTTCAGGTGGGGGGAGAGGCAGAGAGGCAGGAGCGATGTAATGCAGGGAATCTCACCTGTCAGGTGCCCACAGGTGGGAGAGCTGCACTCACCTGTCCCTCGGCCTCCACAGGTAGCAAGTCTGCTCAGAGGCAACTCTAGGCTTTCCTCCTGTGAGGGGAATGGAGGCATTTATAGGCAAGGAAGGGGGTGGATTTCTGTGGGGAGGATGGTGGGAGAAAAGGCTCTGTGTGAGAATGGATTTTTGTGACTAGCGATCAGGAAGTAGCTTGTTTGCACAAAAGAAGTTGACGGATTTATTCTCTGCCAGGACGGATGTCACTGATGAAATCGTACATTGAAATGTTCCCTGAGGTCATCCAGCCCAGCCCCTGCTCGGTGCAGCAATCCAAAGAAAAGCATCCAGGATACATGGCTGATTAGCCCCCACCCCTTGAGGGTATCCAGACAAGTGGAGCCCCCCACACACACCTCCTCTGGGTCTTGGGGCTGCTGTTGACAGGCTGACTTTCAATTTTTCTAACTTTCCTTCAGAACCTGCAGGAATGAACAGCTCCCCAAATCCTCCCAAGCGGGGCATGGCTGCATTCCCACGATACGCCCAAACTTCAAGCCAGGTTCAGAAAGGAACGGCTGCCTCGTTTGCACAATCTGCTGAATGAGCGGCTGGGTTTTGAAGAAACGCTGAAGCACAAACCACACAACTCTTTTCACTGAGTCTCACTGCAGCTTGGTGTCGTCTGCAAATTTGGTGAGTTCCCCATCTATCCCCTCGTCCAAATCGTTGATGAAGATGTTGAAGAGCACTGGGCCCAGAACAGAGCCCTGGGGCACCCCACTACATACTTCCCTCCATGTAGATTTGGTTCCATTGAGGACCACCCATGCTCTTCCTGCACTCTTAGTGCCTGGTACGCCGGGGGCAGTTCTATACATCGGTTGATGGAGTCTGTGTTGGAGAACCAGGCCTCCTTTAGTAAGCGTCCTCCTTTGGAGGCGTCCTGGGCAATGGCTTCTGCCTCTTTGAAATCAAAAGAATGTCCGGTATTGATCATATGCGTCCATATTTGAGAGTATTGCTCTTGCCTTCTGACAGCCAATTTATGTTCATGTATCCTCGTTTTTATTCGTTTTTTATTCATATATATATATATATATATATATATATATATATATATGAATGTGTGTATATATGTATGTGTGTGTATATATGTATGTATGTATGTATGTATGTATATAATAATAATAGTAGTAGTAGTAGTAGTAGTAGTAGTAGTAGTAGTAGTAGTAGTAGTAGCAGCAAAGTTGGAAGGGACCTTGGAGGTCATCTAGTCCAATCCCCTGCTTAGGCAGGAAACCCTACACCATTTCGGACAAATGGCTGTCCAGTCTCTTCTTAAAAACTTCCAGTGTTGGTCGTGTAGAGAGATAAAAGCATTTTGGATTAAGATATGGTGGAATATCCAGAGAATTTTTAAAAGGAGGGTAAAATTTACTCCGCAATTATTTCTGTTGGGTATAGTTACTGATTGTGATACAAAGGAGGTTATATTGATGTTAAATTTGATTACAGCCGCGAGGCTGTTAGTTGGACAATATTGGAAGAAGGAATCTTTGCCTACATTGCAGGAATGGTTTCTTAAAGTCTCTTATTTGGCGGAAATGGCAAAGATTTCGGCTTTCTTAAAGCAACAAACGCAAGAGAAATTTCTTGCTGTTTGGGATAAATGGATAAAATTTATACAGTTTAAAATGGATATTAAAAAATATTATATAGCTTTTTCTTAATTTTTATTTTTATATATATACATATATATTTTAAAATATAATTTTTCGGATTGTTTTTTAATTAAGCCTATATTCTGCTCTGGGAAGCTCGGGGGGGGGGAGAAGGGGGGGTGTTTGGGGGAGGTTGGGGAAGGGAGGGTTTGTTGTGTAATGTTTAGTTTTTTCTTTGTATATGTTTTTTGTCTTTGTATTGTTTTGTTTTTTTCCTTTTTTTTGTAAAACTTATAAAACTTTTAATAATAATAAAAAAAAACTTCCAGTGTTGGAGCTTTCACCACTTCTGGAGGCAGGTTGTTCCACTGGTTAATTGTTCTAACTGTCAGGAAGTTTATCCTTAGTTCCAGGTTGCTTCTCTCCATGATGAGTTTCCATCTGCTGCTTCTTGTCCTGCCTTCAGGCGTTTTGGAGGATAGCTTGACTCCCTCTTCTTTGGGGCAGCCCCTGAGATATTGGAAGACTGCTATCATCCTTCTCTTCCTTAAACTAGACATGCCCAATTCTAGCAACCGTTCCTTATATGTTTATCCATATATATATTGTTGTTGTTAATTGTGAAGTCGTGTCCGACCCATCGCGACCCCATGGACAACATTCCTCCAGGTTTCCTGTCCTCTACCATCTTCTGGAGTCCATTTAAGTTCACACCTACTGCTTCAGTGACTCCATCCAGCCATCTCATTCTCTGTCGTCCCCTTCTTCTATTGCCCTCAATCTTTCCCAGCATTAGGCCCTTCTCCAATGAATCCTTCCTTCTCATTAGGTGGCCAAAGTACTTGAGTTTCAACTTCAGGATCTGGCCTTCTAAAGAGCAGTTGGGGTTGATCTCTTCTAGGACTGACCGGTTTGAACGCCTTGCAGTCCAAGGGACTCGCAGGAGTCTTCTCCAGCACCATAGTTCAAAGGCCTCAATTCTGTTGCGCTCAGCCTTTCTTATGGTCCAACTTTCACAGCCATACATTGCAACTGGTAAAACCATGGCCTGGACTATACGCACTTTTGTTGGCCGGGTGATGTCTCTGCTTTTTAGTATGCTGTCTAGATTTGCCATAGCTTTCCTCCCCAGGAGCAAGCGTCTTTTAATTTCTTGGCTGCAGTCCCCATCTGAGGTGATCTTGGAGCCTAGGAAAATAAAATATGTCACTACCTCCATTTCTTTCCCATCTATTTGCCAGGAATTGATAGGGCCGGATGCCATGATCTTGATTTTCTTAATGTTGAGTTTCAAGCCAACTTTTGCACTCTCCTTCTTCACCCGTATCAAGAGGCTCTTTAGTTCCTCTTCACTTTCTGCCATTAGCGTGGTATCATTTGCATATCTTAGGTTGTTGATATTTCTCCCGGCAATCTTAATTCCAACTTGTGATTCATCTAGCCCTGCCTTTCTCATGATGTGCTCTGCATATAAGTTAAATAGGCAGGGCGACAGTATACAGCCTTGCCAGACTCCTTTCCCAATTTTGAACCAATCAGTGGTTCTGTGTCCAGTTCTCACTGTTGCTTCTTGACCCGCATATAGGTTTCTCAAGAGACAAATGAGATGGTCTGGTACTCCCATCTCTTTAAGAACTTGCCACAATTTGTTGTGATCCACACAATCAAAGGCTTTAGCATAGTCAATGAAGCAGAAGTAGATGTTTTTCTGGAACTCCCTAGCTTTCTCCATGATCCAGCGTATGTTGGCAATTTGATCTCTAGTTCCTCTGCCTCTTCGAAATCCTGCCTGTACTTCTGGTAGTTCTCGATCCACATACTGCTGGAGTCTAGCTTGTAGGATTTTAAGCATAACTTTACTAGCATGTGAAATGAGTGCAATGGTGCGATAGTTTGAACATTCTTTGGCATTGCCTTTCTTTGTAATTGGAATGTAAACTGACCTTTTCCAATCCTGTGGCCACTGTTGAGTTTTCCAAATTTGCTGGCAAATTGAGTGTAGCACTTTTACTGCATCGTCTTTTAAGATTTTGAATAGCTCAGCTGGAATACTGTCACCTCCACTAGCTTTGTTGTTGCTCAGATTTTCTAAGGCCCATTTCACTTCACATTCTAGGATGTCTGGTTCGAGGTCAGTGACCATCTCATTGTGGTTATCTGGGATGTTAAGCTCATTCTTGTATAGTTCTTCTGTGTAGTTTTGCCATCTCTTCTTAATCTCTTCTGCCTCTGTTAGGTCTCTGCCATTTTGGTCCTTTATCATGCCCATCTTTGCATGAAACGTTCCCTTCATATCTCCAATTTTCTTGAAGAGATCTCTGGTCCTCCCTATTCTGTTGTTTTCTTCTATTTCTTTGCACTGTTCATTTAAGAAGGCATTCTTATCTCTTCTAGCTACTCTCTGGAATTCTGCATTCAATTGGGTGTATCTTTCTCTTTCTCCTTTGCCTTTCGCTTCCCTTCTTTCCTCAGCTATTTGCAAAGCTTCCTCAGACAGCCATTTTGCTTTCTTGCATTTCTTTTTCTTTGGGATGGTTTTAGTTGCTACCTCTTGTACAATGTTGCGAACTTCCATCCATAGTTCTTCAGGCACTCTGTCTATCAGATCTAATTCCTTAAATCTATTTGTCACCTCTACTGTATATTCATCAGGAATATGATTTAGTTCATACCTGAGTGGCCTAGTGCTTTTCCCTACTTTTTTCAATTTAAGCCTAAATTTTGCAACGAGAAGCTCATGATCTGAGCCACAGTCAGCTCCTGGTCTTGTTTTTACTGACTGTATAGAGCTTCTCCATCTTTGGCTGCAGAGCACATAGTCAATCTGATTTCTATGTTGACCGTCTGGTGATGTCCATGTGTAGAGCCGTCTCTTGGGTTGTTGGAAAAGAGTGTTTGTTATGACCATCGTATTCTCTTGACAAAATTCTATTAGCCTGTGCCCTGCTTCATTTTGTACTCCAAGGCCAAACTTGCCTGTTATTCCGGTTATCTTTTGGCTTCCTACCTTAGCATTCCAATCCCCCATGATGATAAGGACATCATTTTTTGGTGTTAATTCTATAAGGTGCTGTAGGGCTTCATAGAACCGGTCAATTTCATCCTCTTCAGCACCAGTGGTTGGGGCATAGATTTGGACTATTGTGATATTGAATGGTTTGCCTTGGATTCGAATTGAGATCATTCTGTCATTTTGGGGATTGTATCCCAGTATTGCTTTTCCTATTCTTTTATTGACTATGAAGGCTACTCCATTTCTTCTGAGGGATTCTTGCCCACAGTAGTATACTTGATGGTCATCTGAGTTAAATTCACCCATTCCTGTCCAGTTTAGTTCGCTGATTCATAAGATGTCGATGTTCAGTCTTGTCATCTCTTTTTTGACTACGTCTAGCTTGCCTTGATTCATGGATCTTACATTCCAGGTTCCTATGGAGAAAAAATCTTTACAGCATCGGACTTTCCTTTCACCTTATTTTTTACCTTTTCATCTTTTTTACCATATATATATATATATATATAATATATATATATATATATATATATGTAGGTCTTGGTTGTTCGGGTTTTCTCCCGCGTAAAATTGGAAGTGTCTTGGCGACGTTTCGACGAAGTCCCATTCGTCATATTCAGGCTGGTGTTTTCAGCTTCGTGCTCGAAGCACGAAGCTGAAAACACCAGCCTGAATATGACGAATGGGACTTCGTCGAAACGTCGCCAAGACACTTCCAATTTTACGCGGGAGAAAACCCGAACAACCAAAGACCTACATACAAACACCCGCGAAAACCTCAGAAAACATATATATATATAAGGTAAAAAAGGATATATGCAGTTTTATCTTCCTTTTAGATATCAAAAGGGTTTTGCGGCTCCCCATGTTTTGTTTTTGGTGGGAAACGGGTCCAAGTGGCTCTTTGAGTGTTTTGGGTTGCCTACCCCTGGTCTATGGCATTCAGACATTTATATACCATGGAAGAATATAAATCCTTCCATTCTCCACCATCTAGCCAGAGCTAAAGCTTCTTGGATGAGAAGCAAAACTTCGTCAGAGAAAAACAAGAAAGTCCAGTTGCCTCCTGGAAAAGACCTTTGAATTTTGTTTTGGCAATTTGGGGGGGGGAGGTGGCTGCTCAAGCGAAACCCAGCCGTGGGGTTGACCCTCTGGGGGTTTGGGGGGGGACGAAGCAAGCTGGGCCTCTGGGAACCAGGGTCGGGGGTTCAGAGGTACTTTCTCAGCCTTGGCCCCTTCAGCCGCTCTGGAGTCCACCTCCCAGAATCCCCCAGTCTCGGCCTTGTCCCAGTCCAGGCAGCAGCCCTGAAGTGAAGGGACCTCCGGCTTCTGCTCGGGGCCAGGAGTTGGAGGGGGGAGCCTTGAAAGGGGTTTGGCAAGACTCACAAAGGAGCAATTGTTGCCTCCACACCAGGAAGGAGCTTCTGTTGTTCCCAAAACAGCGCCAAGCATGGTTGGATCCCTTACAAGCCGGATCTGGGTTTGGCCTCCTTCCTGCTCAGCTGAGGGGAAGCAGGAAGAGCACAGGGGCTGCTGGGCTCTTGGCCAGGTCATTCGCCCATCTTCCTCCCTCTCGGGTGAAAGGGGGGCCAGGGGGGCACCCCAAAGACCTGAAGGTCCAGGTGGGGGGCAGAAGGTCACGGAGAAAGTCTGTCTCTCCGGTCACTAAGAAGTGACACCCCCTTTCATCTTTGGATGAGGCCAAACCCGAATCCGGCTTGTACGGCATCCAACCTTGCTCGGCACTGTTTTGGGAACAACAGCAGCTCCCTTCCTGGTGCGGAGGCAACAATTGCTCCTTTGTGAGTTTCTGAGTTTCTCTTGAGCAGCCACCTCAACACTCCCCCAAGAAGCTGAGTGAAAGGGCCTCCTGGCCAAGGAACATGGGAGCTGTAGTGCAGGGCAATGGGTGGTGAACGGATGATTCTGCACAGTTGCAAAGCAGAGATGGGGACAGAGGTTGCACACAACCGGTTGCAGGTTGAGGGTGGCAAGTGTCCCCCCTCCTTGGCTCTGGGTATTTGAAGTGGGGCTGTGGGCTTCCCCCCCCCAGCCCTCCCCAGCTCAAATATGCCTCCTTTGCTGACTTGGGCAGAAAACGGTTCATCCAGGGGCAAAATCCAGGCAGAGATTTTTCCAAATGGAGGGGGGAGGCAGGAAACACCCCAATCAGTCCCCCTCCTCATCTCCACAAACTTAGGGACCCCCAGGGACCCCCCAGTTTCACCTGAGATGCAAAGGTCCTCCTGTCTCAGAAGGAACGGCCGGATTGGGGGATGGGCTGCTCCCTCTCTGTCACTGGGACGTGGAAGCTGGGGGCCCTCAGCAGAGTCTGGGGTCTTCTTGGCAGGGGCAAGCTATGCTAGTTCCACCGTGGCTTAGTGTGTCATGCACAGGAAGCCAGGATGGGGGGGGGTTTCAACTTGGGCCCAATCCAGAAAGGAGGGGGGGGGGTTCATTCTGCCCCCAAGCAAAGGGATGATGGGAAAAAGCCATTGGGCTGATCAAAACACAAGAACACCGAGGCAGAAAGTCACACTCACAGGAGGGATGTTGGAAAGTCGTGTTGCAAAGTTGGACTCCAATGTTTCTGTGTGGGGGAGTTTGCAGTGAGTGAAAAGAGTTGTGTGGTTTGTGCTTCAGCGTTTCTTCAAAACCCAGCCACCTGTTCAGCAGGTTGTGTGAACGAGGCAGCCAGCCGTTCCTTTTCTGAACCTGGGTTGAGGTCTGGGGGTGTTGTGGGAATGCAGCTATACTGGGACCTGTTCATTCCTGCAGGAAGCAGCCAAATCAGTCCTCCTCTCCTCCGCCTCCTCCTCCTCCTCCTCCTCTCCAGAAATTCATTCTTTTCTAGCACTGATGGTGCAAAGGGCAACCCTGGGCAGCTTAAAGTATTTTAAAAAATATATAAATAGAATACCTCAAAATTATAAAAATCCAAAATATGACAGCTAAATGATGGGGAGGGGGGGGAACAGGATGAGAAGGGGGGGGGGAAATGGGATCTGGTATAATCCATCAACCATCCCCAATGGGAAGACCCTCCACTGGACCCCCAAGCCAAGTGGACCTTCCTTAGGATCCCAAAGGCCTGGAGGATTGGAGCTGACCTCACTCTGGGAGGGAGGGGACCGGGATATTCCAGAAGACACCCCCCCCCCATCTTGCTTTGAATTATACCTATTCTTTATTCAGGTAATTGAATTGATGGTGGAAATGCTGCCAGTTTGCTTAATTTATTGGGAAATTCTTCACTTTTGCTGAGAATTGTAAGCTAACTGATTTGTTTGCCGTGCAAAGACAAGATTAAGGGGAAAGGCGAAGATAAACACAGATTAAACACAGCAAAGCCAACAGCCAACATAAGCACAGCATAAATACACAAACATCAGCAACCTCCATCTGCTTCAATCTAGGATGGATGCATCTGCATCTGCACGAGAGTAATACAATCATTCTATAAATACATTGCACAGACATGGTAAAATGTTACAGAAAACAGAATCACAGGACTGGAATGGAACAGACCTCAGAGGACATCAATTGTTCTCACTGTCAGAAAATTCCTCCTTATTTCTAGGCTGGCTCTCTCTTTGATAACCTTCCCCCCATTATTTCTGGTCCTGGATTCTGGTGCTTTGGAGAATGTCCCCTTCTTATCTGTGACAGCCCCACAAATATTGGAAGACTGCTATCATGTCACCCCTATTTCTTCTCTTCAGAAGGCTAGACATCCCTAGTTAACGCAACCATTCATCTTACGGTTTAGTCTCCAGACCTTTAATCATCTTTGTTGCTCTTCTCTGCATGCATAGAATAGAATAGAATAGAATAGAATAGAATAGAATAGAATAGAATAGAATAGAATAGAATAGAATAGAATATATGGAATGGAATGGAATGGAATGGAACAGAACGGAACGGAACGGAACAGAACAGAACAGAACAGAATAGAATAGAATAGAAAATAGGGAATAGAATAGAATAGAATAGAATAGAATAGAATAGAATAGAATAGAATGGAATGGAATGGAATGGAATGGAACGGAACAGAACAGAACAGAGCAGAATAGAATAGAATATATGGAATGGAATGGAATGGAATGGAATAGAATAGAATAGAATAGAATAGAATGGAATGGAATGGAACGGAACAGAACAGAACAGAACAGAGCAGAATAGAATAGAATATATGGAATGGAATGGAATGGAATAGAATAGAATAGAATAGAATAGAATAGAATAGAATAGAATATATGAAATGGAAGAATAGAATAGAATAGAATAGAATAGAATAGAACGGAACGGAACGGAACGGAAGAGAAGAGAAGAGAAGAGAAGAGAATCAAGAGTTGGAAGGGACCTTGGAGGTCTTCTAGTCCAGCCCCCTGCTCAAGCAGGAGAACCTATACCATCTCAGACAAGTGAATATCCACTCTCCTCTTAAAAATTTCCAGGGATGGAGCAGCCACGATTTCTGGTGGCCAGCTGTTCCGCTGGTTGATTGTCCTCACTGTCAGGAAGTTTCTCCTCAGTTCCAGGTTGCTTCTCTCTTTGATCAGTTTCCAACCAGTGCCAGGTTTTGTTGGTTTTAATGTTTTTAATGTTAATATAATTTTACTACCATTATTCTGCAGCTTAACTTTTGATAGGGAGTGGATTATCAGATGGGTGGGCTACATCGCTGTTTTAAACAAACAATGGTCATCAGTTGCCAAGGGGCAAGTGTTCCAAGAAGGATCAAATGGGTCCTCGTTGCTGGAACTGCATCTCAACGGGATCACCACCATCTTGGCTTACCTGTAAACCCCAAAGTCACAACGCAGAAGTCCTTGTACTTGTCATGCCCATCGGGCTGACCATCATATCAGGGTAGGTAGTCCATTCTAGATTGGTCTGTCCACTGCCGGTGGTGTTTCTGTAATGAAAGAGACGTCGCTTAGCCAATTGAGGAAAGGCCCAGGTCAGAGAGGAAAGTTTTCAGATTATAAGGGGTGGACCAAGTAGAACATCTCTCTCTCTCTCTCCATCTCTCCCTCAATCTCAGTTGATCTGGAACACCTAAGCAGGGTTTTTTCCCCCATGATGTTTTTACTTATGAATTAATAGCAGCTGTTTATCTTCTACTTGGCTCTCTGTATCATTATGCTGCTTGCACTGTCTGCACCGCCCAGCTACTCATGTTCTTACAAACCCCCCATTTTCTTTCCTCAAAGGGAAATTTTGCAGGCATCTTGTGCACCACTTTTATTTTTCTTGTGGAGCAAACAAAGGTGAGGTTCAAAGAGAAAAGCACCTCAACCTGAAGACAAGGCTGCTCTCCAGTGGTTGAAAACCTTCCTCTTGGCTTCCTTCACCTCCTTGTTGCGGAGGCTGTAGATTAAGGGGTTCAGCATGGGGGTGACGATGCAAAACATGATGGAAATCAGGGTGTCGCTTTCTAGGGAGTAGCCAGAATTTGGATGGTTGTAATTCAGAAACCCATTTCCAATATAAAGAGTTACCACAGCAATGTGTGATGCACAAGTGGAGAAGGCTTTGCGTCTGCCGGTGCTGGAGGGAATCCGGACAATGGAGGCCAGAATACAGAAATAAGACAGGATGATGAAGAGGAAGGGACAAAGGCCAATCAAAGTGCTGATGATGTGATTGGCCAGATGGTTGACCTGGGTATCACTGCAGGCAATTTTCAGCAGTGGAGGAACATCACACCAGATGTGAAGAATCTGGTGGTTTCCACAGAAATCCAACCTAGAGGCCAGGGCAGCGTAAATAGCTGAGTCCAGGAAGCCCCAGAGCCAAATGGCCAGAGACAGCTGGACACACAACTTGCCCCTCATCCGGTGGGCATAGTGCAAAGGTTGGCAGATAGCAGCGTAGCGGTCATAAGCCATGACGGCCAGCAGCGCTGGCTCACATCCTGCAAAGCCAATCAGGAAGAAGGCTTGTGCCAGGCATTGGTTGTAAGAGATGGTGTATTCCTGGCGTAAGAGGTTCACCAGGATCTTTGGTACCACCACAGAAGAAAGGCAAACATCCAAGCAGGAGAGCTGGCTGAGGAAGAAGTACATGGGGGTGTGAAGACGGGAATCCAGGAGAACCAGGGTTATGATCATGAGGTTGCCCAGCAGAGTGACCAGATAGGCAGCCAGGAACACCAAGAAAAAATGGACGTAGTGTCTCTGGAATATGGAGAAGGCCAGGAAGATAAATTCTGTCTCCTGTGTTTGGTTGTGGGCATCCATCAGGAAGAACATAGACACCTGGGAAGAGAAAAAAATTCTTCTGAAGAAAGCAGCGAGTGGCAACGGAGCCTGAAAAATGGATGGAAAAATAACACAGTAATTATTTGAGGACTCAGACTGGAATTATGAAGGATGAGAGTTTAGTGATCCCTTCCACTTAAAAAAGAACCGATTGCTTGTGGTGTTTTGAATTAGAATTACCTGCAGGATGAGATGAATTCAATTGGGGGCACAGAGCTGGAGGAGCAGAGCTTAATTCTCTCCTTGCATTTCTGGGGCATTCAGCCTGCAGACCCTGACAACACCACTTCCAAGCTTGGCATCAGAAGCATATTCCATAAAGAGGACCAACGGGTTACTTGGAGAAGAAGCCACCATACCGGTTCCAGAAAAGGAAGTGGCAGTCCTTCGGCCCTGCTGTCAAACTTCCCAGGTAGACCATAGAGGAAACACAACCAGATGAGTTAATTCAACTTTATGGTATGGCTACAATAAAGCCGTAGCAGAATCTTGCAAGTCTGAAAGTACAAGTGTCCTGCCATCTTGTTTTACAGCCTGAGCAGTTGTTCATTTCTGAGTTCCTTTCTCCGTAGGCTCTGCTCTGTCTTATCTGATTGTTCTCTAGGTAATGTCCCTTTGTCCCATCTCCCAAGTTCATCCCCACATACCAAAACCTCTGCCTTCTCCAAACCCTGGTGAGTTATGACTCTCAGCTGGATTAGCAGGTTTTCCTTCAATCCTTCAAGAGGTCATCAGCTTAGACAAGGACATTCTAATGGGACATCCTTGATGTTCCAGTGGGTCCTACTCTTTTCCTGGCAATTGATCTTCTTCCAACAAAAAGTGCCAAATGAAACTGAGAAGACTGTGAAGATCCTCCAGGCTAAAGACTATTTATGTGTTTCCTACACTGTCTAATTGCTTGGATTTTTTTAAAGCATGTTGTTGAAGCTGAGAGCAGCATGAACAGTTGAATCAAAACCTCTCGCGTTTCCTTTACTGGAGTTCTTTGCCTTTGTAATTTCAGTAAGGACCATCAATTCTCCCTCGGTCAATGTGGAGCACAGTCCAGCTGTACCATTCCTTTGGACATCCTGTGTCTCTTCAACAGAGACTTAAGAAAATGGTTGACTTGCTCTGAGCTTCAACACAGAACAGGTCTGTCCACCCTTGCTCTTTAGAAACCTTTAAGTATTTGTCCAAATACCTTTAAGTATTTGTCCAATGTTGTCCCACCTCACTCATATGAAGGTCCAACTTCATTTAGAATTAGGTCTGCATATGGTATTACCTGAGATTAATACAGTTTTAAGGGAGATAATTAGCTTCCACTGTCTTTCAGGGTTCCAAAAAACAAGTGATGTCTACCAATTGGATGAAAAGATGTTGGGAACAGAAGGAGAAGGTGACCTCCAGTTATAGAGATGTTTTAGAAGATCTGCCTTTACTTGCAAGATTGAGGTTTACAGTGAGGGAGACAGGTCATCTTCCAAATTCCCTCTGATGAGCCTAAAAGCAGCCTTGCATTTTATACCTAGATGTTTTAGGTCTGGAGCTTCTTGCTATCATGGTCAAGAGCCAACAGAAAACCACCGAAACTACTAGCCCTTAATATATATCCATAATTTAATTATATGGTATGAAGATGTGCTTGGATTGACTTGTGTTGAATCTCACCATCTCCCTTGCCTGTCAGGAAATGTATCTCCGTATGTTTCCCCACAGTCAGCTTTCATTTGGACTGCCGCTCTGAATGGCCAATTTGACCAATTTGCCTAATCCAAGTCCATCTTTGGAGCACGACAGAGAGGAAGGATAGAAAGGTCTGGGTTGTTCACAGTTAAAACTGTTGTCCCCTCAGAGAGGAGAAACTCTTTGCCGTTTCTGAGATCTCCTAAATGAATATTCCTGGGTTGAATCTTGCATTCCTGGTCATGCTCTTCCTTCTCCTTTCCAAGGTCAATCTCTCCTTGCAGTTGTCTCCTTAAAGGAGGATGTTGGCTGGACTGCGAAGCAGCTCACCTTGGCTGGTTGTCCCACCTGCAGGAGACCAGCTGCGGTTCAAGCAGAGTCAAACTCTCCCCCACAGATGGGTTCAGACACAATGAGAATGGTGGTCACTGAGCCAAAAGTCCACCTACAGAGTAGAAATTTGAGCTGAAACAGAAAATTGCTGGCCGAGAACAGAGACTTTCATTGCTTAGCTGCCACTTTGCAACCGGAGCTGGAAATAAAAGTTTTACCACTCTGGAACTCAATTCTGTGCCCAAGAATGGGGCCGGTCTCCCTGGAGCAGCTCACAGGGGCTGCTGGTGGGAATAACCAGCATTGACGAGAGAGAGAGAGTTAGCTACGGTAATTGGTCCAACTTTCTGGGATGATGACATGAGAGTTAAGGGACCTCGTTATGGGTGTGTGTGCCCAAACAAGCACAGCACAAGGGGTGCAATCCAATTCTCCATCATCACAATCCATTTATAACAAATGCAAGGGATTTCATCATCTCTGTTTTGCTATGAAGCAGCAATCAATTAATGACCCTCAGACTCATTTTCCAAAACACCTTGAGGGATTTCATTATAGACCCTCACAAGCTGCCCCTCAGCTAGAAATGTCCAGGCTGGGAATTAGGGCACGATGTCCAGGCTAGGGAATGGACACCCCTTTTTAAAATTCGTGTGAATTCTTTCTCTCAACATTCACACAACTAAACTTGTTTTCCTAATAGAGAGAAAGGGGCCGGCTGGATGGTTGGGTACATGGATGGATACATGGATGGATGAGTTGGTGGGTCAATGAGTGGATGGGTGGGTGTATGGATGAATGGATGGATGGGTGGTTGGGCAGATAGATGCATAGAACGATGGAGGGATGAGTGGGTGGATGGATACATGGATGGATGAGTTGGTGGGTTAATGAGTGTATGGATGGGTGGAGTAAAATTTGATTTTTCCACAAAAGCTATATCAAACTTTGGGGAAGAAATGGTGGGCTGAAGATTGGTCCACAAAAAAATGAAGTTGATGACTTTGGCGGAATGAAGAGTTGGTGAATAGACCGGCTCTTCAATATTTCCTCTCTGGACTAAGAAAGGATTTGACATCACCCACAAGTAATCCAGACAGTTGCTCCTCATGAAGAGACAACAAGACCACAGTCTTTATTTTTCCTTTTTCTCTTTTCTTCACCTTCTAATTTTTTTTCTTTTCCTTGTTTTTAATTTGCATTAATTTCTACTGTTATTTTAATTTTAAATGAAATTATAAAAAGACGTAAGCGCTAGCTACTCATGTTCTTAGAGTTAATCTCCCTTTGTTTTATCATGGAAATGATTTTGCAGGCACCTTTAGAAAGTCCTTCTACCACAGTTCATCTGCACAGCTTTCATTTTTCATAGGAGGGTCAACAAAAGACCTTCCTTGAGAAACATACACATTAATTCAAATACACTTTAGACCAGAGATTTTTTTTATTAGGGTCAATGGACCAAATTTTAAAAAAAGAAAGCATGGTACATTAATCTTACATTTGGTTACAGCAGTAAAATTCCTATATACTCAACAATGGAAAGATTCTACTATACTGACAATGGAAGAGTAGTTAGTAAAAGTGATGGGACTGGAACAGATGGCAAACTGAATGGCTCTCGTTAGAGAAAAAACAGTAACAAAATTTATTTTTAAATGGAGCCCACTGGTGGGCTTTTTACAAGAAGTAAAAAAACAAAACAAATTATGACATATGGATTTGATGATTAGTAAAAACTGTTGACCGTTTGGAAAGTGGATGCCAAGGGTCTTCAAACTTGGCAACTTTAAGACTTGTGGACTTCAACTCCCATAATTCCTCAGCCAGGCATGCATAAAAGGGCCAAGTTGGAAGGCCCCTGTCCTAAACTAAGAGGCTGAATAAATAAACTTTGTAAAAAAAAAGTTGGAAATCTCTTTTTATATTTCTGTTTTTTTTCCTTATAATTGTTTGTTTTCTGTACTCCTATCCTCCCTCCTTCTCTTTATTCTACCTACCCTTCTTTCTGGCCATTTCTGTCTGTTAGGTTTTATCTTTATGTTGTATAAAAATGTAATCGTTATATTAAAAAAAGGACCTCCAAAATGAAGACTATCCTCTTTTCCAGCCCTTGAGAAGCTTCCTCAGGGCCGCCTTCACCTCCTTGTTATGGATGCTGTAGATCAAGGGGTTCAACATCGGGGTGACGATGCAAAACATAGTGGAGATCAAAGCATCAACCTCCAGAGAGTATCCAGCACTGGGCTGGTTGTAATTCATACTCCCATTACCAACAAACAGAGTTACCACACTAATGTGTGATGCACAAGTGGAGAAGGCTTTGCGCCTGCCAGTGTTAGAGTGAATTCGCAGAACGGAGGCTAGAATGTAGAAATAGGACAGGATGATGAAGAGGAAGGGATTGAGGCCTACAAAGATGCTGGTGATGTGATTGGCCAATTCATTGACCGAGGTATCACTGCAGGCGATTTTCAATAATGGAGGGACATCACAAAAGATGTGAGGAACATTGTTGTTTCCACAGAAGTCCATTCTACAGGCTAGGGAAATGTGGATGGCCGAGTGTAGGAAGCCCCAGAGCCAAATGGCCACAGACAGTTGGACGCACAACTTGCCCCTCATCAGGTGGCCATAATGCAGAGGCTGACAAATGGCAGCGTAGCGGTCATAGGCCATGACGGCCAGCAGGGCCAGCTCACATCCTGCAAAGCCAATCAAGAAGAAGGCTTGTGCCAAGCATTGGTTGTAAGAGATAGTCTGCTCTTGGCGTAGGAAGTTCACCAAGATCTTTGGTACCACCACAGAAGAAAGGCAAACATCCAAGCAGGAGAGCTGGCTGAGGAAGAAGTACATGGGGGTGTGAAGACGGGAATCCAGGAGAATTAAGATTATAATCATGATGTTGCTCATCAGCGTGGCCAAATAGGCAGCCAGGAACACCAGGAAAAGGTGGGTTGTGTAGCTCAGCAGGTGGGAGAAACCCAGGAAGAGGAATTCGGTCACTTGTGTTTGGTTTTGTGCATTCATGGGGAAGAAAATGTACAGCTGAGAAGAGAGAAAAAGGCAAAGAAGATCAGTGGGCTTTGGAAAATGCACGGAAGAAGTAAAATTAGGGGTCCTTGGTACTCTTTGAGTTTGGCTGTTTCCTTGCAAGTGTTTCATTACCCAACTGGGTAACATCATCAGGGCTGGTGAAATCACATCGCTAGCATTGATGATGTTACGTAGTTTGGTAATGAAATATCTGCAAGAAACCACCAAGCTCAGAGAGCAACAAAGACCGCATTGTCATTGTCTTTCTCCTCCTCCTCCTCCTCCTCCTCCTCCTCCTCCTCCTCCTCCTCCTCCTCCTCCTCCTCCTCCTCTCTTTCCTCCACTCTGCAAACCCCACTCCCTTCTAGCATTGATGATGTTACCTAGTTGGGTCATGAAACATCTGCAAGAAATCAGCCAACCTCAGAGCACCTTGATTTTATTCCTGAGCTACAAATATTCTCCTTTATTGGTTGTTACGACCAGCTAAGTGGCTCAAGCTTCTTTCTGTCATGGATTTCATTAAAAAAAAAGGTCACCCCTGGGCTAGAGGTGTGCCATCTGAAGTTAACCCCAAGGTGGACAGTGCAGGTCAGATGGACCAGTTAATTTTATTGAAAACAGGTTGTATTTAATCCCCTCATTTCAATCCTGAGCTACTTATACTGTATTCTCCTTCAGAAGTAAAATTACAATGTCATTGTTTGAGGTCTCCATGGGAGGATGACATTTTAGAGATCTCCTCCACTAATTCCTCCAGATATTTGGATTAGAATTAGAGGCAAGAAAAATTGGGCATCCAGACCCAATGGAGCCAAGCTTAATTTTCTCCCTTCATTTCTGGAGAATTCGGTATGCAAACTCTGAGGAACATCTCTTCCAACCTTGATATCAGAACTAGATTCTAGACAAATGACTCACTGGGGGAAGAAGGACCTGGTAATGGGATAGCTCTGATTTTCCAATATTGGAACATTGCCTGTTTATATACTCCAGCTTCTTTTGCTATAGGAGAGGCAAAGGCACTTGCGGGGATCCAGATCCAAGATAGTTAAACCAACAACTTCATGGAATACAAGTCAAATATGGATTGTACATTGATGTTAGTCGTGGTAGCAAGGTATATATGTAAGTTTCCAACTCCTAGCTTTCAACCAGGGAGCTGTTTTCTCCATTTAATGTCTACATTGGGAGCAGCAGTTCAACCTAAGAAGGATGGGAGAGGCTGGAGGGGTAGAAAATTACAAGTTGTGATCTATTGTGAGTCTCACACAGGGAAAGGACCTGTCCACTTCTATGATTTCCTAGATGGAAATTCCTGCTTCCTCCTCCTTAAGGGACAAAATCTCCTTTTAATGCCACCCCATCCCAATGGAAAGAGAATCCTTGATGGACCCCAAAGCAGCTCACCTTGGCTGATTATCCCACCTGCAGAAGACCAGCTACGGCTGAAGCAGACTCATCCTCTCCCCAATTTCTCCCATAGTTCAGTTCAGTTGCAATGAAGTTGGAATCAACACCCTGGCAACAGAGCAGGAAGGGAGGTGTTCGGACGTTCATCCTTAGAACGGGGCAAGTCTCATAGTTGCTTGTATTATCCATGGCAGGTGGTGCCCATGGGGGAAAATGTGACTTGGCAAGGTGGGGGCCCTGGGAGTATTCCTGCCTGGGATCCTGGAGGGAATACAACCGGGAGGGCAGGCAGCAAAGATCCTTGGGGGCAAAGCTGACTTCTCTGGGACTTGTTAGCAGGTACAGAACAGTTTTCTGGTGTTGGATTCAGGAGACGGGGAGAAATGGAGACGGCACAGCATAAGAATCTTTTTCAGTTTTGAACTTGAGATCAATTGTCTCATTTGCTGTTAGCTGGTGCTCTAGAAATGACTTCAAGAGCATTTTTTAAAAAAGGCACATATGGATGCCAGATTAATTTCACATTTGACTCCTTCCCCTGGCTTGGCCAGTCTCTCTCTCTCTCCTACAGCTATGACACTTTCTTATGATGACCTTTAATGATGCCCAGCTGGACTTTGTAATAATAAGGCTCCATGGCTATATATGCAGCACTCCAGTAGAAGGCTAGTTTTGTTAAAGGCATCAACTCTGGGGAAAATACTCATCTTTCCTGCATAAAGAACTGGTGCAGAACCTTTACAAAATGTTTTATAGATGGCATCTCCCACCACAAGATTGGCTAAAATGTGTACCAATGTCTCCCCTAAATGTTGGAAATGTAATTTGACAAGTGGAACTTGCTATCATATGTGGTGGGAATGCATGCAAACTCGTGATTTTTGGAACAGGATTAAAGTATGGTTGGAAGAAATATTAGAGCAAGTGGTAGAACCAAAACCAGAACTCTTTCTATTAGGTTTAACTATGCAAAATCATGACAAAGGCGTACTTTATTTAATGCTACACATTTTAACAGCTTCCAGACTGTTTTTTGCTCAAAATTGGAGGAATAAGGGAACTCCAACGGAAGAAGAGATCCTGCATAAAATTTTATCATGTGCTGAGATGGACAGGCTTACAATGATTATGAAAGACAAAACAGAACATGAATACTTCGAAATCTGGGGCAAATTTTACCATTGGTATGAATTAAGGAGAACTGCTCGGACTTCAAGTTAATGTTAGAATTAAAAGATATATATAACTGTACATATAATTGTATATATAATTATATTGTATAGAAGATGAGGCTTATATAGAACAGCGGTTCTCAACCTATGGGTCGCGACCCCATTTGGGGTCGATCGACCTCTTTTGCGGGGTCGCCAAAGGCGGCGATCCGCCATTTTGTCCCCTCCGGGGGGGGTGCTGCGCACGCACGCCGCGCGTGGGAGCGGCGGCGCGCCTCCGGGGGGCGGCGGCACACCTCGGGGGGTGGCGTCGTGCATGCGCACCGCGCGCGGGGGGGCTGCCCCCATGCGCGCTGCGCCGCACATGCGCATAACGTTTGTGTGACGGGGGTCGCCATCACACAAACGTTGAGAACCGCTGATATAGAGGTTAAGAACGATGTATTAAGCTTTTGTACCATGATAGGAACTGATAGGAAAATTCATTCTGGAATGTCATGTTTGTCCATTTTTGTTTTAATTGTATTATGAATAAAAATATTAAAAAAAAAAGAACTCGTGCAGGTGCCCAGAAAGATTTCAGAGTGAACAGAGATTGTGAAGGGAATACAGGACACAATTACACAGGCATTTCAGCTTCAGGAAGACCTAATTGTGTGTGTGTGTGTGTGTGTATGTGTGTGTGTGTGTGTGTGTATACATCCTCCCATCTTCTAATCAACTCTGGAGGCTCTCAATTAAAGTTAAAATAATGTATAAAACCATATTCAAACTAGAAAAGTGAACACATTAAAAACAACAGAGACCAGGCGCCAAGTCAACCTGGATGTTTGGTTAGCCAACTTTATCTCAGCACTTTGGGGGGGGGGGGGAGGTCTTCAGAGCTTTATGGAAGTCTAAGAGGGTAAAGACCTGCTGAAAGTCAGAAGGAAGAGCGTTCCATAGGGTTAGGGGAAAAGGCTCCCTTCCTAGCTTCCATTAGATGACAATATTTGGGAGAAGGGACTAGGACCCTGCTCAGCTTAATTGGTAGGACAGGCTGATGTCCTCAGGAAAACGTGATCCCACAGACCACCTGGAGATGTACCATGTAGGGTTTTAAAGAGCAACAAAGATGATCAGGGACTGGAGGCTCAAACATACAAGGACCGGTTGCAGGAATTGAGTATGTCTAGTTTAATGAAGAGAAGGATGAGAGGGGAAAGGATAGCAGCGTTTCAATATCTCAGGGGCTGCCCCAAAGAAGAGGGAGTCAAGCTATTCTCCAAAGCATCTGAAGGCAGGACAAGAAGCAACTAACCAAAGAGAGAAGCAACCTGGAACTAAGGAGAAATTTTCTGACAGTTAGAACAATTAACAAGTGGAACTATCTGCCTCCAGAAGTTGTGAATGCTCCAACACTGGAAGTTTTCAAGAAGAGACTGGGCAGCCATTTGTCTGAAATGGTAGAGAGTTTTTTGCCTGAGCAGGGGGTTGGACTAGATGACCTCCAAGGTCCCTTCCAACTCTGTTATTGTTATTATTATTGTTATTGTTGTTATTAGTGATGGCCAAAACCTTGAATTGCACTCAGAAAGAAACTTGAAGCTGATGCAGCTCATGTAACAAAACAATTATATGGACAACCTGGGACAGCAATCACAATGCACACTGCTGCATTCTGGAGCAGTCAAAGTTTAGTGTGGTCTTCAAGGACAGCCCATGTAGATGGCATTGCAGTAATCCACACAGGAGGCGACCTAGACATGCTCTTTCACAGCAAAAACTGTTATGTGACATGCAGAGAACAACTAGGAAAGAGTCAAAGAAGGCCAGAGATCAGTCAAAGAGATCCAATATAGTTTGATCCAATAGGATAATGTACTGTACATTTGCCATTCATTATATTGGCCACCTAATGAGAAGGAAGGACTCACTGGAGAAGGGCCTAATGCTGGGAAAGATGGAGGGCAATAGAAGAAGGGGACAACAGAGAAGGAGGTGGCTGGATGGAGTCACTGAAGCAGGAGGCGTGAGCTTCAATGGACTCCAGAAGATGGTGGAGGACAGGAAGACCTGGAGGAATGTTGTCCATGGGGTCGCGATGGGTCGGACATGAATTCGCAATTAACAATAACAACAACAAATTTTTTAATGCTGCAAACCTTCCTGGCTTCTACCATGTCCATGTCTTGTTTCCCACGTTGGCCCTTTGACTATCCAAATGCTGTTCCTATCCCTCATCTGAATTCTATCTTAGCTAGAGCTGATCATTGCTCTGGGACAGTAGAATTATGTTTATGTATTTTAAGTTTGTTTGGGTGTATGGTGTATGGTGAAAAATACTAAAAAAATTATAAAGAATTAATGCTAGGAGAAAGGTGTTGCTTTTTCTCACAGATTTCTTGACAAACCATACAGAACACAGAAGGCTGAAGTCAAAGGAGTTCTCATTAGGATGCAAAGTCCCATATTTCCTATTCTTACAACAACTGCCAAAGTTTTTTTCTTCTCGTGGAAATAATTTTGCAGGTGCCTTGAGAAAGTACTTCTACCCCAGTTCTCTTTTATCCTTCCTAAGGGCTCAAAGACATGAAGTACAGCAAACCCCCCCCCCCACACACACACAAATTAATACAATGCTGTCTTCCGGCAGCTGAGAATCTTCCTCAAGGCCCCCTTCACCTCCTTGTTGCGGAAGCTGTAGATCAAAGGGTTCAGCATGGGGGTGACGATGCAAAAAGATGTGGAGATTAGAGTATCAGTCTCAATGGAGTAGCCAGCACTGGGCTGGTTGTAGTTCAAGTATCCATTTCCAACACAGAGAGTTACCACGGCAATGTGTGATGCACAAGTGGAGAACGCTTTGCGCCTGCCAGTGTTGGAGGGAATCTTCAAAATAGAGACCAAAATATAGAAATAGGACAGGATGATGAAGAGGAAGGGGCCGAGGCCCACAAAGATGCTGGTGACGTGATTGGTCAATTCGTTGACCCAGGAATCACTGCAGGCAATTTTCAGTAATGGAGGAACATCACAAAAGATGTGAGGAACATTGTTGTTTCCACAAAAGTCCAACCTACAGGCCAGGGCAACATGGATGGCGGAGTCCAGGAAGCCCCAGAGCCAAATGGCCACAGAAAACTGGATGCACAATTTTGTCCTCATCAGGTGGGCATAATGCAAAGGCTGACAAATGGCAGCATAGCGGTCAAAGGCCATGATGGCCAGCAATGCTGGCTCACATCCCGCAAAGCCAATCAGGAAGAAGGCTTGTGCCAGACATTGGTTGTAGGAGATGGTCTGTTCTTGGCGTAGGAAGTTCACCAAGATCTTTGGTACCACCACAGAAGAAAGGCAAACATCCAAGCAGGAGAGCTGGCTGAGGAAGAAGTACATGGGGGTGTGAAGACGAGAATCCAGCAGAACCAGGGTTATGATCATGAGGTTGCCCATCAGCGTGGCCAAATAGGCAGCCAGGAACACCAGGAAAAGGTGGACCTGGTGGCTCCGAAGGCTGGAGAAACCAAGAAGGATGAATTCAGTCTGGTTATGGGAATCCATGGGAGGAGGAGGAGAAGGCTTAGCTGGGAAGAGAAAATTGGGCAAGGGAAGAAATTAGAATTAACAGCAGAGTAAGATGAGTTAAACGACCCACTAGAACTTCATTTCCCCAAAGGTCAGATTGACCGCCCACCTTGCTATGTTCCTCAAGGTCTTGAAGACAAGCTTTGGTCATTGGGCCACGGGTTTCCATTCAGAGCCCATCAAGCGGCTTGCTTGATTCTGTTGTCACTGAAGTGGAGATTTACACCGTGAATCTGGATTTTTAATGTTGTGTGCCAGCTGGAGCCTGTCCGTTGGGAGGCTGTATCCATTTGAGAAATGAAAATAACTAACTAGATTTGGGGTGCAGGAGCAGCAGAGCAGAATTTAATTCTCTCCCTGCCTTCCAGAAAATGATTGATAGGTGGAAAGGGGACCCAGAGGTGTTGTGCTTTGCTTTGTAGAAGTGTTTCAGGAGAGTTTGCTTTCCAAGTGGATGGAGATGTTAGAGTAAAAGGGCTCCTTTGAAGACAACTCTCGCAAACTCAAAAGCAACCCCTTCCTCTTCATGTTCCTCATCAGATATTATGTTGATGCCCAATATTTGTCTGACCATGGAGGTTCCACCGTGCTACAATAACTTATAACAGTATGAAGGTCCTTGGTGCTCTCTGAGCTTGCTTGTTTTCTTGCAGATGTTTCATTATCCACACCAATGGTGATGTTATCCATTCAGTCATGTCCAACTTTTGGGAGTCAGATCCCTCCGCATCTTCTGATCTCTCACTCCTTTTTTGCACCCAAATTAGGTGACCTCATTTTGGGTCATTAAAATGGGGGCAAGAACCACCAAGATCCGAGAGCACCAAGGACCCTTCATTTGAGACCTATCAGCTACTAAGCGATGGTATCAGTAGTACCAATATATAATTACTAGTTGACTTTGATAGCATGCAGATGGTGTCGGTTGACTATTTTAAATCTGGAACCTTCAGTTCCTTCATCTGCCCATAACAAAAGAAGCTGGAATGTATTCCTGACAGTTTCCAGTTCCTAGCTTCCATCCAAGGAGCTGTTTTGTCAAAACAAAGTCTGTGTTTGGAGCAGTGGATAACCCTGGAAAGATGAGAAGTGCTAGATTGGTGGTGATAATATATTGTGGTGAATCTTGGGCAGAAGGAGGACTTGGCCCTTTATGAGATTCCCTAAAAGGAGATTTCTGGATTGAATCTTGTATTCCCAATCCCTCCTTTCTAACACCCAAAATCCACTCCTTTTAATCCCACCCCATCCCAAACAGAAGGAGAATCCTTGATGGACCCCAAAGTATCTCACCTTGGCTGGTTATCCCACCTACAGAAGACCAGCTGCAGCTGAAGCAGACTCATCCTCTCCCCAAATTCTCCCACAGTTGGGTTCAGATGCAATGAAGTGGGAGCCAACACTCTGGCCACAGAGCAGGGGGGAGATGTTCAGACGTTCACCCTTAGAACAGGGCAACTCTCGTAGTTGCTTGCATTATCCGTGGCAGGTGGTGCTTGTGGGGAAAGATAGGACTTGGCCCTGGGGCCTGGGAGTATCCCTGCCTGGGATCCTGGAGGGATTACAGGTGGGAGGGCAGGCAGCATAGATCCTGGGGGGCAAAGTTGACTTCTCTGGGACTTGTTAGCAAGTACAGAGCAGTTTTCTGGTGTGTGATTCACAGGATGGGCAGAAATGGAGAGGTCAAAGCAGAAGAATCATTTCCAGATCTGAAGCAGAAATCAGTTGCCACATTTGCTTTTAGCTGATCTTCTAGAAATCAGTAGAACAAGAGTACTTACTCTCTCCCTCCCTCTTCTGGAAGGCTATTTAGGGGGTCCTCAAGTTACCACAAATAGCTCAGTGAAATTATGATGGTCTTATAATGGTATAGAATCAAGGTCACATGATTACTACTACACAGCTTCCCTCCCCCCATTGTATATGGCAGACTGGAATCTGGCCAAATATAGCTGGTGCAGCAGGATGAATGAATGAGTTAATGAATATATTGTTATTGTGTATCTCACAACAAAATTAAGTGCTGTCTGCAGTGCACATTACACACAAGTAAAAACCACAAGTAAATACATACATTATATAAACACATCTTGGAAGTCCTGACAGTGTTTTTCATGTGTCTTTTCAGTCCTGAATATATTCAGGAAAAGCAAGACTTGGGTTCTTGATGTCCCAAGAAGGACTTTAAACTCGTCTTTCCAACTTCTGAGAAGAATCCTATATTCTCCTGCGTCTTTCCAGGACCTTCCCCAGAGCCCCCTTCACATACTTGTTGCGGAGGCTGTAGATCAGGGGGTTCAACATGGGGGTGACAATGGAATATGTTGTGGAAATCAGGGTGTCGGTCTCCAGGGAGTAGCCAGCACTGGGCTGGTTGTAGTTTAGCAATCCATTCCCGAAGTAAAGGATGACCACCAGCAAAAGAGAAGAGCAAGTGGAAAACGCTTTTTGTCTGCCTGACTTGGAATGGATACGCAGGATGGACGCAAGGATGTAGAAGTAGGAGATGACTACCAAAAAGAAAGGGGTCATTCCTGCAAATATGGTGGCTATGTGTAAGGTCATCTGACTGATGTGTACATCACCGCAGGCGATTTTCAGCAGGGGTGGAAGGTCACAGAAGATGTGGTGGATCTGATGATCTCCACAGAAGTCTAACTTGGAAGCCAAGGCTGTGTGAACTGTTGAATCCAGGAAGCCCTAGATCCAGCTGATCACAGCTGCCTGCGTGCCAAAGTGTGAACTTATGAGGTTTGAGTAGCGTAAAGGCTGACAGATGGCAGCGTAGCGGTCGTAAGCCTGATGGCCAGCAACCAGCATTCTGAGCCAGAGAAGGCCATGAGGAAGAACATCTGGGCAAAGCAGTGGTTGTAGGCAATGGTGTGCCTTTGGAGAAGGAGATTTGAAAGGATCTTGGGGACCGTGACTGTTGAGTAGCAGACATCCAAGCAGGATAAGTGGCTGAGGAAAAAATACATGGGACTGTGAAGATGGGAGTCCACCAGGATGAGGGAGATGATCATGACGTTGCCCAGAATCGTGACCAAGTAGATGATGAGGAACAGCAGGATGAGATAGATCTGGCCATGTGTTATGTTGGATAAACCCAGCAAAAGAAACTCACTAACAAGAGTGTGGTTGCTGAAATCCATGACAACGCAGGGATTGTGCTTAGCGAAGATGCTGAAGGAGAGCAAAAAGAAAACTGAATGAGGGTTTTTTTTAAACTTCCACATATGCACCAATTTTAAAAAGCAGATATTGTGACTTGTCTCCTCAGGTTTTGTAGTGGATTAAACAGTCTACAAAATATTTATTTTATTTATTTATTTACATACTGCTTTAAGTGCAAGCACTCTAAATATAAATTGTACACAATCAAATTTCACAGAGCTTCTAAGTTACTATTTTTTGCTCCTATCAACTGAAACCTTTCAAAGAATTTGTTGTTCTGGCTCAGAATGGACGTTTGTTTTAAGTTCTGACTTGGACTGGCTTATCCTTCTGAAGAAAAAAAAAGTCACAACAATGAAAAGTTGAAATACTATCGTCCAATAGGAAGGAAGGAAATACAAGCAATTTTAGCCATGGTTTCCATCTGCAGCTGGGGACTGACTTGTGGCTTAACAGGGTAAGATTCAAGCGTGCTTGGACAATTTGAGAATGTATGGCTAGATCAGGATGGAGCAACATCGGAAATTCCAAGGAAAGTCAAGGAAGGTCTGGGGTTTGGCTAGTCTAAAGGAAAGAAGAAATAGGGGAGACATGATAGCAGTCTTCCAGTATCTGGATGGCTGCCACAAAGAAGAGGGGGTCACAATATTCTCCAAAGCACCAGAGGGAAGGACGGGAAACAGTGGTTGGAAACTGATCAAAGAGAGAAGCAACCTGGAATTAAGGAGAAACTTCCTGACAGTGAGAACAATTAACCAGTGGAACAGCTTTGCCGCCAGAAATTGTGGGCGCTCCATCACTGGAGATTTTCAAGAAGAGACTAGACAGTCACTTGTCTGAGATGGCATAGGATCTCCTGCTTGAGCAGGGGGCTGGACTAGAAGACCTCCAAGGTTCCTTCCAGCTCTATTCTATTCTATTCTATTCTATTCTATTCTATTCTATTCTATTCTATTCTATTCTATTCTATTCTATTCTATTCTACTCTACTCTACTCTACCCTACCCTACCCTACCCTACTCTACTCTACTACTGTACTCTACTCTATTCTATTCTACTTTACTCTGTCTATTCTATTCTATTCTATTCTATTCTATTCTATTCTATTCTATTCTAATTTCTCTTCTCTTCTAATTTCTCTTCTCTTCTTTTCTCTTCTCTTCTCTTCTACCCTATCCTACCCTACCCTACCCTACTCTCTACTCTACTCTCTACTCTACTCTACTCTACTCTACTCTACTCTACTCTACTCTACTCTATTCTATTCTATTCTATTCTACTCTATAAGGCTAAGGCCGAACTCTATATCAGAGAACTTGGTGGAGAGATTGATGTGGAAACCTAGTTCCATGTTAAAGGACATTTTAGATCAAGACTTGAGAACACCTTCCTCAAAATGTCCATCCCTCCTAACAACCAGTTACCACAAGCTCTCCTGGAACTATAGAAGGTGAATAAGAAGTTACCAAGCACCTGGGCACAATCACACAGATGTCTGCCGCTTAGTCAAGACCAATCTTGGCTGTATGGAAATGTCTAAATAGACTACACACCAGGTAAGAAGATCAAAGGACAATCGATTAAAATGGAGCTTCCCTACAGAAGATGCTCTGTGTGAAGGTGGAGAAGAACTAACCATCTCACCTACGCTGCGGTGCATACAATGTCCTTCAACTCGTATGGAGGAAGACCTCATGCCAGTGAGAATAACAGAATAAGAGAATGACAGTTGGGAGGGACCTTGGAGGTCTTCTAGTCCAACCCCCTGCTCAGGCAGGAGACCCTATCCCGTTTCAGACAAATAGCTGTGCCATCTCTTCTTGAAAAACCTCCCATGCTGGAGTGGCCTGATCCATTTAACTTTAAACCTATTTATTTTACGCACTTTCCCCCTCTATTATATTCTATGAGCTACTTTATGCCTATTTTATCTGCTCAGGGCTGAATGTTATGTCCATAACCTGGAGGTGCTTCTGACCCAAACGAAGAAAAGGACATTGTAGGAAGAAGAGTAAAACTATGGATTTTAATGTTCTTCTAGAAAGCTATGCTCAGAATGACATTATGGTCTCCTCCACGTCTCGGAGCTGGAAAAAGAACGTGAGAGGGCAAGTAAAATGATAAACGAGCTCAAATCCCAGCCTCAGAAAGGGATTTGGAAGACACCAAAGAGATCCTTTCTTCACATAGCCCATTCTTAGCCACTCAGTCCTTTCCCACAAACCAAGGTGTGGGCACCTAACTTGGCTGTCTTTGAGAGAGGGTTGCACGAACGCACAACAGACACCCATTTCCTGGACTAGCCATCCCAGATGCAGCTGGCTGAAGAAACGTTTGTCTTTTACCTGGAAGTAAACATAAAGGACCCATTAATTGTTTGCCTTCTCTCCTTGGAGACATAGTAAGGGTGAACCTTTAAAGCTCAGGAGAGAGTGCTACCTGAAGGCAGGTGAGCGGCCAAGCCTAGCATGTATATTCTGCGGGAGGCATTCTGTAAAGCTACTGACCTGGGGGTGGGAGGTTGGGCTGCCGGTGTCTTGCTCCAGATGTGAAGCTCACATCTGCATTGCTCCTGGCCCACTTTTTTTGAGGGGAGGGAAGAAATATGGGCTTCCCTTCCGTCCTCTCCAGCATCTCCTGGACAGAAGACAAACTTGGTCTCAGATGTCTTGAAGGCATCACCCAGCCCCCGTGTGCGAATCTTTATGGAGAGAGCCAGGCTGGGCAAGGAGAAGACTGCAGTGGTGCTTGAGGGAAACAGAGGCAAATGAGGACAAGGAGTCCCGAGGGAGCCTGCCCTCTTTCAGCCCCAAAGGATAAAGTAATGTTGTTGTCTTCGGATGCCATGTTCTGTCCCACGAAATATTTATTCATAAAATATAACTGCCTAACTCCCATGGACTTGGAGTTAGTCCAACAAAAGTCCCAGATTGCTTTTCCAAAAGGCAACTAGAGTTTCTTGGGAGGAGGGGCACTTTCCTTGAAAACGTTCACTTCTCATCCAAGTTCTGTGACTGAGAGAGAGATGATAGATAGATAGATAGATAGATAGATAAATAGATAGATAGATAGATAGATAGATAGAAAGACATGATAAGATAGATAGATAGATAGATAGATAGATAGATAGATAGATAGATAGATAGATAAATAGATAGTAAGATGATAGATGGATGGATGGATGGATGGATAGATAGATAGATAGATAGATAGATAGATAGAGAGAGATGATAGATAGAGAGATAGAGAGAGAGAGATGATAGAGAGAGAGAGATGATAGATAGATAGAGAGATGATAGATAGATAGAGAGAGAAAGGATAGATAGATAGAGAGAGAGAGAGAGAGAGAGAGATGATAGATATATATATAGAGAGATAGAGATGATAGAGAGAGAGAGATGATAGATAGATAGATAGATAGAGAGAGATGATAGAGAGAGAGAGATGATAGAGAGAGAGAGAGATGATGATAGATAGATAGATAGATAGATAGAGATGATAGATAGATAGATAGATAGATAGATAGATAGATAGATAGATAGATAGAGAAAGGATAGATAGATAGATAGATAGATAGATAGATAGATAGATAGATAGATAGATAGATAGATAGAGAAAGGATAGATAGATAGATAGATAGAGAGAGATGATAGAGAGATAGATAGAGAGATGATAGATAGATAGAGAAAGATGATAGAGAGATAGATAGATAGATAGAGAGATGATAGATAGATAGATAGATAGATAGATAGATAGATAGATAGATGATAGATAGATAGATAGATAGATAGATAGATAGATAGATAGATAGATAGATAGGTCTGGTTTGACTCTTTTCCCCAGGCTTGCCTGGTTTTATGGAATTCTGGAGTGTGTTCTAGATTACAAAGCCAACACTGTAGAGATCAAGAAAAAGGTTTTTTTATTTCCACAGGGTAAGGATTGAGAGCCTCCTTTAACCTTCACAACAGGTTGTTAAACCATGATCCGCAGCACTCACGAATCAGGAAAGGCTCTGAGCTAACATGCGGAGAATCAAAGCAGATACAAATTTATCCACAAACGGAGCAGTCAGTACTGAACAGGAACAAAGACACCCATCATTACTTTTTCCAGTTCTCCACAGCCTTTTGAGCTGTGGGGACCAAATTCCTCACCCAGCCACCTGGACTCTTTTTTCCTTAAGGAAACTTGCTTCTGACAGGCTGGTTTTACAAACAAAGTTTTACCTCTCTCTCTCGCCCCTGTATCCCACCCCATCTTTCTTCTTAGTGCCCGTGTTTTAGGAATGCTTGAAATTCCCACAGCCAGATTTTTATTCCAGAGACTTGCTGCTTCTTAACCCACTCGAGTTTTAAAGCTGCTGCTTAACCCGTGTTGGACAGGGGGTTCCTTCTGCAAGAGAGGGGGTGTCCTGGAAGGCCCCAAATTCTTCTCTTCTTCTTCCCAATCCTTGTGGTCAAAAGACAGGATTAGGCCAGAGATAGGCAACCTTGGCTCTTTTATGACTGGTGGACTTCAACTCCCAGAATTCCTGAGCCAGCATGGGGGAACTATGGCCCCCTCAGGACTCATGGACTTCAATTCCCAGAATTCCTGGGTCAGCCTGGCTTAGTTTGGAAACTGCTCCCTTTCCCCTCAGCATGGCTGGCTCAGGAATTCTGGGAGTTGAAGTCTACCAGTCATCAAAGAGCCAAGGTTGCCTACCCCTGGATTAGGGTTTCATTGGGGTAATATTGATTAATTAATAGTAATATTATTAATAATATTAATAATTGATTTTGATTAATATTTATATGTTACTTATACTTAAGGGTGTGGGTCTATACATAGGTTGCATATAGTACGTTTAAATGTGTGTTATGAATGTGTAGACTTTGAGAGGAAGCAACTAAATTTCATTTTAATGGGTGCCATTGTGCCCACAGTTAAAAAATGACAATAAAGGTTGCCTAATCTAATCTAAAAGTGTCAGTCCTAAAGAACAAGGAACATGTGGAATGACTTCTGAAGAATTATTTACTGTTGTTCACCTATAGACAGAATCCAAAGCAAAATACCTACAATAACTATTTTTTTTATTAAAAAAGTTTTTATTTTCCATTTATTCATACCAAATACAATTAAATTCCTAACCATTGGTACCGCCTGCCCATTCCCCCCAGGCCGTGTCACCCTCTCTAATCCTTCCCCACTTCCCTCCTCTTTCTCTCCTCCCCTCCTACTCTCTTCCCCTCCCCTTCTCCTCTAACCATCCTACTTCCTCCCTACTCCTTCCTTCCCTCCCATCCCTCTCACACACAAAAATATCTACAATAACTATTGATATATTCTCTGAATTGCTAAGGGGGGGGGGTCCAATCTGCTCTCTTCCTGCTTGCCCAAGGCTCCTCGGTGTCTTGGCCCTCTGGGGAGAAGACCCTCCGTCCTGGGACTCCAGACTACATTCCACCACAACAAGGTCTTTACCAGCTTCAGCTCTGGTCAACATTTTCCTCTGATCATCGTTCTGGACATAAACCCCGGAGCTCAGTGTCTATGGAGATTCCCAATCATCCAGTGTCATGGTTGTCCCACAGGTACTTTTCCAAAAGACAGCTGGGCTCCTTTGGGTTTTGTTTTTTTCCTTGAAAATGTTTTGCTTCTCATCCAAGGAGCTTCTTCCATTCCGAAGAACCGAAGTGAAGAAACCTCTTGGATGAGAAGCAAAACCTTTTTAAGAAAACCAGAAAGTCAAGTTGCCTTCTTGGAAGACCTGGGAAATCCTGAGCCCGTTTGTCAAAAGATGGGACTCTCTCGATGTCATTGGAGAACCGGTTGGAAAGTTCCTACTGAGTAGGTTCTCTGGGAGATCCTCTGAGCTTCTGCATCTTCCTATCGGGAAGGCCAGGAGAGAGAAAAGCTGTCCTATCCAATTCCATTGGTCATTTTGATGAGGCATAATTGGCCTTCAGGCCACTCAGCAGCTTTTGTAGGGCATCCTTCACTTCCTTGTTCCGGAGGCTGTAGATTAGGGGGTTCAGCATGGGGGTGAGGATGCAATAGAGGGTGGAGATTAAGGTATCCACCCCCAGCGAGTAGCCCGCGCTGGGACGGTTGTAATTCACATTGGCCATGCCAAAGTAGATCGTGACCACAACCAAGTGGGCAGCACAGGTGGAGAAGGCTTTGCTTCTGCCGGTATCAGAACGGATCTTCAGGATGGCAGAGACGATAAAAGTATAAGAAAAGAGAATAAACAAGAAAGGACTCAAGCCCATGAAGATGCTGGCCAAGTGCAGAGTGAGCTCGTTGACGTAGGTATCACTGCAGGCAATTTTCAGCAGGGGGGGCACGTCACAGAAGATATGGTCAATGAGGTTGGCCCCACAGAAGTCCAAATTGGTAGCCAGTGCTGTGTGGAGTGATGAATCAAGGAAGCCCCAGATCCAAGAAGCAACAGCCAGAGGAACGCGGACCTGACTGCTCATCAAAGTATTGTAATGCAATGGTTGGCATATGGCCGCGTAGCGATCAAAGGCCATAACGGCCAAAAGGGCACATTCGGATCCTGCAAACGTCATCAAGAAGAACATCTGAGCCAGGCACTGGTTGTACGAAATGGTGTTCCTCTGGTGGGAGAAATTGATCAGGATCTTAGGGACCGTGACGGATAAGTAACAAACATCTAAGCAGGACAAATGGCTGAGGAAAAAGTACATGGGGCTGTGAAGACGGGAATCCAGCTGGATCAGGGTGAAGATGGTGGTGTTCCCAATTATGGTGACCAGGTAGATGGCTAGGAACACCACGAAGAGGTAGATTTGGCCGTGTGGAACACCTGAGAAACCAAGGAAGACAAACTCGGCCACCTGCGTATGATTCCTGGCCTCCATGCAACCACGGTGTTGATCTGCATAGGGGAGAACAAAAGGTGAGGGTGTTTAAGAGCACTGCAACATACTGGCGATTGTGGGGTCCTTGGCCTTCTCTCTGGACTTGGTGGCTTTCTTGCAAACGTTTCATGACCCAACTGGATGACGTTGTCAATGCTAGGAAGGAGCGAGATTGGCTCTTTGTTTCTGTTCAAGTGGCTCGCCCTGTATACTTTCATGTGAACTCACCTAATAGTAGTAGTAGTAGTAGTAGTAGTAGTAGTAGTAGTAGTAGTAATAATAATAATAATAATAATAATAATAATAATAATAATAATAATAATAGCTAAGAACAGGAAAATTGAAGAAAGAGACCGAGGGACTAATTCTGGCTGCACAAGACCAAGCCTTAAGGACAAATGCATACAAAGTCAAAATTGAGAAGACAGCAACAGACAGTAAGTGCCGCCTAGGCAAAGAAGCTGAAGAAACAGTGGACCACTTGGTAAGCTGTTGCAAGAAGATTGCACAGACTGATTACAAGCAGCGACATGACAAAGTAGCAACAATGGTGCATTGGAAGATCTGCAAAAAATATCATTTGCCTGTAAGCAAAAACTGGTGGGATCATAAAATCGAGAAAGTCATAGAAAATGATAAAATTAAACTGCTCTGGGACTTCAGAATTCAAACAGACAAGCACCTGCAACATAACACCCCAGACTTAACAATTGTCGATAAGAAAGAGAAAAAAGTCTGGATAGTGGACGTGGCAGTGCCTGGAGATAGCAGAATAGACGAGAAAGAACTGGAGAAGATAACAAAATACAAAGACCTACACATAGAAATAGAAAGACTGTGGCAAAAGCAAGCAAGGGTAGTACCAATAGTCATAGGCTCCTTGGGCGCAATCCCAAAACAACTGGAGCACCACTTGAACACCATCATCGGCATTGACAAATTTGCTATTAGTCAATTGCAAAAGGCAGCCTTACTAGGAACTGCTTCCATCCTGCGACGATATCTGTAATACCATCAAACATCCACATCTGCCCATCCCAGGTCCTGGGTAAGGACTCGATAGGTAGACAAAATGCCAAATCCAGTCTGAACATCTGGCTGACTGTGCGATGATTGGTAATGATAATGATAAAGTTGGAAGGGACCTTGTATGTCATCTAGTCCAACCCCCTGCTCAGGCAGGAAATCCTACACCATTTTGGACAAGTGGCTGTCCAGTTTCTTCTTAAAAACTTCCAGTGTTGGAGCATTCACCACTTCTGGAGGCAGGTTGTTCCACTGGTTAATTTTTCTAACTGTCAGGAAGTTTCTCCTTAGTTCCAGGTTGCTTCTCTGCTTGGTTAGTTTCCACCCATTGCTCCTTGTCCTGCCTTCAGGTACTTTGGAGAATAGCTTGACTCCCTCTTCTTTGGGGCAGCCCCTGAGATACTGGAACACTGCTATCCTGTCCCCCCCTCATCCTTCTCTTCATTAAACTAGACATACCCAATTCCAGCAACCGTTCCTTATATGTTTTAGCCTCCAGTCCCCTAAAAATCATCTTTGTTGCTCTTCTCTGTACTCTTTCTAGAATCTCAGCATCTTTTTTACATCGTGGCGACCAAAACTGGATGCAGTATTCCAAGTGTGGCTTTACCAAGGACTTGTGGTATTAACCCTTCACCTGATCTTGATTCTATCCCTCTGCTAATGCAGCCCAGCACTGTGTTGGTTTTTTGGCTGATGCCACAGATGGCTGGCTCCTATTTAAGGAATGGTCCACTAGGACTCTGAGATCCCTCTCACAGTTACTACTATTGAGGAAGGTACCCCCTATACTATACCTGTACATTTGGTTTTTCTTGCCTAAATGTAGGTGGATAACAACCATATTCAGAGAGCACCAATGGCCCCATAGTCTTCCTCCTCCTTCTCCACTCTGCAGAACCCACTCCCTACTAGCACTGACGCCATGACCTAGCGGGGTCAAAGAACGTCTGCAGGAAAACAACCAAGTCTGAGAGCACCAAGGACCTAACATTCCTCTCCTCCTCCTCCTCCTCCTTCTCCTCCTCCTCCTCCTCCTCCTCCTCCTCCTCCTCCGTGAGAAGAGGGGATCCCCCTGTATGCACTGCATACACTCAGTGAATGAAGTTGGTGACAGCATAGAGAGCATTTGGTTAAAATAGAAAAAGAAACGTGGCAGTGATGGTAATGATAGAATAGAGAACATAGAATCATAGGAGTGGAAGGGACCTTGGAGGTCTTCTAGTCCCACCCCCTGCTCAAGCAGGAGACCCTACATCAGACCAGACAAATGGGTATCCAACCTCTTCCTGAAGACCCCCAACCGCAACCTCTGAAGACAAATTGTTCCACTGATTCATTGTGCTCACTCCCAGGAAATTCCTCCTTCGTTCTAGGTTGCTTCTCTCTTTAATGATCTTCCACCCATCACTTTTTGTCCTGCCCTCAGATGCTTTGGAGAATAGGTTCACACACACACACACACACACACACACACACACACACTCACACACACCGCCTTCTTTGTGGCAGTATTCAATCTCTACTACCACCCAAACAAAATGGAACAGGGGCAACTGGCAATGTTTTAAAGAAGCATGTTTTAAGGATTTTCTCTTCCTGATAACAGAAGAACGGAGTTGGAAGAGGCCTCAAAGGTCATCTAGTCCAGCCCCCTGCTCAAGCAGGAAACCACCTCTACCACTTCAGACAAATGGCTGTCTAGTCTCTTCATTAAAAAAACCTCCAGTGTTGGAGCACCCACAACTTCTGGAGGTGACCTATTCCACTGGTTAATTATCTGCTATCCGTCAGGAGACAAACTCACCCAAAATGCAGTCAGTCCTTTAAGAAAACTTCTAGCTTCTTACTGAGGCATCCAGGACCATCACGGACAAATAGAGACAGGAAATCTGGAATAATCAGAGGCTGGCAAAGGAAGCTAAAGGAAGGACAACAATAACAACAAAAAAGGATTTCTTGTGACTTTTTTTTTGAAATAAAAGGAAATAAAAAGAATATCGTCTGTTTCCTGATCAAAGTTGCCCAGGGCTGACAGATAATGAAGAGGGATCTCAGAGTCCTAGTGGACAATCCCTTAAATAGGAGCCAGCCGTGTGCTGCAGCTGCCCCAAAGGCCAACACAGTGCTAGGCTGCATTAACAGAGGGATAGAATCGAGATCATGTGAAGGGTTAATACCACTTGGCCTTGGGAAGGCCACACTTGGAATACGGCATCCAGTTTTGATCACCACGATGTAAAAAAGATGTTGAGACTCTAGAAAGAGTACAGAGAAGAGCAACAAAGAGGATCAGGGGACTGGAGGCTAAAACATATAAGGAACGGTTGCTGGAATTGGGTAGGTCTAGTTTAATGAAGAGAAGGACAAGGGGGGACAGGATAGCAGTATTCCAATAGTTGAGGGGCTGCCCCAAAGAAGAGGGAGTCAAGCTATTCTCCAAGATCTCTGAAGGCAGGACAAGAAGCAACAATGAATGGAAACTCACCAAGGAGAGAAGCAACCTGGAACTAAGGAGAAACTTCCTGACAGAGAGAACAATTAACCAGTGGAACAACCTGCCTCCAGAAGCAGTGAATGCTCCAACACTGGAAGTTTTTAAGAAGAAAATGGACAGCCATTTGTCCAAAATGGTGTAGGGTTTCCTGCCTGAGCAGGGCGTTGGACTCGATGACCTCCAAGGTCCCTTCCAACTTTATTATTATTATTATTATTATTATTATTATTATTATTATTATTATTATTAAGAGGGTTATTTATACAACTTATTTCCTGTGGCTCGCAAAGTCCCACTTCCTGCGCTGGGGAAAGGAAGGTGGTGGAACCAGCAGTTTAAGCCTCCCTTCCCACCACCACAAAGTCCTGGCAAGTTTTAATGAGGATGTTCAAATAACACCTCAGCTTGCACACTGCACATCAAAGGCACGGAGCAGGTAGAACACAGAACATCATCAGAGTTAGAAGGGACCTTGGAGGTCTTCTAGTCCAACCCCCTGCTCAGGCAGGAGACCCTTATACCATTTCAGACAAATGGCTGCCCAGTCTCTTCTTGAAAACCTCCAGTGATAACAGAAAAGCAGAGTTGGAAGGTACCTTAAAGGTCTTCTAGTCTAACCCCCTGCTTAAACAGAAGATCCCATACCATTTCAGACAAGTAGCTCTCCAGTCTCTTCTTTAAAACCTCCGGTGTTGGAGCATTCACCACTTCTGGAGGCAGGTGGTTCCACTGGTTAATTGTTCTGTCAGGAAATTTCTCCTTAGTACCAGGTTGCTTCTCTCCTTGATTACTTTCCATTCCTTGTCCTGCCTTCATGTGCCTTGAAGAATAGCTTGACTCCCTCTTCTTTGGGGCAGCCCCTCAGATATGGGAACACTGCCATCATGTCCACCCCCCCCCCCATCCTTCTCTTCATTAAACTAGACATACCCAATTCCTGCAACCATTCTTCAAAAGTTTTAGCCTCCAGTCCTCTGCTCAACTCTGTTGCTCTTCCTAGGTCTAAACATCTTTTTTGAACCTATAACTGGATCCAGAAATGGATCAGTCGGGTGGACAATAAATTAAATCTCAATACAGTCAAGAGAGGCACTGTTGGCCAGGGAAGGGAACTTCCCAACTAGAAGCAAAGACTGAGTCTTCTGGTCATGATCTCGGAGGCAGCTTTGAATCTGGATAGTCCAATGGAGAAGGATGCTAATCAGGGCAATGCACCTGGTTGTCTCCAGCCAGACCTCTCTTCTTTTTGCAATTGCACAGTTTCCTCTGTTGCACAGAGAGCTCAGGATCTTTGTCATGGACCAGCCAACATGTCTTGGGCAACTATCCATCATCGTAGTCTTTTGCTTAACGTAGGAACACCACAAGGCAACGTTTTTCCAGCCCTTTGAACATCAAACCCTCCCAGCAATGAATCTTAACTCTCCTTCTTTGCTCACCCAGCCTTACCTGTGGAGGATCTGGGTCCTGCACCCCCAACGTCAGGAAGCTGGTCACAGTCCCTGTGAGAGAAGACATTTAATGCTCACTCTGTCTGGCCCTGAGGGACTCACTGCTAACAGGGAAGTAGGAGCATCAACGTGAGAGGAAGGAGGGGTTTTCTAGAAAACTTCTTTTGAAAAGTAAAGTTTTACACTTGGGCAAGAAAACCTAAATGCAAAGGTATAGTATAGGTCAGTGTTCCCAAACTTGACAATTTTAAGGCATGTGGACTTCAACTCCCAGAATTCCACAGCCAGCAATGCTGGCTGTGGAATTCTGGGAGTTGAAGTCCACATGCCTTAAAATTGTCAAGTTTGGGAAACACTGGTATAGGTGGTACTTGGCTCAATAATAGTAACTGTGAGAGGGATCTCGGAGTCCTAGTGGACCATCCCTTAAATCTGAGCCAGCCGTGTGTGGCATCAGCCAAAAGAGCCAACACAGTTCTAGGCTGCATTAACAGAGGAATAGAATCAAGATCACGTGAAGTGTTAATACCATTTTACAAGGCCTTGGTAAGGCCACACTTGGAATACGGCATCCAGTTTTGGTCACCACAATGTAAAAAAGATGCTGAGATTCCAGAAACAGTGCAACAAAGATGATCAGGGGACTGGAGGCTAAAACATAGAAAGAACGGTTGTTGGAATTGGGTCTGTCTAGTTTAATGAAGAGAAGGGCGAGGGGGGACATGATAGCAGTCTTCCAGTATCTTTGGGGCTGCCCCAAAGAAGAGGAAGTCAAGCTCTTCTCCAAAGCCCCCGAAGGCAGGACAAGAAGCAAGGGATGGAAACTAATCAAGGAGAGAAGCAACCTGGAACAAGGAGAAATTTCCTAACAGTGAGAACAAATAATCAGTGGAACAACCTGCCTTCAGAAGCGGTGGATGCTCCCTCATTGGATGTTTTAAAAAAGATTGGACAACCATTTGCCTGAAATGATATAGGGTTTCCTGCCTGAGCAGGGGGTTGGACTAGAAGACCTCCAAGGTCCCTTCCAACTATGATATTCTATTATCCACTTTGCCACAGAGTGCAACTTTCAACTCTGAAAACAGAGTTGAAAGTTTTACCACTCTGGGACTCGACTCTGTGCTCAAGAACGGGGGCTGGTCTCCCTGGAACAGCTCACAGGGGCTGCTGGTGGGAATAACCAGCATTGACAAGAGAGAGAGAGTGTTAGCTACAATAATTGGTCCAACTTTCTGGGATGATGACATGAGAGTTAAGGGACCTCATTATGGGTGTGTGTGCCCAAACAAGCACAGCAGAAGGGGTGCAATCCAATTCTCCATCATCACAATCCATTTATAACAAATGCAAGGGATTTCATCACCTCTGTTTTGCCATGAAGCAAATTAATGATCCTCAGACTCATTTTCCAGAATACCCCGAGGGATTCATTACAGTGAATTCTCGTTCTCACGTCTAAACTTTCTTCCTTAATATTTTTTTTCTTAAACGTCCACTTTGAAAAATGTATTCTCATCCTTATTTAAGTATTGATGTCAGCCTTTTGGGATCGTCCAGACAAGAAGCACCAACTATGGGTACTATTGGGCTTCCCAGGTAAATCAGACAGGAAACACAACTGATGTAGATGACCTAAAACCACTTTATAGTAAGGCAACATTAATGGAATCTTGCAAGTACAAACTTTTTAGAATAGAGTAGAGCTGGAAGGGACCTTGGAGGTCTTCTAGTCCAGCCCACTGCTCAAGCAGGAGAACCTATGCCATCTCAGACAAGTGACTGTCCTGTCTCTTCTTAAAAATCTCCAGTGATGGAACGTTCATGATTTCTGGAGGCAACTTCTGTTCCTCTGGTTAATTGTCCTCACTGTCAGGAAGTTTCTCCTTAATTCTAGGTTGCTTCTCTCTTTGATCATTTTCCAACCATTGCTTCTTGTCCTGCCCTCTGGTGCTTTGGAAAATAATTTGACCCCCTCTTCTTTGTGGCAGCCCCTCAAATACTGGAATACTGCTATCATGTCTCCCCTAATCCTTTTTCTCTAGACTGGCCAAACCCAAGTCCCACAGCCGTTCTTTGTATGTTTTAGTCTCCAGGCCTTGGATCATCTCAGTTGCTCTTCTCTGTACTTTTTCCAAAGTCTCAATATCCTTTTTGTAGCATGGTGCCCAAAACTTCCTGCCCTCCATTTGTAACTGCTTGATCCATTAGGGCAGTGGTTCTCAAATAGTGGGGCGGGCCCCCCAGGGGGGGCGCGAGGCTCCGTAAAGGGGGGCTCGTTTGACCTCGGCAAATACTGTCATATTGGACGCACGTGACACACGCAAAGGACCCGATTGGATAGACAGTCATGCGGGGGCGCGCGAAATGTTTTCTTCTTCCTAGGGGGGGCATGACAGAAAATAATTGAGAACCACTGCATTAGGGCGAGTCCCTTCTAAGCGTGTTCCTCTATCCATTATGTGACTGGGACTTGTCCCTCTCTTCTCTGATGGTTTCCTATTCAGCATCTCCTCTCCCATTTCCTCAAGGTGAGCCGTGCCTTCCGTTACATCTCCTCATGCCATTTCTGAATTCAAGAGCCAAGGATGGTGCTGTTTCTGCACTTGGAGATACAGCATTACAACCATGATGGGGGAAATCCTTCACCCGTGTGTCCCCACCCATCGGATTCTGGTCCTTCATTGCTACTTCCTCTCTTCAGCCTCTGCCCAGAGATTCATTGGTCCCCTTTGCCCTCCCCGGGGGCTTTTCCTTGCAAGGGTGGCAGAGAGGAGCTCCTTTCTGTAGGACACAGTACAAGGCATCTGGGACTAGGTGCATTAGAGCAGGGATGTCCAACCTTGACCACTTTAAGACTTGTGGACTTCAACTCCCAGAATTCCTCAGCCAGCTTTGCTGGCTGAGGAATTCTGGGAGTTGAAGCCTACAAGTCTTAAAGTGGCCAAGGTTGAGAATCCCTGTGCTAGAGGCTAGAAGACCCATCAGAAATTGCTTCCCCCCTGAAGTGCTGATGGCCCTCCCACCATTGCAGCCCTCCAGAAGCGAGTGAAAACATGGCTTTTGTGGAGGCCCTTTGGGGGCGATTGGGTAACACCACCACTTTTCCCTTGTCTCTGTATAAAGTTTTATTAGTTTATAGTATGCTGTTGAAGGAAAAGTCTTCATCAGGGTCCAGTCCAAGCAGGGAATAAACAACATGGCAGCTGCTTTAGAAAGAAGGTTGTCATTTATTGAAGAAGCCAAACAGAAAGATGGCTCTGGAAGAAAAGAGAGAGAGCACAAGTAGTAGGGAGTGGGTTTTTATACCTTCTTGGGCTTTTGTTTGGAGTTGTTCCTCAGTCATGAACTTTGCCCTGAGTCTGGGTGTGCCTTTCTGGTATCCTGATAGTGGTGGGTTAATCCTATTATGTCCTGTCTTAGAGTTTGGGTGGGGTATTTAGATTTTAAGGGTCTTTGTCTTCCTGATCTATTTAGCTTCTAGCTGGAGGGTCCAACCTTCCTGAATGGATTATTACATCTGCATTTCTAAAAGCAGGTTTCTGCTGAATTGTCTGACTGGGTGTGTGCGTGCGGAGAAGTTTCTGCCTTTTTAAAGATCTTCTCCATTATTCCTTTGGGGAAATATATTCTGCCTTTTTAATATTCCCCAAAATATTTCTTTTCTCTGGATGGTTCCCACAATACGACCCAACGAAAATACAAAAGTAAATAGCATTTTTTCCTTGTGATTATCTTGGGTTTTGCGTTCTTCACCATCTTGGATTGCTCTGATTTTTATTCCGTTTTTAAACTCCATGATCTGCCTAAAGTCTAGCTAGAGCTGGCTAGAAACTGCCCCACAGTCTCAAAATTATCTCCAACCTCAAAAAGATTACCGTATCTCCAAGACAGAAGTTCCAGGTGAGATCATTTTGCCCCAGAGCGTCTCGGCTGCTATTCCTCCCAGCTCTACTCCCTACAGAATCCCAGGCAGGAATATTCCCAGGGTACACACACCAAGGCACGTTTTATTTCATGACCACTACCTGCCTTGGACAATTCAAGAACCAGGAGTGATGCTTCTGTTCTGAGAATGAGCTTCTGATCCTCTCCCTTCCTGCTCTGTGGGCAGAGTTTTGACCAAGTCATCTCACATCTCATTGTGTGAGGATCCAAGTGTGGGAGAACATGGGGACACAATGACTTTCCTTCAGCCACAGCTTGGTCTTCTGCAGCAAAGGTGAGTCGCTTTATCGTCCATCTAGCATCCTTTCTGTGTTCTTTCCAGAATAACAGAGTTGGAAGGTATCTTAGAGATCTTCTAGTCCAACCCACCGCTCAGGCAGGAAACCCTAGACCATTTCAGTCCAATGGTTGTTCAATCTCTATGTTTAAAAACTTCCAGCGTTGGAGCATTCACAACTCCTGGAGGCAAGTTGTCCCACTGTTCTGCAGGAAATTTCACCTTATTTCTAGGTTGCTTCTCTCTTTGATTAGTTTCCATCTGTTGCTTCATGTCCTGCCTTCAGGTGCTTTGGAGAATAAATGAACACCTTCTTCTTTGTGGCAGCCCTTCAAATATTGAAACACTGCTATCATGTCCCCCCTCGTCCTTCTCTTCATTAAACTAGACATACCCAATTCCAGCAACCGTTCCTTATATGTTTTAGCCTCCAGTCCCCTAATCATCTTTGTTGCTCTTCTCTGGACTCTTTCCAGAGTCTCAACATCTTTTTTACATTGTGGCATCCAAAACTAGATGCAATATTTCAAGTGTGACCTTACAAAAGCAATATATAGTGGCATTAACACTTCATATGATCTTGAATGCAAGATTCAACCCAGTAATCGCTGTTTAGTTTTAGTTCCATGAAGTTTTATTTGCCTCCAAAAGTTGTGAATGCTCCAACACTGGAAGTTTTTAAGAAGAGATTGGACTAAAATGGTATAGGGTTTCTTGCCTGAGCAGGGGGTTGGACTAGAAGACCTCCAAGGTCCCTTCCAATTATTCTATTCTATTCTATTCTATTCTATTCTATTCTATTCTATTCTATTCTATTCTATTCTATTCCATTAATTTCTTTTTTAACACAGTCCACTTGATACATCACTGCCCACATGGCTGCAGCTGGTAATCAAAATAGCTTGTGTTTCTCAAGTGTAACATTTACACATGCTTTCTGGTGACAGAATAGCCTCCCTTGCCCAAGGGTTGGGTTACACAGCATGTATAAACCAGGCTTAAAGTAATAGTTTTAAGCCAGGGTCAGAATAGGTTTCCCCCTCCTGGTCCACCTGGATTATGATACTGCATCCTCCATGAAACCTAAGATAGTTGGGTCTATTTTTCCTACACCCCAAGCAACTATACAAAGTCTGCATCAAGTTAGCTGCCCCACAATCTCAAAATTATCTCCAACCTCAAAAAGATTACCGTATCTCCAAGACAGGACATACATCTCAACCTCAAAAGAAAAGTTTCCAAAAGAAGATATCTAATTCTCAGCCTAGGCCATGATCTTCTGTCTAATGGTGGTGGACATCTCTACTGGTGATTAACCACATTCTGCAACAATCCATGAAACTCCTTTTCTTGTTCTTATGACCCAAAACTTTAATTTGTTCCTACAATCCATGAGGAGCTCCTGCTATCTAAACAGAGGGGGGGTCATGCCCCATAGACTGCAACAACAAAGTTTTCCATTGTGTTTTCATCTTTGATGTGACCATGAGATAGATCTAACCTCATGATGCCATAATAATTACGTTGCTTAAATATTTGTCTCCCATTTTTCCTCCACTAGATCATGTCGTTTCTACTCATGGGATTTTACCAAAAGAAAGATCATTTCCGAAGTTGCAAGAAAGGCAAAACTGTCTTTAATGTTGGCATTAGCTGGACTCTGAACCATCAGAACAGATTCTCTGAAAGTGGAAACCCTTCAGCTGATAGAAGCAAAAGTAATAAAGGTGGACCTCTTAGCATTTCTACCAATAGTTACCATCTCTTTCTTGCACTACAAAACCTGAAGATTCCAGATCTAATATTGGCCAAGAGATATTTATGTAGAAATAAGAAAAATCTAAATTTTGTGTCCTTAAGACATTTGTGACACATAATCCCTGTATTCCCATGGGTACTGGCAACCAGACTCTTGTTAGTGAGTTTCTTTTGCTGGGTTTCTCCAACATCACACATGGCCAAGTCTATCTTATCCTGCTGTTCCTCATCATCTACTTGGTCACCATTCTGGGCAACCTCATGATCATCTCCCTCATCCTGGTGGACTCCCATCTTCACAGTCCCATGTATTTTTTCCTCAGCCACTTATCCTGCTTGGATGTCTGCTACTCAACAGTCACGGTCCCCAAGATCCTTTCAAATCTCCTTCTCCAAAGGCACACCATTTCCTACAACCACTGCTTTGCCCAGATGTTCTTCCTGATGGCCTTCCCTGGCTCAGAATGCTGGTTGCTGGCCATCATGGCTTATGACCGCTACGCCGCCATCTGTCATCCTTTGCGCTATTCACAACTCATGAGTTCATGTGTTTGCGTGATAGCAGTCATTATTGCCTGGATCTGGGGCTTTCTGGATGCAGCAGTTCACACAGCCTTGGCTTCCACCTTCCATTTCTGTGGAGAACATCAGATCCACCACATCTTCTGTGATCTTCCACCGCTGTTGAAAATTGCCTGTGGTGACAAATTTGTCAGTGAGATAGCAATCCACATAGCCACTGTGTTTGTGGGATTGGGTCCCTTCCTTTGTGTGGTCATCTCCTACTTCTACATCCTTGCGTCCATCCTGCGTATCCGTTCCAACACAGGCAGGTACAAAGCTTTTTCCACTTGTATTTCTCACCTGGTGGTGGTCCTTCTTTATTTTGGAAATGGTTCAGTCAACTACAACCAGCCCAGTGCTGGCTACTCCCTGGAGACCGACACTCTGATTTCTACAATGTATTGCATTGTCACCCCCATGTTGAACCCCCTGATCTACAGCCTCCGCAACAAGGAGGTGAAGGGGGCTCTATGGAAGCTCCTGGAAAGCCACAGGAGAATATAGGATTCTTCTCAGAAGTTGGAAAGACAAGTTTAAAGTCCTTCTTGGGACATCAAGAACCCAAGTCTTGTTTTTTCCTGAATATATTCAGGACAGAAAAGATGCATGAAAAACAACCAAGTGTTTGGTTGTTTCTATAATCTGTAGCTTTCAGACTGACCCCCTTCCTGAAGGTTTTCTATAAACAGAAACAGTCTGTTCTCAGCAACATGCTTCACCACTTAAAAGCTAGCAGAAACTTTGACAGAAATAGTGGTTAGCTAGTGCTTACCTCGTTGTTGTTTTTTTTTGAGGTTAGTGTACTCTGCGAACTCCCAGGGTTGTGAATCCAATTATATTGATTATTCAGCATCTCAAGAACTTCTGACCAAAAGGAGCCACTGTGAGTTAGTGTCACCCAGAAGGCAGAAAGATTGGTTCAAAATCTGATGAGGACCGACAACACCCCATGGATCCCAGATTTTTGTCTTGTTTGGAAGCAAAGAAATAAGCAGTGGACCTAGGAGAGGCCTTATCAGAACAGACACATTCTGATGGTTCTCGCTTTCCACTGGCTTCCTCGTTCATGTGGCCAACATGTCTGTATGCCAAGGTGCACGGAACACTATTATCTTCCCATCAAAGTGATACGTATTCATCTATTTACATTTGCATGCTTTCAAACTGCTAGGTGGGCAGAGCTGGGGCAAGTAACAGGAGCTCACATCATTGCATGGCGCTTGTCAACGCTGCCAACATCGGATGTTTCCGCATTGACAACAGATGGAAATGTAGCCATCTTTTACCTTTTGCTTTTAGAGCTAGATGATGCTGGAAGGGGGGATGTGAACAAGAGTCCAGCTAGACATAACAACACTCGACCTAGCATGAGAAGCAAGGTTATTGTAACCAGAGCTGATAAGGACTTGGCAGGCTGGAGAACTGGAGAGGGGGCCAAGCTTTAAGCTAACTGGGGAATGTGATTTATGACAGTTAATTGAAGGAGGGAATTGTGATTTGATACTATGTGCTCAGAGGAGGGGAATTCAGTTTTTGGCTTCATTTATGCCAGTTCCTATGCTATGCTACTCAAAATAAAGATTCTTTAAGGTAAACAATGTCTCAAACTTCTTTGAAGAGTTTCATCTGTCTGAACCATGACAGCGCTCAGATCTCACTCCTGGGCTGCCACTGGGCCATCGCACGCCCTACATTTCATTCTACTTTTTATTTATTTTTTATTGTAAATCACTCAGAGTCAGTAAGGTGAGATGGATAGTGGTGTAGAAATGTGATGAATGAATGAATGAATGAATAAGATAAAATAAGGTACTGACTTATTGAAAAGTCATTGTTTATGGCTTCCATTGTCTGCATTTGAGGTTTCAGTGCATTGCGAGTTATTTTTAAAAGACAGCCATCGGAAAAAAATCCTCCTCCTCCTCCTCCTCCTCCTCCTTCTTGCAAAACCCACTCCCTTCTAGCATGATGATGTTACCTAGTTGGGTCATGAAATCTCTGCAAGAAAACCACCAAGCTCAGAGATCACCACAGTAGGCTACAGAGAGGAGAATAAATTTAGGACACCAATTAACAACAAATGAGATAACCGAACTCAGATATTTGCTCTTCATTGGTTAGACTTCAAATTTGAAAGGAAATATATATATATATATATATATATATATATATATATATATATATATATATATATATATATATATATATATATACTGTGCTTTGCTCCCTCACCCCTCCCTCAACACAACTAAACTTTCCTGTCTAGGATATCTGGCTTCACTTGTCTCCAAGCAAAATAGTCTGGTCCCAGAGGATCTCTGCTGCTTCTCCTCCTAGTTCTATTCCCAGTAGGATCCAGGACAGGAATATTCCTAGGGCCCATACCCCAAGGAACATTTTCCCCCAAGACCATCATCTACCGTGGTTCCTACAGACAACTGAGAGACTCGCTTCTCTTGTAAGAACAAGCTTCTAAGCATCTCCCTTCCTGCTCTGAGGGCAGACTTTGGGCTGAGCCAGCATTCATCTCATTGTGGGAGAAGATGGGCAGAACATGACTCTACTTGAGCCCCAGCTGGTCTTCTCCAGCTGGGATAACCAGCAAAGGTGAGCTGCTCTATGGTCCATCCAGCATCCTCTTTTGGGGAGACATTGCAAGGAGAGGTTGACATTGAGAAGGAGAGGAACCCAATTCCTCCTCAGAAGCTCTGTTTAGGAGACCTCAGAAGGGGCAAATATTTCCTCTTGCTGAGATTCTCCGTCATCATCCAGGTCATGGTTGCCCCAAAAGTGCTTCTTCGCAAGGCAACTGGACCTTCTTGTTTTTCTTTGAAGACATTTCGCTTCTCATCCAAGAAGCTTCTGACTTGCTGATGACTTGTTGAGAAAGACAGCTATAACCACTGACAGTCCAGCCTTATGTAATAGTAATAGTAGTAAAGTTGGAAGGGACCTTGGAGTTCATCTAGTCCAACCCCCTGCTCAGGCAGGAAACCATACACCATTTCGGACAAATGGCTATCCAGTCTCTTCTTTAAAACTTCCAGTGTTGGAGCATTTACTGCTTCTGGAGGCAGGCTGTTCCACTGATTAATTGTTCTCACTGTCAGGAAGTTTCTCCTTAGTTCTAGGTTGCTTCTCTCCTTGATTAATTTCCACCCGTTGCTTCTCGTCCTGCCTTCAGGTGCTTTGGAAAATAGCTTAATTCCCTCTTCTTTATGGGACTTGCTTTAAATAAAGGCTTTGACCAAAACAATCTGCCTCTTCAAAAATCATAGAATCAAAGGGATGGAAGAGACTTTGCAGGTCTTCTAATCGAACCCCCTGTCCAGATCAGACCATCACAGACTGTCCAATGTTTGCTAGAAGACCAGCAGAGATAGAGTCCCTACAACTGCAGGACACAGCGGTTCCACTGCTTCATAGATCTCAGTCAGGAAAAATACTCTTTATTTTGAGTTTGAATCTCTCTCTTTTAAGCTTCTACCTGTTGGTTCTCATACTTAACAGAATACTTAACTTTCTAGAGTTGGGACTCTAGAGTTGGGACTGTGGAGGTCTTCTAGTCTAACCCTATAGCCTATAGGAAACCCTATGCCTTTTCAGACAGATGGTTGTCCAATCTCTTCTTTAAAACTTCCAGTGTTGGAGCACCCAGAATGTCTGGAGGCAGATTGTTCCACTGGCTAATTGTTCTATCAATTAATTTCTCCTTAGAGTAATTTCCTCTTAGCTCTAGGTTGAATCTCTCCTTCATTAGATTCCATCCATCGCTTCTTGTCCTGGGGCAGTCCTTCATGAATTGGAAGACTGCTAATATGTTTCTGCTTAGCCTTCTCCTCTTTAGGTTAAACATGCCAAAATCTTATAAATATTACTATTGCAACTTTCATTGCCTTGACATTAGGGTTCAAACCTGGCTGTCCGAAACCTATCCAGATGTGTTTTCCTACTCTTTTTACCTAACACTGCAGGTGCTGAAGAAATGTCTAGTGTTTAAAGTATGCATGCTTGTAATAAAAGAGAGAAAATCCAAAAATAATTGCTTTCCAAGCACCTTCTAGCATCAAAGTAGTATAAATGCTTAGAATACAATAAATAGAGTGAGAGAGGAATAGAATGGAATGGAATGGAATAGAATAGAATAGAATAGAATAGAATAGAATAGAATAGAATAGAATAGAATAGAATAGAAAATATGGAATGGAATGGAATGGAATGGAATAGAAAAGAAAAGAATAGAATAGAATAGAATAGAATAGAATAGAATAGAATAGAATAGAATAGAAGCTGGAAGGGACCTTGGAGGTCTTCTAGTCCAGCCCCCTGCTCAAGCAGGAGATCCTATATGATTCTGGACAAATGGCTATCCAGTCTCTTCTTAAAAGTCTCCAGTGATGGAGCACCTACGACCCACAATGGAGGCAAGCAGTTCCACTGATTAATTGTTCTCACTGTGAAAAAAAATTCTCCTTAGTTCCAGGTTGCTTCTCTCCTTGATGAGTTTCCATCCGTTGCTTTTTGTCCTGCCTTCAAGCACTTTGGAGAGTAGCTTGACTCCCTCTTCTTTGGGGAAGCCCCTGAGATACTGGAAGACTGCTCTCATGTCACCCCTTGTCCTTCTCTTCATTAAACTAGACATGCCCAATTCCAGCCACCGTTTTTCATACATTTTAGCCTCCAGTCTCCTAATCATCTTTGTTGCTTCTTTGTACTCTTTCTAGACCAGGGGTAGGCAACCTTGGCTCTTTTATGACTCGTGGACTTCAACTCCCAGAATTCCTGAGGCAGCCATGCTGAGAGGAAAGGGAGAGGTTTCCAAGCTGAGCCATGCTGGCCCAGGAATTCTGAGAGTTGAAGTCCACGAGTCATGAAGGGGCCATAGTTCCCTCAAGCTGGCTCAGAAATTCTGGGAGTTGAAGTCCACGAGTCATAAAAGAGCCAAGGTTGCCTACCCATGTTCTAGAGTCTCAAAATCTTTTTTTTATTGCAGCAACCAAAACTAGATACACAGATCTTGAACATGAATCTTCTTCACAGTCTTCTCCATGAATTGTGGGTGCTCTTTGGCAGAAGATCAGTTGCCAAGGAAAGGAGTAGGACCCACTGGAAAATTAAGATGTCCCACTATCATGTCTGTTTGTAGGCTTGTGACTTCCTGAGTGACTAAAATCAAAATGTTTTGGTCCAGCTTAAAGAGTCATAAGGTCACCTTCAGGACACAAGGGTTGGAGAAGACAGGATGGAAGGACTGCTACTTCCTCCACAGACCATCCATATTCCATACTGGGTCCTCTTTCCATGATAAGTCACTTGTCCTCTTTATGGAATGTGGTTCTGATGCAGAGCTTGGAAGGGATGTTCCTCAGAGGTTCTCAGCAGGTTGAAGCCCAAGAATGCAGGAGGAGAAATAAGTTCTGCTCCCCCAGCTCAACAATCTAACTCATCTCACCCTGTAGTTTTCTAATTTCTCCACATGCCCATTTCTCTCTTCCCAGCTGTCCATTTTCTTCCTGATGGATGCCTACAACCAAACACAGGAGACAGAATTTATCTTCCTGGCCTTCTCCATATTCCAGAGACACCATGTCCATTTTTTCTTGGTGTTCCTGGCTGCCTATCTGGTCACTTTGTTGGGCAACCTCATGATCATAACCCTGGTTTTTCTGGATTCCCGTCTTCACACCCCCATGTACTTCTTCCTCAGCCAGCTCTCCTGCTTGGATGTTTGCCTTTCTTCTGTGGTGGTACCAAAGATCCTGGTGAACCTCTTACGCCAGGAATACACCATCTCCTACAACCAATGCTTGGCACAAGCCTTCTTCCTGATTGGCTTTGCAGGATGTGAGCCTGCATTGCTGGCCATCATGGCCTATGACCGCTACGCTGCCATCTGCCAACCTTTGCACTATGCCCACCTGATGAGAGGCAAGTTGTGCGTCCAGCTGTCTGTGGCCATTTGGCTCTGGGGCTTCCTGGACTCAGCCATCCACATTGCTCTGGCCTCCAGGTTGGACTTTTGTGGAAACAACAATGTTCCTCACATCTTTTGTGATGTCCCCCCATTCCTAAAAATTACCTGCAGTGATTCCTGGGTCAACGAATTGACCAATCACGTCACCAGCATCTTTGTGGGCCTCGTCCCTGTTCTCTTCATCGTCCTGTCCTACGTCTACATTCTGGCCTGCATTTTGAGGATTCGTTCCAATACTGGCAGGCGCAAAGCCTTCTCCACTTGCGCCTCACACCTTGCTGTTGTAATTGTCTGCCTTGGAAACGCTTTTGTCAACTACAACCAGCCCAGTGCTGGCTACTCTTTGGAGGTGGACACCTTGATCTCCACCATGTTTTGTATCATCAACCCCCTGCTAAACCCTTTGATCTACAGCCTGCGCAACACAGAGGTGAAGGGGGCCATTAAGAAGATTCTTGTCTGCCAGAAGGTGACCTAGCCTTCATTTGGGGCCATGTGTACGTTGTTGAATTTACGTTGTGTTCCTGCTCCCCAAGAAAAATGAAAGCTGTGCACATGAACTGCGGTAGACTCCCTTAGGGCGCTTGCAAAACCACCCTCAAGAGAAAAGAAATGGAGATTGTTGTAAGATCGTGAGTACAGGCAGTCCTCGGCTTACGACAATTGAGCCCCCAATTTTTGTTGCTAAGTGAGGCATCTGTTAAGTGAACTTTGCTCCATTTTACAACCCTTCTTGCCACAGTTGTTAAGTGAATCCTTGCAGTTGCTAACTGAATCTGGCTTCCCCAGGGACTTTGCTTGTCGGAATGTTGGAAAAAGGGACCACCTGACTTGGGACACTGTGACGGTCATAAATGCGAGTCAGTTCCCAAGCGTCTGAATTTTGATCCCGTGACCAGGGGGAGGCTGCAATGGTCATAAATGTGAAAAAGGGTCATGTCATTTTTTTTCAGTGCTGTTGTAACTTTGAATGAACTGTTGTTAAATCAAGGACTCCCTGTGGATGGGATGTTGCATCTGAATAAAAAACTCATTCAAAATGCAGCACTAGGTTAGAGCTCCAAGTGAACCATTTGATGATGATGATGATGATGATGTTCAGTACCTGGAATTTCTTGGACAGATGAGAGACTGTATAAATTGGATTCATAAATAAAAATATTCCCAAACTGTTGAGTTTTATTCCTCTTTGTCTCCAAATCCAGATGTAAAAGGACAATGGGGAAAGATGGGAGAATTTCCATATCTGTAGGGTCGTTGGTGCTCTCTGAGCTTGTTTTCTTGCAAATGTTTTATGATCTAACTAGGGTATATCATTAATGGGAGGAGGAGGAGGAGGAGGAGGAGGACTGTGTAGTCCTTGGTGCTCTCTGAGCTTGGTAGTTTTCTTGCAGATGTTTTATGACCTAACTAGGGTGTATCATTAATACTAGGAGGAGGAGGACTGTGGGGTCCTTGGTGCCCTCTGAGCTTGGTTATTTTCTTGAAGATGTTTCGTGACCCAACTAGGGAACATCATCAGTGCTAGTAGGGAATGCCAGAAGCAAATTCCCCTCCCTTCTAACACCGATGATTTTACCAAGTTTGGTAATGATTCATCTTCAAGAAGCTCAGAGAGCACCAAGGACCTCACAGTTCAACCTACAAATATTCTCTTCTTTCTACTTCCATATCCTATTGTGAGCATCTCAGAGGTAGCTGGTCAGCCCCTGTGAGAACTCAAATACTGATCTAAGCCAGATCCTGGACTAATCCAGTAGTGCTAATCTTCTATTCTGAAGTTCTGCAAGAAAACAGTGATCTTGGCTTGAGCTTGGAACAAGCGATGAGCTCAACCAAACACAAGGTCACGCGTAACAGGTCCGTGGGATTCCTACAACAAGGTTGGAGAAATATTGTCACTTCATCACTCTGACCACCATGTAGTAGACCTTAATAATAGACCTTAATGACCACTATGTAGTAGACCTTAATAACAACTCTAGCCCATGTTTGGTTGAGTTTGTTCCTCGTAAAGCCCCAGTGATGCTCCAAACGTCTCTTTTGTCATTTCATCTTCCTCAACTCTTCTGTAAACCGTGGGCATTGATGGCATCCAAAAGACAAGAAAGGTCGCATAGGAGCACCCCAATCCAGTGCCTTAGTGGCCCTCTTGTTCCAAGCAATAACCGAGACCTCACGTGGGGGGTAAGCAGACCACTAGGAACAGCCTTCAGTTCCCTCCGACACCTATCCAGGTCCATCCTTGAGGCCGACCTAATAGATCCTGTCTCCCTGTGATGGACAATAGCACTGGTGAACCTTGTGGTAATCAGAATGTGATCTGACCATGACAGATCTCAAAGTTCTCCCAGTTCCAGATCACATTGCCCTTCCAGGCTTGCGGCCCAAAGGCGGGGCACTCACCACTGGAGGTGGTTGATGAGGTATGATGAAGATCTCGTTCCCATACTGTCCATCTCCTTGGTTCTAGATTTTTATGAAGCTTTAAATTTTCAGATGGTTTTATATTTGTCTTTTTAGTGTTTAGAAGGGTCCCCTTATCAGGGAGATGGGCAGCACATAAATTGAACAAATAAATAGATGAACCCCGCTGGACACTTTTCCATGTTCCTGACCTCTCGTTCGCACCCTTTGCCACTTATCCCAAAGTTTAATGCCAGGTTCTCCCGAGTGAGAAGCACGTTAGATACTTTGCTCTTCTGCTTTGTGATGAAAGTCATCTCCAGGGACAGGTTAGGTGCCATAAAAATTTTGTCTCTCTTTTCTTGCAAGCATTTGGCTCCGTGTGTGGCACAGGATGAGTGTAGGGCAGATATGGGACCTCCAATGTCTCAAGGAGGCTGAGAGCAAGAAGCCAAGGTAGAAAAGTCTACTGGAGAGTTTGCAAGAGGGAGGGAAAAGAAAGGAAGAAGAAGCTCACACTTGCCAGTTTCAGCCAGGAGCTTCTCACCAAGTGAGGAAGACAAGGAGCGAAGAAATCTCAGATCCACCTGGAGAAAAGGTATGGGGGGAGATGAATGCATGGACTGACCATCTGAGATGCACCTCAATGCCAGCCATTGTCTGGAAGATGCACAAATTGCACGTTGTTAGTGAGAAGAAGCTTGGCCCCTTTTCATGCCTGATGGGGCAAAGCTTTCTCTCCCCTTCCTCTTCCCCGGCCCTCAAAAAAGAGAAAAGGTGTTTTTGTTGAATAAGCTACACCCATTGAGAAGAAATTGGTAAAGTCTTTTACTTCGGTGGTGCAGTGGGCGAGCCTCGGAGGGGAGGAGAGAGTCCAGAGGATGAGCTGTTGTTGTTCGTCCATCGATTTCGATTAAGACCTTGACATCTTGTGGGTTATGGGCCATCAATGATGTGTCCGTAGGAGGATGAGCTAATGGACATCTGGATCAGGATGTCCCAAAAAGACAACTGGAGTTTCTTGGTTTTTTTTTTTTCTTTGAAAATATTTCTCATCCAAGAACCTTCTTCAGTTCTTCAGTCTTCTTCAGAACTGAAGAAGCTTCTTGGATGAGAAGCAAAATGTTTTCAAGGAAAAAACAACAAAGAAAGTCCACTCTCCTTTTGGGACTAACATGGCCCGGATGATTGAGAATCTCTGAAGAAGACTGGATCTGGAGAGAGGAGGGTCAAAGAGAGAGTGTGAGGATCAGAAGGGGGAGGTAGTTTATTAATTAAGCAAAGAGACAACTTCTGATCTCACACAGACACAAAATTGTTCTCTCAAAATGAGGGTTAGAGCTAATGGGAGAAGCTTTATGCATAGTTGGTATTGCAGCAGAAATCTCTCTGCAAATTTCACCCCCCAATGCCCCAGCATGGCTTCCCAAGCCTCTAGCCATGGCTAAGGAGAGATTGCCCCCTTCAGAGACAAGCCACCTTATCCACCAAGACATTTCTCCTCCTTGAAATGGTCTTCCCCCCTCTAATTCCATCCCAGTCACATTGGATGGATGATCCCAGTCTTCCTGGAGAGGGAGAGAGAATCCTGAGGGAAGGGTCAAATGTGTCATCAGTTTTGATATCCTTCTGGAGGACCAGTGGCAGAATGTTCCACAAGGTAGAGGCATCCGCAGAAAAGGCTCTTCTCCTTCCCTAGCCAGAATTTCTTTCAGGGGTGGCTTCAGCCAAGAGTCTGGAGCAGGGATGATGTAGGAAATGGCCCAGGTAGAGCCTGAGGGAAGGGTCAAAGGCATCATCAGTTTTGGAGAGACCTCAGCCCAGCTCTCTGTGAATTCCGTTGACTCTTATCTGGTGCCAATTCTCCTTGACTGTTAGTAGATCAGATTCTTGGGTACAAAGGTGAAGGTTTTCTTTTTATTAAAAGTTTTACAAATTTATTACAATATAAACCCCCCCACCCCTTCCCCCCTCTCCCACTTCCCAGAGCTGATTACAGGGTAACAAATAAACAAACATAATCTAACTAACATAAACCAACTATACTATCAATCAAAACTATAACACACTTTAACTCCTTCTCAAAACAAATATTAACAAATTAAAACAAAAATAATAATATAATTACCGTAAAACTATTAATAATTATCTAAAATCTACTCAAAAGCAAGGTAATACTTTTCAGTTTCATATTTCTTTTGAATATAATCAATCCATCTTCTCCAAACCATAATGTATCTTTCTTGTGAATGGTCCTTCAAGTAAGCGGAGATTTTCGCCATTTCTGCTAAGTTAGACACCTTAAGTATCCATTCTTCCAAAGTAGGCAGTGAGTTTTTCTTCCAATATTGCCCCACCAATAATCTTGCAGCTGTTATAAGATTCAACATCAAATTGATTTCTTTAACATCAAAATCTACAATAATATCCAACAAAAATAATTGCGGAGTAAATTTTATCTTTCTCTTAAAAATCTTTTGAATATTCCACCAAATCTTAATCCAAAAAGCTTTAATATCTCTACAGGTCCACCAGATATGAAAATAAGTTGCATCTAAATTTCCACATCTCCAACATTTGGGCTGTAAATTCAGATATATGCAAGACAACTTTTGGGGATCCAAATGCCATCTATAAAACATTTTATAAAAAGTTTCTCTTAAATTTTGCGCTTGAGTAAATTTTACATTTCTAACCCAAATTGTCTCCCATGTGTCCAATAAAAGGGTGAAGGTTTTCTTATGTCCATTTGTGTCCAACTCTAGGGAGCGATGCTCACTTCCCTTTCTTAGCTGAGGGACCCAGCATTGTCCGAAGACATTTTTGTGGTCTTGTGGCCAACGTGGCTATACAATTTGGGGGACTGTACACATCCAAAAATGGGCTTAACCTGGTGACCTGCCTTAAATATCCTGTACAAGCAAAGACTTGTGAGTGATCAGAGGCAGCTTGTAGCTTCACACCATGGAAAGGTTATAATTCCTGAGATGCTCAGCTCCTCTCAGATGCTGGGAGCAGAAATATCTTCTTGTGGCTGCAGGAATATATGCACTGCCAGCAAAGTTCCTCTCCCAATCATCTGCTCTATCTGTTAATACTTCATTAGGATCACTCCGAGTAAATTCTGTGTGGCTTACTCCCTCACGCCAGCCCCCTCTGTTGAGTTTTCATTTGGGGGATGAACTCTTTGGGTAAACTCCCCCAAACAGGTGAAGGGTCTTAGATGAATGCAGCCCATGGAAGGAATCCTGTTGTTCATTTCCAGCTGTGTCCAATGATCCTCATTCTGCATCTTTGCACAGGGGTGCAAACTGGGGAAGCCCCAGGTTACTCATAGCATGTGTGCCAAGTGGCTTTTGGGGAGAGTTAACTGGAGGAACACAGCTGTAGTAAACTTTCCACCTCACTGAAAGCAACCCATAAGCATCTCCAAAAGCATCTCTCCTAGCTGAAGATTATTTTATTCATGCAAAGCATTGTTTAATTATTCCAGATGGCTTTGGGGAATGGCCGGTGGCTCACTAACACTTCTGAAGCTTCTTACTCATGGTGTGGTTTGAAACCAGTGGCTACTCCTGAATTCTACTGCAATCCATCCTTGTCCTCCACAGTTTGATGGACCTCATGGAAGGTGTCAATCAGACCCTACAGGTGACTGAATTCTTGTTCCTGGGTTTCTCTGGCATGCCCAGAGGTCAACCTTTCTTTTTTCTGCTCTTTCTGGCCATCTACTTCATCACCTTGGTGGCCAACTCAATGATTCTCATCTTGATCCAGCTGGATTCGCACCTCCACAGCCCGATGTACTATTTCCTCAGCCATTTGTCTTGCTTAGACATCTGCTACTCCTCAGTCACGATCCCAAAGGTCCTGGTGAACCTCTTGCACCAGCAGCCCACCATTTCCTACAACGAGTGCATGACCCAGATGTTCTTCCTCATGACATGTGCTGGATCTGAGTGCGCCATGCTGGCTGTGATGGCCTATGACCGCTATGCGGCCATCTGTGAACCTTTGCACTATTCTCAACTCATGAGTAAGGAGGTGCGAGTCCCTCTAGCTACGGTTTCATGGGTCTGGGGCCTTCTTGATTCAGCCGTTCACACTGCCCTGGCCACCGATTTGGTCTTCTGTGGAGCCAATGAGATCCATCACATATTCTGCGATGTCCCCCCGCTCTTGAAAATTGCTTGCAGCGACACTTATGTCAATGAGATGGCTCTTCACACAGCAAGTGTCTTTGTGGGCCTGATCCCTTTCCTCCTGGTTGTCATTTCCTACATCTACATCCTATCTACAATTCTGAAGATCCGTTCTAGCACTGGAAGGAGAAAGACCTTCTCCACCTGTGCTGCCCACTTGGTTACTGTCATTGTTTACTTTGGCATGGCCAACTTGAATTACAACCGTCCACGTGTGGGCTACTCTTTAGGGGTGGACACTCTGGTCTCCACCCTGTATTGTATTGTCACCCCCATGGTGAACCCCCTAATCTACAGCCTCCGAAATAAGGAGGTCAAAGGGGCCCTACAAAAACTTCTGAGCATTCAGGAGAAGGAAGATGCATCACCTGGAGAGCAATGAAGGAAAAACTAGATCTTCTTCCTAACCCTCTCTGCTTATCCTTGTCTGTAAAGTAGCAACAGTTGGAGGGGAAGTAAGTACACAGGGGAAAGAAGACCAGGAGATTCTAGGGAGATCCACTGGTTAATTGTTCTCACTCAACAAATCTTTCCAATTTTTGTTCATAGAATAATCTCACTGCAGTTATCATGTACAAAAACCAATTTCTGTAAAAAAAAAATTCCAATTGTTTGTCCATCGAACCTCTGGGCTTAATTGTATATTAATATTAATCTTTAAAATCCTCTGAATTCCTATGCTGATATATCACCACCATCATTTTATTAAAAAATCATTTTAAAGTTTATAACGTAGCATAAATTTCAATCCTTCAGTCCAGCTATTTTCTCATTGTTTCATCCGTATCTTACAACCGACCTTTTTAACCTCACATTGTTTCCCTTGCTCTTCTGTTTCAAATTGCAAATGAAAAGGTTTAGACATTTTATCAATTACGCTTTCATCATTTGTCCAAAATTCTGTTTCAAACTTAATCAAAACTGTGGATTATTTTGTCTAGTTCAAATCTTTCTAATAATTCTAAAAAAAAAACAAAAAAAACCCACTGACAACTATGTTCCTCTACCACCAGTTCTTCCCTGGATTTTATTTTATATTCCCCTTGACAAAAATTTGGTGGTAAGTTAGCTGTTTGTGTTGGCCCATTATTTCTCCTCTACAAAATGCTTATCTGAATAAAATAAAATCTTTGAAATTCTTTGTACCGCTGTGTTTATTTGAGCCCAAAACCTTTCCATCAAATTGTCATCCAGACATTCCTTCAATGTGATTTGCACTAACCCTAACCCCACGGTCATCCACCCTGGAGAGGCAGCAGTGTAATTGGATTGAATATCATTGGGCAGAGAAGAGCTTGTAAATGTTGACATTCCCATAATGGCAAATAAGTGATTCCTCACCCCTGGGCACATCTGGATTATGTAGAACATAGAATCATAGGGCTGGAAAGGACCTCAGAGGTCTTCTAGTCCAACCCCTGCTAAAGGCAGGAGACCCTATAACATTCTGGACAAATAGTTGTCCAATATTTTCTTGAAAGATTGATTGAGCACTCACAACTCTGGGAGGAAAGCTGATCTATCTGTCATCCATCCAACAATCCAAGCATCCATCTATCCATCTATGCATCTATTCATCTATTCATCTATCTGTATCTCTTGGTCTATCCATCCATCTATCATCTATCTATCTATCATTATCTATGTATCATCTATCCATCTATTCATCTATCTGTATCTCTTGGTCTATCCATCCATCTATCATCTATCTATCATTATCTATCTATCTATCTATCTATCTATCTATCTATCTATCATCTACCTACCTACCTATCTACCTACCTACTGATCTACCGACTCTATCTGTCTGTCTGTCTGTCTGTCTATCTATCTATCTATCTATCTATCTATCTATCTATCTATCTATCTATCTACCTACCTACCTACTACCTACCTACTGATCTACCGACTCTATCTGTCTGTCTGTCTGTCTGTCTATCTATCTATCTATCTATCTATCTATCTATCTATCTATCTATCTATCATCTACCTACCTACCTATCTACCTACCTACTGATCTACCGACTCTATCTGTCTGTCTGTCTATCTATCTATCTATCTATCTATCTATCTATTTATCTATCTACCTCCCTACCTCCCTACCTATCTGTCTATCTCATATATCTACATATCTATATCAATATACCAACTTTCTAATCTTTTTATATAATCATAGTGCTGGAAGGAACCTTAGAGGTCTTCTAGTCCAACCCCATGCTAAAGGCAGAAGACTTTACACCTTCCCAGCCAAATAATAACCATAGCCAATCAATGCCCAGCACAATGATGATAGGAGCAAGAGAAGAGGGTGTCAGAATCCAATTATATTTCATCTTTAATTATCAAACATAGAAACTCCCAATTCTGCCTTCTCTGGATTCTGCCATAAGAGGGAGAAAAGGGGGAGAGCAAAGGGGCTTTATGGCCCTCACTTCCTTCAGCACACTTCAAAGGACTGAATGTGTGTTTATTGTGGCCTCTAAGCTTTAACATATCAAAGAAGAGTAATTGCCTTTCATGTAGTTATCTGAAGTCTCCATCCAGACGGAAGAAGAAAGGGGATGGAATTGTGATACTTGAAACTATCACTGGAAGGGGGGTTGATTGGGTGGGACTACTGGGGAACCCCTTAAAACCTTGAATGGGAGAGCTTGAACCCCAAGTCCTGTCTAGCATGCCTGCAACCATTTTCTCTTAATAAAGGATTCCTGTTGGAAGAGCTATTCCAAGAGTTCTGTCTTCTTAAGATGCAAAGTGGGGTGGGTCCTTACATTAGACAGGACTTGCAAAATTAATCCACCTGGAAGGTAGACCCTTGCCGGGGGATTTTGCAAAAATTTACCATGTCAGACAACGAAGCAAGAGAGGGAGAAAACTCCCTGGAAAGAGAGCCGCTGACCCAGTTGGAACCTTGCCAGATGTTGGGATCCGAGAGGCCAGATTTCTCAGAAGAAGAAGTGGTGGAGACACAGGACCACAAGCCTCGCTGGTCGATGGGCGTTGGAAAGAAAAGCGAGTGGGGAAAGGAATCAAGAAAAGTGACCCTGAGACGGGGACCAAGCAACCAGAATGGAAGCAGGAGATGGAGAAATCCCTGCACGCAAGTGAAGAGGGAGGAAGCTGTATGCCGTACTCAGACTGGATCCTAGAGAGAGCTATTGACCTGATGAAGAGAACTCTCAGCTCCCTAGGAGAGGAGATTCCTGAGCCCTACGCCCGCCCCAGTTCCTGGAGCCACAAAGGGAGAGACACCGAGGGGGACGTGGAACCTGCAACCCCAGGGACATTTACTGATCCAGGAGCTCCCACCCCCTACCGGACCACAGATGGAAATCTGGACGGAAGACACTACCACCCACAATGGAGGCACCGATCCATTCCAAGACGTCCACCGTTGGAGGTGAAATTCAAAGGGGAGCCAACACGCTTGGGGTTTTTCCTAACCCAAGTCCTCAGCTACATGGAGGAATATGGGCAGGACATCCCCAGCGACAAAGCCCGCATCCGGATCGTGCAATCTGCCCTGGATGGACCAGCTGCAGATTGGGTGGTGAACCTGCATGACTCCAATGCCCCAGAACTCAGTAACTTCAACCGTTTCATGTCCTCGTTGAGAAGACGATTTGAAGACCCCCTGGCTGATCGCAAAGCCCGTGAAAGAATAACAACGATGAGGCAGGGCAAACGCCCAGTGGCTGAGTATACACAAGAATTCCGAGCCATTGCCAGCAAACTGAATTGGCCAGAAGACATCCTCCTTGGCCGTTTCAAAGACGGACTAAACTATGATCTATATGATGCTTGCCTGCCCCGAGGAGACCCACATCGACTTGAGGAATGGTACGTCTTGGCAGAGGAAGCAGAGATCGACATATTGAAGAGGCATCGCCGAGGAAAACAATGGAGCCGCCCCCCGCCTGAGCTGACACACCAACCGGTGAAATCATCGGATACAGCCAAGAAGCAGATGGGGTGTTTCAAGTGCGGAAGAGAAGGGCATCGAGCTGTAGAATGCCGCTCAAAGGCCCCCCAGCACAACCCAGACAGATCCCCAATCAACAAACCCAGAGGGTATTCAGCTAAGCCAAAAGAAACAGCCATGAAAATGATGGAAATTGCAGAAAACCCCACCTCTGCTCACCAAGGGGAAAGAACTCCAGCCTACACCACAGGGACGGTGGATGCCTCAGATGACAGCTCGGAAGGCGAACCCCTGGTAAGTGGACGCATCACACCCATCTTCAAAACAGTGACTATATTAATCCCCCCCATGCCCGAAGCTGTGAAGGTGAAAGCCTTAATAGACTCTGGCTGCACCCGCTGCCTCATTAGCCCAACACTAGTGGGGAATCTGGGCATCCCATCCAGGAGACTGGAACAACCAATCTCATTTGGCCAGCTAGATGGATCCATAGCAGGGGGGGTGCCAGCTACCCTAGCCACTCTGCCAATACACCTCTCCCTGGGCAACCATGAAGAGGACTTAACGTTTGTGGTGACCCCAGGTATGGAATGCCCAATGATTCTAGGGATGGAATGGTTGAAAAAATGGAACCCCTGGGTAAATTGGAGGACGACAGAAATCAAATTCCCGAAGGGGGACCCTATGGACTTAAAACCCCAAGAGAGGCTACCAGAATCAAGAATAGAAAAAGCATCCATAGGAGAGGAAAAAAGATTAACAGAAATACCAGAGGAATATAGGGACCTTGCTGAAGTCTTCAGTGAGGAGAGGGCGAATGAGCTTCCCCCCCACCGACCCACAGACTGTACCATTGAATTCAAGCCTGGGGCAAAACTCCCGAAGCCCAGATTATACTCCATGAGCCCAAAGGAGAAGGAGGAAATGGAAAGATTTATAAAAAAAAACCTGGAGAGAGGTTTCATTGAACCAGCTAAGCCTAAAGTGGCTGCCCCGGTCCTTTTTAGAGAGAAGAAGGATGGCTCTTTACGTTTATGCGTGGATTATAGGGCCCTGAACACAATCAGTGAAAGCAACCTATACCCGCTGCCCCTCATGAAAGACATGCTGTCACACCTATCGAAAGGGAAAATTTTTTCTAAACTAGACTTAAGGGAAGCTTACTATCGCGTGAGAATCAAGGAAGGGGACGAATGGAAGACTGCATTTAACTGCCCCATGGGGTGCTATCAATTCAAAGTCTTGCCATTTGGATTACAAGGGGGCCCTGCAGTCTTTATGCAATTAATCAATGACGTTCTAAGGGAGCACCTGTTTAAGGGGGTCCTTGTTTACTTGGACGACATTCTTATCTTTACCGAAACAAAAGAAGAACACGTCAAACTTGTCAGAGCGGTTTTAAAGAAGCTGCGAGCCGCTCACCTATATGCCAAACTCTCAAAATGCGAATTCCACCAGGAAAGGATAGACTACCTAGGCTATCGCATATCCCCACAGGGCATTGAAATGGACCCAGAGAAGGTCAGAGCAGTATTAGAATGGGCACCACCCCGCACAAGAAAGCAACTACAAAGTTTCCTGGGCTTTGCAAATTTTTACCGCCAATTCATCCCCTCATTTGCACAGATAGCCTTGCCCCTCACCAACTTACTAAAAACGAAGGGAACATCCTCAGTAAAACCTAGCCAGCCACTAACATGGACAATGGAGTGCCAAGCAGCGTTTGAGAGACTAAAGAGACTTTTTTCTGCCGAACCAGTACTAAGGCACCCAGATATGGACAAGCCCTTCATAATACAGGCAGATGCAAGTGATGTGGCAGTGGGGGCTGTGCTATTACAAGAAAATGATGATGCAGTATTGCAACCCTGTGCATATACATCTAAGAAACTCACGGAAACAGAACAGCGCTGGCCCGTATGGGAGAAGGAGGCTTATGGGATACGTTGGGCATTACTCACGTGGCGACAGTTCCTGGAAGGCAACAAAATCCCCTTCCAGGTATGGACTGATCACAAAAATTTAGAAGCCCTGAAAACTTCCAGGAAACTCAATCCCAAACAAGCCCGCTGGTCCCAGCATTTTCACCAATTCCAATTTAAGCTCAAACATTTACCAGGAAGAAAGAACTTCCTGGCAGATGCACTATCTCGCATGCCCCAATATAACAGCGCACGAACCACAGACTCTAGACCAATAATGGCAGAGTCACAACTGGCAGCGCCAGTAACCACAAGAACCCAAGCCAAAATAAAACCACAACTGGACAGCCAAACTGGGATTGAATTCAGAAAAAGTTTGGAAACAGATGATTGGGTGGACACTCTGGTCTCCACCCTGTATTGTATTGTCACCCCCATGGTGAACCCCCTAATCTACAGCCTCCGAAATAAGGAGGTCAAAGGGGCCCTACAAAAACTTCTGAGCATTCAGGAGAAGGAAGATGCATCACCTGGAGAGCAATGAAGGAAAAACTAGATCTTCTTCCTAACCCTCTCTGCTTATCCTTGTCTGTAAAGTAGCAACAGTTGGAGGGGAAGTAAGTACACAGGGGAAAAAAGACCAGGAGATTCTAGGGAGATCCACTGGTTAATTGTTCTCACTCAACAAATCTTTCCAATTTTTGTTCATAGAATAATCTCACTGCAGTTATCATGTACAAAAAACAATTTCTGTAAAAAAAAAATTCCAATTGTTTGTCCATCGAACCTCTGGGCTTAATTGTATATTAATATTAATCTTTAAAATCATCTGAATTCCTATGCTGATATATCACCACCATCATTTTATTAAAAAATCATTTTAAAGTTTATAACGTAGCATAAATTTCAATCCTTCAGTCCAGCTATTTTCTCATTGTTTCATCCGTATCTTACAACCGACCTTTTTAACCTCACATTGTTTCCCTTGCTCTTCTGTTTCAAATTGCAAATGAAAAGGTTTAGACATTTTATCAATTACGCTTTCATCATTTGTCCAAAATTCTGTTTCAAACTTAATCAAAACTGTGGATTATTTTGTCTAGTTCAAATCTTTCTAATAATTCTAAAAAAAAAACAAAAAAAACCCACTGACAACTATGTTCCTCTACCACCAGTTCTTCCCTGGATTTTATTTTATATTCCCCTTGACAAAAATTTGGTGGTAAGTTAGCTGTTTGTGTTGGCCCATTATTTCTCCTCTACAAAATGCTTATCTGAATAAAATAAAATCTTTGAAATTCTTTGTACCGCTGTGTTTATTTGAGCCCAAAACCTTTCCATCAAATTGTCATCCAGACATTCCTTCAATGTGATTTGCACTAACCCTAACCCCACGGTCATCCACCCTGGAGAGGCAGCAGTGTAATTGGATTGAATATCATTGGGCAGAGAAGAGCTTGTAAATGTTGACATTCCCATAATGGCAAATAAGTGATTCCTCACCCCTGGGCACATCTGGATTATGTAGAACATAGAATCATAGGGCTGGAAAGGACCTCAGAGGTCTTCTAGTCCAACCCCTGCTAAAGGCAGGAGACCCTATAACATTCTGGACAAATAGTTGTCCAATATTTTCTTGAAAGATTGATTGAGCACTCACAACTCTGGGAGGAAAGCTGATCTATCTGTCATCCATCCAACAATCCAAGCATCCATCTATCCATCTATGCATCTATTCATCTATTCATCTATCTGTATCTCTTGGTCTATCCATCCATCTATCATCTATCTATCTATCATTATCTATGTATCATCTATCCATCTATTCATCTATCTGTATCTCTTGGTCTATCCATCCATCTATCATCTATCTATCATTATCTATCTATCTATCTATCTATCTATCTATCTATCTATCATCTACCTACCTACCTATCTACCTACCTACTGATCTACCGACTCTATCTGTCTGTCTGTCTGTCTGTCTGTCTATCTATCTATCTATCTATCTATCTATCTATCTATCTATCTATCTATCTATCTATCTATCATCTACCTACCTACCTATCTACCTACCTACTGATCTACCGACTCTATCTGTCTGTCTGTCTGTCTGTCTATCTATCTATCTATCTATCTATCTATCTATCTATCTATCTATCTATCATCTACCTACCTACCTATCTACCTACCTACTGATCTACCGACTCTATCTGTCTGTCTGTCTATCTATCTATCTATCTATCTATCTATCTATTTATCTATCTACCTCCCTACCTCCCTACCTATCTGTCTATCTCATATATCTACATATCTATATCAATATACCAACTTTCTAATCTTTTTATATAATCATAGTGCTGGAAGGAACCTTAGAGGTCTTCTAGTCCAACCCCATGCTAAAGGCAGAAGACTTTACACCTTCCCAGCCAAATAATAACCATAGCCAATCAATGCCCAGCACAATGGTGATAGGAGCAAGAGAAGAGGGCCTCTTTGAATAATCTCTTCATTCATAAGGAACAATCTTGATTACAATAGAATGGAGCTGGAAGGGACCTTGGAGGTCTTCTAGTCCAGCCCATTGCTCAAGCAGGAGGACCTATACCATCTCAGACAAGTGACTGTCTAGTCCAGTGGTTCTCAACCTGTGGGTCGGTACCCCATTTGGGGTCAAATGACCATTTCATGGGGGTCGCCAAACCACGCTGTCCGCCATTTTTTTCCCTTTTCCCTAGCTGTCCTACTCCCTCTTATTGGTGGCCACACCCACTTGGGGGTCACCACAACATGGGAAACTGTATTATGGGGTCACGGCATTAGAAAGGTTGAGAACCACTGGTCTAGTCTCTTCTTAAAAGCCTCCAGTGATGGAGGACCCACAACTTCTGGAGGCAACTTCTGTTCCACTGGTTGATTGTCCTCATTGTCAGGAATGATTGTCCTCATTGTCCTCCTTAATTCCAGGTTGCTTCTCTCTTTAGTCAGCTTCCAACCATTGTCAGATTAATGTTTCTACTTCTCTGAAGTAACAAGAAAGAATGTGAAATTCTGGTAAGGACCACTTCTAACCAGTCAGAGACGAGACTTGCCCAAAGAGTTGAAATTGAATAACCTGAAAACTCATTATAATGTTAAAAAAAAAAAACACCCAGAGAATGCAGATGACTCAAGAAGCTCTCTCGCCGTGTCCCCACACTGAAAAAGTTCCAGCACACCACAAAACAGAGCAGCAATGCCCATCTGCACAGCTCCCCTGCTCCACGGAGAACAAAAGCTTTGGCTGACAAGTCTCCATGTAATCTTTGGCCTTCTATATCAGGGAGAAGCTCATCCCATTCCCATTCAGACAGAGGCTGAGGAAGAACGAGAACTGAAGGTGGATACTTCTGGGAGGCACCAGGCGTAGAAAGTTATGCAAGTCCGGTTCATAAGCTCAAAAGTCCAGAGGAAATTCACTCCATCCTTTTAGTTAGAACAATTAATCAGTGGGACATCTTGTCTCCAGAAGTTGTGGATGCTCCAATAGCGGAGGTTTTGGCCACCACGATGTGAAAAAGATGTTGAGACTCTGGAAAGAGTATAGAGAAGAGCAACGAAGATGATCAGGGGACTGGAGGCTGAAACATATAAGGAGCGGTTGCTGGATTTGGGAAGGTCTAGTTTAATGAAGAGAAGGACGAGGGGGGACAGGATAACCACGTTCCAGTATCTAGGGGTTGCCCCAAAGAAGAGGGAGTCAAGCTCTTCTCCAAAGCACCTGAAGGCAGGACAAGAAGCAACGGGTGGAAACTAACCAAGGAGAGAAGCAACCTAGAATTAAGGAGAAACTTCCTGACAGTGGGAACAATTAATCAGTGGAACAACCTGCCTCCAGAATTTGTGGGTGCTCCAAACATTGGAGGCTTTCAAGAATAGATTGGACAACCATTTGTCTGAAATGGTATAGGGCTTCCTCCCTGAGCAGGGAGTTGGACTAGATGACCTGCAAGGTCCCTTACAACTCTGTTATTCCATTATTTTTTAAGAAGAAATTGGACAACCAGCAGTCTGAAATGGTATAAGGTTTCCTGCTTGACCAGTGGCTTGGACTAGAAGACCTCCAAGGTCCCTTTCAGCTCTGTTCTATTCTATTCTGTTCTGTTCTGTTCTCTCCTGTTCTCTCCTATCCTGTCCTGTGCTATTCTATTATCTCCAAGGTCCCTTCCTACTCTGTTATTCTGTTATGTGTGGATCTTGGTCTAACTTCCCAGCTCCCAGCCTTTATTCAAAAGTTCCAAAGTTTCCATCAAGGAACTCCCAAATGGGAAGCATGTAGATGCTTTGTTGTTCTCCTTTCTGATGCAAGCCATCTCCAGGGACCTGCTACATGCGACATAAACTATGTCTCTTTTTTCAGCAGTAGCAACAGCACTGAGATTTATCTCCCGCCCCGTAGCTCTTTACAGCACTCTCTGGGGAGTTTACGATGTAGAAGCGTTACTAGCACATTGCCCCCAACAATCAGGGTCCTTTGACCATCTTCAGAAGAATAGAAGGCTGAGTAAACCTCAGGATTGAACTCCTGGCAGTGGGCAGAGTCAGCCTGCAGTAGTGCCTTTTAGCACTGCGCCAACTTGGGGATCTTGCAAGCAGTAGAAAAAGGAGAAAGGGAAGAATTTCACAACTGCCATCTTCATCCAGGAGACTCTGAGCAGGTGAGGAACACAAAGGGGCAAAGGGAATCCAGCAAGAGAGAGGGTGTGGGGGGGAGATGAATGCACCCACGAACCGTTTCAGATGGACCCCAACACCACCAGCCCTGGTTAGGAAGACACCTAAATTGCATGTGGCTTGAGAGAAGAAGCTCACTTTTTTTTTTTTTTCATGCCTGATGGAGCAAAGCTTTCTGTCCCCACATTCTTCGCTTCTCCATCTCCCCAAAAAGAGAAAAGGTCCTGTCAGAAGAATAATTTGGGGTTCCAACTCTTAATCTAACCATCAACACTGTTGGAAGAAAAACAGGGGTGTAGTGCTGGATGGCAAGCTTCAGCTATGCAGTCCTACGTTCTGTGGACTGAAGAATGATTTTGGGAGGAAAACAATTTGAGAGGGTCAATGCAAGACCAATTATCCCAGCAAGTCACAACCTGCCACAATCTGCCACAATCTGAAACTTCCTTGGAGTTTCCCTTAAGGAGAGATTCAACTTAGAAACAGGGAGAAATTTTCTGACAGTGGGAACAATCAACCAGCGGAATAGAAGTTGCCTTCAGATGTTGTGGGAGCTTCATCTCTGGAAGCGTCCAAGAAGAGACAGGACAGCCATCTGTCAGAAATGGTGTAAGGTCTCCTGCTTGGGTGGGGGTTGGACTAGATGACCTCCAAGGTCCTTTCCAACTCCGTTATTCTAAGACAAGATCTTATTTGGCCCACATGCATTGTGCATACATGGGACCTTAACCATAAATGCACGTAGTAAAGTATACCAACGATTGCAAACACAGCTGCACAGCCATTGTTTTTTTCCTTTAACCCAACATAGCATTCATAGTCCCAGTATGAATTCAGTCAGTTGTTCAGGGATGGCAATGAAGGTCGGCTTTGGCATCTGTGATAATCAGCAGGAAGAGCTGCAGTAGAAATTCAGACAGACGGTCGATGGAGTCCATTGTGTTATGGTTCCGGCTAATGAAACACTTCAAAGAACTTCCAGGCATTTATTTTCCTAAAAGTCAATGATTGTTACAAAATGTCGGCACAGGCATAACGGAGGGATGCTAGGATCTAAGTTCTCTTCCTCTGAGCAGTTAAATTATCAGCATGTTCCCTCCCTAAATTATATATAATTTATATATATCACATTATCCAGTTAGTGTGAAGGTCAAAGGTTTTCTTCCTCTTTCTTTCCCGGGCTTTACCCCCCACCCCCATTCTGCTCTGTATTAACCCCATCATTACCAGACAATTCTGCATATTGTCAAAAGCAAGAATATACAATATTTGCAGCGTTGACAATTAGTGTGAAGGTCAAAGGTTTCCTTCCTCTTTCTTTCCTGGGCTTTACCCTCCACCCTCTTCTGCTCTGCATTAACCCCAAAAATACCAGACAGTTCTGCATATTGTCAAAGCAAGAATATACAATATTTGCAGCGTTGACACATTGCTGTTCAATAGCTTGGAGAAAGAACTCTTCCTCAAGGGACGGCAGCTTCTCCAGTTGAAGTCTACTCAGTCCCCATTCTGCCTTTTTGCGCAGAATTGCAGACTGGGAGGTGGGGGAGGGGAAGGGGGCTAGCAGGTCCACACCCTCGGCATTGCTTGAGTGACAGCATCTTTTGGGGAGATTGATATCTGGAGGGACATGTCTGTACTTGCAACCCTCCTGAATTGAATCCATGAACCCAGAAGTCTTTCACCGGTTTCAGATGTGGCTTGGGACCAAGAAAGACAGAATCCGCGTCTTTGCCTGATAAGCTGAATAAACTTTTATTCAGCTGAGTAAAGATGGGTCCCTCTAAGCAAGAGGGAACCCTGAGCATATTTCGACACTCATGTTGATATGTTTGTTACATTGTTTACTGCTTCACCCAGAAGCACTGGCATACTCGACTCAGATAAGCTGGCACACACATAATAATGATGATGATGATGATGATGATGCTGGTAGCAACCCGTGTCAACCATCAGCGCCAGCCAATTTGAATGTTCAGTTGACTGAGGTTCATGTCTAATGAATAATAATAGTAGTAGTAGCAGCAGCAGCAGCAGCAGCAGCAGCAGTAGTAGCAGTAGAATCGGAAGGGACTTTGGAGGTCATCTAGTCCAACCCCCTGCTCAGGCAGGAAACCCTATACCATTTCAAACAAATGGCTGTCCAGTCTCTTCTTAAAACCCTCCAGTGTTGGAGCATTCACCACTTCTGGAGGCAGGTGGTTCCACTGGTTAACTGTTCTAACTGTCAGGAAATTTCCCATTAGCTCTAGGTTGCTTCTCTCCTTGGTTTATTTCCATCCGTTGCTTCTTGTCCTGCCTTCAGGGGCAGGTTGGGCCTGAACCCCTGAGATATTGGAACAACCCATAAATAAGACAAGAAGTACAGAAATAGTCACCCAGCTCCCTTGGAGCTCTTCCAAGGACATCAAGGGTTATCTTAGGGAAATTAGGGGTTTCCGTCCGAACTTTCCATGACCTTGAAGGCTTGCAAAGGCATTGATGACATGGCCCCACAGGCTCCCTCAAGACAGTCAATAGAAAAACTAGATTCCTGGTCAACAGAATCATCTCTCCTACCTGATACTTTTTTTACTCATGCAAAGCATTCTTTAATTATTCCAGGTGGCCTTGGGGAAGTCCTGTGGTTCACTCCTGCTTCTGAAGCTTCTTCATGATGTGGTTTGATACCAGTGGCTACCCATGAATTCTATATTCTACAGTTTGATGGACTTCATGGAAAGTGTCAATCAGACCCTGCAGGTGACTGAATTCTTGTTCCTGGGTTTCTCTGATATGCCCAGAGGCCGCCCCTTCCTCTTTCTGCTCTTCCTAGTCATCTACCTCATCACCTTGGTGGCCAACTCAATGATTCTCATATTGATCCAGCTGGATTCGCACCTCCACAGCCCGATGTACTATTTCCTCAGCCATTTGTCTTGCTTAGACATCTGCTACTCCTCAGTCACGATCCCAAAGGTCCTAGTGAACCTCTTGCGCCAGCAGCCCACCATTTCCTACAATGAGTGCATGGCCCAGATGTTCTTCTTCATGACATGTGCTGGATCTGAGTGTGCCATGCTGGCTGTGATGGCCTATGACCGCTATGTGGCTATTTGTGAACCATTGCACTATTCTCTACTCATGAGTAAGGAGGTGCGAGTCCCTCTGGGTACGGTTTCATGGGTCTGGGGCCTTCTCAACTCAGCCATTCACACTGCCCTGGCCACCGATTTGGTCTTCTGTGGAGCCAACGAGATCCATCACATCTTCTGCGATGTCCCCCCGCTCTTGAAAATTGCTTGCAGCAACACTTATGTCAATGAGATGGCTCTTCACACAGCAAGTGTCTTTGTGGGCCTGATCCCTTTCCTCCTGATTGTCATTTCCTACATCTACATCCTATCTACAATTCTGAAGATCCGTTCTAGCACTGGAAGGAGAAAGACCTTCTCCACCTGTGCTGCCCACTTGGTTACTGTCATTGTTTACTTTGGCATGGCCAACTTGAATTACAATCGTCCAAGTGTGGGCTACTCTTTAGGGGTGGACACCTTGGTCTCCACCCTTTATTGCATTGTCACCCCCATGCTGAACCCCCTAATCTACAGCCTCCGAAATAAGGAGGTCAAAGGAGCCCTACGAAAACTTTTGAGCATTCAGGAGAAGGAATATACATCACCTGGAAAGCAATGAAGGAAAAACTAGATCTCCTTCCTAACCCTTTCTGCTTATCCTTGTCTGTAAAGTAGCAACAGTTGGAGGGGAAGTAAGTACACAGGGGAAAGAAGACCAGGAGATTCTAGGGAGATCCACTGGTTAATTGTTCTCACTCAACAAATCTTTCCAATTTTTGTGCATAGAATAATCTCACTGCAGTTATCGTGTACAAAAACCAATTTCTGTAATTTTTTTTCCAATTGTTTGTCCATCAAACCTCTGGGCTCAATTGTATATTAATATTAATCTTTAAAATCCTCTGAATTCCTATGCTGATATATCGCTGGTTCGCGGCGTCGCTAGTCGTACGGAGAGACTTCTCTCCTTGCCGGCTAGATTTCCCTCCGTCGGTGGACCCTTATTCGGGTCCAAAGTCGCCCTGGAGGGTGCGACTTCGTCGAGGAGGCTGCTGTCTGGTTGAGGAGGAGCGGTGGCTCCTCCAGCTGTCCAGACGATCTCCGAGGGCCAACGGAAAAGAAGATCGGCCAGTAAAATGGCCGATCGCCCTGCCGCTTCAAACCATAAGTCAGAGAACATCTAAGTTGTGAGTGCCCCTGTGGTGAGCCCGGATGAGAACTTTCTTTGTAACTCTCTCTTTTCTATTTTTTTTTTTTATATATATATATACCTGTAAGAGCTTTTGGAACTATTTCCCTGGCTTGGAAAGGAGCTTCTACATTTTTTGGGAAGAAAGGTGTTTTGTAAATATAGAAAAAGACTCTATTTTACTTCTATATATATCTTTTTCTTTGGATACAAAAAAGGAAAAAAGACAGAAAAGGTTTTCTCTCTTTGCAAGAACTGTATTATTTCTTTTCTTATATACTATACTTCAAAAGAGAGAAAAAAGGAATTGATTTTTGGAAAAGACCTTTTTTAATTCATCGAGGACATCTAGTGGCAAAAGTTTGATACTGCAATTTCAGGCTATTTTCTTAAAGATGGAACACTGAACTTCAAAATTCTTTTGAGGAAAAGATAAGCTGTGCAGCTGTGGAAGCTGTGGGGGTGGATGTTTTTTGCATTAAATGTAGCCTCCACAAAAAAGGAAACAAGACCTTCTTTTAAGCATTAGTATTAAAATGGAGAAACCTCAGCCACAATTGAACTATATACTCATATTGGAACAGATTTATGAGGCCACTGCAGAAATATATGCTACAATTAAAAACTATATTTTAGAATTCAGATCCAGAGATTCTACTACATTTGTTCAAATTGATGTCCAGGCTACATCTGACTATGGTATAAATCAAAATATACCAGAAGAGGAATCTATAGAGATAGAAGAGGAACTTATTTCACCTGACAACCCTCTCTTCTGCAACTTAGAGAATCAGAAGAGGCAAAGACTAAGATCTCAAACCATAAAGCAACGACACTGCAAGGAGAAGAGAAAAAGATGTCTATTGCAGAGGAAGGGATTTATATTTTCTCAAAGACTACTACAAGTAACAAAACTGGCTGAAAGGGAAGTGTTGTTATGGAAGCCTGTGTGGCATAGAAAAAAACCTAGAATTAGGCTGAAAAAGAAATTTAAAACTGTTTAATGGATTAAAAGGCAATGCTGGTTTTATGGATTGTTTTAAGGATAATGATTTAGACTTAGAAGTAAGAAAACTACAATTATATACATGTGTGTTTAATTTAGTTAGATGATTTTTTTTTGTTTTATGGAAATTTGTCTGGTACAGAAATATGAAAGTTAAATTTGGAGTGAAAAAAGAAACTTGGCTTTATGGATTGTATTAAGGAAAAAAAATATAATTATACATATTTGTCTCTAATTATACTAAAAATGCGAATCCCGGGTATATTCATGTTGAGAAAAGTAGTCAAACACCGGGATAAATAAAAACAACTGTTTAATAAACTAACAACTGTTCGATAAATTTAGCTTTCGTTAGCTAACTGCCAACGTCATCAGAGTGGGATGCCGGAGGTTTGAAAGCCTGCTCATAAGACTGGCAGTTTTTGTGCTGTGCAGTGATGCGTTCTATGAGCAGAGCACAAAAACTGCCAGTCTTAGGAGCAGGCTATCAAACCTCTGGCATTCCACTCTGATGACATTGGCAGTTAGCCGACGAAAGCTAAGTTTATCAAACAGTTGTTAGTTTATTAAACAGTTGTTTTTATTTATCCCGGTGTTCGACTACTTTTCTCAACAATTATACATATATATTTATATGTTTAAAGAGACTAAGAATGTATTCTTTGGAATAATAGATTGATTTTGAGGGAAATTATGTACTGAAATTGAAAAAACGTTGAGTTTTTAAACTGAAACTTTGAAGTGCTTAATTAATTAGGAGATTTTTGTGTATAATAATATGATTTGATAAGGTATGATAATTAATTGGATGGAATTTGAAGTTTGTGTAATGAATTGAAATGAATTAAGGTTTAACTGTTTTTTTTAACTAAGTTAGTTATTATTGGAAGAAGAAATAAATGAGATTGATGATAAAAAGAGGGATGAGAGAGATTAAGAGCTTGAATATATTTGGAAGAGATATTTGAAGTGATAATCTGTTGATGTAAAACAATATTTGATTATGGTAATTGTAAATTGATCAAGTTTTAAAACAGGTTTAGTAGTAATAGAAATTTAAGCTAGAAATGGAATATATCAAATCTATTATGTTATTTGAGGGAAATAGAGAGATGACAGTGAATGTACTAAGTTGAGCTGTTTATGTATGTTTTGATTTTGGAATGTTTGTTTACCCAAATATCACAGTGTGTCTTAAGTACTTTTTGTTAAAATTAAAAAACCAATAAAATATATTTTTAAAAAATGCTTATCTGAATAAAATAAAATCTTTGAAATTCTTTGTACCGCTGTGTCTATTTGAGCCCAAAACCTTTCCATCAAATTGTCACCCAGACATTCCTTCAATGTGATTTGCACTAACCCTAACCCCACGGTCATCCACCCTGGAGAGGCAGCAGTGTAATTGTATTGAACATCATTGGGCAGAGAAGAGCTTGTAAATGTTGACATTTTGACTTTTCCATAATGGCAAATAAGTGATTCCTCACTCCTGGGCACATCTGGATTATGTAGAACATAGAATCATAGGGCTGGAAAGGACCTCAGAGGTCTTCTAGTCCAACCCCTGCTCAAGGCAGGAGATCCTATAATATTCTGGACAAATAGTTGTCCAATCTTTTCTTGAAAGATTGATTGAGCACTCACAACTCTGGGAGGAAAGCTGATCTATCTGTCATCCATCCAACAATCCAAGCATCCATCTATCCATCTATCTATATCTCTTGGTCTATCTATCTATCTATCTATCTATCTATCTATCTATCTATCACCTATCTATCTATCTATCTATCTATCTATCTATCTATCTATCTATCTATCTATATGTAGGTCTTTGGTTGTTCGGGTTTTCTGCCGCGTAAAATTGGAAGTGTCTTGGCGACGTTTTGACGAAGTCCCATTCGTCATCTTCAGGCTGGTGTTTTCAGCTTCGTGCTTGCTCCTCGAAGCACGAAGCTGAAAGCACCAGCCTGAAAATGACGAATGGGACTTCGTCGAAACGTCGCCAAGACACTTCCAATTTTACGCGGGAGAAAACCCGAACAACCAAAGACATATGTGTGTGTGTGTGTGTGTGTGTGTATCTCTACAGTATCTATCATCTACTGTCTATCTGTCTGTCTGTCTATCTATCTATTTATCATCTATCATCTTCCTATCTACCAACTGTGTCTGTCTGTCTGTCTATCTAGCTAGCTATCTAGCTATCTGTATCTATCTATCTATTTATCTATCTATCTCATCTATGTACATATCTGTATCTATATATCACCTTTCTAATCTATTTATATAATCATAGGGCTGGAAGTAACCCTAGAGGTCTTCTAGTCCAACCCCATGCTAAAGGCAGGAGACTTTACACCTTCCCAGCCAAATAATAACCATAGCCAATCAATTCCTAGCACAACAATTTTGATTACAATAGAATAGACCTGGAAGGGACCTTGGAGGTCTTCTAGTCCAGCTCCCTGCTCAAGCAGGAGGACCTATGCCATCTCAGACAAGTGACTGTCTAGTCTCTTCTTAAAAGCCTCCAGTGATGGAGCACCCACAACCTCTGGAGGCAACTTCTGTTCCACTGGTTGATTGTCCTGAATGTTAGGAAGTTTCTCCTTAATTCCAGGTTGCTTCTCTCTTTGGTCAGTTTCCAACCATTGTTTTATTAATGTTTCTACTTCTCTGAAGTAACAAGTAAGAATATGAAATTCTGGTAAGGACCACTTCTAACCAGTCAGAGACAAGACTTGCCCAAAGAGTTGAAATTGAATAACCTGAAAACTCATTATAATGTTAAAAAAAAAAAAACATCCAGAGAATGCAGATGACTCAAGCTCTCTCGCCGTGTCCCCACACTGAAAAAGTTCCAGCACACCACAAAACAGAGCAGCGATGCCCATCTGCACAACTCCCCTGCTCCACGGAGAACAAAAGCTTTGGCTGCTAAGTCTCCATGTAATCTTTGGCCTTCTATATCAGGGAGAAGCTCACCCCATTCCCATTCAGACAGAGGCTGAGGAAGAACGAGAACTGAAGGTGGGTACTTCTGGAAGGCACCAGGCGTAGAAATTTATGCAAGTCCGGTTCATAAGCTCAAAAGTCCAGAGGAAATTCACTCCATCCTTTTAGTTAGAACAATTAATCAGTGGGACATCTGGTCTCCAGAAGTTGTGGATGCTCCAATACTGGAGGTTTTGGTCACCATGATGTGAAAAAGATGTTAAGACTCTGGGTAAGCAACCTCGGCTCTTTTATGACTCATGGACTTCAACTATGCTGACTCAGGAATTCTGGGAGTTGAAGTCCATGAGTCATAAAAGAGCTGAGGTTGCCTACCCCTGATCTAGGAAGAGGGCAGAGAAGAGCAACAAAGATGATCAGGGAACAGGAAGTTAAAGCATATGAAGAACAGTTGCAGGAATTGGGCATGTCTAGTTTAATGAAAAAAGGACATGATCTCAGGGGCTGCCCCAAAGAAGAGGGAGTCAAGCTATTCTCCAAAGCCCCTGAAGGCAGGACAAGAAGCAACAGATGGAAACTAACCAAGGAGAGAAGCAACCTAGAACTAAGGAGAAACTTCCTGACAGTTGGAACAATTAATCAGTGGAACAGCCTGCCTCCAGAGGTTGTGGGTGCTCCGACCCTGGAATAGGGTCTATTCCCTATTTCAAGAATAGATTGGACAGCCATTTGTCTGAAATGGTATAGAGTTTCCTGCCTGAGCAGGAGTTGGACTAGAAGACCTCCAAGGTCCCTTCCATCTATTATTCTGTCATTCTTTTTTCCTTCCTTCCTTCCTCCCTCCCTCCCTCCAACATTGGAAGTTTTTAAGAAGAGACTGGACAGCCATTTGTCTGAAATGTTATAGGGTTTCCTGCCTGAGCAGGGGTTGGACTAGAAGACCTCCAAGGTCCCTTCCAGTTCTATTCTATTTTATTCTATTCTATTCTATTCTGTTCTGTTCTGTTCTGTTCTGTTCTGTCTTGTCCTGCCCTGTCCTGTCCTGTTCCATTCTGTTATCTCCAAGGTCCCTTCCAACTCTGTTATTCTGTTAGGTGTGGATCTTGGTCTAACTTCCCAGCTCCCAGCCTTTATTCAAAAGTTCCAAAGTTTCCATCAAGAACTCCCAAATGGGAAGCATGTAGACGCTTTGTTGTTCTCCTTTCTGATGCAAGCCATCTCCAGGGACCTGCTACATGCGACATAAACTATGTCTCTTTTTTCAGCAACAGCAACAGCACTGAGATTTATCTCCCGCCCCATAGCTCTTTACAGCACTCTCTGGGGACTTTACGATGTAGAAGCGTTACTAGCACATTGCCCCCAACAATCAGGGTCCTTTGACCATCTTCGGAAGAATAGAAGGCTGAGTAAACCTCAGGATTGAACTCCTGGCAGTGGGCAGAGTCAGCCTGCAGTAGTGCCTTTTAACACTGCGCCAACTTGGGGATCTTGCAAGCAGTAGAAAAAGGAGAAAGGGAAGAATTTCACAACTTCCATCTTCGTCCAGGAGACTCTGACCAGGTGAGGAACACAAAGGGGCAAAGGGAATCCAGCAAGAGAGAGGGTGTGTGGGGGGGGGAGATGAATGCACCCACGAACCGTTTCAGATGGACCCCAACACCACCAGCCCTGGTTAGGAAGACGCCTAAATTGCATGTGGCTTGAGAGAAGAAGCTCACTTTTTTTGTCATGCCTGGTGGAGCAAAGCTTTCTCTTCCCACCTTCTTCCCTTTCCTGTCCCCCCAAAAAGAGAAAAGATCCTGTCAGAAGAATAATTTGGGGTCCCAACTCTTAATCTAACCATCAACACTGATTGGAGGGACATGTCTGTACTTACAACCCTCCTGAACTGAATCCATGAACCAAGAACCATCTCTCCTACCTGGGTTTTTTTTTAATTCATGCAGAGTATTGCTTAATTATTCCAGGTGGCCTTGGGGAAGTCCTGTGGTTCACTCCTGCTTCTGAAGCTTCTTCTTCATGCTTTGGTTTGAAACCAGTGGCTACCCATGAATTCTGCAGCTTGATGGACTTCATGGAAGGTGTCAATCAGACCCTGCAGGTGACCGAATTCTTGTTCTTGGGTTTCTCTGGCATGCCCAGAGGCCGCCCCTTCCTCTTTCTGCTGTTTCAGGTCATCTACCTCATCACTTTGGTGGCCAACTCAATGTTACCCATCTTGATCCAGCTGGATTTGCGCCTCCACAGCCCGATGTACTATTTCCTCAGCCATTTGTCCTGCTTAGACATCTGCTACTCCTCGGTTACCCTCCCCACCATCCTGGTGAACCTCTTGCGCCAGCAGCCCTCCATCTCCTACAACGAGTGCATGGCCCAGATGTTCTTCCTGATGAGCTTTGCAGGGACTGAATCTGCACTGCTGGCTGTGATGGCCTATGACCGCTATGCGGCCATCTGTGAACCTTTGCGCTATTCTCAACTCATGAGTAGGAGGGTGCGAGTCCCTCTGGCTACAGCTTCGTGGATCTGGGGCCTTGTTGACTCTGCCATTCACACTGCATTGGCCACCGATTTGGTCTTCTGTGGAAACAACCAGATCCATCACATCTTCTGTGATGTCCCCCCACTCTTGAAAATTGCCTGCAGTGACACCTACACCAATGAGCTGACTCTTCACACAGCAAGTGTCTTTGTGGGGTTCTGCCCTTTCCTCCTGGTTGTCATTTCGTACGTCTACATCTTATCTACAATTCTGAAGATCCGTTCTAGCACTGGAAGGAGAAAGACCTTCTCCACCTGTGCTGCCCACTTGGCTACCGTCATTGTCTACTTTGGGATGATCAACTTGAATTACAACCGTCCCAGCGTGGGCTACTCCTTGGGGGTGGACACTCTGATCTCCACCCTCTATTGCGTCGTCACCCCCATGCTGAACCCGCTAATCTACAGCATCCGAAACAAGGAGGTCAAAGGGGCCCTACGAAAGCTTCTGCAATCTCAGGAGAAGAACGATGCATCTCCTGGGAAGCATTGAAGGAAAAGACTTGGTCTCCTTCCTAGTCTCTCTGTATATTCTGTCCACCATCAGCAATGATTTCTCCAGACTGACGGGTTGTGTAGTTGTAAATTCAAATATGGCTGATTGGCTCAATGACATTTGGGACTCTACTCGCCATATCCTTCCTTCCTATAACCTCATCTTGATTTAATCATTTAAAGGGGGAAGGGGAAAAAAGATCTGGAGAACTTCCTCCCACCTGCCTGCTCAAGGTATTTCCAGAAGGATCTTTTCCCTCTTCCAGGTCCCCTTGACTTCCACCTCCCTATGCATCCTTCAGATTTTGTCAAACGATGAACCAAAATTCCTGAATGTGCCTCAGCTGTTTGGGAGCCAGTCAGAGACATGGGACAATAGACTCCCAATATTCTAAAATACTAGATTATAATACTATAATTACAAGGCGGAGGCTGTGCGGGACAAGGAGCTGTCAGGCGATGGGTAGAACAGTTGGAATAAAAGGTATCTATCCAGGACAGATGTTATGTTTGTTCTTCTGAATTTTCATTTGTTTCATCCTAAATACATCCAGAAAATCACCATGTGAATGGGACAGTGGGTAGGCAGGAGACCCAAATGTTTCACCAGGAGGAAGAAAGTTCTGATGGTCCACTGCAAGATGAGACAGAACTTTTCCACTTCCCCTACCTCAGGCGAGGTTGTGGACTGTTGTGTCCCTTGGCAAGTAAGACAAGGGCAGTGAAGAAGCTGGGGATGTATAGTTGTACAGATCTTCAGTGCAGGAGCAGATGTCCCTTCTTCATTGATGTGTTTGTCATTCTCTTCTCCTTCTCATTTCTCTTTGCACATAATCAACAATCCTCTGTTTCCCATCCACATTCTTTCTGTGTCCTTCTCTCTCTCTCTCGCTCTCTCTCTCTCTCTCTCTCTCTCTCTCTCCTACGTAGTTCAGATGTAGGCCATCCCTGCTGCATTTAATAGAATAGAATAGAATAGAATAGAATAGAATAGAATAGAATAGAATAGAATAGAATATATGTGTCACAGAATATATGCGGGTACATGCATAATTCTGTATTTATTTATTTATTTTTGTCATATTTATGTGGTGTATATTGGAGGTGGTGATCCTTTCAGAGTTGTATGCAACGAAATTTCATTTTAATGTATGTTGATTGGTGTACATTCAAAGTGACAATAAAGCTATTCTATTCTATTCTATTCTATTCTATTCTATTCTATTCTATTCTGCAAGAGTCTTTAGGAGTGTTAGAGAATGCAGATGACCTCAGGAAATCAACTAACCACATTTCCATATACAGAAGAACTGAAGTGGCAAAGAAATAACAGTGGAGATGTCTACCTCTACTGCTCCCTTGTAGACCCAAAAGCTTTGCTGTGCTCTCTCTCCTACCAGGGTTTCCCTATCTGGGAGCCCCCAAAGTTGGTGTTGAATACCAATAATTCCCAGCCATGCAGACTGAGACGTTATGGGAAGTGAAATCCAAAACATGGGGAAGGTGCTAAGCTAGGAAAGGTAGTTTCATCCCATGTCCTGGATGTTCTGGATTGAGGAAAAGCAGAAGATACTTAGTTCTCCCCTGAGAGTCCCTCCTTCTGGGGGAGGAGGCAGTCCTGGGTTCGAGCTTTCCACCCTTTGCCCTTCACTCCATCCTTCCCGGGAGGAACCCCCAGGGTGCAACTACTTCGCTTTTCTGTTTGTGGTGCATGTATTGATCTCCAGGGACAGTCAGATGCCGTAGATATCGTCTCCCTTCTTTAGCCGGCATTGGCTCCGAGGATGACGCAGACAAGGTTTGGGGCACCTGATACCTCAAAGAGGCTCGGAGGAAGAAGCAGAGACCCCCTCAGGGCAGAAGAGGAGAACTTCCCAATTCCCCCCCACCCCCTTTCCTTAGTTCTGACTGAATGGTGGTGGAGGAGGGGTTTATATGCCTTGCAGTCACCTGGTCATTAGCGCTCTCTCTGAGAGTCCTTGAGGCCACCTGGAAGTTTATCTGTGCCCTCAAGAGATCGATACGACTCCACCTGTCCCCCGATGCACACAACCGTGGGGAGCCCAGAGTGCAATGGAGCCCCTCCAGCGGCTTATTTAACCGTGTGTGGTAGCTGGGGGAGGGTATTGGGTTTTTTAATCTTTCTTATTTTTATTTTCTATTTTGTCTTTTTATTGTTTGCAAGCCACCTAGAGTTGCTGTGAGTAGGCAGCTATATAAATGTTCTAAAATATAAATAAACAAACAAACAAACATGAATGAATGAAAAATAAAATAAATAAAATAAAATAAAATAATAAAATAAAAATATAACATAACATAACATAACGTAATATATAAAACAAATAAAATAAAATAAAATAAAAAAATAAAATAATAAAATAAAATAAAATAAAATAAAATATAAAATAAAATTAAAAAAATAAAATTAAATAAATAATAAAATAAAATAATAAAAATAAAATAAAATAATAAAATTAATAAAATAAAATAAAAAATAAAATAAAGTAAAACAAAATAATAAAATTAATAAAATAAAATAATAAAATAATAATAATAAATAAATGAATGAATAATGAAAAATTAAAAATTAAAAAAATAAAATAATTAAAATAAAATAAAATAAAATAATAAAAAATAAAAATAAAAAATAAAATAAAATAAAATAAAAATAAAAATAAAATAAAATAAAAATAAAATAAAATAAAATAAAATAAAATAAAATAATAAAATAAAATAAAATAATAAAAAAGAGCAGAGGTGGCGCAGCAGTTAGAGTGCAGTATTGCAGGCCACTTTAGCTGACTGTGTTCAGCAGGTCAGCGGTTCAAATCTGACCGGCTCAAGGTTGACTTCCGGGGTAGGTAAAATGAGGACCCAGATTGTTGGGGGCAATGTAAATATATATATACGTTGCTTACTGGTGTATACCGCTTAGAGAGTGCTTGCACTTAAAGCGGTATATAAGTCTCATAAATAAATAAAATAATAAAATAAAATAAAGTAAAGTAAAATAAAATAATAAAATAAAATAAATAAAAAAATAAAACAAATAAAATATAAAATAAAATAAAATATAAAATAAATAAATAAATGTGAAATTCTCATAAGGACCAGTTCAAACCAGCCAGAGACTAGAATTGCCCATAGTTTGAATTTTAATAACCTGAAAACTCACTGTAATGTAAAAACCAAACTCAGCGAATATACAGTTGGGCATTAGCAAGATCATGCTAAGAATATTATGGGATGATACAAACTGTTATACATAAAGCTACTGAGCATGCTCACTGGATCATGGTTAAATGATGTGGACCAATGGAAGAACACATTCCAAACCCAATTTGTTTGCATATAAAATGATTCCCCGTCTTTCTAAGTTGCTCCTCATCTCTTATCCGTGAGGTGCCTCTTCTTCCTTAGGCATAAATAGAACAAGGTTAATCCTATTCGGGCTTACAAATCTTGCTTCTGGCTAATCATGTAAACATAGAAATGTCTTTTTGCCATGGTTTCTCAATATCAGCACCGTCTCAAATCCAAATAGCATCTTTAATAAAACATTCATCTTAATTACGGAAATCCTACCCAGTAAAGATAATTGCACTTTGTCTGATCATAGTAAGTCTTTTTCAATATCATTCAAAACAGGCACAAACCTATTCTGAAGCAGTTTAGAATTTGTATTGGCAACGTAGCCCCAAAGATATTTCATCTTTTTCTCCACCTCCAAAGTTTCATAGTCTTGAAATCATGGTTATATTCTTAACCAGCATTTTTGTTTTCTGTTTATTTAGTTTGAAACTTGCTAAAGCTCCAAAGTCATGGAGTTTTCTCCTCAGATATTCCGTTGTCCTTTCTGGGTCTTGCAGAAATACAACTAAATCATCAGCAAGAGAGTCCCGCCTTGGTTTTTTAGAAAAGAGCTCCATTTGTGCGAAAGTCCAACTGGTTACAGCAGCGGTTCTTAACCTTTTTGAACGAATCGCCCCCTTGAGCCAATGAGGAAGTTGTCATCGTCCCCTCCCCCAACATAACCTCTCAATCACAACCTAGGAAATAATTCTTCGATTTATGCAAACACTTTTTTTGTTTTCTTTAAAATTGTCATCAGGACATATCGATGCAAATAATTTATTTCCAGTCTTTTTCCCATATCTCAACTGTGTGAAAAAATTTTGGTGCCACCCGTCACTTTATTCCCAAACTTCGTGCTACATGTATTTCATTATTATCTTATTTATTCAAGACACTTCAATGTAGTGGCCACTGAAAAAAAAATTCAATGGCAAGAAAGTGAAATGCCCGAAAAGAAAAACAGTAACATTTAATGATTGAATTACAAGTGAAATTTAAGATGCAAAAAGAAATATAAAAAGGGCATAAGAACAAACCGCAATGCAGGAACTAAGAATTTCAAGACGAAAACTCTGAAACTAAATTAAGATTCGAGGAAAGTATATATAGTCACGCACACTGTAAAAAGGATTAAAAAGACACAAAGAAAATATAATATCGAACTGGAGTGCACGCTAAAAAAGTACAATACAAAATGTTTTACAGAGCCACTCAGCATGTGATGTTTTGAAAGAAGCACTCCCCCCTCCATCAGATATACAGCGATTCACTGTACAAAAAAGTCTCAAAAGTGTCCCCAAAACTTCTCGCTCCATCGCCCCCATATCGCCCCCTTTTCATTCCTTCGCCCTGGCGTCATCCCTTTTCATTCCATCGCCCCCTTGAAAAACAAAATCGCCCCCTGGGGGACGATATCACCCAGGTTAAGGACCTCTGGGTTACAGTACAGCAAAGCCAGAACTAATATTTACACGTGAAGTTTTCCTACTTAATTTTCCTTTCCCATTCCTCCCCCCCCCCCATTATCTCTTTATTGTCCAGTTACATTCAAAGGATTTGTTTTGCTAACGGTCCCTGCGTTGGCAGGTTAGATGGTGAGCTGTTGAACTAAGGAGAAACTTCCTGACAGTGAAAACAATTAAGCAGTGGAACTACCTGCCTCCAGAAGTGGTGAATGCTCCAACACTGGAAGTTTTTAAGAAGAGACTGGACAGCCATTTGTCTGAAATGGTGTAGGGTTTCCTGCCTGAGCAAGGGGTTGGACTAGATGACCTCCAAGGTCCCTTCCAACTCTTAAATGGTTCAACCAAAATGGCGACATAGGAAGGAAGGATATGGCCGGTAGAATCCCACGGGCATTGAGCAAAGGAGCCCTGTTGAAATTTGCAGCTACACAACGCCTCATTGAGGTAAAACTGTTGTCGATCTATAGAGAAGAATATGCAGAGAAGGTAGGAAGGCGATCCCATTGTTTTCCTTCACTGTCTTCCAGGAGATGCATCGTCCTTCTCCTGAGTGCACAGAAGTTTTTGTAGGGCCCCTTTGACCTCCTTGTTCCGGAGGCTGTAGATTAGGGGGTTCAGCATGGGGGTGACGATGCAATAGAGGATGGAGATCAGAGTGTCCACCCCCAAGGAGTAGCCCGCACTGGGACGGTTGTAATTCAAGTTGATCATCCCATAGAAGAGGATGACGGTAATCAGGTGGGCAGCACAGGTGGAGAAGGTCTTTCTCCTTCCACTGCTAGAGCGGATTTGCAAAATGGAACGTACGATGTAGACATACGAAATGACAACCAGGAGGAACGGGCAGAGCCCTACAAAGATACTCGCAGTGTGAAGAGCCATCTCGTTGGTGTAGGTGTCACTGCAGGCAATTTTCAAGAGTGGGGGGACATCACAGAAGATGTGATGGATCTGGTTGTTTCCACAGAAGGCCAAATCGGTGGCCAACGCAGTGTGAAAGATAGAGTCAACAAGACCCCAGATCCACGAAGCCGTGGCCAGAGGGATCTGCACCCTGCTACTCATGAGCTGAGAATAGTGTAAGGGTTCACAGATGGCCGCATAGCGGTCATAGGCCATCACAGCCAGCAGTGCGCATTCAGTCCCTGCAAAGGTCATCAGGAAGAACATCTGGGCCATGCACTCGTTGTAGGAGATGGTGGGCTGCTGGTGCAGGAGGTTCACCAGGATGGTGGGGAGGGTAACTGAGGAATAGCAAATGTCTAAGCTAGACAAATGGCTGAGAAAATAGTACATCGGACTGTGGAGGCGCGAATCCAGCTGGATCAAGATAAGTATGACTGAGTTGGCCACCAAGGTGATGAGGTAGATGGCCAGGAAGAGCAGAAAGAAGAAAGGTTGACCTCTGGGCATGCCAGAGAATCCCAGGAACAAGAATTCGGTCATCTGCAGGGTCTGATTGCCCCCTTCCATGAGGTCCATCAAGGTTAGCTGCATGGAAAAGATTGGAAAGTGGCAGAATTTAGGAGGGATAGAAATAGCAATAGGACTTATATACTGCTTCACGGTGCTTTATAGCCTTCTCTAAGCAGTTGATAGAGTCAGCGTATTGCCCCCAACAATCTGGGTCCTCATTTTACTGACCTTGGAAAGATGGAAGGCTGGGTCAACCTTGAGCCCCATCAAGATCAAACTCCTGGCTGTGGGCAGAGTTTGCCTGAAAAACAGCATTTTAACTACTGCATTATCACGACTTTATGGGACCAATGGAAAAGTGTAAAATAATTGTAACAGTTTATAACATCATGATTTGAAATAACCTCCTCGTTAGTTAAATTGAATTAAAAGACTCGAGTCATTAATTACTCTTATAAGAGCCAAGCTGATCTTGTTGGCCTTTGGGAAAAAACAGAATGAAGCAGAAATGGATCTCTTGGTCCATTTATTTCAATGGGAGCAGGAAGATTTACATCGATCCACTTATAGGAAGATAAAAAAAATACTCTTTTCAATCTCATAGTTTTGTCAAAAGCAAATAACTCCAGCATTTGGATAGCCTTTCTCAATCTTCCACACCAAAATAAGAGATCAAAAATGTGATGCAGGGCTTTTTTTTTTTTTTTTTTTTTTTTTTAAAAGAGAAAACAGGATACTGATTGAACATATGGATATTAAGTGCAAATGCAGTTAAGATATGTTTTGGTTGGAAAAGTTATCTAAAACTGACATTGATATTATGAGAAAAATGTAACAAAAGATGTTGACATTCAGCTGTATATTCATTAACAACAATAAGAATTGTATTTGCCTAGTGTGGGAGTACTGGAAGAAGAAAGAAAACATTTGATGGTGGAATATTGAATCTAAACTGAAGAAACTAATATATACCACTGACTAATGGACCCAGACAATAGGTTGTCTGTTAAATATTTGACTGTAAAACTAGAAAATTAATAAAATATTTATTTAAAAAAAAGAAGGTGATGCAAGGAAAAGATCAAGAGAACTTTGTGCAGCTGATCAAAAAGAGCAGATGCAACCTTGGGGATCGTAAGGAGAGGATCCTAATCACCGTGCAAATTTCCTTTCAGCCACAAATGGAGATTTGGGTAGTCCCTGCATTTGGGGGGGCGTGAGCAAAAAATAAACACATCAGGAATTATGACCTTGTGCATGGTGTGAAGGTACAAGCTGCCTCTGATCCCATGCACAGAGTGTGTGTGTGTGTGGGGGGTGATCCCTACTGCTGATGGCATAGGGGGGTCTTTTCCTTCTTGCATTAAGGGCTGCAAGAAAAACTCCGGAGTGAGAACAAAGGACAGTTCCTGGTTGAACCTGGGAGTGGCTGCTTTCACACAACCATTATCACCAAGTCCACTCATGTCACTCTCTGGAGCCGAATCACAATATGGTGAGCTTACACAACACAATCGCGGTGTTTGCACACAAATGCCCTTCCTGTGCAACATTGCACAGCTGGGAGAGTTTCTGCCACATCCCCAATGATACAGATCCCCCCCTTTCTTGCTAAGGGGGTTGTGTGAAGCCGCAGCCAAGAAGAGACGGTCCTCCTTGAATTTATTCTGCCCCTCCCTGGAACCTCACTTAAAACTCACCCAGGCAGCCCCAACCCTCCTTCTGATGGACTTCAAGGTGCTCATGGGTTTCCTGGTTTGATCAATGACCGCCTCATGATGGTCCTCAGGAGGATTCCAGCTTCTTCTCCTGATCAGCAAATCCTCCTCTGGAATTTGTCTTCCTCTCCTCACCCCCAAAACGTCCGTTGCTTTCCTACCCCTGCGAGGATCTTCCCAAATTCCTTTCCATCACAGGCAACTTCTTTCTCAAACACATCTAGAAAGGGGTTTTCCCTGGTGTATGTGCGTATATTTGTGTCTCTGTATGTGTGTGTTTAAAGGGGAGATTAAGAGGCATGGGGAGCTTGGTACTCAGTAGATGATCCAAGAATCCCACCCCAAAATATTGGACTTGGACACCAAGAAGTCAATTTCCACCATTCCCACCTTTAGGCTCAGGGGGTCTCCAGGGAGAAGGTCCAGGTCCTCCCCTGTCTCCTCACCACCAACACCCCATTTTAGATATTTTTTTCCTCTCCTAGGCATGAGGAAAGAACGAGACTTAATTGAAGAGTCTGAATCAGAGGCAATTTATGTACCTTACGGAGTGATAAAAAGGCTGGTTTAAAAAGGGGTGCATAGTAAATATCTCCTCCACCATCCCACCATCCACCACCCCACCCCCTGCTGCCAAAGGGGGCTTGGCCAGTTGTGAGGTCCTTCGCTCTCATCTTTCTTTGGGGTCTCCTCACCTTGTAAAAGCTTCCAGGATGAAGCTGCTGCTTGTCCTTCTGCAACTTTTGGAAGTGGAGACAGGAAAACTCTCTCCGTGGCCGTCTGTGGGACCCAAAGGTGCTACAGAAAGGGGGGGGGAGGAATTTGGAAGTTCTCCTCTTCTGCTTCTTCCTCCGAGCCTCTTTGAGGTATCAGGTGCCCCAAATCTTGTCTGCATCACCCTCGGAGCCAATGCTGGCTAAAGAAGGGAGACGATATCTACGGCATCTGACTGTCCCTGGAGATCAATACATGCCCCACAAACAGAAAAGCGAAGTAGTTGCACCCTGGGGGTTCCTCCCTGGAAGGATGGAGTGAAGGGCAAAGGGTGGAAAGCTCGAACCCAGGACTGCCTCCTCCCCCAGAAGGAGGGACTCTCAGGGGAGAACTAAGTATCTTCTGCTTTTCCTCAATCCAGAACATCCAGGACATGGGATGAAACTACCTTTCCTAGCTTAGCACCTTCCACATGTTTTGGATTTTAGTTCCCATAACGTCTCAGTCTGCATGGCTGGGAATTATGGGTATTCAACACCAACTTTGGGAGTTGGGAAACCCTGGTAGGAGAGAGAGCACAGCAAAGCTTTTGGGTCTACAAGGGAGCAGTAGAGGTAGACATCTCCACTGTTATTTCTTTGCCACTTCAGTTCTTCTGTATATGGAAATGTGGTTAGTTGATTTCCTGAGGTCATCTGCATTCTCTAACACTCCTAAAGACTCTTGCAGAATAGAATAGAATAGAATAGAATAGAATAGAATAGAATAGAATAGAATAGAGTAGAGTAGAGTAGAGTAGAGTAGAGTAGAGTAGAGTAGAGTAGAGTAGAGTAGAGTAGAGTAGAGTAGGAAATATGGAATGGAATGGAGTATAGAGTAAAGTAGAGTAGAGTAGAATAATTTTATTGCCACTTTAAATATACACTAATCAGCATACATTAAAATGAGATTTTGTTACAAATCTAAATAAATCTAAATAAAGAGCAGCAGAAACAGTAATTGACATCCTGGTCTCCACCCTGTATTGTATTGTCACCCCCATGCTGAACCCCCTAATCTACAGCCTCCAAAACAAGGAGGTCAAAGGGGCCCTACAAAAATTTCTGAGCATTCAGGAGAAGGACGATGCATCTCCTGGAGGACAATGAAGGAAAAACTAGATCTCCTTCCTAACCCTTTCTGCTGGCTGGCTGGCTGGCTGGCTGGCTGGCTGACTGGATGGATGGGTGGATGGATGGATGAGCGAGTGGGCAGAGAGATGGACAGATGGACGGACGGACGGTTGGATGGATGGATGGATGGGTGGGTGGGTGGGTGGATGGGCAGATGGATGGATGGATGGAGACTGGGGGAAGATGTCTATGGAGATTCTCAATCATCCAGGTCATGGCTGTCCCAAAGGTGTTTTTCCAAAAGGCAGCTGGACTCTCTTGGTTTTTTTCCTTAATCTTTTGCTTCTCATCTTAAAACTGAAAAAGCTTCTTGGACATCTTCAAAGGGAAAACCCTGAAGAAAGTCCAGTTGCCTTTTGAAAAAGCATTTTTGGGACATAATGGAGGAAGGCTGTCCTGCCTGGGATCTCCAGTGACAAAGCTTTGATTGATTTCACCAGAAAGAGCACCAGACACCACTGTATTTTGTAGCTACAAATATGCTATTTCGTACATCGAAAGGTAACTGGGAAATTAAACACCGATGGATTAAAATATATTTATGTTGCTTATGGTTTAATATACTTCCTCTGTTTTCCAGTGGCTGGCGTGCAAGCCATGAGGATAAGAGAACAAGAGATCTCACAGGTTTTCTCTTGGTCCATGAGAGGTTTAGCCAAGATGGAATTGGGAGCCCCAGAAAGATGGAGCATGGGAAGGTTGTGGGGATCCAGTTCCAAAGATTGAAGAAACCAGGTTCAGAAAACACCGCATGACGAGAAGAAGAGGAGGACAGACCCTGGAGATGTACAATTGCTCTTGGAAGGAAAACGCATCTGACTGTTCCATGCAAGAGGAGGCAGGTCTTCTCCACTTTTCCCTACCTCAGGAGAGGGTTGTGGTCTGGTTGTGTCGCACAGCAAGTAAGACAAGGGCGCTGGAGAAGCAGGGGATGGGTGCTTCCACCATTGGGCAGATCTTCACGAAAGGAGCTTCACATAGTTAGCGGGGAATAGGCCAACTCTACCCCCGCAAGATCCACGCCACCAGCCCTCGTCTACCCGTTCGATGGATGTGATGGTATCTCCAGGGTCAAAGGAAATCTCATCATCCCCCTCTGGAAAAAAAATGGAGAGGGTCTTAACTAGCAGGCAACACTTGTTCAGGCCAAGGGTAAGCATTTTCCTGGCAGAACAATTAATCAGTGGAACGGTTTGCCTCAAGACGTTATGGGTACTCCAACACTGGTGGTTCTTAAGAAGAGACTAGACAACCACTTGTCTGAAATGGTATAGGGTACTCCCGCTGGAGCAGGGGGTTAGACTAGAAGACCTCCAAGGTCCCTTCCAACTCTGTTATTCCTCACCCATCATAGCTACCTCCGTGCGCTTCCCAGTCCCCATTATCCAGAAGAATTGACCTACCTCCTTGATAGTCATAAAGGGCCAGGGCAGATAGGCTTCCTTCACTCACATCATATATATGCTCTTCAACAGCTGAAAAAGAAATTTGTGGAGATGGAGTATCTTATTATCACCATCATGTGAATTATCCTGACTCTTACCCAGCGCAGTTAACTTGAAAACAGAGTTGAAGATCAGCCACCACACAGAGAAGGTCCCTCTTCTTGGTCCCACCAGATGGAGCTTCTTAAGAGAGGGGAACTCATAACATACCCTATGTTCTGAAGTGACCTTCTCTAGCCCAGTTTTCATAAACCAACAACCAGGACATACTACAAATTTACATCAAGACTTGAGTCTCCAGGGTGAAGGTAAAGTTCACCCTGTTCAACCAGCTTGCCCTCTTCCTCTTACCTGAAGAAGTCATTCCTTCAGGATAACCACTGCAGAGGTCCTCATATTCCTGGTCCACTTCAGCACTGTCATCATTGGAGACTTCCTTGTGATCCGGCATTTCCTCATAATCCCCTCCTTCTTCATCAACGAAGGGAGGAGGTTCCGGACGGTCCAGATTTTCAATCACCTCCTCGTAATCACCACCATCTTCGATGCTTTCCGTATAGATGGGCTGCTCCTGCTCCTGGTCCTGGTCCTGGCCAGAAGGTGGGAGAGGAGGTTCTCTGGTGCCACCTTGCAAGTCCAGGCCCCGTGGAGGAAGAACTGGAGGATTATCCTCTTCTTCTTCTTCTTCTTCCTAGAAAAAGAAGAATCACGTCCCTCAACAAATTCACTTCATGTCAAGTCTACTCTTTCTGGAGGAACCAGAATTTGACTAGAGGGGCCCACCAGGACAATCTTTTGTTCATAATGACAGACAGCAAAAGTGCACACTATATGACACTGTATGACTTACAACCACAACTGAGAGGTCCTTGGTGTTCTCTGAGCTTGGCAGTTTTCTTGCAGACTTTTCATGACCCAACTAGGTAACATCTTCTGTGCTTAGGAGCCTTCGATTCTTCTAGCCTTGATGATGTTGCCCGGTTGGGTAATGAAATGTCTGCAAGGAAGCAGCCAAGCTCAGAGAACATCAAGGACCCCTCAGATGCACAGAAGCTGTCTGGAAACCAAGAACTTTGTAAGCATGTTTCCCTTTGATAGCAGCAATGTTGTGAATTCACATTCAGACATTACACTCTCCATCTTCCCTACCTGGTGTTCGGGAGGCAGAGGGGGCAGGTTGCCCTTTCTGTGCATCTGTCTAGGCACCGACGGAGGGCTCTGAACTCGCTCTTCACTCCTCTTCATTCCCTTAAAGGAGAAAGGACATTCAGCAGTTTGGCCCTGCAGGCCAATCTTTCTTTGATTTTCCTCCATAGCAGAAGAAACTGATAATGTACAGACTACTAAGGGCCCATGTCTTCCCAAAGAAACGTTTCCATTTGCAATAGTGGTGAACATCTGTAGCTCGTGTGTAGGATGAGGGTGAAGGTTCGTTCTCCGAGCTTGTGGGTTGATTTCCGAACATTTCGTTACCAGGCTAGCTAACATCTTCAACAGAGTTTAGGGCAGTGGTTCTCAACCTTTTTAATGCCGCGACCCCCAACCGGTCGTAAGTCAAGGACTACTCAACCGGTTGTAAGTCGAGGACTATTCAACTGGTACAGCACCGTTTGCAGAATGGGACTTTTGGCGGGCTCAACAGGGCAGAGACAGCCTGGACAATTCCTATTGGCTTTTGAAAGCCAATAGAATTAGACTCTATTCAAGAGAGTCTATTCTATTGGCTTTCAAAAGCCAACAGAATAAAAGGGAGTAGCTCAGCTAAGGAAAAGGGGGAAAAAATGGCAGACTGCGTTGTTTGGTGACCCCCGTGAAATGGTCGTTTGACCCCAAATGGGGTCCCAACCCACAGGTTGAGAACCACTGGTTTAGGGGATGTCGGTGTCAGTGCTCTTCTATTTATGAGGGCTTCAGGTGTGGGTGTGTGGAGTGATGGGTCTTGTGATGGGTCAGGTGTCAGTCATCAGTGAGAGGCTTGTGATAGGTCTTGCGATGGGGAGGTCACATCAGGTGAGGGTCATTGGGAGGTGAACTGCTGGTGATTGGGGGATTGCGCGGGATGGTTGAGGGTCGGTGCTGTCTCTGATTAGCTAGGTGGTTGATTTGGATTCTGGGGGGTTCGTAGGCTGGTTGTAGGTCAATGTGTCTGTTTTTCCATTCTCATGAGAAGAGGGGGACGTCTCCGAAAAGGTCCTTCAGGGTAGAGATCACCACAGTCTTCTGGCATTTGTTGGCCTCATTGACTCCCTTAGACAGCTTTAAGAGCATGGGTAGCCCTCAACTTGCAACAATTCATTTAATGACTATTTGAAGTGACAACAGCATGGGAAAAAATGACTTATGACCATTTTTCACACTTACAACCACTGCAGCATCCCCACGGTCACATGATCAAAATTCAGTCATTTGGCAACTGACTCCTATTTATGGTGGTTGCGATGTCCCAGGGTTATGTGATCCCCTTTTGTGACCTTCTGACCAACAAAGTCAATGGGGAAGCCAGATTCACTTCATAACCGTATTACTAACTTAACAACTGTGGTGAGTCACTTAACCCAGGGGTGTCAAACTGCCGGCCCGTGGGCCGGATGCATCATAGCGAAACCACACCCACTCCATTGCCAGCAATGGAGAAAAAAGTCACGATACGTCACAACACGTCACGTGACATTGCGAGTTTGATACCCCTGACTTAACCAGTGTGTCAACTAAGGTCATAAAATGGGACAAAACTCATTTAACAACTGTCTTGATTAGCAACTGAAATTTTGGGCTTGATTGAGGACTATCTGTAGTCTACTCATGGAGTGAAGATGAAAACACATGGCTAACTGGCCCCATGAAAATCAGCTTCACTTCACCAATTTTCTTGAAAAGCCAAACTTTTTTTCCCTTTTTTTTTTCTTTTTATTATTATTATTTTCTTCTTTCCTCTTTTCTATTGTTCTTTTATATATATATATATATTACCTTTAATTATTTTATAACTTGTTTAAGTAATGTATTTAGATTTGTTTATAGTTTTATAACTTATATTGAAAAGTTAATTTTCTTTTCATATTTTTTACGTATTTCTTTTCTTCTTCTTTTCTGGTATTTATGTTTTTCTTTTTTTACATATATATTGTTGTTAATTATTTAGTAATTTGTTTAAGTAATGTATCTAGATTTATTTATATTTTATACTTTTCTTAAGATTTTTTGAAGAAACTCTAATTAAGCCTATATCCAGCTCTGGGATAGTCGGGGGAGGGAAGGGGAGGGTTGGGGAGGGATGGGGAAAACTGTTTTGTTTTTGTATTGTAAAACCTTATAAATTTTCAATAATAATAAAAAAATCAGCTTCACTTCTGTGAAGTTGTGGTAACACTTAGTAACAATCCTAAGCCAAGAAGGACTTAACCCCAGAGGTCAGCTTGAGATGACTGATGGAGAACATGTCTTGTCAAGATTCTCACCTTTGACTTCTCTTGGGCTTCCTGAAGTTCCTGGGACTGGCGACGACGGGCTCGTTCCTCTTCTGCCCTCTTCTTGTCCTCTTCCTCTGCAGTCTTGGCCATGTTTTCAAAACGTTGCCTCAAGTTACCCATCCCAGCAGAAGCTGTTTCCAATGAGAAGGTCAATAGAGAAGATTCAGAATTATAAGAAGAAGCTTCCTCCATCTCCCAATCAAAAGGAGACGCAGAAATTGTCCCTGGTGGGATTGTGTAGGTCCTCTGAATGACTGGTCTTCAGAAGAGTGCTATGAAACATCCAGTCTCTCCTCAAACCAGGGCTGTCCAACCTTGGCAACTTTAAGACCTGTGGACTTCAACTCCCAGAATTCCACAGCCAGCTTGTCTGGCTGGGGACTTCTGGGAATTGAAGTCCACAAATCTGGCCGGGGGATTCTGAGAGTTGAAGTCCACCAATCTTAAAGTCTGAGAGTTGAAGTCCACACATCTGACTGGGGGATTCTGAGAGTTGAAGTCCACCAGTCTTAAAGTGACCACAGTTGGACACCCCTGCCTTGAATCTTCAAGTGAAGGGGAGCCACCCTTCACTCTGACAAAGCCATCTGAAAGGGCCTCCTCCTTTGTGTAGGGTTCAAATGGGTTCCCCTTGGGATTACCCCCTGTGAGGTCAACACCAGCAATACTTGCTAGCATCTTCCAAGTTAAATTGTTTGGAATCTGTGAATCTCAAGGGTTGTGTAGCCATCATCCTAGCCACTGAGCGTTTTTCATGGGGGACAAATTGGGTCTTAGAAGAGTTGCAATTGATTAAATCAGTGTTTCTCAACCTTGACCATTTTAAGGCATGTGGACTTCAACTCCCAGAATTCCACAGCCAGCAATGCTGGCTGTGGAATTCTGGGAGTTGAAGTCCACATGCCTTAAAATGGTCAAGGTTGAGAAACACTGGATTAAATCAAGGAGATATTTGGCCACAGAAATATCATCTTATCGGAACGATCCCATAGATTTGCAACAGAAAATGGTGGGTTGTTTTTTTTTTAATTTTGATGTCTGGCATTCCTCTTGATTTATGGGAGATGTTTTTCTCTCTGTTTGATTGCTTTACTCTTTCTGAAGGAAAACAGGTGCAGGAAGTAACCTGAGTTCCTCCCTATAGTAACTTGAGATCCTCAGCTACGAATGTGCGTGTTTATGTCATCTGTTGATTACGCAATAATATCTCCCACCTTTCTGAGATGTATCAATGGGAGTGCACCTCTTTGTTGGGGGGGGGCTCTCCCTCTTTGGAGGGAGTCCCACCAGCACCTGCTGTTTAATCAAAGCTATGGGAAACCTGGATTGTTTGCACTGGGTCCTGCGTTCGATTCCACATTCAGCATCCACGGACGTCTTGCCAAGGATGAGAAAGGGGCATTTTCTTGCTCTGCGTGAGATCTCCCTCTCCTTCCCAGGTGCTGATGGATAAACTTACCAGCCTCTACAGGTTTTGTCTTTTGATATGAGGAAAGGGGAGCTTCCATTTCACCAAAACTGGCAGCGCTCTGCAAGAGAAGTCAGGGGAAACCGATAAAAAGAGAATATTTGTAGCTCAGGGATGGTGCTGTCTGCGATTGATGGTTTCCTTGCAGATGTTTCATTACCCAACTAGGGAACATGATCAATGCTACAAGGAAGGGGGGTTGTGGAGAGGAGGAGGTGGGGGAGGGGAAGGAGGAGGAGGACCGTGGTGTCCTTGTTGCTCTCTGAGCTGGGTGGTTTTCTTGCAAATGTTTCATGACCCAACTAGGGAACATCATCAGTGCCAGAAGGGAATTGGGTTTGTAAAGTGGGGGGAGGGGAGGGGAGGGGAGGGGAGGGGGGAGGAGAAGGTGAAGGAGGACTGTGGGGTCCTTGGTGCTCTCTGAGCTTGGTGGTTTTCTTGCAAATGTTTCATGAGCCATCTAGGGAACATCATCAGTGCTAGAAGGGAGTGGGGTATGTAGAGAGGAGGAGGAGGAGGAGGAGAAAAAGAAGAAAAAGAAGATGGAGAAGGAGAAGGAGAAGAAGAAGAAGAAGGAGGAGGAGGAGGAGGAGGAGGAGGAGGAGGAGGAGGAGGAGGAGGAGGAGGAGGAGAAGGAGAAGGAGGAGAAGGAGAAGGAGAAGAAGAAGAAGAAGAAGAAGAAGAAGAAGAAGAAGAAGAAGAAGAAGAAGAAGAAGAAGAAGAAGAAGAAGAAGAAGAAGAAGAAGAAGAAGAAGAAGAAGAAGAAGAAGAAGAAGAAGAAGAAGAAGAAGAAGAAGAAGAAGAAGAAGAAGAAGAAGAAGAAGAAGAAGAAGAAGAAGAAGAAGAAGAAGAAGAAGAAGAAGAGGAGGAGGGGGAGCTTGGTTGTTTTCCTGCAGACGTTTCATGACCCCTCTGTGGAACATCCTCTGTGGTTGTCCCACTCTCTTCTAGCACTGAAGTTAAAGCCCACAAATCTTCAAGCTGCTGAGGTTGGCAAACCAATCTAGATTTATTACGCCCATTCCTGATTTATCTTCTCCCTGGAGAATCTGTAAGTCACATCAAACAGATTTTTCTCTTTCTAGGTCAGGTTGGAAATGGCTGGAAGGCTGCTTAAGGTCAAAAAAGACAACATGGATCTCATGCACAGACACACAGATTCCCCAGCTCCCATTTTATAGGGACCCCCCATGTAAGATGCAGATATAACAAGCAGTGGGGCTCCCATCATGCAGAAGTAGACAATATCTTGACATTTTTTTACTTCCCTGTGTACCCCCGGGTAGCATAAGGAGGAACCCTGGCTCTAATGAATGGGATATGTAGTCCAACATATAGGGGGAAAGATTGGCAAAGCTTCTCCTGAAGTTTTGATATCATGAGAATAAAATCAAGCAATGGGGCTAGAATTAGGGGAAGCACTGATGATAGAGAGTTGGAAATGGGCAAATGTCCTCCTCAGCAGCTTCTTCCAACCATCCAGACCCAGCTGAGCCCACCCCAGGTTCAACCTCCATTTACCTTGTCCACTCTGTCTTTCTGTACCCCATAACGGCCTCCAAAGCCCTGGGAATAGTCTGCAATAGAGAAAATAGCCAACTTTTTTTTAGAGAAGGTGGAAGCATGAGTTGAACCCAGAAGTCTGAGCTTAAAGTCCTTTCTTATCAGTTGCCTGTGCAGCTGTCTACCTTGAGGGGCTTGACACTACGTCAAGAGAGTTCCCCAAAAGTGCTTTTCCCAAAGGGCAACCGGACTTCCTTAATTTTTTTTTTTTAATTTGAAAATGTTTCATTTCTCACCCAAGAAGCTTCTTCAGTTCTTCAGAACTAAGGAGAATTGAAGAGGCTTCTTGGATGAGAAGAGAAATGTTTTCAAAGAAAAAAACCAAGGAAGTCCAATTGCCTTTTGGAAAAAGCACCTTTGGGGCAACTATGACCTGAATGATTGAGAACCTCCAGAGATATTAGAAGAGTTGGCATAGATGAAGCTGATGATTTAATTTTAAACACCAGTAACCACCTAAGAAGTATGAACTTCTTCTGCATGTTGACATACCGGGATCACTTAGCACACTTAAAACTAGACTGCAGATTCCATAATACATCCCATCTCCTTCCCTAGTCCCACCTAGGACTCGTGGGCTTGACCGTCTCCTTTGATGTCCAGCCCAGGCTAGATTGAGTGTGACTGAGTCCTTCTGTACCACCAGTGTCTGCCTAAACTAGCTGTGTGGATACAGCAGATTTCAGAAAAGCAGAGATTCAACCAAGGTGGCTAGAATTTGTGTTCTGGTGGAGTTCTGCAGATGCCAGCTGCCTCTCTATAGTAGATGCAAATAACAGAGTAACAGAGTTGGAAGGGATCTTCTAATCCAACTCTCTTCACAAGCAGGAGACCATATACCATCCTGGTCAAATGGTTGTCCAGTCACTTCTTGAAAACCTCCAGTGATGGAGCACCTTCAACTTCTGGAAGCAAGCCATTCCCCTGGTTAATTGTCCTCACTGTCAGGAAGTTTCTCCTTGGTTCCAGGTTGCTTCTCTCCTTGATTAGTTTCCATCAGTTGCTTTTTGTCCTGCCCTCAAGTGCTTTGGAGAATAGGTTGGACCCCTGTTCTTTCTGGCAGCCCCTCAAATATACACAACCATACCCAAATGAAAAATGAAGAGAACAGGACCTTTGAAAATAACAAAGAAGGGCATCAACCATGGAGTCTATCTGCTCTTCTTAGTTGTCCCCTGTATGGAACCAATCTCCTTCAGGTTCTGGAGCCTCAAAGTTCTGGAGAAGAACTTGGAAGCTTGAACTTGCAAAAGAGGAACTGGACCTTGCAGTCCTGAGCTAAAAGATTTCAGAACATGGTTCCTATGTTGTATATTTATGCTCTTCTAAGAGATTACCCAGCTCCACTTCCTTCCACAGACCTGTCTGGGATTCGTGGGGCTTGACTTCCTCCTTGTGGGCCCAACCCAAGGCAGACTTGTCTTGACGGTCCTTCTGCACGCCGTACTTCCCACCAAACCCAACAGCATGGTCTGCAATGGGAGAACACAACATTTTTCAGAAAGCCAAGAGAGGCTAATTGAGATGAACCAAGGTGGACTTGCAGCTTCCAGACCTGTCTGGGATTCGTGAGGCTTGACCTCCTCCTTGTGGGACCAACCCAGGGCAGACTTGTCTTGACGGTCCTTCTGCACGCCGTACTTCCCACCAAACCCAACAGCATGGTCTGCAATGAGAAGAGAAAACATTTTTCAGAAAGACAAAAGAGACTCAAGAGATTATCTGAGATGAAATGAATGGACTTGCAGCTCCCAAAGAGAGAATACCAAACAAATTAAGACATTTTCTGAATTTGACTGATAGACAGAATCACAAAGCTAACGGATTGCCTGGCTTGGCACAACCCAGTAAGCCACTCACAAGTGCAAAGGCTAACCAAGATCACCAAACTTAGCTTGCTGTGTGAGTCCAATCACTAAATCTTCAATTGACCTGGTTGTGTGACCTGGCTGCGGGCACATAACCAGGGCATGGTGGGGTCCTTGGTGCTCTCTGTGCTTGGTTGTAGTTGCAGTTGCAGTTATTTCATGACCCGATCAGGTAACCTCATCAGGGCTAGAAGGGAGAGGTTCTGAGCAGTGCAGGAGGAGGAGGAGAACAGGAAAAGGAAGAAGGGGGAAAGGAGAAGGAATGAAGGAGAGGAGGAGGTGAAAGAAGAGGAGGAAAACAGGAAAAGGAAGAAGGGAGGAAAAGGAGAAGGAATGAAGGAGAGAAAGGAGGAAGAGAACAGGGAAAGAAAGAAGGGAGGAAAAGGAGAAGGAATGAAGGAGAGGAGGAGGAGAAAGAAGAGGAAGAGAACAGAAAAAGGAAGAAGAGAGGAAAAGAAGAAAGAATGGAGGAGGAGAAAGAGGAGAAAGAGAACAGGAAAAGGAGAAGGAATGAAGGAGAGGAGGAGAAAGAAGAGGAGGAAAACAGGAAAAGGAAGAAGGGAGGAAAAGAAGGAATGGAGAGGAGGAAGGGAAAGGAGGAGGACAGGAAAAGGAAGGAAGAGAAGGAATGAAGGAGAGGAGGAGAAAGAGGAGAACATGAAAAGGAAGAAGGGAGGAAAATGAGAAGGAATGGAGGGGGGAGGAGGAGGAGAAGGACTGTGGTGATCTGAGCATAGAAGACCGTGGGGTCCTTGGTGCTCTCTGAGCTTGGTTGTTTTGCTTGCAGATGTTTCATGACCCAACTAGGCAACATCATCAATGGTAATGATGAGGATACCACTGATGAAGTAACCTAATTGAGTCATGAAACATCTGCAAGAGGTACAACCAAGCCCAGAGAGCACCAAGGACCCCACGGTTCAACCCTCTTCTATTGGAGCCAATAGATTGCAAGATGAGTAGGTTCTAAAGCTTTCTTTCTTTGTGACTTGGGCTGGTCGTTAGCTCTCAACCAAAGCCATCTCCCTGTTTTTGACAGGGAACGAATGGACTTGCCGCTCCTAGTCTGAGATCCAAAGACAGAAGGACTTCCTTCCCTGGAAGCTTCCAAGCGGAGGCTGGACAACCATCATCCTGGGACCCTTAACTTTCTATTCCTTTTCTTGAGCAGGGGGTGGAGTTCATGTTCACGATCTGAGAAGCTCCTCATGTAGCAGACCAATGAGGAAGAAAAACTACTCATTGCACATATTGGCCCCAAGCAATACATGGGTCAGCCAAACTAAAGGACCACCAGGCCACAGCTTCAACCCATCCATATTTTCTACAGACCTGTCTGGGATTCGTGGGGCTTGACCTCCTCCTTGTGGGCCCATCCAAGAGCAGACTTGTCTTGACGGTCCTTCTGCACACCATACTTCCCACCAAACCCAACGGCATGATCTGCAATGGGAGAACCCAACATTTTTCAGAAAGCCAAGAGAGGTTAATTGAGATGAGCCAAGGTGGATTTGAAGCTTCCAGACCTGTTTGAGATTCATGGGGCTTGACCTCCTCCTTGTGGGACCAACCCAGGGCAGACTTATCTTGGCGGTCCTTCTGTATGCCATACTTCCCACCAAACCCAACGGCGTGGTCTGCAATGGGAGAACACAACGTTTTTCAGAAAGCCATGAGAGGTTAATGGAGATGAAACAAGGTGGACTTGAAGCATCCAGACCTGTTTGAGATTCATGGGGCTTGACTTCTTCCTTGTGGGACCAACCCAGGGCAGACTTGTCTTGGCGGTCCTTCTGCACGCCGTACTTCCCACCAAACCCAACAGCATAGTCTGAAGTAAGAGAACACAACATTTTTCAGAAGGTCGATGACAGACATAGATGGTCCAAACATCCATGCAGATTCTCCATCATCCAGGTCAGGGTTGTCTCAAAGGTGCTTTTTCAGGTGCTTTCTTGTTTCACTTCTCATCCAAGAAACTTTTTCAGCTCTGACTGGATGGTGTGTGGGGGGGGGGGGAGGATGGAAGGAGCATTCTCAGAGAGGGTGCTAACGACCAGATGACAGCAAGGAATATTCCCACTGTTTGGTCAGAACCTGAGGAAGCTTCTTGGACGAGAAGCAAAACATCTTCAAGGAAAAACGAGGAAGTCCAATCGCAAAGCACCTTTGGGGTGGCTTGACAAGTGTTGCATTCCAAACCAACCTATTTCATTCTCGGTGTCCCAGAAGACTGAGCACCAGAATATGAAACTGGGGTGCAACACACCCCTGGGAAAAGACTGACACATCTGTGAGAATGACATTGGGCCCTTCCTACTGGGGAAGGGCTCTGGGAACTGGGGAAGGAACAGGGGGGAACACCCAGAAACCTGGCGGTGGGCCCTCAAAACTTACCTTTTTGAGATGTGTGCATTTCTACCTCTCCCTTGTAGTCAAATCCAAGTGCAGACTGTAGGGAAGGGAAAGCGAGAGACATTATACAGACACACACACACACACACACACACACACACACGCACACACGCACACACACACACACACACACACACACACACACACACACCTCGGAGTAATTATAGCCAATTGCATTGGTCACCAGGAATTGGCAATAACTTGATGGCTCATAATAATCAACCAAGCAGCTGCCCGCCCTCAATGTTTTTTGTTTTTTTAATTGTAAACCAGCCAGTTAGAGAGTGAAATGGGCAGTGGATAAATTTGATTAATAAATAATGTTGAGTGGGAAGAAAACAAGGTGGGGAAGGAGAAGGGCAGGAAGGGGGCTGGAAAAAAAATAAAGTTAAATTCAATTATGTGGGCTGTTGGGACTCCCCCTAATGTCCTTGATAGAAAGGAGGGAAGGGGAGCAGTAGTCCTTCGTGCTCTCTGAGCTGGGTGGTTTTCCTCCAGACATTTCATGACCCAACTAAGCAATATCATCAGTGCTAGAAGGGAGTGGGGTTTGCAGGGAGCAGGAGGAGGAGGAGGAGGAGGAGGAGGAGGAGGAGGACGATGACTCTGGGGTCTTTCATGCTCTCGGAGCTTGGTGGTTTTCCTACAGACATTTCACGACCCATGTTCTGACCCAGAGTTAAGTTGCTTTGTAAATCCGAGTCAGACAGATAAACTCAATGAAAATGATTCCAAAACAGATATATTTTATTCAGAGATACTTGCAGTTATGGTGGTTGCTTCTGGATATTATACCAGTTCATTCTCATAGGTGAGAAAATAATGCTTCCTCCATACCAGCTTGTATCTTGGAATGGAGCCAACTGAGATGTCCAAATGGCTCCATGCTTCTCTCAGACAAAGAACATTCCAACCTGGCTCGTGGCCAAGATGTCCTGTGATGAACTTTAGAAACTCCTCCCACAGATCTGATAACATGGGATTGCAGACTAGCTAAACTACATTGCCCACAAGCCATCTCTTAAGGAGACAGCACTTAACCCAATAAATGCCAAACATGATCCAGAACAACCCAACTAAACAACATCATCAGTGCTAGAACAGAGTGGGGTATGCAGGGGGGAGGAGGAGGAGGAGGAGGAGGAGGAGGAGGAGGAGGAGGAAGCTGAGCCCATAGAAGGAATGGAAGAGACTCTCCCTAGTATCTTGGACCATAAAGGAGAGGGGGAAAGGTTTATAGGATTTTCAGACTTGCAGGATTCTTTTACTATAAATTTACAAAAGTCTTGCACCCACGGTTGGTGCTTCTTGGCTGAACCACAGTAAAGGGCTGATTCCTAACTTCCCAAAAAAGCCCCAGCATGAATCCAAAAGCTCGGAAGACAAAATTTCCGGTCCAAATGACCGATCCAGATCGGATCCTGCAACATTATCCTGGCGCATGTATATTTGCTTTCATTCATGAAAGAAAGCCCCGTTTGGGGCTTCCAAAGAATGTTGGCTGTAAAATCCCATTGAATCCAATGTCTTTAAAGAAACCACCCCACCTCATCGCTTCCCTTTCGTGTTGCAAGAGCTATTATAACCAAGATAGTAGGCAAAGCTGGTAGTAAAACAGCCCCCACCTTATCTGCTCGGTCCTTCTGAATGCCGTACTTTCCACCGAAACCCTTGGCTGCGTCCGTCTGGGAAGCGTGCACGCTGACCTCGGCAACATACTCATGGCCCAGGGCACTCTGGAGAACCAAGGAAAACCAGGATTATCTCCTTGCAGACTTGTTATGTGGACAAGTTCTCCAGCAGGCCAAGTTGCCATGCAGAACAGCGGCTGTACGAAAGACCGACTGCAGATCAGCTGAGAACTTCAAAAAAAAGAAGGGAAGCCAAGTGTGTACCTTGTCCATGCGATCCTTCTCGGTTCCAAACTTGCCCCCATAGCCATAGGAAGCCTTGGGTGCCGCTTCCAGCTCCTTCTTCTTCAGAACTTCATGTTCCTCAGAAACCTTGCTTCTTAGCTGGTGGATGCTGAAAAGAGACATCAAATAGCAGGACTGGAGGAAGAGGAGGAGGAGGAGGAGGAGGAGGAGGAGGAGGAGGAGGAGGAGGTCCTTCATACTTTCTGAGCTTGGTGGTTTTCTTGCAGACATTTCATGAACCAACTTGGGAACATCATCACTGCTCATGAAGAGAGTGGGGTTGGAGGAGGAGGAGGAGAAGAAGAAGAAGAGGAGGAGGAGAGGAGGAAGAGTGGTGGTGGTGTGAGTCCTTCGTACTTTCTGAGCTTGGTGGTTTTCTTGCAGACATTTCATGAACCAACTTGGGAACATCATCAGTGCCCATGAAGAGAGTGGGGTTGGAGGAGGAGGAGGAAGAGGAGGAGGAGGAGAAGAAGAAGAGGAGAGGAGCGAAGAGAGGAGGAGGAGGAGTGGTGGTATCTGTGTGAGTCCTTCGTAAACTTTCTGAGCTTGGGGCTTTTCTTGCAGAGGTTTCATGAAAAAAAATTGGGAACATTCATCAGGGCTCATGAAGAGATGAGGTTGGAGGAAGGAGGAGGAGAGAAGAAGAAGAAGAAGAGGAGAGGAGGAAGAGTGGTGGTGGTGTGAGTCCTTCGTACTTTCTGAGCTTGGTGGTTTTCTTGCAGACATTTCATGAACCAACTTGGGAACATCATCAGTGCCCATGAAGAGAGTGGGGTTGGAGGAGGAGGAGGAAGAGGAGGAGGAGGAGGAGAAGAAGAGGAGGAGAGGAGGAAGAGAGGAGGAGGAGGAGTGGTGGTAGTGTGAGTCCTTCGTACTTTCTGAGCTTGGTGGTTTTCTTGCAGATGTTTCATGAACCAACTTGGGAACATCATCAGTGCCCATGAAGAGAGTGGGGTTGGAGGAGGAGGAGGAAGAGGAGGAGGAGGAGGAGAAGAAGAGGAGGATAGGAGGAGGAAGAGAGGAGGAGGAGGATGGTGGTGGTGTGAGTTCCTTCTTACTTTCTGAGCTGTGGTGGTTTCTTGCAGACATTTCAATGAAACCAACTTGGGAACATCATCAGTGCCCATGAAGAGAGTGGGGTTGGAGGAGGAGGAGGAAGAGGAGGAGGAGGAGGAGAAGGAGGAGAGGAGGAAGAGAGGAGGAGGAGGAGTGGTGGTGGTGTGAGTCCTTCGTACTTTCTGAGCTTGGTGGTTTTCTTGCAGACGTTTCATGAACCAACTTGGGAACATCATCAGTGCCCATGAAGAGAGTGGGGTTGGAGGAGGAGGAGGAAGAGGAGGAGGAGGAGGAGGAGAAGAGGAGGAGAGGAGGAAGAGAGGAGGAGGAGGAGTGGTGGTGGGAGTCCTTCGTACTTTTGAGCTGGTGGTTTTTTGCAGTGTTCATTGAACCAACTTGGGAACATATCAGGGCTCATGAAGAGAGTGGGGTGGGATGGAGGAGGAGGAGAAGAAGAAGAAGAAGAAGCGAAGAAGAAGAGAAGAAGAAAAGAAAGAAGAAGAGAGAAGAAGAAGAAGAAGAAGAAGAAGAAGAAGAAGAAGAAGAAGAAGAAGAAGAAGAAGAAGAAGAAGAAGAAGAAGAAGAAGAAGAAGAGGAGAGGAGGAAGAGTGGGGGTGGTGTGAGTCCTTCGTACTTTCTGAGCTTGGTGGTTTTCTTGCAGACATTTCATGAACCAACTTGGGAACATCATCAGTGCCCATGAAGAGAGTGGGGTTGGAGGAGGAGGAGGAAGAGGAGGAGGAGGAGGAGGAGAAGAGGAGGAGAGGAGGAAGAGAGGAGGAGGAGGAGTGGTGGTGGTGTGAGTCCTTCGTACTTTCTGAGCTTGGTGGTTTTCTTGCAGATGTTTCATGAACCAACTTGGGAACATCATCAGGGCTCATGAAGAGAGTGGGGTTGGAGGAGGAGGAGAAGAAGAAGAAGAGGAGGAGGAGGAAGGGAGGAGGAGGAGGATGGGGTGGTTAGTCCTTCGTACTTTCTGAGCTTGGTGGTTTTCTTGCAGATGTTTCATGAACCAACTTGGGAACATCATCAGGGCTCATGAAGAGAGTGGGGTTGGAGGAGGAGGAGGAAGAGGAGGAGGAGGAGGAGGAGGAGGAGGAGGAGGAGGAGGAGGAGGAGGAGAATGAAAAGAGAATGCTTGGTGCTCTCTGAGCTTGGTTTTTTTTCTTGCAGACATTTTATGACCCAACTAGGGAACATCTGTGTGAAGGAGTGTAGGGTTTACCACTCACATTGATGATGTTACCTAATATGGGTCATGAAACATCTGCAAGAAAACAACCAAGCTCAGAGGGCACCAAGGACCCCATTGGTTCCTATCCTAGCTAACTTTTGTTAGTTTTCATATTGATCACTTTAATGTTTCATATTGTCATTTTTATCGAGTTGTAAGCCACCCGGAATCTCCTCTTGATAAGCGAGATGGGTGGGGTATAAATTTAACAAATAAGTAAATAAAACAAGTCAGGATAAATCTCAACCGGAGGAACTGAAAGGAGAAACGGTCACCCAATGCCAGGAGGATGATGTCATCCGAGCTGAAGAAAAGCAGCACTTCCGCCTCTTTCCAAATAAACACATGAATAAGAGATTCAAAAGTGGTCTGCAAAAAAAGAGGAAGGACATCACTTCCTCTGTTTTTGGAGGAGAGAACGAGGAAGCCACATAAATGATGGGTCACGGGATTCCGCTCTCGACGAAGAACCTCACGGTCAAGTTGAAGCCCAGCCTGCTCTCTCTGGAGGAAGCCCACCAGCTTTTCCAGACTAGTGCCTTCGGGGCTGGATTGCAAATTCCATACTGTTTGGGGAAGATGGGTGTTGTCATCCAACATCTCTGGACAGGACAGGACAGGGCAGGGTGAATTCTTGACCAAGAATCTTAGCGATGACTCTTCAAAAGTGAGGAACTGGATGGAGAACAAGCATTTCTGAAGTTCTTATTTCTCCTTCTAATGGTTTCTGGTCTCCAAATTCAGAAAACGGGGTGGGAAACTGTGCCCCAAAACCACCTTCGCTGCTCAAAGTCAACAAAAGCTGCTAGTCCTCTTAGTGTTTCTAAGCCCGCATTGTGTGGGCTTCAAAACTGAGAATTCCTCAACCAGCATTGTGTGGACTTCCACTCCCAGAATTCCTCAGCCAGCATTGTGTGGACTTCCACTCCCAGAATTCCTCAGCTATCATTCTGTGGACTTCCACTCCCAGAATTCCTCAGCCATCATTGTGTGGACTTCCACTCCCAGAATTCCTCATCCATCATTGTGTGGACTTCAACTCCCAGAATTCCTCAGCCAGCATTGTGTGGACTTCAACTCCCAGAATTCCTCAGCCAGCATTGTGTGGACTTCTACTCCCAGAATTCCTTAGCCAGCATTGTGTGGACTTCAATTCCCAGAATTCCTCAGCCAGCATTGTGTGGCTGGGGAATTCTGGGAGTGGAAGTCCACCCATCTTCAAGCTAACAACATTGAGCAACTCTGCCTCAACTTCAGCTCCCATTAGTATCTCTGTAGTTGCCTTCCAATAGAACTTATCGGGCCAACATCTGGGTGAGGACACCACTTCCTTTTCCTGTGAGAAGCAGAAACCACCAAGAGAAGAAGTCTAACTCAAACCTAAGTTCAGCTCCCCGTCCTTCTTCAAACATGTGTGAGACAGCACGTCTCTCCTTTCAATGGGGCTCTGGGCTCCATTACAGTCGTAACTCGAGGACTGGGGCCAAGGGCTTGGGGGAGGGGGGAATCACAGGCCTACTTCCGACCCAGCAGAAGTTGAGGTCTAGACAAAAGAGGAGACAGGGTGAAAAAGGCACTTACTTGATGTGCTCGGCACGGCCAGACCCTTCGATTGTCTTAGCCCCCCAGCGCTGTTCCTTCTCCGAAATGTCGTTCTGTCAACAAGAGGAGACAAGAAGTTACATCTGGTGGGACTCAGGAGAAGGTGTCCCAGGGCCCATCCATGGAGCATCATCTCCCCAAGGTGAGGTTGCCCCCAACTTTCCAGAAGTCCTTTGAAATTGGCTACGTCTGCAGCCTCCGGGGTCTCCCGAAGAACTGCTAAGATGGCTATGGAGGTTCTCCATCATCCAGGTCCTGGTTGTCCCAAAGATGCCTTTTTCAGGAGGCAACTGGACTTGGTGGTTTTCCTCTGAAGACATTTCGTTTCTTCTCCAAGAAGCTTCTTCAGCTTTTACTGGATGGTGGGGAATGGAAGGATTTCTATGCCTTGCAGTCATCTGGTCATTAGCACTCTCTCTGAGAATACTCCTTCCATTCCCGGAAACCATCCAGTCGGAGCCGAAGAAGCCTTTTGGAGGAGAAGCAAAACATCTCCAAAGCAAACCAAAAAGCTCAGCTGCTTCCTGAAAAAAAGCACCTTTGGGACAACTGCTAAGATGGCCACAACTGTACACAACAGCAAGATGTTCTCTCCTAGTCTTTTTAGCTCACATTAATGTTTATTGTTACGGTATGGTATTTAACGTTTGCATTTTAGGGTATACCTCGCCCAGGGTCACATAGACGAGACCGGTGGCTATATAAAAGTGACCCAGGCAGTCCTCGACTCACAACCACAATGGAGGCCAACATTTCCGTTGCTAAGTGAGACAGTTGTTAAGCGAGTTTTGACCAGTGGTGGGATTCAAATAGGTGAACGACCGGTTCTCTGCATGGATGCCACTTCCGGAAGTCCGTTCTGGGCCTGGGCAACCAAAAATTAGCTACCACTTCTGCCAAAGTGGAAGGGAAGGGGGCATGGCCTCCTTTTCCAGGGGGGTCCATGGGGTCATGCGCAGTGTCACAACCGACACCTTGGCCTGCCACAAAGCAGACCCACCCTTTCTGCCTCCTGAGTCACAGCTGGGCCCATCCCTGTGGGAGCCAGGCAGAGCCCCATGGGTCTGGAGCTTCTGAAGTATGAGCAACCTGGGAGCAAAGAGGACTTACCACAAAATCCGGGTCCGTGTCCCAGTCGTCTCCTTGGGTGTCCACCTTTGCAGACACGTTGTGGCCCACGGCAGCTTTCCACATCTGGGAGAAGAGAGAGAGAGAGAGGGAGGGAGGCAGGGAAGGAGGAAGAAAGGGAGGGGGAGAGAGGGAGAAAGAGAAAGAAAGAAAGAAAGAAAGAAAGAAAGAAAGAAAGAAAGAAAGAAAGAAAGAAAGAAAGAAAGAAAGAAAGAAATCAGTCAAGAAATAAATAAGTCTCTCTCTCTCTCTCTCTCTCTCTCTCTCTCTCTCTCTCTCTCTCTCTCTCTCTCTCTCTCTCTCTGTCCCCTTAAGAAATTCAAAACAACAGCACACATCCTCCGTCCTGGACTGTGCGTCCCTCACAACGTGGGGCTCTTTTGGGGGGCTTGGGCCCACCTTAAATGCTTGCACGCTCTGCAACTCTGGTGCAGACGAGGGACGGAAACTCGGCTAACCATCCCACAGTCAGCCGGATGCAGGCCAAAAGGAAGCGCTTGTTCCACTGCAAGGGCTGTGCGCAAGCAGCTCTTTGGCTGACATCTCTGGGGCTTCATGCGCCAATTCGGCCTTTTCTGTGGTCATGGCCACCAGCTGGGGAAGCCAGTGTCCCAAGCCCCCCCTCTCCAAGGACAGGTTACTAGGGGGGGGATGCTTTTTATCTCCGAAAGGAAAGCCATAACCTATGAGTGAGACCTTGAGCAACCTAGAACTAAGCAGAAACTTTGCAAAAATAAGGGCAAAGAAGAGCAACTTAAGATGATCAAAGGTCTGGAGACTAGAACCTATGAAGAACGGTTGTAGGAATTGAATATGTCGAGTTTAATGAAAAGTATTTCAGTATTTGAGGGGCTGCCACAAAGAAGAGGGGGGGGGTGTCAAATTATTCTCCAAAGCACCTGAAGGCAGGACAAGAAACGATGGATGGAAACTAACCAAGGAGAGAAGCAACCTGGAATTAAGGAGAAACTTCCTAACAGTGAGGACAATTAACCAGTGGAACAGCTGGCCACCAGAAGTTGTGGGTGCTCCATCACTGGAGGTTTTTAATTGTCTGTGATGGTGTAGGGTTTCCTCTTGAGCAGGGGGTTGGACTAGAAGACCTCCAAGGTCCCTTCCAACTCTGTTGTTCTGAACACACTCAGATAACTACTTGGTCCACACATCTGCATCCACAGCACTACTGCAGAATCCAAGATGCCTTCATACGATCTTTATACCATCATCTTTCAGCAGTGCCACTCTAGATTCTACATCAGACCACCTCCCCCCCCCTCAGCCAGCCAGATTTTGTTCAAAAAGGATCAAGGCTGACATCAGGCATGGCAACCAGCTGCAACTCCCGACAGTCCGGTAGTCTAGTGATCCAGGCACAAGGCTAGAAAGTGGGAGACGGTGAGTTCAAGTCCCCCCCCCCTTAGCCACGAAAGCCAGCTGGCTGACCCGGGGCCAGTCCCTCTGCCTCTCTCTCAGCCCAGCCCACCTCGCAGGGGTGTTGTCGTGGGGAAAACAGGAAGAGGAAGGCATGTCGGATATACGTTCTTCCTTGGTGCAAGCCTCACAGATCTGCAAAAGCTTTGCAGCAACTTTTAAAACCCTCGTGGAAGGAGCTTGCAAAAAGTTTGAAAGAACTTGCAAAGAGCACAGCCAGGAAATGGGGGGGGGTTGTGCCAAAATCAGAGGGCTGACTTCCGCCAGACGTCCCTCCCTGCCCTCCCTCACCCCTGGCAGTGGTCCCCTTTTCTGGGAACCCCACCTGGCCTCCCCACCTCAAACCGGCCCTTTGCTCCCCCCACTTTGCTCCAGATGCTGCCTGTGGAAGCTCAGAAGAGCATCAATGGCCACCAGGCAGACTGGGCAGCAATGCGAGTTGTTGCAGCTGAGCTGCTGGACCTCAGAAGCCCAGGAGCCAAGAAAAAAGGGGGGGGGCTTCAGTCCCTTTGGCCCCATGCGCTTGGCCAGCTGGCTGCTGCTCCCCCATGGCTGCATCTCCCCAATGCGCCAGAGGGCAGGGATGGAGGTGCACTATTGCCAGCTAGCAAGCATCCCTGCCTGGATCCCACCAGCTCCAGAGATGGACAGGACTTTCCATCCCCATCCACAGCTCCTCCGCTCACAAGTGCCCAGCAGCACCCATGCACCTCCTTACCTTGCCCGGAGCCTCGGTTTCCCCTCTCGCAGCCTCTCTGCCTGGCTTCCTCTCCCCCACCCTGGTTTCACTTGCAAACCCAAGTTCCTGTTTGAAGTTCACCAAATCAGGAAGGTTTTGCTTCTTCCTGGGCCCGTCAGAGCAGAGGAAGACCAATGGCCGGTGGGGGAGGGAGGGAGGGGGAGGGGGGAGATGGGAACGCAGCTCCCCTGTGCCCCCACCAGCTTATGGGTCTAAGCCTGGCCCCACTCAGGAAGTGGGGGACGGTGGGAATCCCAAAGAGGGGACAGGATTAGCAGCCTTCTGATAGCAACGTTTTCCTGACATTGAGAATAATTAACCAGTGGAACCACCTGCCTCCAGAAGCAATGAATGCTCCAACACTGGAAGTTTTCAAGAAGAGACTGGACAGCCATTTGTCCGAAATAGTATAGGACTTCCTTCCTGAGCAGGGGGCTGGTCTAGATGACCTCCAAGGTCCCTTCCAACTCTGTTATTCTATTCTATTCTATTCTATTCTATTCTATTCTATTCTATTCTATTCTATATTTTCTATTCTATTCTTTATTCTATTCTATTCATTTTCTATACTATTCATTTTCTGTTCTGTTCTATTCTATTCTATTCTCTTCAGTTTCTATTCTATTCTATATTTTCTATTCTATTCTTATTCTATTCTATTCATTTTCTATACTATTCATTTTCTGTTCTATTCTATTCTATATTTTCTATTCTATTCTTTATTCTATTCTATTCATTTTCTATACTATTCATTTTCTGTTCTATTCTATTCTATTCAGTTTCTATTCAGTTTTTATTCTATTCTATATTTTCTATATTCTTTATTCTATTCTATTCATTTTCTATACTATTCATTTTCTATTCTATTCTATTCTATTCTATTCTATTCTATTCTATTCTATTCTATTCTATTCTTATCCGTATCCTTATCCTTATCTGAGGGGCTGCCTCAAAGAAGTTTTGAGGAACCTACTCCAATCCTTTGCTCAAGCTGTTGTTGTTAGTTGCGAAGTGGTGTCCGACCCATGGCGACCCCGTGGACCACGTTCCTCCAAGCCTTCCTGCTTCAGTGACTCCATCCAACCATCTCATTATTCTCTGTCGTCCCCTTCTTCTCTTGCCCTCCATCTTTCCCAGCATCAGGCTCTTCTCCAGTGAGTCCTTCCTTCTCATTAGGTGGCCAACGTCCTTGAGTTTCAACTTCAGGATCTGGCCTTCTAAAGAGCAGTCGGGGTTGATCTCCTCCAGGACTGACCGGTTGGATCGCCTTGCAGTCCAGGGGACTCGCAGGAGTCTTCTCCAGCACCAGAGTTCAAAGTAGGGGACCCTATATCATTATAGATAAACGAGGGGGGTCAACCGATTCTCCAAGGCACCAGCTGAAGTCCCCAGGTCTTAAAAGCGGCCAAGCTTGGACACACATACACACCGCTTTAGATGTTTGTCAGTGTGTATCTTTCACTGCTTCTGCACAGGGAATCGAAGTTTGATGAAGCCTGGCGCAGAGGCTTTCCCAATTAATTACCAACACCACCAAGGATTGTGCTGCCATTCAGGAGGGACCCAATTATGTCCCTATTAATTGTGCAGGGTAAGACTTCAAAGCAACCTCGTTAATTAATTCTGCTCAATCTAGGAAGGCCCCAAGGGAGGGGAGACTTTCTTGAGGCCCAAGGGCCACCCCGTTTTTAGAGGTCTGGGAATTTGCCCTAGCAGCGTTTTCTCAGGCCCAACAGCTTGAACGGGGTGTGGACTTCCAACTCCCAGAATTCCCAGCCAGCACTGACGGTCCTCGACCTAACGGCTGTAATTGGGAGCAGAACGTCCAGCGCTAAGCAAGGCAGTTCCTGAGCGAGTCACGCTCCACTTTTGACCTTTTCTGCCAAGGTTAACTGGATCGCTGTGGTCGTAAAGCGAGTCACAAGGTCGTTAAGCGGATCTGGCGGTTCCCTGTTGACTTTGCTTGCTGGAAGCCAGCTGAGGGGGTGGCTGATGGCGATCACGCCACCCCAGAACCTTCGCCAATGCAGGCTGGTGGCCAGGCCCCCGAACTGGGATCACGTGATTGTAGAGATGCTGTGATGATCATAAGTGTGAGGACCGATGGCATGTCACTTGTTCAGTACCCATCATAAGGGTTGCTAAACAATGGATGTAGGTCAAAGACAACCTGTACAACAAAGCCATGAGGGGGGCTGGTCGGCACCTGAAATCCCCCCCCATCCCAATTAATTTCTAACATTGCTTTCCTCTTTTAAATTGTATATGCTGTTTTTAAGTTTTTATTTTATTTGTGCATGGCCCAGAATCCCTGTGAGGGAGGATGGAGGGTTTAAAATTAGAGACAGACAGAGAGACACAGACACACACACAGACACACACACAAACACAGAAAGAGAGAGGAGACAGACAGACATAGATAATATCAAGAGATGAGAGATACAGATATAGACAGATGATACATAGATGATAGAGATAAATGTATAGACAATAGACAGATGATAGATAGATAGATAGATAGATAGATAGATAGATAGATAGATAGATAGATAGATAGATAGATAGATAGGAAAGAGATAGATAGAAATGAAAGAGAGATAGACGAGGGAGAGTTATAAACAGATATAGACAGACAGATGCGAGAGATGGAATAGATAAGATAGGTAGATATTAGATAGATAGGTAGGTAGGTAGGTAGGTAGGTAGGTAGGTAGGTAGATGATAGACAGACAGACAGGAGGGAGAGAGTTATAAACAGATATAGACAGATAGACAGACAGACTAGATTAGATTGATAGAGACACACAGATAGACAGGCAGATAGATTAGAATTGACAGACAGACAGACAGACGATATGCAACTGCCCGTTTCAGCCCCTTTGCCCGACCACCTTGTCATAGTCCCAGGTCCACGATTTGGGTATTCCTGACCATTGGTTTTTGCCACCCTTCATTCTCAAAGACAAACTTTTTTTTTTTAAAGGTGAAAGCCGTTTCTTGCAAGCAGCTCTTCCTCCAGCCCCCCCCCAGCTCCGAAGCCGCCCCCCCCATAACTGCTGACGAAGCACCCGGACCACTCAAGACGCTCAGAAAAATAAACATCTTTATTGCACAACAAAGGGGGTGGCAGAGAACCAGAAGGCCGGGTGGAGGGGAGACAGGGCTCCTCCAGACCACGGGGAGGGGACCCTCCTTAGGCACCCATGGGGTCCAAGAGGCAGATCCCAGCCTAGGCCAGGAGAGCTCTCTCTTCTCCTTGAGTGGCCAGAAAGGGAACCCCGGCCCATCATCCCCATCCTTTCCCCTTAAAGCCGAAGACCTGGCTTCCTGCTCTGGGATCTGCTGGACAGCCTTCCATTAAGGTCCCGAGATGGGAGGGTCAGGGGCTGTGCAACCTCCTCAGCACATTGTGGGAACCCAGCTGCAGGGCCTCAGCTGCAGGGCTCCCTCCTTCAGACCCTCCCTCCTTCTGGAGACTCTCCAGAACAGGACAGAACAGGGTCACCCTCTTCCTTTAGGGCAGGAGTCCCCAATCCTCGGGCTGCAGCTCATTACTGGCCCTTGAGGTCTTCAGAACCGGGCTGCAGACGTGGCAGGCGGGCAAGCATGTGCATGCGTGCATCCCCTCTTGCGCAAGCAGCATGCACGGGCACACACACATGGCTGCCGCTTGCGCAGAACCAGCCCTCTCTCCCCCCCCCCACAAAAAGCCGGTCTGCAAACCCGGAAAGTTTGTGAAATTCTGCCCTGGGGACCGTATTCCCAGCCCCAGGGGTTAAAACGGGGGCACCCCGAACCGTGCAGGAAGAGGGAAGTGATGTTTAACCCTAATCAGAAGTCAACCAAGTCTACTTGGTCCTTTCTTCTCCTGCAGGGAGTCCCACCTTAGCTAATTAAGATTAATGCCACCGAAAGGAAGGGAGGTGGGCATCTTCTCGGCTCCGCCCCTTCCCCCCCAAATAAACGGGGACTGACGCCACCCCGACTCGGCCGGTCTCCGAGGCCGGGAAAGCCCCGAGGCTGCCCTTGGAGGAGCAGCACGAACCCTGCAAGGCGAATGGCTAAGAAAGCCCATCATCCCCAACTTGACGAGCCAGGATTGGCCTTGACCTCAGGCAGATTCAACCAGGCCGCCTGTAAGCCAGTAGCTCCCCGTGCCCAGCCCAGCGGGAACCCCCAGGCACCGGGGGCTTCTGGGCTTCCCCGTCTTCTCACAGGCGGCCCACGACGTGGAGGAGGAGCAGCAGGTGGATGCCGAAGAGGTAGACGGTGGCCAGCAGGGAGAAGAGCCGGCGGGGGCAGAAGACGGAGCGCAGGGCCCGCTGCAGCCCCCGGCCCCCTCGAGCCTGTGGGGAGAGCCAGAAGGGGAGGGGGCATTAGGGAAGGGGGAGGTCTCGGCCCCGGAGCCCCAGCCCAGCAGGCGCCCGGAGAGAGGAACAGGGACGAGGGATGCTGTCAGGCTGGAGGGAGCATCCAGAAAGGGGAAGTCGGACTTTCTGCTCTGTTCAGGAGTGAAAGAAAAAGGGAAGCTCACCAGACGTCCTGATTTCTGGGATCCCCGGGGGGGAGGGAGGAGAGGGAGGGAGGAGGAAGGAAGGGAGGGAGGGAGGAAGGAAGAAAAGGGAGGGAGAGAGGGAGGAAGGAAGGGAGGAAGGGAGGAGAGGGAGGGAGGAAGGAAGGAGAGGAAAGGGAGGGAGGGAGAAAAGGAAATGGAGAAAGGAAGGAAGAAAAGGGAGAGAGGGAGCGAGGGAGCGAGGGAGAGGGAGGGAGGGAGGGAGGGAGGAGGAAGGAGGAAGGAAGGGAGGGAGGGAAGGAGGAAGGAAGGAAGAAAAGGGAGGGAGGGAGGAAGGAAGGGAGGAAGGGAGGAGAGGGAGGGAGGAAGGAAGGAGAGGAAAGGGAGGGAGGGAGAAAAGGAAATGGAGAAAGGAAGGAAGAAAAGGGAGAGAGGGAGCGAGGGAGTGAGGGAGAGGGAGGGAGGGAGGAGGAAGGAGGAAGGAAGGGAGGGAGGGAAGGAGGAAGGAAGGAAGAAAAGGGAGGGAGAGAGGGAGGAAGGAAGGGAGGAAGGGAGGAGAGGGAGGGAGGAAAGGAAGGAGAGGAAAGGGAGGGAGGGAGAAAAGGAAATGGAGAAAGGAAGGAAGAAAAGGGAGAGAGGGAGCGAGGGAGCGAGGGAGAGGGAGGGAGGGAGGAGGAAGGAGGAAGGAAGGGAGGGAGGGAAGGAGGAAGGAAGGAAGAAAAGGGAGGGAGAGAGGGAGGGAGGGAGGAAGGAAGGGAGGAAGGGAGAGGGAGGGAGGAGGAAGGAAGGAGAGGAAAGGGAGGGAGGGAGAGAGGGAGAAAGGAAGAAAATGGAGAAAGGGAGGAAGAAAAGGGAGAGAGGGAGAGAGAGGGAGGGAGGAAGGAAGGAAGAAGAGGAAAGGGAGGAAGGAAACGGAGGAAGGAAGGAAGGAAGAAAAAGGGAGGGAGGGAGGAGGAAGGAAATACGGAAACAGGGAACAGTTATAACTCACTTTCTTCAATGCTGTTGTAACTTTGAGTGGCCATTAAACGGACTCTTGTAAGCCACGGACCAGCTGTGGGCATCGCAGGGACACCCAACCGGCCAAAGAGGGCTGAGAGGTCCCGGTGTGCCCCCCCCCCTTACCTTGCTGAAGGAGCTCTCTGCAGACCCCGGCAGCAGGGGGTGTTCAGGGCCGGGGGGCATCACAATGCTGGTATCCGGGGACTGAGCCCACTCCTCGGACTCCCACCTGGGTGGGCAAGAGGCCTAGGTCAGGGCCCTGTCCCTGAGGCCGCCCGTGGCCCCCGGATGAGTAGACTAGCAAGGCCGGCCTCCCCCACAGACCTGAAATCATCCTCCCCCTGAAGCCCCCTCCCCAGAGAGCAAAGTACCCCTTCCCCATGAGCCACGGCTGGCTGGCTGGGGACGGAGCGCTGCAGCCTGACCTTCCCTGACCCCTAAGGGGGACCCAGGAGACATCTCTGAAGGCTTCTTCCTCCTTCCTCTCCCCCTCACTGATCAGCCTTGGAAACACTCCCCTTGGGCCAAGACCACTAGGGCACTGAGGAGGAAGACCACCACCACCCCGCAAGGATCTGCGAGGCTGGAAAAGGACTCAGGACAAGAAGAGTCCGTCCACCCATAGAGTCGACTGTTTTGACTTGTCAGCTTGGCCAAGAGTTCCCAGAGCAGGGGGGGGGAGCCCTTCTAGACAGGCTCCTTGCAACAGCCAGGAGGAGAGAGGGAGGGGGGCAGCTTCTCCCCCCCCCTGCAGCACCTGCGGATCTGCTCCTGGGCGGCAGCGCAAGCCTCCTCGGCAGCCAGGCGCCTCTCCTGCTCCTCCTGCAGCAGCTTCTGGAGCTTGGTCAGGCCCTGCCTGGCACTGCTTTGCTGCTGCTTGGCCTCCGACAACCTACAAGGGAAGGAGAGGCCCCGTGAGAGAGGCGGGGAGGGGGGGGGACAGCAGCCCCCAGAATAGCCCCTGACTCTTCAGAGGCAGACCGTGTACCGGACAACCCTGGGATCAGCTCAGGGATCAGAGGCTGGAAGGAAAGAGACCCTCCTGTTGGGGAACTGCCGGCCAGGATGGAAGGAGGCGTCAAGCAGGGAAGTAGCCTTGAGTCCTTGCGTAGCTGCAAGAGGCATAAACCCCACTTATCACCCATGAGTCTTTCTTTCTCAAGGGTTTCCAACCGCGGGTGCAAGACGATATTCCCAGGGCTGCGGAAACTTGAGTTTTCAAAATTATAGTGTATATGCATAATTTGTGGCCGTTATTTTGAACTTTTGTAAGGTGTGTGAGAATATATCAGAAGCATTCTAGGGGTGTGGGGTATAGAAAAGGTTGGGAGCCGCTGCGTGGTCTGGTGATTCCCCGGAGAAGGCAAGCAGTCCAGGAAAGATTCTTAGAATAGAGGCTGAAGTCAATGAAGTTGCTTGCGTCAGCTATTCGCCAGCGGATCTCGTGGCTCGAATCTGACACCTCGGTCGAGATCTCGTCTGGGGCTATAACGGATCTGGGAAACCAGGGCAAAGGGGATTCCCTCCCCCCTCCCAGGTGGCCCCCAGGAATACCGAGTTGTTTAGCCCGCACGCAACCACACACTCACTGCATCTGAAGCTCCTGCAGCTCCCGCCTGTTGGTCTCATCTTTCTCCTGGGGGGCCCCAGGAGCAGCATCAGCCAGGAGGGGTCCCTAGGGTAGAAACCCGGCGTGAAGAGGGGCTTAGGCAGGATGAGCCCCCCCCCATGCCCCCACCCCACACTCTCTTTGCTTCTGTCCTCCACTGGGGCCTGAAGGGTCTGTGTCTGTGTGTGTCTGTGTGTGTGTAAGAACAGGTCGTGAAGAGGATGGGTAGTGTCCCAGACAATCCTGAGGACTCTCCTCAAGCATCGCTTACACGCCGTGTCCTGGGTAGAAGGGAGTGAGCTGCTGCGGATCATCTTTTCTGCCATCCTCATCCTCAACCGAGCTGTGCCACGAGATGGGGAAAGCCCAGCCCCCTCCCTGGCCTTACCACGGTCTTTGCCGGACTCTGCAACTCCTGCAGCTGCTTTTCGAGGGACGCGCAGCGGGCCAGAGCCTCGCTGTGCTGCTGGTGGGTCTCGCGCAGACTGCGGCTGCTTCCCCGGAGCTGGTGGGTGAGGGCGTTCTTCTCTTCGAAGACCTGCGAGAGCTAGAGAGATGAGCCAGAGGATGAGGCTGGGGGAGGTCTTCTCAGGGGCACCCCCACCCCCTAGTCAGAATCCAGTCTAACACGCAGTAGCTAAATCGAGAAGAATTGAGTTAGGAGGGACCTTGGAGATCAACCCCCCACTGAAGCAGGAGACCCTCTACCCTTTCAGACAGGTGACTCTCCAGGTCTCCTCTTAAAAACCTCCAGGGATGGAGCACCCACAACTTCTGGAGGCAAGGAGTTCCACTGGTTAATTGTCCTGAATGTTAGGAAGTTTCTCCTTAATTCCAGGTTGCTTCTCTCCTTGATGAGTTTCCATCCATTATTTCTTGTCCTCCCTTCAGGCGCTTTGGAGAACAGGTTGACCCCCCTCTCCTTTGTGGCAGCTCCTCAAATACTGGAATGTAGCTCTTGTGTCTCCCCCAATCCTTCTTTTCTCCAGACTAGCCAGACCTAATTCCTGCAACCATTTCAGTCTCTGGGCCTTTAGTTGCTCTTCTTTGCACTTTTCCCAAAGTCTCAATGTGGTCAGAGGTCTGGAGGTAAGTCTGAATGTAGCTAACTGGGTTCATAGGGGTCACTAAGCTACGACGTGGTGGCATTGGGCTGGATTTAGTGTGACGGGGACCCCAACCAATGGAGGCCAACAACAAACCATGGCTCAAAAAAAAAAAAGCCAGGACGTAAGAGCAGGGGTCACCAAACGTGGCCACTTTAAGACTTGTGGACTTCAACTCCCAGAATTCCTCCGCCAGCAAAGCTTAAAGTGGCCACGTTTGGAGATTCTTGACTTTGAGCACAATGCAAGCCCAACATCCAGAAGGTGCTTGACTACCACAAGAGGTTAGACTGGAGACAGCCAGCTTTGCAAGGACATCCTCTCGGCTCGGTTAACCATCTGGAAAAGGTCCCCCTGCCCCAGAGAAAGACGCCCCAGATCTCCCCCCCCCACGCACCTTGCTGTTCAGCTGCTGGATGCGGAGCTCCTTCTGGTGCAGATGCTTCAAACTGCTGCCAAGCTGGAGCTGGAGGTCCTCCACGGATGCCGTCTGGCCACACGGGTCTCTGCCGGAGCCTGTCGCCCCTGGAGCCCCCTGTGGAAAGGCCCCATCAGCTGCTGCCCACATTTTGCCCAGCAAGACCCCCCACCCCCCCACATAGTAATAAAATACAATAAAGTACAATAAAATAAACAATAAATGAAATGAAATAAAGTGAAATGAAATAAAATAAAATAACATAAAAAATAAAATAAATAAAATAAAATAAAAAAATAAAGTAAAATAATAAAATAAAAATAAAATATAAAATAAAATAAAAAATAAAATAAAAAATAAAGTAAAATGAAATAAAAGAAAATAAAAATGAAATGAAACAATAAAATGAAATAAAATAAAATAAAATAAAAAATAAAATAAAATAAAATTAAAATAAAATAAAATAAATAAAATAAAATAAAAAATAAAATAACTAAAATAAAATAAAGTAAAATGAAATAAAATAAAATAAAATAAAAATGAAATGAAACAATAAAATGAAATAAAAAAAAAATAAAATAAAATATAAAATAAAATAAATAAAATAAAATAATAAAATAAAATAAATAAAATAAAATAGATAAAATAAAATAGATAAAATAATAAAATAAAATAATAAAATAATAAAATAAAATAATAAAATAAAATAAATCTACTTAGCGGAAATGGCAAAGATTTCAGCTTTCTTGAAAGATCAATCGCAAGAGAAGTACCTCTTGGTATGGAAAAGATGGATAAATTTTATACAATATAAATATGATATAAAAAATATTATTTAATTTTTGAATAATTTATATTTAAAGTTTAAGATTTTTTTTCTTTTTTTTCTCCTTTTTCTTGTTTCTTTTCTTTTTCTCTTTTTGTTTTCTAAATATAGGTGTTAAAGTATTTTATAATTTGTTTAATTATTGTAATCAAATTTGTATATGATATAAAAAATAAAACAAAATATAAAATAAATAAAATAAAAAATAAAACAAAATATAAAATAAAATAATAAAATAAAATATAAAATAAAATAAATAATAAAATAAAATAATAAAATAAAATAAAATATAAAATAAAATAATAAAATAAAATAAAATAAATAATAAAATAAAATAAAATAAAATATAAAATATAAAATAAACAATAAAATATAAAATAAAATAAAATAAAAAATAAAATAAAATAAATAAAATAAAATAAAATATAAAATAATCACAAGAACACCCGAGGAGCGCAGACTGGCTGGGCCTCCCCTCCCGCCCTCCGGACTGGGCCGCTCACCTCCCTTTGGTGCTGCTGCAGCTTCTCAGCCTCCCAGGCGGCCTTTTCTTCCCTGAAAAAAAAAACCAGCCCCAAAAGTGATGGGGGGAAAAGTCAATGGGGGGGGGACTTGGTTCACTTAACAACTGCCGTGATTTAACAACGATAGCCAAAAAAAGACGGTCAAGTCAGGAGCAACCCAGTTGACCACCGCCCGACTTAGAAAGGGAGCTTCCGGTCCCCACTGAGGCCCCGAGTCGAGGGCCACCCGGGCGGCCCCCTCCCCTCACCTGAGCTGCCGGAGCTCCGTCTGGGCAGAGTCCCTCTCTTGCTGCAGCCTCTCCTGCTGCTGCTCCACCTCCCGCGCCTTCTGCTGGGCCTTCAGCCGCCCCGTCTCCGCCGTCTCCGCCCCGGCCTGGAGGTGCTGCTGCTGCAGGTTCTTCAGCTCCGCCAGCTCAAGAACGAGAAGAGGAGAACCTGCCTTATCAAAGACTTCCCACTGGATCAACGGGCTCGCCGAAGCAGGGTGAGGGAGAAAGGCCCCCCCCCAGAAAAGGGTCTGATAATCAACAGAGGAGAACACTTGTAGCTCAGCATGGAACCGAGGGGTCCCTGGGGCTCTCCACGTTTGGAGGTTTTTTGCAGACGTTTCATGACCCACCTAGATCACATCATCAGGGCTGGAAGGGAGTGGGGTTTGTGGAGGAGGAAGAAGAGGAAGAGGAAGATGTAGAGGAGGAGGAGGAGGAGGAGGTGGTGGTGGTGGTGATGCACTCAGTGCACTCTGAGCTTGGAGGTTTTCTTGCAGATGTTTCATGACCCAACTAGGTCACATCATCAGGGCTAGAAGGGAGGGGGGGTTGTGCAGGAGGAGGACGACGACAACTGTGGGGTCCTTGGTGCTCTCTGACCTTGGTTATTTTCTTGCAGATGACACAACTAGGTGACAACATCAGAGCTAGCCCTGAAAATGCCTAGCGGGCCACCAAAGACCCCACAAAAGGTTGCAGGAATTGGGGATGCCCTCTCTAATGAAGGGAAGGATTAGGGGTGAGGTAGAACATGGAACAATGACAGCACTGATAACGGTAGCAGCGCTACATGTCATAACAATGTAGATAAGATCACCGTTACTGTCAATTTTACTGTCAGCACACCGGCCCACATTGAAAATGAAATTCTGTTACCCGCTCTCAAAAGGAAGGTCATAACAATATCGCCTATCACAACAATGATACACATGATAACAGTATTCCAGTATTTGAGGGGCTGGCAAAAGAAGAGGGGGTCAACCTCTTCTCCAAAGCCCCTGAAGGCAGGACAAAAAACCACGGATGGAAACTCCAGGAGAGAAGCAACCTGGAACTAAGGAGAAACTTCCTAACAGTGAGGACAATTAACCAGTGGAACAGCTTGCCACCAGAAATTGGGGGTGCTTCATCACTGGAGGTTTTTAAGAAGAGACTGGACAGCCAATTGTCTGGAATGGTACAGGGTCTCCTGCCTGAGCAGGGGGTTGGACTAGAAGCCGCCAAGGTCCCTTCCGACTCTGCTACCCCTTGCCCTCCAACACACCGCAGGGGTTCAAGACTTACCAGCCGGTCTCGGTCGTTCTGCAGGGACGAGAGCGCCTTCTTGAGACTCGGCACTTCGGCCAGGCCGGAAGACATGTCGGCGGCCGACTGCAGCTTCACCTCCTCGGTCTTGCGGGTTTTGTCCAGCTCGCTCAGCAGACGGTCCCGTTCAGCCTGCAGGCTGGCCATGGCCTGGGAGAAGGCCTTCACTTGGCCAAAGGCCCCCTCCAGCTCTGAAGAGAGGTGAGCAAGTTGGGTGTCTTTGGATTGAAGCTGCTGGTTGAGTTTCTCCACCTTCTCCAAGAAGCTCTTCCCTTCCGTTGAATCTCGGAGGGCAGCGAGTTCGGAGGCCATGCTGTCCCTCTGCTCCTCCAGGGCGGTTTGCGCCTCTTGAAGGTGAAGCTTCTCCTGATGGAGGCCTTGAAGCAGCTGCCTCTGCTCTTCCAGGTCTCCCGCGTATCTCTTCTCCAGGGCCCGCCGTTCTTCATTAGACTGATCCCAGCTGTCTTGGAGAGAACTCATGGCTTTCTTGAACGACTGGATTTGGGCCTTCAAGTCCTGGTTTTCTTCTGTGACCACGAGGAGGCTCTGCTCCATCTGCAGGAGGTCCTTGGCCAGCTCGGCTACCCGTTCTTCGGCTGTCTCAGTCTCATTCCGCAGGAGTCCAGTGTCGTGATGGAAGCTCTTGAGCTCTTCCTTCATCTTGGTGTCCGCTTCCTGCAGCTTCTGAGAGGTGGTTTGATGAAGACGAGCCAGCTCTTCTTCAAGTCCCACCACCTGCTCATTTGCCAGCGAGAGCTGCTCGTCTAAACTCTGGATTTCATCCACTTTCTCTTGCAACTGCAACTGCAGCTCCATCATGGCACCCCCTTCCCTCAGAACCAGGATCTCATCCTGCATCTGGGAGAGGGAAGACTTGAGACTCTTGACTTCCTGGTCCAGATTCTGCTTCTCCAGCTTCAGGGCCTCCACGGTTCGCTGTAGGCTGGCCAAACTAAGTTCAGACTCTTGCAGCTGGCCTTCCATTCCTGCCTTCTCCTTCTCCAGGGCCTGGATACGCTCAATCTGGGTTTTCAGCAGCTGCTTCTGCTGACTGTCCTTGATGGAGATGACTTGGTTCAGGTCTTCACGGTACCGTACCAGTTCGGCATCCAACTTGGCGTTCTCAGCATGCAAGTCATCCCGCTGACCGTGGAGGGTCCGAAGTTGCTCCTTCAAGGAGTTATTCTCTGCAGCCGCTTCCTGGATCAGCTGATCCTTCTCTAAAATGGAGGCCAGGTGACGCTGTTCCAGCTGCTGATAGTCTTCCAGAACTCTGTCCCGGTCATCTTGCAGAGAAGACATGGATTTGGTGAAGGAATCTAGCTGAGCTTTGTTCTGCTTGCTCTCCTCGTGGATATTCTTCAGCTTCTTCATGAGACTATTCACTTTCTCCTGAGCTTTTGCTTTATCGGCCTCCAAAGCCACCTTCTCGGCTTCAGCCTTGGCCATCTGGCTCTCCAACTCCTTCAGCTCTTCCGTGTGCTGTTGTTGGATTTTCAACAGGGCTTCGGCTACAGCCTCCTCCTTGGCAGCCACGAGACCGACAATCTTCTGCTCCTTGAAGCTCATCTCGGTATGAAGTCTGTCCGTCAGCTCTTTGGAAGCCTGCAGGTCAGCCTCCAGCTGCTCCAGACTGAATCTGTAATCCTGAAGACTGGCCTCGTGGCTCTTCACCGTCTCCGACATCTCAAGACGGGCTCGGTCGCAGTCTTCAAAGGAGGCCTGCAGATCAGAAAGCTGCTTTCTCAGAGACCCGAGTTCTCCTCCTTGTTGGAGAACCTGGCTCTGGGAGTGGCCCAGTGACCGCTGGACCTCTTCAAGCTGTAGTCCAAGTCTGTGCTTCTCCTCCTGGAGCAACTGGACTTCTTCTTGATGGTTCTGGAGCTCCTTCTGGGCGTGGGACTCTTGGGCTGACTTGCTACGTTCCAAGCTGCAAGCAGAAATGGCAGAATGTGAGGGTGAGCTGGGTGGTTTTCTTGCAGATGTTTCATGACCCAACTAGGGAACATCATCAGAGCTTCAAGGGAGTGGGATCCACAGAGAGGAGGAAGAAGAGGACTGTAGGGTCTTTGAGGTTCTCTGAGCTTGGTGATTTTCTTTCATGACACAACTAGTAACATCATCAGTTCTAGAAGGGAGTGGGGTTTGTGGAGAGGAGGAAGAGCATTTGTGTCCTTGGCGCTCTCTGAGCTTGGTTGTTTTCTTGCAGACCCAACTAGGGAACATCATCAGTGCTAGAAGCTTGTAGCAATGACGATCTCACCTAGTTGGGTTGTGAAACATCTGCAAGAAAACCAACAAGGTTAGAGAGCACTAGGAACCCCACAATTCTTCTCCTTCTCCTTTTCCTCCATTCCACAAACCCTCCTCCCTTCTAACGCTGATGATGTTCCCTAGTTGGGTCATGAAACATCTGCTAGAAAACCACCAAGCTCAGAGAGCACCACACTTTCCATCCACTGCTGAATCCTTATCTAGGCAGAATACTTTAGTCCAAGGAGAAACTGGACATCTCTGCAAAGGCTTTCTCCACATCACCAAGCCTTGACCCAGAACTTGAGCCATCCAGTGGTTGTCCAATCTTCAAAGGCAGGTGGGCAAAACAACCCTACGGTGAGCTCTGCCACAGAGAAGGCCCTGCACAAAATCTGCTTCCACTGACTCTAGTAGCTTGCAAGAGGAGAGACTCAAATCCGTCCTCCATGACTCCATGTCTCAAATCCATCCTCCGTTTCCATCCAACAATTGAACATCCAACTTCAGAAGTTGTGGGTGTTCCATCATTGGAGGCTTTCAAGAAGAGATTGGACAGCCACTTGTCTGAAATGGCATAGGGCACGAGTAGGCAATCTTAGCTCTTTTATGACTTTTGGACTTCAATACCCAGAATTCCTGAACCAGCCATGCTGACTCAGGAATTCTGGGAGTTGAAGTCCACAAGTCATAAAAGAGCCAAGGTTGTCTACCCCTGGTATAGGGTCTCCTGCTTGAGCAGGGGGCTGGACTAGAAGACCTCCGAGGTCCCTTCCAGTTCTACTCTATTCCGATTGTGGCTCTTCTCTACCACACTAAAATAAGCACAGAAAAACGGGGGTAAGGAGATTTGCATCCTTCCCCTTAGCTCACCCTAGTTCTGCTTCTGCTCATTATGAAAGAGCCCCAGAGGAACCTTGGAATGCCAGAGGTGGGAGGGTCAGCCCCCATCTTACCTGACAACGAGGCCTTGGAGGTCTTCCACCTGAAGAGCCATCTTCTTGACCTGGTCTTGCAAGGCAACGCAGGCCTCTTCTTGAGCAGAGAGTTCCTGCTGCTTCTTCTCAATGGCCTGGCTGAACTTCTTCTCCCACTGCTTGGACTCGTCTATCACCCGGTCCCTGTCGTCCTGCAGGGAGGACATGCTTCTGGTGAAGGCTGCCAGCTGGGCTAAGGTGTGGTTCAGGTGGCCCTGAATGTGTTTGGCTTCTTGGTCCTTCTGGTGCAGGGACGCTTGGAGTTCTCGCGCCGACTCCTCGGCGAACGCCTGCTTTTTCCGCATGGCTTCCAACCTCTCTTCCATGTTTCTCATCTCCTTCAGATGCTTGGCCTTCTCTTGCTCCAAATGTTTCTCAAGTTCCTTCTCTTTTTGACTCAGCTGACATCTGATCTGAGCCTGGGTGTTCTGAAGCTCCTCTTTCACCTTCAAGCTCTCCGCCACGACTCGGGCAGCTTCGCTCTGAGTATCATCCAGCAAGACTCTGCAGGAAGCCAACTCAGCCTGGACCTTCTTGGTCTTCTCCTCTGCCTCCGCCATGCTCTTCTTGGTGGTCTCCAGCTCCCTCTTGGATTCACTCTGGACAAACTCCAGGGCCTTGATGGTTCTCTCCAAGCTACTGACCTTCTCCTGGCTTTTAATGCAATCTTTCTGCAGCTGCCTCACTTCTTGCTGTTTCTCTTTCAACAGCTCCTGAAGTTCTCTGGTCTGAGTCCGGCCGTTGTCTTCCTTCCAGGCGCTCTTGACCTTTTCCATGTTCTCTTTCTTCTCGGCTTCCACCTCGAGCTTCTCCCTCAACAGATGCCGCTTCTCCTCTTCCAGGAGGCTCAGGGACCCCTGAAGACTTCCCAGCTCTCCGAGGAGCTGCTGATTTTGGCTCTCCAGGTTGGCCATGTCCTGCTGATAGTTCCCAATGCTGCCATTCAACTCGGCCAGCTGGTTCATCAGCCTTTCTTCAAGGTCATCCTTCTCAGTTTCCAAAGCTTCTTTCAACATCAGCGCCTCGGCCAGCTGTTCCTGGGTTTGCCCACATGCTTCCTCCACCTTGAGGACCTTTTCTTGAAGAGCTTCCAGTTCCTGGCCTTTCGCAGCCAGTAAACCTTCCAGGTGGTCCTTCTCTTCCTTCAAAACCTCCAAATCCTTACGGGCCTTATTCATTTCCTCTACCGCCATCTTCCTCCCATCTTCTAGTGCTGCCACTTGCTCCTGAAGCTCTGCCACTGGCTGAACATCCCCAGTTCTTTCATCACGCAAGGGGTTAGCTGGACTAAGATCTTCCTTTTGGTCCCTCACGCTCGAAGCAGTGGTGGGGAGAACTTCAGAACCCGTGTCTGGATCTCCTTGTTTCTCAGCTGCCTCCTCTGAAGATGACATCATGGTGGAACCGACCATCTTGCTTCTGACCACCATCTCCTCTTGGAGGCTGCTCTGATCTTCCTTATTTTGCAAAGTCTGCCTCAAATCCTGGATTTCCTGCTCCAAGCTGTCCTTCTCGGCCACCAGGGCTTTCAGCTCATCAGAAAGAGCCTGGCAATTCTTCTTGGAGGCTTCCAGCTCTTCTTGAAGAGCAGAATTTGCCCCATCCTGTCTACCATCCCCAGGATGAATTTCGGACCTCAGCTGCTCGTTCTCTTCTTCTAGTTCCAAGATCTTCTGCTGCTTGGATTTGGCAAACTTCCTCATTTTCTCCCTCATGCCTTCCATCTCCTGTTCGGCTCCCTGCAGGCGAGCCTCCCCGTCCTTCTTCTCCGCTTCCGCCTCTTTCAGTTTGAGGAAGAGGTCCTGCTTCTCCTGTCGGACGCTCTCCACCACCCGTTGGATCCGCTCGGCCTCGTTGCTGACATTCTCGTACGACTGCAGGAGCGTCTCATACTCCTTCTGCAGTTCCTCGTGTTTTCTCCGCCACTCCGAGAGCTCCTGGGCCTGCCTTTCCTTCAGAGAGTAAATTTCCTCCTCAAGACTTGTCTTCTCCTGAGTCACCCCTTCCAGGGCCAACTTCAGACTCTCGCAGGAACCAGTCACGTTCTGGTTTTCCACCAAGGCTTTGTCCACCGCCGATATGAGCTTGTCCCGTTCCTCCTTGAGGGTCGCCAATTTCTCCAACAGGACCACCTTGTCCTTGTCCAGCTCAGACGCCCGAAGCTCTGCCTCTTGAAGATGGAGAGAGGTGCTTTCCAGAGCGGCCTTGGTGCTGGACAACTCATCCCTCAGCCCCTTCCTCTCTTTTAGGGCTTCCTTCCTGGAGATGAGGGCTGCCTGCAGCTTCCTCTGGAGCTGGGCTTTGGATTGGGTCTCCGCAGATTCTTCTGCCGATTTCACCTGAAGCTCAGCCTGCAGCTGTTGGGCTTGGTCCAACTGCCCCTGCAAAGCTTTGATCATATTCTCCTTCTCTTGCAACTCAGCCTGGAGGCAACAAAGAGACTCGCTTTTCTCCATTAATTGGGAGTGAAGGCCTTGGATCTCTTCTCTGCCATTGAGTTCCTTCTGCTCTTGGTGGCATCTCAGACTCTCCTGCCTGGCAATTTCTTCCCAGCTCTCCTGCAATTCCAGCTTCAGGCTTGCCATGCTGGTTTCCATCTGACTGCAGGCAGTTTTGGCCATCTCCACTTCAGCCAGGAGTTGCTCGACCTGCTCCTGAAGGAGCAGAGTCTTCTCAGATTTGCTGTCAAGCTCTCCTTCCAGATGTCTGATCTGGGCTTCCAGTTCTTTCTTCTCAGCCTGAAGCTTCTCAAAGTCTGCCTTAAGTTGTCCCACAACTGAGTCTTCAGTTACTAAGGAAGTGCGTTCTTCAATGACCTCCTGGCCACACTCCTGCACAAGCCCTGATGCCGGTCCTTCAGAAGAAACATCTCCAGTAGGATTTTGAGGAGGGAAGCTCTCCAGAAACTTGGACATCATCTGGAGCTGGTCCTGCAGGTTCTCCCTCTCCCTGCTTTGTTGCTCAAATTGCTCTTGCAGCAAGTTGTAGTCGTTCTGCTGCTGCTTTAGCAGCTCGCGAGAATGACAATCCTTCTCCTTGGCTTTCTTAATGATCTCCTTGCGTGAGACCAGAGCTTCCTGCAGCTTCTTCTGGAGCTCTTCTCTCTCCTGGACCAGCGCCGAGAAGTCTTCTTGGACAGTCCTATTTTCTCCTTCCGGGCCAAGGTCAGCTTTGCTGCTTGATCCACCTGCTCCAGGATCTGCTGAGCTGGATCCCTCCAAATTCTGATCCACCGGACTTTGTTTCTCCGGGGCCAACTTGCAGTGTTCGAGTTCAGCCTGCAAGGCATTTATTTGGAGATCCTTCTGCTCTAGACTTTGCCGCAATTCTGTAATCACGGCCCGTGGCCACATGCATTCTTTCTCCTCAGGGGTGTCCTGTGACGTGGCTTCCTTTGCAGAGAGCAACTGGCTGAGTGAGGCAGCTCTGTCCCGCCTTGCAGGATGCCCTTGGCCACTATGGAGCCGTTGACTCTCAGAGGGATGTCCACCTCCTTCGTTCTCTTGGGCCACCACCTCCTGGCTCTCGGCTGGAGGCTCTTCCCCACCTTTTCTTTCCTGCTCCAGCTGGCGAACCCTGTTGAGAAGCTCCTTCCTGCTGAGAAGGGCAGCTTGCAGCTTCTTCCTCACGAGTTCGTTCTCCTTCCTTAGAACTTCCACTGCTTCATCGGTGGGCAACTCCTCCGTTGGTGGCCGTTCCTCCTCCGTTTCCACCGCCTGTTCTCTGGTCTCCTTTCCTTGCTGCAGCACGCTCAGTTGCTCCATCACGCTCTTCAGCTCTTTCCCCAGCATAAACTTCTCCTCGTTGAGTTGCACCATCCGGTCGGACATGCCGATGCTGACTTCGGTCATCCTTTGTTCTCGCTCCATCACTTCCTGCTGGAGCTTCTCCACCTCCAGAGAGTTCTCAGAGAGGAGCTTCGCCAGCTTGGCGGTTTCCACCTCCTTCAAGACGAGGGCCTGGGAGAGCTCCTGAGCCTTCGTGGAAGCCTCCTGCCCCTGTTCTACCAGGGCTTGGACGTTCTGCTGCTCCTTCTGGAGCTGGCTAAGCAGGTTTCTCCCCACTGTTTCTTGCTCGGAGAGGCGACGCTGGGCTTCATCCAGGTCCTTCTGCAAAGCGACGATTTTCACCTCCTTGGATTTGGCCTCGTTCCTCAGACTCTGAATTTGCTCCTTCAACAAACCCAGGTGAGAGATTCCACTCTCATAGTTGGGAAGCTGCTGCTGCTCTGGGTGAGCAGGGCCTCCTTCCAACTGGTCCTTCAGCTCCGCTAGGAAGCAGAGTTCCTTCAGTTGGGACAGGATCTGGTCACGCTCTGCGTTCAGGGTCTGCGCAACCCTGGCTGAGCCCTCCATCTGTTCTTGAAGCTGGCCAATGTCCGCCGTCTTCTCCTCCAGGATTCTCTCGTGGGTTTCCACAGCTTCTCGATGCCTTCTTTGCAGTTCGGCGACTTCAAGCTCCAACTTCTGTAACTGCGGCCCGGAGTCTAGAGATATTCCCTGAGCGGTTTCATTCTCCTCCGGGCCCAACAGCATGCCCAGAACAGAAGGAGAGTCCTGAAGGTCGACCGTGACCAGGGAGCTGCTGCTGGAATCACTCTGGATGGGCACGGTTCCTTCTCCCTCTCTCTCGGCCTCGTTGCTCCCCTGGGATTGTCCTGCTTCCGTCTCCAGGCTGCTCGAGACCGGAAGCTGCCCCTTTAGCAGTGCAATTTCTTCCTGGGCCTCCTGCAGTTCCAGAAGCAAGACTGACAGATCACGCTGCTTCTTCTCGGCAAAGTATTCCAGGAGATCCGACTGTCCGTCCTGTTGGGCCTGCAGGGTTTCCTCAAGGGTCCCGCCTGCGCTGGGCTGGAAGGAGAACAAGGAATCATTCCTCTGCAGGAAGCAGATTTTATTTTATATTACATGTTATATTACTTTATATTATATAAAGTAGCTCAGCTGGGTGTAGCTCAGCTGAGAAGAGAGGTGTGGGGGGGCTGGGGGCTGCAAATCACCCCCCCCAGGACCCCTGGCCTCGCCACCTCTGCAAAAGTCTTCACAGAAACCTTTACCTGGCTCAGGGGGAGAGACTGCACTGCCACTGTTTCCAGTTCTGGCGGAGACGAGCCAAGCTCCGGGGGTCTTTCGGTGGGCTCCCCTGGGACAGAAAACACAACGTAAGTGGAATCAGAGACACATCCATCCCCTGGCCCGGTGTAATGCCGAGAGAAGCCGAAAATGGCCATAAAGTGAGGTCCGTTCCTGAAACCCGCCCCCCGTTGAGCCGGACTGAGAGGTTATTTTCATTCGTCGAGAACTGAAGGGATTACAAAATCCGGAAGGCTGTCAAAGGCGTAATGGGCAAGCTGTGCTGTACCAGAACGGAGGCTGCCGACCTTTTACCATCGGTCTGAAAAAGCCTAGCTAGAGAGAAGCACCAGGTGAGCTGCCCAGGTGTTTCAGAAGCCGAACAGGGATCCCTGGGAACAGACCAACTTCCATGATTGTGGCATCCTTGCTGCCGAGTTTGGATGGTTTTCTTGCAGACGTTTCATGACCCACGCAGGTAACATTATCAGTGCTGGAAGGGGGCAAGGTTTGCTCTCTGTTTGTATTCCAGAGGGAGTGTTGTTGATGATTAAGTTGCTGTTTATTGTTAGTTTATTGTTGTTTGTCTGAGTTAGCTCCTTGAGTCAAGCCGTAAAACAATACCCCAATTAGGAACTACCAACTCAGGTAAACAATCAAGCAGAAAACAACAGCCTAATCAAGGACCCGTGAAGAACATGCCACTTGTGTATAAACAGAGAGCAAAGCCCACTCCTTTCTAGCCCTGATAATGTTCCCTAGTTGGGTCATGAAACGTCTGCAAGAAAAGCCACCCAGCTCAGAGAGCACCGAGGACCCCACACTTTCTCTCTCCTTCTTCCTCCTTCCTTCTTCTTCCTCCTCATCCCTGCTCTTTCCTCCTCCTCCTCCCCCTCTCTCTTATTTCATATCCCTAGTTGGGTCTGCAAGAAAACCACCCAGTTCAGAATGCACTAAGGATCCCAGTGTTCTTCTTTCTCTCCTTCTCCTCCTCCTTCCTCTTCATCCCTCCTCCTTCCTCCTCCTCCTCCTCCTCTTCCTCTTTCCTCTTCATCCCTGCTCCTTCCTCCTCCTCCTCCTCCTGCTTCTCCAACCCCTCTTATTTCACATCCCTAATTAATAAAATGTCTGCAAGAAAACCACCAAGCTCAGAGTGCACTAAGGAACCCACAGTTCTTAATAATAATAATAATAATAATAATAATAATAATAATAATAATAATAATAAAGTTGGAAGGGACCTTGGAGGTCATCTAGTCCAACCCCCTGCTCAGGCAGGAAACAGTACACCATTTCAGATAATATTTCCTCCTCCTCCTCTTCCTCCTCCTATTTCATATCCTTAGTTGGGTCATAAAACATCTGCAAGAAAACCATCCAGCTCAGAAAGCACCAGGGACCCCACAGTCATCATCGTCCTCCTCCTTCTCCTCCTCTCTGCAGCCCCCCTCCCTTCTACCACTGATGATGTTTCCTAGTTGGGTCATGAAACGTCTGCAAGAAAACCACCCAGCTCAGAGAGCACCAAGGACCCCACAATCATCTTCCCCCCCTCCTCCTCTTCCTCCTCCTCCTCCTCTTCTCTGCAACTCCCCTCCCTTCTACCACTGATGTTTCCTAGTTGGGTCATGAAACGTCTGCAAGAAAATCACCCAGCTCAGAGAGCACCAGGGACCCCACAGTTCAACCCTGAGCGACAAAGAGTCTCTTCCGTCTATCCTTTCACTCCTTCGGGAGGACACCGCTGCCTCCCTACAGACGCTTTCGCTGACCTTGGGCGGCAGGAGCGTCCTCGGGCGAGCTCGCCCCTGGTCCATCCGCCTTCTGGCGCAGCCGGGCGTTCTCCGCCTGGACAGCCTCGTAACTGGCCTGCAGGTCCTGCTCTGCCTTTTGAAACTCAGCCAGCTCCTGCTCCTTCTCCGCCACCTCCTGGGCGTGCCGGGCTTCCTCAGCCTCCCTCTTCTGCTCTTGCTCGGTCCGGACTGCTCTCGCCCGGGCCAGCTCTTGGCTCAGCTCTCGGACCTCCTCCTGGCTCTGCCGGAACGCCGTCTCCTGCTCGGCCAGTTGCAGCTGCAGACTCTTGACCAGCTGTTCGGATTCCTGCTGGACGGAAGCCAGAGCGTCTCTCGAGGCCTCCAGCTCTGCCTCGGCCTTTTGCAACGTCTCCTGGAGATGCTAGGAAAGAGAAAAGACAAGAGAAGCGTGGAGCTCGGCCTACGAGGGAGCAGGTAAGAAATAAGGAAATAAGATAGAAATAAGAAAACCAGAACGTTAGAAGGACATGGCCCCCGGTAGCTAACCCAAGAAGGATAATGAGAAATAGCAAGAGAATTATTATTATTATTATTTTAAAAAAAAGGTTTGCCCTGGTTTGGTGGATTACAGCAACATTTTTGACTGGGTGGATTTTGCCCAAACTCAGAAGGTGTTAAGGCTAGAGGGTGTACCAGTACAGGGGTCTCCAACCTGTCCTGGGATCAAGGGATCCCCTTTCGTGACCTCCTGACAAGAAAAGCCAATGGGGAAGCCGGACTCGCTTAACGACTGCGTCACTAATTTAACAACGGCCGCGATTCACTTAAAAAAAAAGTCGAGAAAAGTCGTAAAATGGGGCAAAACGGACTTAACAAATTTCTCACTTAACAACATAAGCGTCGGGCTGACCTGTGGTTGATAAGGAGAGGGCGATCTGCAGAATAATTTAAAAAAAAAATCAAAAAAGAAAAATAAGAAAAAAAATGTAAAAAAAATCAGAAGAAAAGTGAAAAAAAAAAAGACAAAAACAAAGAATTTTTCCTTGCCTGCCAATTGCCTTCTCTTTCCCCTTTAACCCTTGGAAATCCTCAAATCCATAAATCGTCAGTTCTGCCTTTGCTGCTTTCAGCAAAAAACCCAGGTAAGACTTCCGGTGTTGTTGTTTTTTTAAACAAAATCCTTAATCGTTTTTCCTTGACCTCACATTATATGTAAAGACTTGATCTGCTTTATTAAAAACCAGGAACACCTTTTGCCCAGGATATAAGATAAGATCACCTTTGTTGTCATTTTTTTACTGTGGGCACACTGGCACACATTAAACATGAAATTTTGTTGCCTGCTCTCCAAAGTGCACACATACATAACACACATAGACATGCTATATACATACAAATACCTACACCCTTACATGTACATACATATACATATTAATCACTGCCCATCTTGAATGTATAGTGCAGAGGTAGGCAACCGTGGCTCTTTTATGACTGGTGGACTTCAACTCCCAGAATTCCTGAGCCAGCCACGCTGAGGGGAAAGGGAGAGGCTTCCAAGCTGAGCCAGGCTGGCTCAGGAATTCTGGGAGTTGAAGTCCCCAAGTCATGAGGGGGCCAAAGTTTCCCTCATGCTGGCTCAGGAATTCTGGGAGTTGAAGTCCACGAGTCATGAGGGGGCCATAGTTCCCCCATGCTGGCTCAGGACTTCTGGGAGTTGAAGTCCACGAGTCATGAGGGAGCTATAGTTCCCCCATGCTGGCTCAGGAATTCTGGGAGTTGAAGTCCACCAGTCATAAAGCGGCCTAGGCCTAGGCCAGAGGTAGGCAACCTTGGCTCTTTTATGACTGAGGACTTCAACTCCCAGAATTCCTGAGCCAGCCATGCTGAGGGGAAAGGGAGAGGTTTCCAAGCTGAGCCAGGCTGGCTCAGGAATTCTGGGGGTTGAAGTCCACGAGTCATAAAAGAGCCAAGGTTGCCTACCTCTGGGATAGTGGAAAGAGGAAACTTGAGCGTTCATTACGTCCATTTTGCAAATGGAGAGCAACTCTGGGGCAGCTCTGGCATGCAATACATTGCAATAAAATGTGATTTTTGTCGGGCTACCCAGGGCGGGGGGGTACCTGCTTCTCTTCCTGAGTGTCGTTCAATTCCTGCTGCAGCAATTCGACCACTTGTGTCCTACCCAGCAGGGCCTCCTCCTGTTCCTCCACCTTTCTTTGCAGCTGCCTCAGGTTCTGTGGGGAGAGAGACCACGACAGGCCTGCTTCAAAAGCCACAAGACAAAAATACACATGTCTGACTGCTGGCTTTCACCCGATTTGTATTTGTACCTTTGGCTTTTCCTGCCTAGGTGTCAAGCCTGGCTTTTCTCCTCATTAAATTTCATGTTGTTGGATTGTTCAACTTTTGTCAAGATCCTTTTGGATCCTGGGCCGTGGGCTGTTCGTGCCAGCTTGGTGTCATCTGCAAATCTGATGCTTTTCCAACCCACCTGCTGCATTTCTGCCTCGCGGGCCGACCAAGCCTCCGCCTGGCGTACTTCTGCCTGGTGCTGGAGAGCCTGTTCTTCACGGAGTGACTCCTTCTCCAGCACCTCCTTTTGGAGGGAGCTGATCTGCCGAGACAAGAATGAAGGCACAGAGATGACAAGGGGAGCCTCTCGTGTGTGGGAGCCAAGGCCCAAGCGGCACTCCGAAGAAAAGGAACGGGGCTAAAATAATCTTCTTCCATGTGCAGCCGTGAGCTTGTGAAAATGTTGTTGACCTCAAATGTACCAGACACCCGGAGTGTCCACGCTGCTAACATCGGATGTTCTTGCTTTGACAATGTATGAAGATGCAGCCAATTTCCCCTTAACTTGTGTGTAACTTTTAGAGTTAGAATTAGATGATGCTGGGAGGGGGGGAGGAGGAGGAAGAATGTGTATGGGCATTAGTTAGACATAACAACATCGTAGCAGAGTGTTTTTTAAGGTTGGTTGAAATAAGAGATGATAAGAAATGGCGGGTAGAAGAACTGGAGGGAAGGTCTGCATTTCAAACTAATTGGAGAATGCGATTTGTGACTGTTAATTAGAGGAGGGAATTGTGCTTGGATACTGTGTGTTCAGCGGAGGAGAATTCAGATTTCGGCTTCGACCATGTACGTGCCGATGCCATGCAACCTGAATATTCTTTAAGGTAAACAATGCCTCGAAGTTCTTTGAAGAGTTTCATCTGTCGAAACCATGGAGGTGAAATCCCAGGGAGGTGAAATCCCAGGGAGACTCTCCCACACAGGGTGCCTGTCCCTGTGCACCCCTTGAGACGCTGCTGCTCTGATGCATTGTTTTATTTGTACCTCACCTTTATTGTTTCTACAAATAACTCAAGGGGGTGAAAATGCCCCCCATACCTTCCCCCTGTAGGTGGATATATGTACATATACATGTACAAAGGCAGCCAGCTGGTTTTCATGCCTAAGGCGGGATTAGAACTCAAAGTCTCTTGGTGATCGGCCCAAAGTCACCCAGTCGGCTTTCATGCCTAAGGCAGGACTAGAACTCACCGCCTCCTGGTGATTGGCCCAAAGTCACCCAGTTGGCTTTCATGCCTAAGGCAGGACTAGAACTCACCGTCTCCTGGTGATCGGCCCAAAGTCACCCAGTTGGCTTTCATGCCTAAGGCAGGACTAGAACTCACCGCCTCCTGGTGATCGGCCCAAAGTCACCCAGTCGGCTTTCATGCCTAAGGCAGGACTAGAACTCACCGTCTCCTGGTGACTGGCCCAAAGTCACCCAGTTGGCTTTCATGCTTAAGGCAGGACTAGAACTCACCGTCTCCTGGTGATCAGCCCAAAGTCACCCAGTTGACTTTCATGCCTAAGGCAGGACTAGAACTCACCGCCTCCTGGTGATCGGCCCAAAGTCACCCAGTTGGCTTTCATGCTTAAGGCAGGACTAGAACTCACCATCTCCTGGTGATCGGCCCAAAGTCACCCAGTTGGCTTTCATGCCTAAGGCAGGACTAGAACTCACCACCTCTTGGTGATTGGCCCAAAGTCACCCAGTTGGCTTTCATGCCTAAGGCAGGACTAGAACTCACTGTCTCCTGGTGACTGGCCCAAAGTCACTGAGACAGCTTTCACGCTTAAGGTAGGACTAGAACTCACCATCTCCTGGTGATTGGCCCAAAGCCACCCTGCCAGCTCTCATGTCTACAGTAAGACTACAACTCACCGTCTCCTGGTGATTGACCAAAAGTTACCCAGCCAGCTTTCATTACTAAGGCAGGACTAGAACTCACTGTCTCCTGGGGATTGGCCCAAAATCACCCAGCTGGCTTTCGTGCCTAAGGCGGGACTAGAACTCGCCGTCTCCTGCTTTCCAGCCAGGTGCCTTAACCACTAGCCCAAGCTGGCACCATGCTTTAGCAGCCAACTTTGGACCCCCGTTTCAATCTGTGTGGGGAAAATGCTGAAGCCTTTCAGGGCGAGTTGTAGCAATTTCACAAGAGAAGAGACGCACCTAGAAATCTATACTTTCCAGCCGTTGCTCTTAGGCTCCCTCGCCAACATTAGCCTGCGAAGATCCTGAGAGGTCAGGAGCCCCCAGAGAAGCCCAGGTGGGCAGGGCTGGTTCCCTACCTGGGCCTGGGCATCCCCGAGTCTTCCCGCTGCTTCCTCCAGCTGCCCTTGGAGACCCCTCACCCTTTCCTCCTGCTCCTGCAGCTGCCTCCTCAGCGCGCCCGTCTCGTCCGCCGGCCCATCGCTCTTGCTGCGGTCACCCTGATGGTGCAGAAGAGAGGAGGGGCGTTTTTAGGGGAAGATACGGGGAGTCCTCGACTTACAACCATTTGTTTAGTGACTGTTCGGAGTTACAACAGAACTGGGGGGAAAAGTGTCTTACGGCCATTTTTGCAGCATCCCTGTGGGTCACGTGATCAAAATTCGGACACTTGACAAGTGGTTCATATTTATGACGGTGGCAGTGTCCATGGGTGACCGGCTCGTATTTATGACAGTGGCAGTCCCACGTGGGTGACTGGCTCGTGTTTATGACTGTGGCAATGTCCCACGTGAGTGACCGGCTCGTATTTATGACAGTGGCAGTCCCACGTGGGTGACTGGCTCGTGTTTATGACGGTGACAGTGTCCCACGTGGGTGACTGGCTCGTGTTTATGATGGTGGCAGTGTCCTGGGGTTGTGTGATCCCCTTTTTTTGCAACCTCCCGACATGCAAAGTCAATGGGGGAGCCTGGATTTGCTTCACAGCAGTGTCACTTGCCGGCGGAAGCAGGCCGAGGGTCTCTGGATGGGGAGGGGCCACGTGGCCGAGCGGGACCCTCTCACCAGGGCCCAGAAGCCAAGAAAGACATTAGCAGGGACAGCTGATCTGCAGAAAAGTCTCTCCTTCGTCCCACGTGGGACGTTTTGGCCGCCGGGCTTGGAGATGGTGACACGCTCCTTGGGGAGGGGGCTCACCTGGACAGGAGGCGGGGGGGTCCCTTCCGGCTGCCCCTCAGCACGCACTGCCCCTCCCTGGGCCGTCAGCTCCTCGATGCGCTTGTTCAGGTTGCCCACCTTGACTTTGGCCTGCAGCTTCAGCTTCAGCAGTTTAGCTTCCGCCGCCTGCCTCTCTTCCTAGTAGGAGAAGCACACAGCGTCACACAGGGCGAGAGCTACGGAGTGTGTGTGTGTGTGTGCACACAGGGGGGTGTGAGGGGGGGGCAGGAGGATGTCTGGAGACCCTAAACTGAGTGAGCACTGTCCTCTGCATCAGAAGATGGAAAGACTTCTTCCCCAGAAGGAAAAGTGCATTGCCTAGGCATGTTTGGGGGTACTTCCTGCAGGGTCCTCTCTAGTTTAATTGATTGATTGATACCTAATCTTCACTATTTCTACAAATAATTGAAGGTGAGAATATATCCAGCACACCTTCCTCCTATTTCATGCCTCAGCCATGAAGGCCAGCTGGGTGACTTTGGGCCAATCACCAGGAGACGGTGTGTTCTAGTCCCACCATAGGCATGAAAACCAACTGAGTAGCAGCAAGATTATTGGTGGGTCAATATTGGAAGAAAGACTCTCTGCCTTCTTTAGAAGAATGGGTATTTAAGGTTTCTAATTTAGAAGAAATGGCTAAAATTTCTGCTTATTTAAAGGACCATTCACAAGAGAGATATGTTATTGTATGGAGAAGATGGATAGAATATGTTCAGAAGAAATATGGAACTACTAAGTTTCATTTATTTTATGAGTAATGGATTTGTTTATAAAATTATGATGCTAAAGTTTGAAGAGAGTTAAGGGTTAGTATGATTTTGGTTACTGTGTAATTAGTAAACTTAAATAGATTATGTTTAACATGTTTGTATAACTCTGTACTTGGCTCTGGGAAGTCGGGGTGGGGGGAAGAGGGGAGGGGGAGGAGGATGGGTTGGAGGTTAAATAGCTCAGATAAGTAGATTGTATATAATATTGAAGTTTCAATTTGGAGAGAGGAATTGCTCGGGCATTTCCCCTGGACTGCATCCGGAGTGAGAAGATAGGAGGAAGGGGAGAAGTAAGTAGGAAGGCTGAGGAGAAGGAGGAGAGGGGGAGAGTGAGGAAGAAGAGGGAAAGAGGGAAGTGAGAGAAGAGGTTAGAGGATGGATGCGGTTTGGGGAAAATGAGTGAGCAATACCGAATGTTGAGTGTATAAATTTATTTTACTCTTTATCTGAAGTATATTTTATGAATGTAATGTAAAATTGAAAAAAAAGAAAAAAAGAAAACCAACTGAGTGACTTTGGGCCAATCACCAGGAGGCTGTGAGTTCTAGTCCCACCTTAGCGCTCACAAACACTCACCCATGGAAGCTGCTATCCAGGGGAAAGAGGGCACCCACCTGAAGCGTGGCATCCTTCTGCTGGAGCTGAGCATCCTTTTCCCGCACTAGGGTCTTCAGCTGCACCACCAGCTTCTCCATTTGGGCCAGCCGTTCCAGCACATCTTCTGGGGTCTCCTCCCCATTCTGCTGGCTGGGTTCAAATTCCACTCCCTGCAAAGAAACAGGAAGCAAAGCTCCGGCTGCTTTATTAATTAAACTTATATATGTTGCCTATCTCACTGATAAGGTGAGCTCCAGTTGACTCAAGATCATTTTATCTTTAGTTAATTCAAGTAGTTTATACAGCCATTCATTTTAAAGTGGCTGCTTTGAACACAGAATAACAGAGCTGGAGCATCCACAACTTCTGGAGGCAAGCTGTTCCACTGGTTAATTGTTCTTGCTGTCAGCACATTTCTCCTTTTCTAGGTTGGTTCTCTCCTGGATTAGTTTCCATCCATCGTTTCTTGTCTTGTCTTCAGGTACTTTGGAGGTGAACCCCCCCTCTTCTTTGTGATAGCCCCTCAAATATTGGAACACTGCTATCCTGTCACCCCTAATCCTTCTTTTCACTAGAGATAACCAGTTCCTGCAGCTGTTCATAGCCTCCAGCCCCCTAATCATCTTTGTTGCTCTTCTCTGCACTCTTTCCAGAGTCTCAACATCTTTTTTTACATCGTGGTGACCAAAACTGGATGCAGTATTTCAGGTGTGGCCTTACTAAAGCATTGTAAAGTGGTATTAACACTTCACCTGATCTTGATTCTATCCCTCTGTTAATGCAGCCCAGCACTGTGTTGGCTTTTGGGGCAGCTGCAGCACACTGCTGGCTCCTATTTAAGTGATGGTCCACTAGCACTCCGGGATCCCTCTCACAGTTGCTACTATTGAGCAAGGTACCCCCTATACTATACCTATACATTTGGTTTTTCTTGCCTAAATGTAGAACCTTGCTTTTTTCGCCATTGAATTTCATTTTGTTAGATAGCGCCCAGTGTTCAAGTCTGCCCAGATCCTCCTGGGTCTTAAGCCTGTCTTCTGGGGTGTTGGCTGTTCCTGCCAGCTTGGTGTCGTCTGCAACTTTCATGAGTTCCCCATCTATCCCCTCATCCAAATCATTGATGAAGATGTTGAAGTGGACTGAGCCTAAGATGGAGCTTTGAGATACGCCTACACTGCTCTGGCAGCATAGAAAGCTTAACAATCATCAGTTGCAAACAACACACGCATTGTGTTTGCCTTTTCTTGTAAATGGGCCAGAGTCGCTTTGTTCAAGTTAGGCCAGCTGGATAAGTTCTTTAAACAAATTTGCAGAGCTAACCAAAGGCAGGGGTAAGCAAACAGCAGGTGTGTTTGCGCAGAACTGCGAGGGAATTTAAAGGCATTATTTGTCGTTTTCAGTCTTCTCCACCAGGAAGTGCAGTAAGCAAGGATAGCCCGGTGTCTGAGCAGAGGTAGAAAAAGCTACCTCAATTTGCAGCCATTCATTCAAGGACCGTTCAAAGCAGGGGTCTTCAAACTTGTCCCTTTGATGACTTGTGGACTTCAACTCCCAGAATTCCTCAGCCAGGCACGCGTGCCTGGCTGAGGAATTCTGGGAGTTGAAGTCCACAAGTCATCAAAGGGACAAGTTTGAAGACCCCTGGTCCAAAGTTACAGCACCAACGTGCCTTATGGCCAGCCCTCGCACTTACAACCCTCCCAGCATCCACACTGTCACGGGGTCAAAATTTGTCCACTTGGCAAACGGTGTGTATTTACCACAACTGCAGGATCCTAGAATCCTGTGGTCGCCATCCGAGACCTTCCGACAAGCAAAGTCAACGAGGGAAGGCGGATTTGTTTGATTTGCTTAGCCACACTGATTTACTAAACAGGCGCAGGGATTCATGGAAGGACAATGGCAAAAAGGTCGTAAAATCGGCTGCGACTCACTTAATTAAGAATCTCGTTTAGCAAACAGAAATTCTGGCCCTAAATAAGATCATGAGTTCAGGACCCAAGGACGCTTTTTATCAAAAGGCTTGGGGTTGTTGTTTTTTCTTTAAAGACTAAAGCTTCTTCACTTCTCCTTCGTTCTGAAGAACTGGTGAAGCTCCTTGGATGAGAAGTGAAAAGTTTTCAAAGGAAAAAAAAAACTAAGAATGCCCAATTGCCTTTTGGAAAAATACACCTTTGGGTCAATCATGACCTGGATGATTGAGAATCTCGTAATGTGAGGACTAGCTGTATCCTCTCTGGGACAGCATGCCTGAAGCTTGACCCGGTCAATGTTCCAGCATCCAGTTGACTCGAGAAGAATTAAGAATGCTGGCTTGGAATTAGAGGAGACCTGTAATTGTAGCTTGACCGGCATCAAAGCAAGGAGAGATCCAGCCTAGAATTAAGGAGAAATTTCTTGACAGTGGGAACAATTAATCAGCGGGATGGCATGCCTCCAGACGGCTGCCACAAAAAAGAGGGGGGGTATCAAACTATTATCCAAAGCACCAGAGGGCAAGAAACAATGGATGGAAATTAATCAAGGAGAGAAGCAACCTGGAATTAAGGAGAAACTTCCTAACAGTGAGGACTAGTAACCAGTGGAACAGCTTCCCTCTAAGTTGTGGGTGCTTCAACGCTGGAGGTTTTTAAAAACGAGACTGGATAACCATTTGTCCGTAATATGGTAGGACCTCCTGCTTGATTAAGGGGTTGGACTAGAACAGTGGTTCTCAACCTTTTTAATGCCGCGACCCCCAACCGGTCGTAAGTCGAGGACTACTCAACCGGTCGTAAGTCGAGGACTACTCAACTGGTGCAGCACCGTTTGCAGAATGGGACTTTTGGCGGGCTCAGCAGGGCAGAGACAGCCTGGATAATTCCTATTGGCTTTTGAAAGCCAATAGAATTAGACTCTATTCAAGAGAGTCTCTTCTATTGGCTTTCGAAAGCCAATAGAATAAAAGGGAGGAGCACAGCTAAGGAAAAGGGGGGGAAAAATGGCGGACTGCATTGTTTGGCGACCCCCGTGAAATGGTCGTTCGACCCCAAATGGGGTCCCGACCCACAGGTGGAGAACCACTGGACTAGAAGATCTCCAAGGTCCTTTCCAGCTCCATTCTGATGGAAGTTGTGGATGCTCCATCCCTGGAGGCTTTTAAGAAGAGATTGGATTGGACAACTTTCTCTGGCCTGTCCTTCAAAACTGGTCTGGGAGAGAACAAGTGACTTACAGAAGGCGACGGTGCCATCCCGGCCTCCTCTCCATCCCCAGAGAGTTCATGGAGGACAGTGTTGGCCAGCCCCGACAGACGGCTGAGCATCTTCACCCTCCAGGCAACCAGCGGCACAGAGGGAGAACAAGGAGGTCAGCTGGAGCACAAAAGGAGCAGGGAAGGAAGGAGTCACGGCTTGCCAGCAGCCTGGATCCCCAACAGGCTGCCAAGCTGCATGTCAGTTTCTTCCTTGGCGGACACTCAGCTTAGTTTTTCTGCAACAACAAATCATAATTTAACCCAAAGAAAAAGCCGACATGCAGCACAGCAAACACCAGCTCTGTGTTTATGTCCCAGAAGGAAAGATATTCTGGGCACATGCCTAGAAAACAAGGAGGGCCTGCAGCCCCGTGCTTATTTGGATAATTTATTCCATTTTAGCTTCCATAGCTACTCAACTCAACCCAGTGACTTTGGGCAAAATATGCCCATGAAAAAAACCAGGTCCAGGAAACATTCTGGCAAATTAGTGTTTAGCCAGCAGTTTGGGGAGCCGTGCAACGAATGCACAAACCCCAGGCAGTCATTTTGTGAGAGCGCCCACAAGGCACTCGCCAAATCCCATTCGTTCATTGCCAAGGCTAAATAAACAGGAAGGGACGTTCTAACATGGTTAAACCACCCAAATCCTGGAGAGTCCCAGTACATCCTGGTGGAAATAGAGGAAGTTCTAAGCAAAGCGCGAGTCCTCACCAGACCTCAGCCATTTAATCTCACGGAAGGGACCCTCTTCAAAGCAGACTCGGCTTTTAGGTCGCTGCTTAAGCCAGGATTCAAACTAGCTTCTTGCACTGTCACTTTGTTCAAATGATGGATAAATGGCATATGAATATTATACACCGTTTAGCCACCCATTGATAACTCATCGTACCTTCCTTTTCTATTAGTTTATAGAAAGCATTCTGGCCCTCAAGGTAATGACCTAGTCCTAGTCCCAATTTGAGTATGACCCTAAAGGAACAGATGTGCAAGAGGGCACATCAGCATATACACATACTGGTATATACAAACATATATACATGCACACATCATGCATATATACATATACACACAAACAGTATGCATGCATGTATGAGGAGTCCCTGGTGTGGGTTTGCAGAGAGGAAGAGGGGGAGGGGAGGAGTGGGAAGATGAAGGGAGAGGGAGGAAGAGGAGGAGGGGAGGAAGAAGAGGGGGAAAGGAGGAGGAAGAGGAGGAAAAGGGAGAGAGGAGGAAACGGGGGAGAAGAGGAAGAGGGGAGAAGAGGAGGGAGAGGGGGAGGAAGAGGGGGAGAGGGAAAGGGGAAGAGAAAAGGGGGAGAAGAGGAAAAGGGGAGGAGGAAGAGGAGGGGGAGAGGAGGAAGAGGGGACGAATGGGACTGTGGGGTCCTTGACTCTCTCTGAGCTTCGTTTTCTTGCAGACCTTTCACCACCAAACCAGCCACCCTCATCCGGGCGAGGAGGTGGGCGTCCTCTAAGCTGCTGTCTGGGCAGAAGGAGGAGCATCTCAAGGGGTCTCCCCCGAGATCCGCAAGCCGGTCCCCGCCTGGGCTCTTCCCCGTCCCCCTCCCCGCCTTTTAAGGCTCCTCAGCCACCTGCAGGCAGGCAGGCAGAGGCTGCACCGGTTGGGTCTCAGCCTGCAGCGAGCTCTCCCGCAGCCCCCGGGCGGGGGACGAGGGGGGGGACGGGGGAGAGGCGAGGCGGCTGCGCCCTGCAGGCCGGAGTCCAACCGGTGCAGCCCCGGCAGCCCCGCCTGCAGAGGCGCGGCCTGAGGGGCCTTTGGGGAAAGCTCGAGGCGGAGGGAAGCGGCGACCCCGGGAGAGACTCACCGCTCCGCCGCGCCGCCAGGTTCCGGCCACATCAGCACCGGAAGCTTCCCGGTCACTGCCCTCTCGGCACTTCCGGCTGCCTCACCTCCAGTCCCCGTCTCTTTCTCTCCGCTCTAGACCAATAGGAATGGGCAGAGGTCGAGACAGACAGATTCCCCGTTCAATCGCACGGCGCGGCTTGGGCTGTTGCTGTGGTTTCGCTGAGAAGGGCGTCCACGTCACGCCTCTTTTTCCACCAATCAGCAAACGCGGTTTGGACGCTTCCCTGTCCGCACCAAAACAAATCAAAGGAAGCCAATGGGGAAAAGGCGCTCGTGCCGCTGGCACCAATCAGCGGCCGCGCCGCCTGGAAGAATGGACCAATCGGAGTTGGCGGCGGTGGGGGCAGAAAAAAGTTAAACCGTCCCCGTCCAGTAGAGGGTGAGGGTACGATTTGCATATGGTAATTTATGCTAATCTATTGAGGGCTCGCCTCAGGCATCCGATGAATGAAATGCGATTAAGGAGGCGTTGGGAGGCAGAAAAGTTCTTAAAAAATCCTTTAAAAATGTATTTAATAATTATTTCAACCTAATTTGCAACGGAGTTTCCTTGTAGAGTGAGATGGGAGGCATATAAATTTAATAAATGAAAATATTTGTAAAAGGAAGAAAGAAAAGAAAAGGAAAGGAAAGAAAGAAAGAAAGAAAGAAAGAAAGAAAGAAAGAAAGAAAGAAAGAGGAGACGAAGGAAGGAAGGGAGATAAGAAAGCAAAAGAAAAAAATAAGGAAAGAAAGAGAGAAAGAAAGAAAAAAGAAAAAGTGGGAGAGATATAGGAAGGGAAGGAGGGAGGAAGAGAGATAAATAAGCAAAAAAAAGAAAAATAAGGAAAGAAAGAACGAAAGAGAGAGAAAGAAAAAGAAAAGAAAGGGAGAAACAGGAAGGAAGGAAGGAAGGAAGGAAGGAAGAAAGAAAGAAAGAAAGAAAGAAAGAAAGAAAGAAAGAAAGAAAGAAAGAAAGAGGTAGGAAGGAAGGGGAAGAAGAGAAGGAAGGAAAAGAAAAAAAGGAAGGAAAGAAGAAGAAAGAGAAATAGAGAATCATATGTGCATGAACTATTAGACTCACACAAAAAATATACACAAAGATGCATCACTCAACCCTCTATCGACAAACCAAGCTTTTTTTTTTCTCGTGCCCTCCCTCTCCCAGTGCTAACCTTTCGCATGGCAATGCCAGACAGATGCCTGGGACTACAACTCCCACGTGCCTGGCCAAGATGGGAGTTGTAGTCCATCATCGTTTTCCCACCCCCAGGTGTGCACAGGAGGGGGAAGGATGCAGCCAATGACCTCAAATAGCTGGACTCAGGCGGGGGGGGGGAGGCTCTCCTCTGAAACCCAGACCCTTCTCAGTCTCCCGATGGGGATCCCCCTCAAGCTGTATTTCTCCACTTTAAGCTGGGTGGACTTCAACTCCCAGAATTCCTCCATCTTGCCTTTTTGCCTGCGGAATTCTGGGAGATGAAGTCTCCCCAGAATGAAGATGTCCTTCCATTTCAAGCTTCCTTTTCTCTAATTTTTAATATTAAGGGTTTTAAATAAAGGTGTGTGTTTTTCCAAACACTTAACATTAAAAATCAGGGGAAAGGAAGTTGGAATGGAGAGAAATTCAACCGGGGGGGGGGCTGGGGTGGGTCACAACAGCCTCAGAGAAATAAAAAAACACAGGGTCCCCTGAGGTAGGGAGACCAGTTCCAGCCTGCCTGCCTGGCCAGAACTAATCCAGGCCCAAATTCTCCTTAACTTTGTCCCTTTGCCCAGACAATTGGACTTTAGCCATAGCTGAGCCCTGAAAATGGGAAACGCAGGTTACTGGTTAAATAGCTGCAGAGCTTTTCACTCTGGGTGTTTTTGCCTCTGCAGCAAAATGGAGCCGGGAGGCGTCCATGCTCATAATATGCTAAACCCATATTAAATAAACAAACAGATTGAAGCTCAAGAGAGGATAAAATTCATCTAATATGCCAGGTTTTTAATTGACTTGGTTAAATGAGTGTGCAATTCAACTCGCAGAATTCCCCAGCAAGGAGGAGGAGGAGGAGGAAAAGGAGGAAGGGAGGGAAGGAGAAAGAGGAAAGGAGGAGGAGGAGGAGGAGCTGAAGTCCACCAGTCATAAAAGAGCCAAGGTTGCCTACCCCTGGACTAGGCCAAGGTCTTCATCCGGGTTCCCACAAATGAGCAAAACAACCTTGCTGTCTGCCCATGAGCCAAATCCTGACTTCATCCCCTGGCCCGGTTCTCAACCATCATGAAGGTCCCACCAATTGCCCAACCCTTCTTTGCCCTAACGCCCTACATGAACCTGGTCTTCCTGGAAGAATCCTTGGTGGCCCGATGTTTTTGTCCTGTTTTTCCCCCCCCAACCCAGTCCTCCTTGACTCACATTAGGAAGTCAATAACATCTCCTGGCTCCAGCCCCATAGATGGAGGCCTGGCCACGCTCCGGTGGCTGCCCCTTGCTCTGGTGAAGGCAGTGACCGAATCTCAACCTCTGCTTGGCTTGAAGGCAAATTCAAATTCCAGGGGTAAAGGAGATTGCCCCCTGCCTGCCCCCCCACCGCCCAGGATGCCAGGGGAGCATTTGTCCTTCTAGTAAAAGTCAGACATTAATGGTTTGCTCAGATGCCCACGCTGGAGAGGAGTTTGGCCCCGGTGGGTTAACGGATGACTTATTGTCCCGTTAAGACCGGCTTCTCTTGCATAAAACCAAGCGTTATAAACCCTGGAGAAGCAGGCAGGCAGACAGATAGACCTTTTCCTAAGACTGCTGCCTTCCTCTGCCTCGCCTCTCCCCCAACTGCAAGGATGAAGGTGGTTGGCCGGGTAAGTCTCTCACACACACACACACACACACACACACACACACACACACACACACACACAATCCCAGCCGAGCAAAGTCTCTGGTGAAGGAGAAGTCACAGTAAGAGGAAAGGAAGGATCCTACTTGGGTAATAAGAGGTTGAATTCATACAACGTGCTGGACCACACAGCTTGCTAAACTTACAGAAGGTAGAAAGAGTTGGAAGAGGCCTTGGAGGTCATCTAGTCCAACCCCCTGCTCAGGCAGGAAACCCTGTACCATTTCAGACAAATGGCTGTCCAGTTTCTTCTTAAAAACTTCCAGTGTTGGCGCATTCACCGCTTCTGGAGGCAGGTTGTCCCACTGGTTAATTGTTCTCACTGTCAGGAAGTTTCTCCTTAGTTCTAAGTTGCTTCTCTCCTTGATGAGTTTCCATCCGTTGCTTCTTGTCCGGCCTTCAGGTACTTTGGAGAGTAGCCTGACTCCCTCTTCTTTGGGGCAGCCCCTGAGATGTTGGAAGACTGCTATCCTGTTCCCCCTCGTCCTTCTCTTCATTAAACTAGACATACCCAATTCCAGCAATTGTTCCTTATATGTTTTAGCCTCCAGTCCCCTAATCATCTTTGTTGCTCTTCTCTGTACTCTTTGTAGAGTCTCAACATCTTTTTTACTTCCTGGTGACTGAAACTGGATGCAATATTCCAAGTGTGGCCTTACCAAGGCCTTGTAAAGTGGTATTAACTCTTCACGTGATCTTGATTCTATCCCTCTGTTAATGCAGCCTAACACTGTGTTGGCTTTTTTGGAAGCTGCAGCACACGGCTGGCTCACATTTAAGTGGCAATCACTTCACCAGATCTTGATCTTATCCTTCTGTTGATGCAACCTGTTTAGTTTTATTCTGGCTTAGGTTTTTGATGACATTGAGCGTTGTGCGAATCGAAGGTGTTTGCTTACAATTTACCCTATTGTGTCATCCCAGAAGATGGGTGGAATTTGCAACTAGTTTAAGCATTTTATTCAAGTGGTAAGAAGCAGAAAATAGTCCGATGGGCTTCAAAAACTGGTCTGTTCTATCCGAACAACCAAACATCCATGGCTGGCAGAGGAATTCTGGGAGTTGAAGTCCACACGTCTTAAAAATTGCCAGATTTGGAGACCCCTATTCTAAGCAAAGTGAAATGGCCACACATCCCGACATTCCCTTCAACGTTTACTGGCATGAGAGTTAAGATGTGCAGGACCCAAATTTTAAACATTTAGATGATCTGCCAAGCTCTTTGGTCTGAAGGATACAGGACAGCACAGTGAGAGATATAAAACATCACCGCCTCAGCTTTGTGTCCAGTCTAAAGTTGCAGGATCCAATCTGGGTCGGTCACCAGGACTAGAGGTTAAGTCTTCTGAGCTTTCGGACTCATGTGGACCCCTCTTCAAGGAACTTCTCTCTAGCAGGGTATGTGTGCCAGTCTCAAGTGCCACGGAAAAACTTTTCTACCCAGTGTGGCTGGCAAACTGTCTCCACCTAACATATCCCCTGTATCTTGTTCTCAAATGTTGTTCTGTATCTTGTATCATGTCCTCAAAAACAGAAACTGTGTTTGTGTTTGCACAAAATTGGAAAGCACTGAAAGCCCCCCCAATATTGGGAAAATATTGGAATGTGCAGAAATGAATAGACTAACAATGACAATTAAAGATAAGACAGAGTCAGACTACTATGAAATTTGGGGAACTTTTTATGATTGGCTGAAAAGAGAATACAGTTAAAAGATAGTTAACATCAATTTAGATGGAAGAAGAAAGAGCAGATAAGGAGGGAGACCCAGGCGACACAGTATTGAATAACTGCAGGCTGTATAAATGTTTATAGAAGTATATACCGAGAAGGTTAGATAAATAGAAGTATTAATCTTATTGTATATAATACAGATAGGGAAATTTGGAGAGAGGAGTTGCTCGGACATTACCCCTGAATTGTATCTGAAGAGGGATGAAGAAAGGAGAGGAGAGAGAAAAGAGTAAAGGAGGGGAGAAGGAAGTAGGAAGGTTGGAGGAAGAGGAAAGGGGAGGAGAGTGGTGAAGGAGAGGAGAGGAAGAAGAGGGAAGTAGGGAAGAGAAGAAAGGGAGAAAGAAGGTAAAGAAGAAGGAGTGTGGATACGGTGAAAGGGGAAATGGGCGAGCAACACTAAAGTTATATGTATGTATTTATTTCATTTTGTTAAAAGTATCTGTATGTGAGTGTGGAGGGAATGTATGTTAATATCTGATAAGTATTACAGTATATGTATGGGGGAGAGTTTGGAAAAATAAAAAAATATTTTAAAAAAAAACAGAAACTGGGAGAGGGACCTGGAGTCCTGGTGGACAGTCACTTAAACATGAGCTAGCAGTGTGCATCAGCCGCTGCCAAAATGTCTAATACAATCCTCGGTATAGAATCGAAATAAGGTGAAATATTAGTGCCTTAGTAAGGCCACACCTGGAATAAAGCACCCAGTTTTGGTCACTACATTACAAAACAAAGATGTTGAGACTTTGGAAAAAGTGCAGAGAAGAGCAACTAGGACGCTTAAAGGCCTGGGGGCTAAAATATATGAAGAACGGCTGCAGGATTTGGGTATGGCTAATCTAGAGAAAAGAAGAACTAGGGATGACATGATAGAAGTCCTACAATATTTACGGGGCTGCCACAAAGAAGAGGGGGTTCGCTGTTCTCCAAAGTACCTAAAGCAGGACAAGAAGCAATGGATGGAATCTAATCAGGAAGAGAAGCAACCTAGAACTAAGGAGAAATTTCCTGACAGTAAGGACAATTAACCAGTGGAACAACCTGCCTCCAGAAGTGGTGAATACTCCATCACTGGAGGTTTTTAAGAAGAGACTGGACAGACCACTTATCTGAAGTAGTATAGAGACTCCTGCCTGAGCAGGGGGCTGGACTAGAAGACCTCCAAGGTCCCTTCCAGCTCTGTTCAGATTGATATTGATTGATATTATATTATATAGCAAAACAAGGATGTGCTGGACCAGCTAACCTCTCCGGGATCCTTTTTCCTCAGGCATGTCAGTCTTCAGAGACTCCGCAGGCTGACAAACATCTGGAGAACCCAAAGTCCAAGGAAAACTTCAGGAATTTCAAGGTCAGTGAAATTCAACATCAGAGGAACGATGCCTCTATTTTGTCCCACGGTTCCAGAGGATCAGGTGGGAAAATGCATCAGTTTTCCAGGAAAGACATTCCTGCTGGGATTAAAAATATGAATATATTTCAAAACCACTTCATACGTTAGAGGCAATAGGGCAAAAGTGTGTAATTTCTGTCCTGGGAAGGGACCACCAGGAGTTGGGGCAGAGGCAACGGAGGCTGCAGAGAGATATGCAACAGGATCCCCACTTTGTTAGAACAAGTGAGAAGGCCACAGCACCTAAGTTAAAAAAAATGTTCTTGTCTGCTTCATCTTAAAGCTAGTGAGATGGGGTCTTGGTGGTGTCTTAGCTTGGCAGGAGGAGGAGGAGGAGGAGGAGGAAAAGGAGGAAAGGAGAAGGAAGAGGAGGAGGAGAAGGAGGAGGAGGAGAAGAAAAGAAGGAGGAGGAGGAGAAGGAGAAGAAGGAAGAGGAGGAGGAGGAAAGGAGAAGGAAGAGGAGGAGAAGGAGGAGAAGAAGAAAAGGAGGAGGAGGAGGAAGAGGAGGAGAAAGAGAAGAAGGTAGAGGAGGAGAAGGAGAAGGAGGAAAGGAGAAGGAAGAGGAGGAGGAGGAGAAGAAGAAAAGGAGAAGAAAGAGGAGGAGGAGAAGAAGAAAAGAAGGAGGAGGAGAAGGAGAAGAAGGAAGAGGAGGAGGAGGAGGAGGAAAGGAGAAGAGGAGGAGGAGGAGAGAAGGAGGAGAAGAAGAAAAGGAGGAGGAGGAGGAAGAGGAGGAGAAAGAGAAGAAGGTAGAGGAGGAGAAGGAGAAGGAGGAAAGGAGAAGGAAGAGGAGGTGGAGAAGAAGAAAAGGAGGAGGAGGAGGAGGAGGAGAAGAAAAGGAAGGAGGAGGAGGAGGAGGAGGAGGAGGAGGAGGAAGAAGAAAAGGAGGAAAGGAGAAGGAAGAGGAAGAGAAGGAGGAGGAGAAGGAGAAGGAAGAGGAGGAGGAGGAGGAAGAGGAGGAGGAGGAAAGGAAAAGGAGAAGGAAGAGGAGGAGGAGAAGAAGGAAGAAGAGGAGAAGGAGGAGGAGGAAGAAGAGGAAGAGGAGGAGAACTGCAGGGTCCTTAGTGCTCTCTGAGTTTGGTGTTTTTTTCTCGCAGACATTTCCTGACCCAACTAGATCACATCATCAATGCTAAAAGGGAGTAGAGTTTGCTCTCTTAATATGCACAAATGGCTTGCCCTGTCAATGTTGGTAGAAATCTTTGTGATGATCCCTGTTATTTACTGAGCTGGTAATTCCCTGATTGGGTTATTGTTTACTGCTTGGTGTTAACCTCTGATTATCTGGGTGTGGATTGCCAGTCAGGAGGTGTTGCGGTCATTTAGCTTTGCGATCACCTCTTTTGAATGGGATGTAGCTGTTGTTTATCTCTGTGTGCCTATTCGTGGCCAGATTGTCTGAGAGCCGGAGGCTTCCAGGAATTCTCTAGCGCTTTTGGACTTGACTTGGTCAACATCTAGTCTGGGAATAGAAGTCCACCCATCTTAAAAGTGGCCAAGTTTGAAAAACTCTGCCTTGGATTAATCACTGTCACTCACGGCAGTATTTCCAAACTGTCATTTCAGGACGGGGCGCTGATTGACCGCGTGCATCACACATACCTGCTTATGCACACCAACCAGACGGTGGAATTTGTGCAAAAGAAGGTGGGTTCACCCAGGCAGAGGGTCTCTCGGGCACCAAGCACGGCTCAACAACATCCGGGTGATATCAGCGACGAGCCAGGCCTCTCTCCAGTTTTGGGTAGGGGCTGTATGGATATCCCAAGGATTGCCAGCTAGAGACCCATCAAAGTCTGTCCCCCCCCCTCCTCAAAAAAAGGAGAGAGATGGTCACGTGATCAAGGTCACATGATCAAAATTCAGACACTTGGCAACTGGCTCCTATTTATGACGGTTGAAGCATCCCTGGGTCACATGTTCCCTTTAGTGACCTCCTGACTTGCAAAGTCAATGGGGGAAGCTGGATTCGCTTAGTGACCATGTTAGCAACATAACAGCTGCAGTGATTCATGTTATCCATGTTACCTACTCAACCACTGTATCAAGAAAGGTCATAAAATGTGGCCAAATCCACTTAACGAACGTCTCAGCCACAGAAATGGGCTCAATTGTGGACTTAGTTCCCTCAAGTTTGAAGAGGGCATCGTACCTGTACCCCAGGGTGTCCCCAACCCTTGGTCTGTGGACCGGAACTGGGCTGCGGCATGCCAGCAACTGATCTGCACAAACAAGCAAAGCCCCATCCGCAAGATGCAGGCAACACACAAACCCATGCACTCTCCGGTCCTTGGGAAAAACCTCCCTCCATGGAACCGGTCCCTGGTACCCCAAAGGTTGTGGGCCTCTGCTCTAGTCCACAATAGTGTCTCCTCATAGTTCCCTCTCCCTAGAACGAGCAATACGGTGGCTGCAACCTCCGTCAGATGACCATCATGGAGGCCTTGGAGCTGCTGGACAATGTGGTGGACGAATCGGACCCCGATGTGGATTTTCCCAACTCCTTCCATGCCTACCAGACAGCAGAGGGCATTCGGGAGAAGCATCCTGAGAAAGGTGAACCCCTTGATTAGACCTGGAGTCCCTAGAAGGACAAGAGGGCCCCCCCACCACTTCCAGCTGGATGCAGAAAATGGCAATTCTAGGAGGCTGTTTGATGTCCCTGCAAAAATTAGAAGGATTGAATTATTTGGGTGTCTGGTCATGTTTAGTTTCCAACTCCTAGAGATGATGGAGTCCATCATCCATAATTCCCCATTCTGTCATGGGAGAAGGTGCTCTGGGACCATCCCAAAGTGTCTTCAACACATGGAGACCTCAAGCAGAGCAGGATGTTTTCCAGGGAGCCATCAGCACTCCTTGTGGTCACCAGGACAGGACAAGGCTCAGCTGGACCTTTCTGCATGTGAGCCCCTTCCTCCTCACCCTCCAGATGTTCCTGGGTCCTGATCTGATCCTGGCATCAAGAGGTTCCATGAGGCACTGGGTCTAAGCTGATGGCCCAATTGAGGTCGGACGGACCTGACACAAGGGACAAAAACAGATCCTCACTCTCTCTGGTCCCATCCTAGATTGGTTCCACCTGGTTGGACTGCTCCATGACTTGGGGAAGATTTTGGCTCTGGCTGGTGAACCACAGGTGAGATGAAGAACGAGGGGCATGGAAGGGGTCAACATTCCCAAGCCCTGCCCCTTAATAACCAGTGTTTACTTTTAGGAGCAGAAAAATGAGAGTTATGCTCATGGATGGGTGAAGAACCTAAAGTCCTAGCGTCTCTAATCAATACACATCGAGGAATCACTAAATCAAGACATCTCCAAACTTGGCAACTTTAAGACTTGTGGACTTCAACTCCCAGAATTAACTGGCTGAGGAATTCTGGGAGATGAAGTCCACAAGTCTTAAAGTAGCCGAGTTTGGAGACCTCTGCGCTAAACAAAATGGCATGTTTAATTGTACGCTTGCCAACGCCGAGGGCAGAAGAAAGGGTTCGGTCCAAAGAGTGACACTGTCAAATAAAGAGGAACCGAGGTGTTATGGGGTGTTTTTCTGATCTTGGTTGTTCCTACAGTGGGCTGTGGTGGGAGACACCTTCCCAGTGGGTTGCAAGCTGCAGGACTCGATCGTTTTCAAGGACTCCACGTTCCATGACAACCCGGACACAAGGAATCCTGTATACATGTAAGCTCTTGCTTGGTCTTGCTTTGTGGCAGAGGAGACCACCCTTGGATGGATGTAGAGAGCTACAAGGTAAGGTATGTGGATCTATGATCAGCAGCAATCTGGATCCTTGTCTCCCTGGTCATCTGTCCACTGTTGCCTCTCCATCTCTGATGGAAGAACTTATTTGCAATAGAGGTGAATATCTGTAGCTTGGATGTAGAATGAGGGTGAAGGTTTGTTCTCTGGACTTGTGTGTTGGTTTCTGAATGTTTTGTTACCAGGCTAGGTAACATCTTCAGCAGAGTTTGGGGAATGTTGTTGTTGGTGTTCTTCTGTTTATAAGGGCCTCAGGTACGGGTGTGTCAAGTGAGGGTCTTGTGAAGGGTCAGGTGGGAGTCATCAGTGAGAGGCTGGTGATGGGTCTTGTGATGGGGAGGTTACATCTGGTCAGGGTCATTGGGAGGTGAACTGCTGGTGGGAGTGGGGGATTGCGCGGGATGGTTGAGGGTCGGTGCTGTCTGTGGCTGGTTGTGCTGTTGATTTGGATTCTGAGGGGTTAGTAGGCTGGTTGCAGGTCGATGTGTCTGTTGATGGAATTGCTTGTGGAGTGCCAGGCTTCCATGAACTCATGAACGTGGTGGGTAGTAGCGTGGCTGATGATTTTAGTGTTGCTCAGCAGATAAGAAGAACTTACTTGCTGAGGGACCTATAACCTGGTTCCATCACATTTGTTCTGAAACCAGAGGCCATGAAGGAAGGATGGCTACTGTTGGCATTTATCTAAGGCTTGACAAATGCCTGATGTGCCACCTGCAGGTGGTCCTCCAGATTCTTGTCACCTTCTTCAAAATGCCAATGGAAACACTGTTTCTTCTCAATTCTTCTCTCTTGCTAAAACCTCCAGACCAGAGAATTTGAGATCAGATGTTCTCCTTTTTTTTACCTCCTCAGGACCAAATATGGGATTTATCAACCCCACTGTGGCTTGGAAAATGTCCTGATGTCTTGGGGTCATGATGGTAAGTGCTCTCCACCATACTTCTCAAAACACACACACACACACACACACACACACACACACACACACACACACAAACCCTAAGTGAAAGCAAAAATAAATCCTTGTTTGTCTATGGAGATTCTCAATCATCCAACTTTGGTTGTCCCAAAGTTGTGGGTGTTCCATCACTGGAGACTTTCAGAAAGAAACTAGACAACCATTTATCTGAGATGGTATAGGGTCTCCTGCTTGAGCAGGGGGTTGGACTAGAAGACCTCCAAGGTCCCTTCCAACGTGGTTATTCTGTATAGGCTACAAAGTAGTAGAAGGATGAATGAGCAATGAAGGAAGCAGTTGAAGCAAGATTGCAACTTCTGCCTTCTCTAATTGGATGCTCTCTTCATGCCACAAAATCAGAGGAATTATGGGAGTTGAAGTCTGACTTACCCGGAGCTCACATTGGCTGGCCTGGATACAATTTGCAATTAGTAATAGTAGTGAAGTTGGAAGGGACCTTGGAGGTCATCTAGTCCAGCCCCCTGCTCGGGCAGGAAACCCTACACCATTTCGGACAAGTGGCTGTCCAGTCTCTTCTTAAAAACTTCCAGTGTTGGAGCATTTACTGCTTCTGGAGGCAGGTTGTTCCACTGGTTAATTGTTCTCACTGTCAGGAAGTTTCTCCGTAGTTCTAGGTTGCTTCTCTCCTTGATTAGTTTCCACCCGTTGCTTCTTGTCCTGCCTTCAGGCGCTTTGGAAAATAGCTTGACTCCCTCTTCTTTGGGGCAGCCCCTGAGATATTGGAATACTGCTATCATGTCCCCCTTCGTCCTTCTCTTCGTTCTGCAACTAACTCTCCACCATTTCTTTTTTCTCTCTCTCTCTACCTGCTCCAGAGTACATGTACCAAGTGATGAGAAAAAATAAATTTGCCCTTCCAGAGGAGGTAAGAGATTGAGAAGATCAATCTACTTCCTTGTTCTCCTTGGGGTGGGGATGGGGGACAAGCTCCCACAGCTTCTCCTCTCTGTTGGAGGGATTTCCAGGGTACAACTTGAGGTCTTCTGCTCTCTTCACTGTAGTTGACTCACCTTGTTGTGAAAATATGTTTCTGGAGAGTTATCCTTCTCCTGGCCCAGGTCAATCTATGATAGGGTCCTCTGACCTCACCCCAAACCTATCTGAAGGCCAAATGTCTATGGAGTTTCTCAACCATCCAAGTTGTCCCAAAGATGCTTAGAGGCAACGGGACTTTCTTGGTTTTTTTTCCCTTGAGAACGTTTTTCACCCATGAAGTTTCTTCAGTTCTCTTCTCTTGGTAGCATGTCACCCTCCCAAACTTCCAGTTCTAGTGGCAGATAATCACACCAACTGGATCAGGAACCAACGTTTGGAGAATACATGGTCTTCGCCCACCATCTCCATCCCAAAGTCCATTAATAGTTGGCTCCCTCGGTATCTAGAAGAACTTCAGTTGTTCAGAAGCTTCTCGGATGAGACGGGAAACATTTTCAAAGAAAAAAAAATAACTCCCAGGACGTCCAGTTGCCTTGTGGAAAAGCACCTTTGGGGTATCTGAAGGCCAAGAGCTCAGATCTCAGAGCAAGAGCAGATGGGAATTCCACCATCTTCGAAGGGGAGAGTGTTGTAAAATGCCCCAAATATCCAAGATGGGACTTGATGTCCCTGCTTTGAGGAGTCCAACTAAACCAGGGGTAGGCAACCTTGGCTCTTTTATGACTCGTGGGCTTCAACTCCCAGAATTCCTGAGCCAGCTATGCTGGCTCAGGAATTCTGGGAGTTGAAGCCCACGAGTCATAAAAGGGCCAAGGTTGCCTACCCCTGAACTAAACTATCCCCCATGAAGATCAAAATCCAGGACTTTGGAAGTCAGGAGAGGAGGTGTTGCCAAGATGAGGTCCAGCACCAGGGGACAGCAAGACGTGGCCCAGCCAGCAATTCTTGGTTCGGCTGTTGAGGTGGCACCCATAATGCCGAAGGAAGCTCCAGACATGTCCTCTTCTCCAAAGAGAAGCTGGTTTTCTGTGGTTCAGTGGCTTCCAGCTCTTCCAAACCCATGGGCTGCCTCTCAACGTACCTTCTAGCCAAGGGTGCTAGTCCTCAATTTACAACAGTTGCTTAATGACCAGTTATGACAGAGGAGTTATGAGAAACCAGTTATGACCCAGATTCAGATGCCTGCCCCCCGACACACACACACACACACACACACACACACACACACACACACACACACACGGGCATATGATTGCCCTTGAATTGCAATAGTCCTCTACTTATGACCATTTTCTTAGAGACCATTCAAAGTTACGATAGGCCACTCAAAAGGTACATATGACCCAGATTCAAAGTTCTGATAAATGCTTGCCCCGACACAAACACACACACACACACACACACACACACACACACACACACAGGTGCATGATCACTCATGAATTACAGGTAGTCCTCTAGTTATGACCATTTTCTTAGAGACCATTCAAAGTTACGACAGGCCACCCAAAAGGTACATACAATCTAGATTCAAAGTTCTGACTGATGCCTACCCCCACTCCACACACCCCCAGGGCACATGATCGCCTTTGAGTTACAGGGAGTCCTCAACTTATGACCAACTGTTGACTGACGATTCAAAGTCATGACAGATGCCCCAAAAGGTATTCACGGCCCAGATTCAACATTCTGATGGGCGCCTGTCCGCCCATCGTGGCACACGACCACATTGCAGCTGCTCAGCACCCATCCTTGGCGATGGGTCCAGGTGGGGGCAGCTGCTGCAGCGGTCCTAGCAAATGTCCTTCCCCCCTCCCATCTCTTTGTGCCTGCAGGCCTTCTACATGGTGCGGTTCCACTCCTTCTACCCCTGGCACACGGGAGGGGATTACATGCACCTCTGCAACACCAAGGACCTCCAGATGCTTCCCTGGGTACAAGACTTCAAGTAAGGAGCTCCAAGCCATGGGGGGACGGGAAGGGCCAGGGCTGGGGTGGGGAGGAGGATACCTAGACACAAGCTAGACGTGTTAGTACCGCTTTACAAGGCCTTGGTAAGGCCACACTTGGAATGCTGCATCCAGTTTTGGTCACCCCGATATAAAAAAGATGGCGAGACTCTAGAAAGAGTGCAGAGAAGAGCAACAAAGAGGATTAGGGGACTGGAGGCTAAAACATATACTGGAATTGGGTATGTCTAGTTTAACAAAGAGAAGGAGGAGGGGAGACATGATAGCAGTGTTCCAATATCTCAGGGGCTGCCCCAAGAAGAGGCAGTCAAGCTATTCTCCAAAGCGCTGGAAGGCAGGACAAGAAGCAACGGATGGAAACTCACCAAGGAAGGAACCATAGAACATGGAAGAACAGAGTTGGAAGGGACCTTGGAGGTCATCTAGTCCAACCCCCTGCTCAGGCAAGCAACCCTATACCATTTCGGACAAATGGCTGTCCAGTCTGTTCTTAAAAACCTCCAGTGTTGGAGCATTCACCGCTTCTGGAGACAGGTTGTTCCACTGGTTAATCGTTCTAACTATCAGGAAGTTTCTCCTTAGTTCTAGGTTGCTTCTCTCCTGGATGTGTTTCCATCCGTTGCTTCTCCAACCTAGAACTAAGCAGAAATTTCCTGACGGTGAGAACAATTAATCAGTGGTACAGACGTGATGGGTGCTCCATCACTGGAGGTTCTTAAGAAGAGATTGGATAGCCATTTGTCTGGAATGGCATAGGATCTCCTGCTTCAGCATGGGGTGGACTAGAAGACCTCCAAGGTCCCTTCCCACCCTCGTTATTCTGTTAAACCAGAGTGGAGGAGGCATTGCAATGCCCAACCTCTGTCTTGCACCTTCAAGAAGGTATCTCCACTGCAAGATTGCAGGTGCACAGAAGCTTGTTTGCTCCCCGGGTGACTTTTAACATTCATTTGCAATAATGGTTTCTCTCTGGTTTAATGTTTGTTAATTTGTTTGCCTGCTGCAGCCTCCTTGCCTCCCACCTGGCCTGTGGCAGGGGACCAACCCTGCTCTTTTCCTAGCAAAGGCTTTGTCCTCTGTCCTAGTCTTCTCCACACTGGTGGCCTCAGAAGCGTCGGAGATCCCTGGAACAAGATGTCGGCTTCTTTCTGGCTTATCAAAGAGAGCCAACATCAGCACGGTTCAGGACAACAAGGAACCCCCACCTCTCTGCCACCCCTCTTTCAGAGGGCTGGAAAATAACCCCCCACTTCTCTGTCCCTCTCTTGCAGCAAGTTTGACCTCTACACCAAGTGTGAACAGCTTCCTGATCCAGAGCAGCTGAAGCCCTACTACGAAGGCTTGATAGCCAAGTACTGTCCAGGCCAGCTGTCCTGGTGATCCCCTGGACCTCAACGCCTTTGGACCCTCTGCTCCAGCTTCTTCCTTGGCAATCCCAAAGGTGTTTTTCCAGGAGGCAACTGGACTTTGCTTTTCTTTGAAGACGTTTCGCTTCTCACCCAAAAAGCTTCTTCAGCTCTGACTAGATGGTGGGGAACGGAAGCTCTGGAGCAGCGGTTCTCAACCTGTGGGTCGGGACCCTATTTGGGGTCCAACGACCATTTCAGGGGGTCGCCAAACAACGCAGTCCACCATTTCCCCCCCCCCCTTTTCCTTAGCTGTGCTACTCCCTTTTATTCTATTGGCTTTTGAAAGCCAATAGAAGAGACTCTCTTGAATAGAGTCTAATTCTATTGGCTTTCAAAAGCCAATAGGAATTGTCCAGGCTGTCTCTGCCCTGCTGAGCCCGCCCAAAGTCCCATTCTGCAAACAGTGCTGCACCAGTTGAGTAGTCCTCGACTTACGACCAGTTGGGGGTCGCGGCATTAAAAAGGTTGAGAACCACTGCTCTGGAGGATCTTCACAACGTATGCGCACACTTCAAACCCGAGGCTACACTAAGGCAGAAGCTTGTCCACCCCGAGGATAAAACACCCACACTGAGCAACGTGATATATGCAGTACAATGTAGTCAGCCCTGTACGTTGGGGAAACAAAACCACCACTTCACAAACCCACTGACACCAACACAGGAGAACAAACCCATCAGGACGAGATTCAGCAGTCCATCTGCATTTGGAAGATAAAAGCCGGTCTTTCGAAGAAAGCCAAGTGGACAGAGAGGACCACTGGTTTGAAAGAAGCGTCCAAGAGGCCATCTAGGTCAAAACTGAACAGCCCTCCGTCAAGGGAGAGAGACATCATCCATCTCCAGTTTACAACACAAATCCTTTCAGCACTGTCTACATTTCGTTTTTATTTTAACCATCCAGTCGTGTCTGACTCTTGTAGGGATGGTGGACAAGGGCTCTCCACGCTACCCTGTCAATCGCAGCTTCTTTTCACTGTTGCACGTTCAGCCTTGCATCGGTTTTGACCTTATCACGCCAGCCTGTCCTTTGCTCGCCCGCTTGTCTTGTTCCGCTGACCGTTCTTAGCCTCGCTGACTTTTCCGGTGAATTTGCACTCGTGACATGGCCGAAGTAAACCAGACTTTGGTGATTTTTGGCTTCAAAGTGATGTGTCCAGTTTTATACTATTCAGCAGCTCCCCGTTGGTCGATCACTTCACTTAACTCATTTAACAAACATCTCGTTTAACAACGTGAAGTTTCAGGCTCAATTCTAGTCGCGAGGACTGCCTGTGTGCATGCTTGTGTACACACACACACACACACACACACACAGTTGGAATGTACAGGCTTTATTTAAAAAACCAAAGCCATCTCTTGGGTCCCGCGTGTCAGAAAGAGCAACTCCCCCCCAAAGGTGCAAGTGATTAGTCCAGAGAGGCCCCCGTTGCCCCCAGCCCCACTGATGCAGCAGGAAGCAGCGAACGTGCCCCCCCAAAGAAGGTCCGTGGGAGAAGGCTCGGGATGGAGACAGGAGTCCGGTGCCCACAGGGCAGAGAGCCAGCAAGAGCCACCACTTCATTCTCAGCCACATCCCCCCCCCTCCCGTTCAGCCCCCTGGTGGGATATGGGGAGAAGGGGGAGGGACAGGGAGGAAGGGGTGGGGGAAGGAAGGAAGGAAGGTAGAGAAGAGGAAAGGAGGGAAGGGAAGGGAGGAAGAGAAAGGGAAGAAGGAAGGAAGGAGGGAAGGGAAGGAAGAGAAAGGGAAGAAGGAAGGAAGGAGGGAGGGAAGGGAGGAAGAGAAAGGGAAGAAGCAAGGAAGGAAGGAGGGAAGGGAAGGAAGAGAAAGGGAAGGAAAGAAGGAAGGGAGGGAAGGAAGGAAGGGAGGAGGGAAGGGAAGGGAGGAAGGGAAAGGGAAGGGAAGGAAAGAAGAAAGGGAGAGAGGGAGGAAAAGGTGGGGTGGGGGAAGGAAGGAAGATAGAAAGAAAGGGAAGGAAGGGAATAAGGGAGGAAGGGCTCCTGAGATTCACTTCACCCCCACCAGCTAGACTTCACTTCCCACCCACCCACCCCGCCAGCAAGGACAGAACGTTCCCTGGGGATCCCCAAAGAACCAAATATGGGAGACCCTCGGCAACCCACCCAAGGGGCTCTCAGAGCCCCCCACCTCATTCTGTCCCAGAGTGAAGGAGGACCACAGAGCAAGAGAGGGCGGAGAAGAGCAAGCAGGCAGGTGTGTGTATGTGTGTGTGTGTGTGTGTATGTGCTCAGGCCCATCAGCTTCCTCCTCCATCCGACAAGGGGAAGGGCAGCAGCTCTGCCCCTCCCTCGATGCCCTGGGGAGGACCTTTGGGGGGAGTGAGTGGGGTGTTCAAAGGGGCTTCCACCCCACAGCTCGCACATGCGTGTGTGTGTGTGTGTGTGTGTGTGTGTGTGTGTGTGAGAGAGAGAGAGAGAGAGAGAGAGAGAGAGAGAGAGAGAGAGAGAGAGAGAGAAGGCAACCAGATCCATCTGGGTGGCGAAGGCTCCCCCCACCCAGCTCACGTCCCGCCTGGCGTCCTGCAGAGGCTGGGTGGGGGGTCCCGGAGCCGCCGCTGCCCCCTCCAGACTTATTTCTTCTTCTTCGTGTGCCGCAGCCCGTTGGAGGGGGGTTCGGCAGCCGCTCTGCCCTTCTCCTCCTTCCTCCGCAGCTGCCCGTTCTTCTCTCCGCCCGGCTGGTCTCCGCCCCCCCCGGGATCCGCCACTGCGTCGGCCGGCCGGCCGGGCTTGTGCCTGCCTCCGCCGGGGACCCCTCCCGCCGGCAGACGGGCCCCCAGTCCCCGCAGGATGCCCACAGCCGCCGCGCTGAGGTAGAGGGACCAAATGACGGCCGGGCCGCTGTAGGGACGGAGGTGTTCTCGAACTCGCTGCAGCCAGCTGGGCAGGAGGGCATCCGGGGGGCGCTTCAGGGGGGGCTTGTCCTGGAGAGAGAGGGAAAGACCACGATAGGACAGGCTCCCCCCCCATGCTGGATTTTTACCATCTGGGTAACCGAGATAGGGAGGGGTGACCCACGTCGAGTGGAGGCTACGGGTAGTCAACTGCTCATTTAGTGACGGTTCGGAGTTACAACGGCACTGAAAAAAGGGAACCCCCCCGACCCCCTTTTCACACTTACGACCACTGCAGCAGCAGCCCCAGGGACACGAGGCCGTAATCCAGACCCTAGGCAACTGATTCCTATTTGTGACGGCCGCTCAGGCGATGGCCCTTTTTGCGACTTTTAACGGGGAGCCCAGATTCACGAACGGCCCTGTTCCTAACTTGACGGCAGTGACTCGCTTAACAACGGGGGCAAGGGTCGCAAAATGGGGCAAAGCTCCCTTTACTGCCAGGCTCAGCAATGGAAATTTGGCGTTCGAGCGTGGTCGTAAGTCTGAGGACTGCCTGTAATTGGGGGCTGCGCAACTGTCAAGGTTCCCTTTTTGAAAGGCTGACGTTGAACTATTTTACGGCTTTAATTGCATGGATTGCAATGAATTAAAACCGCCCCTTTTCCACCCCAGCCTGACGCTGGCTGCTTGCCCCAACCACAATACCCATGCTCCTCACCTTGAGCCCGTGCCGGGCCAGCTCGTCTTCCAGCTTGGGATCGCCCAGGAAGACCAAAGGGTAGAATTCCTCAATCTGCCGACGCCGCCACCATTTCTGAGGGAGGGTCCTGGCGGAGAATGGGGAGGGGGGAGAAGCTGGATGCTGTCTCAGCCCATCGGTCTGTCTTCACTGGGCCCGGCAGCCCCCCCCCCCAGTCTCTCCGGGTTGGGGGCAACCGCTTGCCCTGGGCCTCGCTGGGGGGACCCAAATCCTTAGGCACGAAAGACGACTGGGTGACTCGGGGCCAATCACCAGGAGACGCTGAGTTCTAGTTCTGCCTTAGGCACAAAAGCCAGCTGGGTGACTCTGGGCCAATCACCAGGCGACAGTGAGTTCTGGTCCTGCCTTAGACATGAAAGCTGGCTGGATGATTTTGGGCCAATCACCAGGAGACGGAGATTTCTAGTCCCGCCTTAGGCACAAAAGCCAGCCGGGTAACTTTAGGCCAATCACCAGGAGAAGGAGAGTTCTAGTCCTGCCTTAGGCATGAAAGCTGGTTGGGTGACTCTGGGCCAATCACCAGGAGACGGAGAGTTCTAGTCCTGCCTTAGCCGTGAAAGCCGGCTGGGTGATTCTGGGCCAATCACCAGGAGACCGAGATTTCTAGTCCCGCCTTAGGCACAAAAGTCGGCTGGGTGACTCTGGGCCAATCACCAGGAGACGGCGAGTTCTAGTCCCGCCTTAGCCATGAAAGCCTGCTGGGTGACTTTGGGCCAATCACCAGGAGACGGTTAGTTCTAGTCCCGCCTTAGGCACAAAAGCCAGCTGGATAACTTTAGGCCAATCACCAGGAGACGGCGAGTTCTAGTCCCGCCTTAGCCATGAAAGCCTGCTGGGTGACTTTGGGCCAATCACCAGGAGACGGTTAGTTCTAGTCCCGCCTTAGGCACAAAAGCCAGCTGGATAACTTTAGGCCAATCACCAGGAGACAGCGAGTTCTAGTCCCGCCTTAGCTATGAAAGCCGGCTGGGTGACTCTGGGCCAATCACCAGGAGACGGTGAGTTCTAGTCCCGCCTTAGCTGTGAAAACTGGCTGGGTGACTCTGGGCCAATCACCAGGAGAGGGTGAGTTCTAGTCCCGCCTTAGCCATGAAAAGGGTATTTTGGGTCAGTCCTTCTCAGCCCAGCCCAGCCCACCTCACAAGGTGGTTGTTGTGGGGAAAATAGGGGGAGAAGAGAGTACTGGATACGTTTGCCGCCTTGAGTTACTTATTAAAATAATAAAGGCGGGAAATAAATAAAAGCTGGAAGGCAAATCGCCCCGTTGGCCGGAGGGGGAAACCATTTCCGTGGATTAAGGATTTCCACCTCATCCCGAAGCCCCTTCCCTCCCCCCACTGTCCACTCACCCGTCCGACTCGGCCTCGGTGAACCAGTATTTGTACAGCTGGGCCCGGATGTAGGTGGGAGGCTGGTCTCTGAAGGGGTACTTGGAATCGTCCACCTGCACCAGGTGGATCACTGCAAGGAAATTGAGGGGGGGGAGATCAGTCAATTGGTCAGCTGGAATAAGCAAACTGGGGGTCCCCTGCCCTCTGTCCCTGTCCCCCCCACCACTGACACCCCCCATAATGCTGGAGGCTCTAATCTGCCTGGACCCCAGGTGGGCAGCCCCCATTGGAGCCCCCCAGCCCAGAATCACCCCCCCTGCTTCTCCCTTCCAACAGCTCCAACCAGGAGCCGTTTTCTGAAAGGTTCATCCAGATGTTGCCTTCCGGAAGGCAGCTCCATCGTCCTCGGGAATCAGAGCGAAGAGGTCGGTCTTTTTGCGAGTGCAACGTCCTTTCGCACACACCAAGGGCAGTGATGCATCCTGCAGGGGGCGGGCGCCCTCTCAGGCCAAATCCTGCCTAGCCCCCAGCTCCTTCAGCCCCCTTCTCTGGCCATTTGCCCCCACCCCACAGCACCATCGTTCTGGGTATCTGAACTGGGCTACCACGTAGGTCCAAGGGGGTCTCTCTGGGACCCTGAGAACAAGGCTTGGAAGAGGGGGGAGGAAGGAAAGGAAGGAAGGGAAGGAAGGAGAAAAAGAGAGGAAGGAAGGAGGAAAAGAAACAAGGAGAAAGAAAGGAAGGAATAAGAAAGAGGAAGGAAGGAAAATAAGAACAAAGGAAGGAGAAAGAGAAAAGAAGGAAGAAAGGAAGGAGAAAAAGAGGAAGGAAGGAGGAAGAAAGGAGAAAGGAAGGAGAAAGAGGAAGGAAGGAAGAGAAAAAGGAAGGAAGGAGGAAAGGAAGAAAAGAAAGGAGAAAGAGAGGAAGGAATGAGAAAGAGGAAGGAAGGAAGAAAGGAAGAAAGGAAGGAGAAAAAGAGGAAGGAAGGAGGAAGAAAGGAGAAAGGAAGGAAGGAGAAAGAGAATGGAAGGAAGAGAAAAAGAGGAAGGAAGGAGGAAAGGAAGAAAAGAAAGAAGGAGAAAGAGAGGAAGGAATGAGAAAGAGAGGAAGGAATGAGAAAGAGGAAGGAAGGAAAGAAAGGAAGGAAAGAGAAAGAAAGAAAGAAAGAAAGAAAGAAAGAAAGAAAGAAAGAAAGAAGAAAGAAAGGAATGAGAAAGAGGAAGGAAGGAAGGAAGGAAGGAAGGAAGGAAGGAAGGAAGGAAGGAAGGAAGGAAGGAAGGAAGGAGGAAGGAGAAAGAGAAAGGAAGGAAGGAAGGAGAAAAAGAGAGGAAGGAAGGAGGAAAAGAAAGGAGAAAGAATGGAAGGAATGAGAAAGAGGAAGGAAGGAAGGAAGGAGGAAGGAGAATGAGAAAGGAAGGAAGGAAGGAAGGAGAAAAAGAGGAAGGAGGAAAAGAAAGGAGAAAGGAAGGAATGAGAAAGAGGAAGGAAGGAAGGGAGGGAGGGAAGGAGGGAGGGAGGGAGGGGGCAGGGAGGGGGGACTTCCCCCAGGCTCACCTGCCTTCTTGCCCTGCAGGAGGCGGTAGACGAAGCTGCTGAACCAGGGGCTGTGTGTGGGGGGGCCCAGAGCGGCGAACCACATCTGCCAGTCCAGGCGGGGCTGGTGGGGGGCCACGATGGGGGGGGCTGCGCTGGCGTTGCCCGGTTTGTACATGAACTCAATCTCCTGGAGAAAGGGGGAACAGACCCCGGCTCAAGGCCATCCGGTGGCTCAGCTCTCTGTCCCGGCTGCCTGTAGTAACCCCCCCCCAATCCCCAGCCCCTCCTCGGCTCTGCCTGCAGGCCCCTCCCTCGCGTCTGTGCCAGTCAGCAACCAAGGATATTGATGCGGTCAATGAACAGCAAAATTTTAAAAGAACCACCCACCCCAAGCCAGCATGAAGCAAATAAATACAACATCACATTAACAGCTAGTAAACTAAATCACAGAATACAAAGAGTCACTGCTCTGGGGACCTTGGCGCTCTCTGAGTTTGGCTGTTTTCTTGCAGACGTTTCACGACCCAACTAGGTGACAGTATCAGTGCTAGGAGGGGAGGGGGGTTGCTCTCGTTTTATACTAGTGCAGTGGTTTTCAACCTTTTTAATGCCGCGACCCCCAACCGGTCGTAAGTCGAGGACTACTCAACCGGTCGTAAGTCGAGGACTACTCAACTGGTGCAGCACCGTTTGCAGAATGGGACTTTTGGCGGGCTCAGCAGGGCAGAGACAGCCTGGACAATTCCTATTGGCTTTTGAAAGCCAAGAATTAGACTCTATTCAAGAGAGTCTATTCTATTGGCTTTCAAAAGCCAATAGAATAAAAGGGAGTAGCACAGCTAAGGAAAAGGGGGGAAAAATGGCGGACTGCGTTGTTTAGCGACTCCCGTGAAATGGTCGTTCGACCCCAAATGGGGTCCCGACCCACAGGTGGAGAACCACTGGTCTAGTGGCTTGTCCCATCAGTCCTGGTGGATGTGTTTTCTCCTGGGCGGCTCCTTCATTAGGCTGCAATTTACTGTTTGATTGTTTGCCAGTTTCTTGACTGAGATATTTCACCTTTACGTTTGTCTCTTTCAAATGGGGTGTAGACGTCATTCATCTCCACGTGCCTGTGGATGGCCGGTCAGAATACCAGGCTTCCGGGAATTCTCTCGCGTTCTTCGGTTTAGCTTGGTCAAAGGAGGATCAGCCCTGCCCAGCCTTCCCTCCCTCTGGCAGCACCCCGAAGCCACTCACCGTCCACGTTTCCTTGTCGTGGCTGCCTTCCAGCACCACCTCGGGCCGCCCGCCGACGCCCGTCATTCGCCGGAAGAGCCCGTAGGAATTGGCCAGCTGGTAGCGATCCACAGCCCCAAAGACCTGATGGATGCCCGGCCACAGCTTCCCGTTGGACTCGAACTCAATGTACGTGAAGGGGACCTGCGGGCAGAGCAAAGGACTGTGATTTGAACCCGGAACCTATCCTAGAAAGCAGCAGCAGGAGCAACAACATCCGGGCACCCAGCTGGTCCAACCCAGCCCATGTGCTTTGATCTCGCATAGCTCCCCACTGTCAGAAGGCGAAGATGGGCGAGTGCTGGGATGGGAGACCACTAAGTAAAGCAAGGACAGGGAAATTAAAATGCAGGTAATCCTCAACTTACGACCTCAACTGAGCCCAAAATTTCCATTGCTAGGTGAGGTGTCAGCCTCTTGCCCCCCCTCCAAAACAATCTGGGTTCTCATTTGACCGACCTCGGAAGGACGGAAGGCTGAGTCCACCTTGAGCCGGTCAGGATCGAACTGCTGGCAGTGAAATGCAGAGTTAGCCTGCAATGCTGCAGTCTAACCACTGGGCCACCAGGGCTTCCTTCCCTCCTCTTTCTTCTCTTTCCTTCCTCCCTTCCTCTTCTACTTCCTCTCTCCCTCTCATCCCTCTTTCCTTCCTGCCTCCCTCTCTTCTCCTTCCTTCCTTCCTTCTTCTCTCCTTCCTTCCTTCCTGCCTCCCTCTTCTCTTCCTTCCTCTCATCCCTCTTTCCTTCCTCTCTTCTCCTTCCTTCCTCCCTTCCTCTTCTCCCCTCCCTCCCTCCCTCCCTCCCTCCCTCCCTCTTTTCTCCTTCCTCCCTCCCTCTCATCTCTCTCCTTCCTTCCTCTTCTCCTCTCCCTCCCTCCCTCCCTCCCTCCCTCCCATCCCTCTCCTTCCTTCCTGCCTCCCTCTCTTCTCCTTCCTCCCTCCCTTCCTCTCTTCTCCTTCCTTCCTCCCTTCTTCTCCCCTCCCTCCCTCCCCTTCCTTCCTGCCTCCCTCTCTCTTCTCCTTCCTTCCTCTCTCCCTTCTTAGCATTAGCACTTAGACTTATATACCGCTTTACAGCCCTCTCTGAGCAGTTTACAAAGTTAGCCTCTTCTCCCCCCCCCCAACCATCTGGGCCCTTAACTGACCGACCTCGGAAGGACGGAAGGCTGAGTCGACCCTGAGCCGGTCAGGATCGAACTGCCAAACTGCAGGCAGAGTCAGCCTGCAATACTGCGTCCTAACCGCTGGGCCACCATGGCTGTATGTTGCAAAACAAGGCGGGATCCTTAAATATACTGAGTTATTTAGGAATTCTGGGGATCTGCTGCTCCAAGGCTTTTTCTGCCAGTCTGCTGGTATGATTCACCCCAACTTCTGTGCCCCCCAAAGAAGCCCACAAAGCCTCCTAAGAGGCACAGCAACCCCTCCCGGCCTGAATTTACCGGCTATGCTCACCCTGGCCCGTCTCCCCCCCCCCCCAAGACTCACCAGGCTGATAGTGAACATCCCCAGGGCCGCGGTGGAGAAAATGGCCCATTGCAGGACAGCCCAGAGTTTCCAGAAAAAGCCCCGGACGCAGGCGCTCCTGGGGGGAGGGAGGGAAAGGGGCATCAGACAGGAGAACCCCAGAGAACACCCCAAATATTGTGTGGGGGGAAGGGGTGGGGAAGACCTTCCTTTAACAGGCAAAGGACCAAAGCTGGTTCTGGGCAATTCTGGACGTTGAACTGCCCCCCATTTTTAAAGTTGGTGAAGTTGGAAAACACTAATTAAAAGTATAATAACAGAGCCAGTTAAATGGTGTGAAGTAGCATTCGTGGATCTGAAAAACAGACTGTGGGAGGAGGAGGAGGAGGAGGAGGAGGAGGAGGAGAACTGTGGGGTCCTGGGTGCTCTCTGAGCTGGGTGGTTTCCATGCAGATGTTTCATGACCCAACTAGAGAATGTCATCAGGGCTTGAAGCGAGTGGGGTCTGCAGAGAAGGAGGATTGTGGGGTCTCTGGTGCTCTCCAAGCTTGGTGGTTTTCTTGCAGACGTTTCATGACCCAACTAGAGAACATCATCAGTGCTAGAAGGGAGAAAGAAGGAAGGAAGGAAGGAAGGAAGGAAGGAAGGAAGGAAGGAAGGAAGGAAGGAAGGAAGGAAGGAAGGAAGGAAGGAAGGAAGGAAGGAAGGAAGGAAGGAAGGAAGGAAGGGAGAAGGAGGATTGTAGGGTCCCTGGTGCTCTCTGAGCTGGGTGGTTTTCTTGCAGACGTTTCATGACCCAACTAGGTAACATCATCAGTGCTAGAAAGTAGTGGAAAGGAAGAGAAGGAAGAGAAGGAAAGAAGGGAAGGAAGGAAGGAAGGAAGGAAGGAAGGGAAGGAAGGAAGGAAGGAAGGAAGGAAGGAAGGAAGGAAGGAAGGAAGGAAGGAAGGAAGGAAGGAAGGAAGGAAGGAAGGAAGGAGGATTGTGGGGTCCCTGATGCTCTCTGAGCTGGGTGGTTTCCTTGCAGACGTTTCATGACCCAACTAGGGAACATCATCAGGGCTAGAAGGGAGTGGGGTTTGTGGAGAGGAGGAGGAATGGTCGTGAAGGAGAAAAGTTGGTGAAGAGGAGAAGGAAAAATGATGGTGGTGGTAAAAAGGAGGAGGAGGTGGAAGAGGAGGAGAACAGCAGATCCGGTTCACTCTTTCGAACCCTCTCTTGCCCTCCAGGGCTAAAATCGTGGTTTGCAAGCCGCCCCCCCGCCTTCCTGCCCAAGGTCAGCTCAGATCTCCTTCTGCAGCGACCCCCCTCCCCGGGGACTCACCTGTACCCAGCCTGAAGGACCTCCCAGAGCAAGGAGAGCAGCCCCAGGGCCACCAGGGGGAGGGTCACCGTCTTCAGCCACTGCATGAACTCGTGGTAGGTGAAGGCTGGGGAAAGAATAGGTGGAGGGCATCATGTGTGAAAGGGCCAAGGGGAGCCAGGAAGAGCCCTCCGTCCCGCCCTCTGCCTGGATCCGGCAGGTTCACACGTGCAGCTGTCGTCACAGGCAACGACTGTCAATGGGGGAGGGTCCCAGGTCCCCTAATCAAACAGCCCCCCACCCCAGGAATTGTGCTCCCAGCTCTAAAACACTGGCGGGGGGAGGGCAGCTTCAAGGCACCCGAGACCCCCTCCCAAGTTTTACCTTTCAGAGGGCAATGCCCCCCCCCCTTGGCTAGGAAGGGTTACAAAGGTTGCTGAGTTGCACACACACACACACACAGCACGGGGGGGGGGGAGAGAGAGCAGGTGGGAAATCCTCGGCTGAGAATGTGAGAACCGGGCAGCTGGGTCAAGGCTGGCCCCCTCAGGGGCTGAAATGGGGAAAGAGGTCCCCCCACCGCAGCTCAGGGACTGCCAGGGGCCCCCAACACCGCAGGGAGTCCCACAGACGTTCTCCCCCCCTCCCAAGAAATACCTGTCTTGGATTCCAGAAGTCTCTTCTCCCAGTTGATGGTCAGCCCAAAGTAACGGCTGGTCCAGTAGATCAGGAGGCCGTAGACAGCCAGCTCGGCCAGCAAGGTGGCCAAGCGCCAGGGCCAGCCTGCAGGGGGGAGGGGGCAGGAGAGGGTCAGCTCCAGCCACGGGAGAGGCTTATGGGCCCCCCCAGAGGCAGTGGCCAATGGAGAGCACCGAGGAAGCGGGACTGGGGAACTAAGGGCCCTGCAGAGGGGGCTGGAAAGCAACTCCCATCCATCCCATCATGCAGCTTCCCAGGAGATGAGGCTGGACTACAGCTCCCATCAACCCTTTCATGCAACGCCCAGCAATCCCATCATGCAAAGCCCCTCAACCCCATCATGCAAAGCCCATCAAATCCATCATGCAACACCCATCAACTCCATCATGCAATGCCCAGCAATCTCATCATGCAAAGCCCATCAACCCCGTCATGCAAAGCTCAGCAATTCCATCATGCAAAGCCCAGTAACCCCATCATGCAAAGCCCCTCAACCCCATCATGCTATGCCCAGCAATCCCATCATGCAATGCCCATCAAACCCATCATGCAAAGCCCATCATGCAACTTTCAGGAGATGCAGCTGGACTGCAGCTCCCATCAGCCCCATCATGCACCTCCCATGAGATGCGGCCGGACTGCAGCACCCATCAGCCCCTTCCCAGAGAGAGATGGGCGGCATGTAAACTGAAATAAACCAATCAGCGAAAAGGGGGAGGATCAAGGCAAAGAGAGAAGTGGAGGGCGGAGCCCAATGGTCCAAAGGAAACTCCCAGTGGCCTGGGGGACTCACCGCCACTGGCTTTCCTCCGCCCCTGGCCCAGCCACAGCCCCACGTGCTCCTCGTCCAGCAGGGAGAAGCTCAGCACCACCGTCAGCAGGTTGAAAAAATTGTAGTTGCCGGTGAAAATGATCAGGGCTTGCAGAAGGACCTGGAAGGGGGCCAAACGCAGGCAGTCCTCCATTTACGACCACAATGGAGGAGCCCGACGTTTCTGCTGCTAAGCGAGACCGCTGGCAAACGAATTTTGCACCGTTTTATGACCTTTCTCGCCAGTCATTAAGTGAATCACTACGGTTGATAAGTAACCTGGTCATTAAGCGAATCCGGCTTCCCCCATTGACTTTTGCCTATCAGAAGGTCGCAAAAGGGGGATCCTGTGACTCCGCCCCCGGGACGCTGCAAACCGTCATAAATAGGAGCCAGCGGCCAGGTGCTTGAATCCTGATCATGGGGGAGGCCGCAACGGTCGTAAATGTGAAAAATGGTCATTAAGTCACTTTTTTCAGGCCTGTTGTGACTTTGGTCACTAAATGGAGCTGTCGTAAGTCGAGGACTACCTGCATTCTGCCAGAAGCTGGCAAACAGGCGATGCTGAGTCATCGTGGTGAACAATTGTTATGACACACACAAGAGGGCATCCCTTCTCCTCCCTGCACAGCTGGCTCACTCCACAGGTAGTCCTCAACTTACGGCCAGCCACTCAGCAACTGCTCAACCTGACAACCTGCCTAGAACATGGGAGTTACGACCCACTTCCAAAGTCCCGAGGGTTGGGGGGAACCCCCCACCCCCATGCTCCCATGACTACGTTTCGGCCACTTGGCAACACAACTACACCGTAGTTGTTGACGGCTACGTTGTCCTGTAGTCCACACGACCCCAAATGACGGCAACGTTCGCTTTACAACTGCCACGTTCACTGAACAACCCGCCGCAAAAAAACAGGCGGGGGAAAATTTACGGCTGTCACAACGTACAACTTTATGTTGTGATTGTACGTCGGGGACTGCGTGTAGAGCAGAGAGGGTCCAATTAGCAGCAACTGCAAAGCCCACCGCCCGTTCCCTTGGGGGCTTTCAGACCCCGGCAGGTGTTCCTGCACCCTCCGGATGTGCACCAGTTTTCACCCTGGTGTTGGCCAGCCTAGCATTCCCAGCGCCCGGCCGTACCTGGCTGTAGAAGGCCACCAGGCGCAGGCGCCTCAGCGGCACGAAGAAGAGGGGGGGGACGGCTATCTCGATCACGTAGGTGGCCACCACGCTCAGCTTCTGAAACCAGAATGGCAACTGGTGGGCGAACCAGGCGGCTGGGGTGGGGATGCACTGGGTCTCGTAGTGGTAAGTCAACGCTGGGGAGACAAAGGAGAGAGAGAGAGAGAGGGAGGGAGGGAGAAATGAGAAAAAAGAGACAGAGAGAGAAAGCAAGAAAGTAAGAGAGACAAAGTGAGAAGAAAGAGAAAGACAGAGAAAGTGAAAGAAAAAAAGAGGGAAAGCAAGAAAGTAAAAGAAAGCAAGAAAAAAGAGAGAAAAAGAGAAAGAGAGAGAAAAAGCAAGAGAGAAAAAGAGACAGAAAAAGTGAGAATGAGAGAGAGAGGCAGAGAAAGCAAGGGAAAGAGAAAATGAGAGGAAAAAGAGGACAGAAATAGACAAAGCAAGAAAGGGAAAGAGAAAGGGAAAGAGGAAGAGAGAGGGAGAGAGGGAGGGAGAGAGAGAGAGAGAGAGAGAGAGAGAATATGGAGGGTGGCATCACACTCATGACAGAAGCAACTAAGGAGCTTGCAGGTTAAAAGGCTCACCTGGTGACATCACGGCTGCCAGAAGGATGCCCAGTTGGGGGCTCCTTTCACATCCTCAGCAAGAACTGCAGGGAAGGATGGGAGCCCACCTGCCCCACGGCAGCATTCGAATGTGGGCCTGCTGTTTGTCAAGCCGGCATCCTAACCATGCCCCTAAAACCTCCAGTGTTGGAGTACCTACAACTTCTAACACCAACTTCTGGAGGCAAGTCGTTCCACTGGTTAATTGTTCTCACTTTCAGGAAGTTTCTCCTTCGTTCTAGGTTGCTTCTCTCCTTGATTAGTTTCCATCCGTTGCTTCTTGTCCTGCCTTCAGGGGCTTTGGGGAATAGCTTGATTCCCTCTTCTTTGGGGCAGCCCCTGAGATACTGGAACACTGCTATCATGTCCCCCCTCATCCTTCTCTTCCTTAAACTAGATATATCCAATTCTAGCAACCGTTCCTTATATGTTTTAGCCTCCAGTCCCCTGATCCTCTTTGTTGCTCTTCTCTGTACTCTTTCTAGAGTCTCAACATCTTTTTTACATTGTGGTGACCAAAACTGGATGCAGCGTTTCAAGTGTGGCCTTACCAAGGCCTTGTAAAGTGGTATTAACACTTCACGTGATCTTGATTCTATCCCTCTGTTAATGCAGCCTAGCACTGTGTTGGCTTTTTTGGCAGCTGCTGCACACGGCTGGCTCATATCTAAGTGATTGTCCACTAGGACTCCGAGCCCCCTCCCACTTGCTGCATGGCTGACTCACCTGTGAGCCCCCACCAGGTGGGGCAGCGGCTGGTCAGCTTCACCACCCCGGAGGCAAACATCAACCGGAAGAGCAGCCAACGCACCAGCCAGAAGGTCACCCCATCGTAGGCCCTCCAGGTTGTCGAGCGCCACTTGAGCAGGTGCAGGGGGGCCACGAGCACCGCCAGGAAGCCCGTCTCCAGCAGAAGGCTGTCCCTGGGGGGGGGGGAAGAGGAGGACGCAGGTCAAAGGAGCATGGGCAGAGTGTCCTGGGATTCCGCCCTCCCCTTGCCAGGGCTCACGCGGGTTACATGGCACTCCCCGTGATCTTCGACTTACGACCACAGTTGAGCCCAAAATTTCTGTTACTGAATGAGACGGTTATTGGGTTTTGCCTCATTTTACAATCATTCTCGCCATTTTGTTCAGTTGTTAAGTTAGTCACGTGGCCGTTATGTGAATCTGGCTTTCCTCCACTGACTTTGCTCATCAGAAGGTCGCAAAAGGGGATCACGTGACACTCCGGGACACGGCAACCGTCGTATATATGAGTCAGTTGCTGAGTGTTGGAATTTTGATCATGTGACCAGTGGAGAATGCTGCAACAGTCATAAGCGTGAAAAACAGTCATGTCTCTTTTTTCAGTTGTAACTTGGAACGAACTGTTGTAAGTTGAGGACTACCTGTACATTCTTTCCCACAGAAACACAGAATGGCAAAGAATAGGGAATAGAATAGAAAATAGAATAGAATAGAAATTAGAATAGAATAGAAATTAGAATAGAATAGAATAGAATAGAATAGAAAAGAGAATAGAAAATATAGAATAGAATAGAAAATAGGAAATAGAATAGAATAGGAATAGGAATAGAATAGAAAATAGAATAGAAAATATAGAATAGAACAGAATAAAATAGGATAGAAAAGAAAATAGGGAATAGAATAGAAAATAGAACAGAATAGAAAATAGAAAATAGAATAAATAGAAATACAGAATAGAATAGAATAGAATAGAATAGAATAGAATAGAATAGAATAGAATGGAATGGAATGGAATGGAATGGAATGGAACGGAACGGAATAGAACAGAACAGAACAGAATAGAAAATAGGGAATAGAACAGAATAGAAAAGCGGGGCAAAACTTAACAAATGTCCCGCATAGCAACAGAAATTTGGGGGTCAATTCCCAAGTTGAGCATTACCTGTGGAAGCCCAGGACCACTTACCACTGGAAGTAGAGGAACACCTGTCCCACCTGCAGAGGGAAAAGAAGGGAAGAAACATCAAATTAAGGGCAGGACATGGCCCATCAGGTGTCTTCTGTCTGAGCTTAAACCAGGGGTCTTCAAAGTTGGCAACTTTAAGACTTGTGGATTTCAACTCCCAGAATTCCTCAGCCAGCACCATAAGAAGTGAGGACTTCAACTCTCAGAATTCCTTGTTAGCATTTTAGAAAGTGTGGACTTCAACTCCCAGAATTCTCTAGCCAGCACCATAAGTGAGGACTTTACCTCCCAGAATTCCTTAGCCAGCTCCTTAAAAAGGACTTTACTTCCTAGAATTCACTAGCCAGCTCTTTAGGAAGGACTTCAACTCCCAGAATCCCCCAGCCAGCACTTTAAAAACTGTCCATTTCATCTCCCAGAGCCCCCCAATTAGCACCTTAAGACCGGTAGACTTCAGCTCCCAGAATCCCCCAGGCAGCACGCCGGGAGGGGGCAGGGGAGGGTCCTTATCCAGCCCCCCCCCGTACCTGATAGACGGAGAGGTAAAGGCCCCAGAGGGCGAGGAAGACCAGGCTGTCCCGCAGGGGCTCCAGCACCAGGGCCCCGAAGGAGAGCAGCGAGCCCATCAGGCACAGCAGCTCCAGGCCCTGCTCCGTGTCCAGCCCCAGGTGGGGGCCCAGCCACAGCAGAGTCGGGGAGTCCCGCAGCTGCTCCCAGAATCCTTTGCCAGTGAAACGAAGCATCTTCCGGGCGGGCAGGATCCCATCCTTCCCGTAAAGGCCTGAAGAGGGACACAGACGGGGAGGCTGGAACGCAGCGGCCGGGCACCGGGGGGGGGGGAATTCCTCTCCCCACCCCCGTCACACCACACCGCACCATACTGGGAGATGATGCCTTGCAATACAGGGAGTCCTCCTCTTACAACCAGGATCCGGCCCCCAAATTTCGGTCGCTAAGCAAGGCTGTTGCTAAGTGAGTTTTGCCCCATTTTACGACCTTTTTTGCCATGGTCGTTAAATGAATCCGGCTCCCCCATTGACTTTGCTTGTCAGAAGGTCGCAAAAGGGGATCACGTGACACCCCGGGATGCTGCAAACCGTCATAAATATGAGTCGGTTGCCGAGCATCTGAATTTTGATGCCGTGGACGCTGCAACGGTCGTAAGTGTGAAAAAATGGTCATAAGTCCCTTTTTTTTCCAGTGGCGGTGTGACTTGGAACGGTCACCAAACGAACACTTGTTAAGTCAAGGACTATGGCATCAATCGCAAGAGAAATACCTTTTGGTGTGGAAAAGTTGGATAAATTTTATACAGTATAAGTATGATATTAAAAGATATTATTTAGCTTTCGAATAATTTATGTTTATTTTTATTTATTTTATTTTATTTTTAAAATTTATAAGCCGCCCCACTCCCGAAGGACTCTGGGCGGCTAACAATAAAAAACACATAAAACATAACAAAACAACAATACAAAAACAATCATCCAGGGGTCAGGTTTTATAAACCCCAGGCCTGCCGGAAAAGCCAGGTCTTAAGTAGCTTACGGAAGACCAACAGGGTGGGAGCGGTCCTAATCTCCGGGGGAAGCTGATTCCAAAGCGTGGGCGCCATCACAGAGAAGGCCCTCCTCCGCGGCCCCACCAAATGGCACTGCTTGGCCGACGGGGCCTGAAGGAGGCCCAGCCTGTGGGATCTAACCGGACGTAGGGAACTATGAGGTAGTAGGCGGTCTCGCAAATAGCCTGGCCCTGAGCCATATAGGGCTTTAAAGGTAATGACCAACACCTTGAATTGGACCCGGAGACCAATAGGCAACCAGTGCAGCTCACGGAGGATAGGTGTAACGTGGTTGTATCGAGGAGCACCCACTATCACTCGCGCGCTGCATTCTGGACCAACTGTAGTCTCTTCAAGGGTAGCCCCATGTAGAGCGCGTTGCAGTAGTCCAAACGTGAGGTGACAAGGGCGTGAGTGACTGTAAGGAGAGCCTCCCGGTCCAGGTAGGGTCGCAACTGGTGCAACAGGCGAACTTGTGCGAAGGTCCTCCCAGCCACAGCCGTCAATTGATGTTCCAAATTCAGCTGTGGATCAAGGAGGACACCCAAGTTGCGAACCCGCTCTGAAGGGGGTATATTTTCCCCCGCAAGAGTCCACACTGGACAGTCGACATGATCCTTGGGAGGCAACATCCAAAGCCACTCGGTCTTGTCAGGATTGAGCCTGAGTCTGTTAACCCCCATCCAGACCCTCACGGCTTCGAGGCAACGGCCCATCAGATCGGCGGCTTCACTGAGAGAGCTCAGGGAGGAGATATACAACTGGGTATCATCAGCATACTGATGAAACCTCACCCCGTGCTGTCTGATTGGCTGGGGGAGTGTTCTGTTTGGTATATATATATATTGGATTTTTTTAAGTAATTTTTGTTTTAGGTTTACTTAAGTTTAAATGTTTTGTATTTTTAGTTGTTAACCCTGTATTCAGCTCTGGGAAGAGGGGGGGAGGGTTGTTGGGAGGGCTGGGAGGTAGTGGGTGAGGGATATTATTGTAAAATTGTAAAACTTTTAATAATAATAAAAAAAAAGTCAAGGACTATGGTGTGCCTGGATTCCTCCCGATTCTTTTGCTGCAGTTCCCAGGGTCAACTTACTCCAAAATTCCTCCCGAGATACTCTACTCTCAAGTCAAGATAACCTCCTCTGATAGCCGGCTAATTTCAGCTTTTCAATATCCCTTCTAATCAAAGATGAATTAAATTTTTTTTCGTCGCCCACTGCGCATCTTAAAAGTTCTCCGATGTTTAATAAAGGGTCTACTTGGCTCTAGTTTTTTGCTACTTTTGCTACAATCATCAGCCATTGTCTGCTCCGGTCTCCCTGCCAACACGCTATTAGCTTGACCCCGGATAATACACACACCGCACCCTGCAGAAAGTCACACCGCCCTTCGCAAATTTTGTTTTCGACACGCAGAATCCTTTGCTGGGAATTCTGCTAAGCAGCCTCCGAGATTCGTTGCGTTGCTGCATTCCCTCTTTATGCGGGCAGTCCCCGAGTTACAGGAGTTCATTTAGTGACCGTTCCAAGTGACTTACGGCCATTTTTCACACTTACGACCGTTGCAGCGTCCCCGTGGTCACGTAATCAAAATTCAGATGCTTGGCAAATGACTCATATTTATGACGGTTGTAGCGTCCCGGGGTCATGTGATCCCCTAGTGCAGGGGTAGGCAACCTTGGCTCTTTTATGACTTGTGGACTTCAACTCCCAGAATTCTGGGAGTTGAAGTCCACAAGTCATAAAAGAGCCAAGGTTGCCTACCCCTACCCTAGTGCGAACATATGACAACAAAGTCAAAGTGAGAGCCTGATTAACTTAACAAGGGTGTTACTCACTTAACTGCAGTGATACACTTAACAACTGTGGTAAGAAAGGTCGTAAAATAGAGCAAAACTCACTCAGGAACTGCCTTCCTTAGAATGGAAATTTTGGACTCAGCTGCTGTTATAAGCTGACAAGAGGTTACCCAATGCTAATCTTGAATGCATATGCGTAACATAGAATCACAGAATCCTAGGCTATTATTAGGAGTAATATAGTAGTAACTGGGAGAGGGATCTCGGAGTCCTAGTGGACAATCACATAAATAGGAGCCAGCTGTGTGCTGCAGCTGCCAAAAAGGCCAACACAGTGCTGGGCTGCATTAACAGAGGGATAGAATCAAGATCAGGTGAAGTATTAATACCACTTTACAAGGCCTTGGTAAGGCCACACTTGGAATACGGCATCCAGTTTTGGTCACCACGAAGTAAAAAAAATGCTGAGACTCTAGAACAGTGGTTCTCAACCTTTCTAATGTCGTGACCCCATAATACAGTTCCCCATGTTGTGGTGACCCCCAACCACTTATATATCACTGGGTGTCAGGGGCGTGGCCAAAGAAAAGGGGGAAAAAATGGCAGACAGCCTTGTTTGGCGACCCCCGTGAAATGGTCGTTCGACCCCAAATGGGGTCCCGACCCACAGGTTGAGAACCACTACTCTAGAAAGAGTACAGAGAAGAGCAACAAAGAGGATCAGGGGACTGGAGGCTAAAACATACAAGGAACGCTTGCTGGAATTGAGTATGTCTAGTCCAGGGGTAGGCAACCGTGGCTCTTTTATGACTCGTGGACTTCAACTCCCAGAATTCCTGAGCCAGCTGTGCTGGCTCAGGAATTCTGGGAGTTGAAGTCCACGAGTCATAAAAGAGCCAAGGTTGCCTACCCTGGCCTAGTCTAATGAAGAGAAGGACGAGGGGGGACATGAGAGCAGTCTTCCAGTATCTCAGGGATTGCCCCAAAGAGGGAGTCAAGCTACTCTCCAAAGCGCCTGAAGGCAGGACAAGAAGCAACGGATGGAAACTAACCAAAGAGAGAAGCAACTTTGAACTTTGAATTTCCTGATAGTAGGAACAATTAGTGGAACAACCTGCCGCGCGAATGCTCCAACACTGGAAGTTTTTAAGAAGAGACTGGACAGCCATTTGCCTGAAATGGAACTTTAGAGCTTCCTGCCTGAGCAGAGGGCTGGACTAGATGACCTCCAAGGTCCCTTTCAGCTCTGTTATTCCGTTAGGGATCTTGGAGATCTTCTAGTCCAACCCCCTGCCCAAGACAGAAGACCTTATCCCATCCGGGACAAATGGCTGAATCAGGAGGGGGAAATATTTTTCTCAACAGGAGGGAAAGGCAGGGGGTTTTTTTGGGGGGGGGGGGGCTGAACAGAAGGCCGAACCAAATGGTGCGGGGGGGGTAAGGGGGAGAGGGTTGGTGGGCCACAAACCCCTGCAGTCCACCCGAGAGACCCTTGGCACAACTGTTGCAGTGCCCACTGCCACGTGGAGATCTGGACACAGACGTGGGAAGCGGGGGGGGGGGGAGGAGGAGGGGGGCAGGCAAAAAAAAAATCCAATGGGATATCCAACCCTGGGAAAAGGGGGCGGGTCTAAAGCAGAGGGCGGGGCGGAAAGGAGCAACGTCCCATTCTTTATGCAGAAAAAAGAACCGGGGGGGGGGGCCGAGAGACCCAGGGCCAAGCAAGCCCCCCCGGGGGCGGCTGAGAAATGGGGTGCTGGAAGGGGGGGCGCCCCCAGCAGGAGACCCAGAGCCTCTGAGGGTCCCACCCTCCCCAAATTTGAAGCCTTTAAAGCCCCCCCCCCCAGTGAGTGCGCCCCCACCACGGCTTGTGATGAGGGGGGAATCCCACAGAAGATGGGAGCCCCCTTGGTTCAGCCCAGGTTTTGCTGGGGAGGGGGAAAGATAAGGGGGGGGGAGATGCCAATGTTTGCCTCTCTGGCTCCAGGGAAGCGGGGTCCGAGACGCGAGTCAGGGGTCCCACGTGAGGACGCGGGACTCCTTTGAAGGAGGGGAGCCCCATTCAGACGTCGCCCGGAGAGCCTCGCCCCTCCAGATGGCACACGCTGCCCCCTCTCCGCTCTGCCCGGGAGCCCCCTTCTCCTGCCAGCAAGGAGGACACCCCCCCCCGGGCAAAGCAGGAGCGGAACCTGCCACGCTGCAAGCGGCTCCGCGGGCCTTGCCCGCTGCACATCGCGCTCCCATCCCGGGACGCGTGGACGGCGCCGGAGCCGCAGCGAGACCCAGATCCGGACGGGCCCGGGCAGCCGTCGCGCACGAACCCCGCCGGGCGGCAAAGCCGGACAAGCCGCAGCCTTCCCACGACCGGCTGACACGGGTCAGCCAGCGAACCGCTCGTGCGAAGCCGCCCGGCGAGCGCAAACAAGGCCGGTCGGGGAGGGGGGACCGAGGCCGCAGATTCTTGGCCCCGGGACCTCCGCAAGGTCAAGCCCCGGACGCCGAGGGGGGCACAGCTTCCCCCCCCCGGACGCCGCTGCCAGGACTTTGCTTCCTTTTTTTTTCTTTTCCTCTCTCTCTCTCTCTTCCTCTCTTGGGCGCAGACGGGAAGGGCGAGGGCGCCCCGGGGCATGTGCAAAGCGCCCCCCGTCCCCGCTCTTTCCCTCCTCCCCTCCTCCCGCCGCAGGCTCACCGGGCACCTGGACGTAGAGGGAGGCGAAGGCGGCCAGGAAGGCGGCGGCCAGGCCGCGCAGGAAGAGCTGCCGGGCCAGGCGGGGACCCTCCGCGGCCATGGCGCGCTCTCTCCGCCGCCCGCTCGCTACAGTGTAGCCGCGGGGGGCGGGGACAGAACGCGGGGGCGGGGACAGAACGCGGGGGGCGGAGCCGGGACAGGGGCGGGGCGCGACGTCAGGGCCATCGGCCCGCGGCGCAGCGTGAAACGTCACCGCCATCGCCCGCGGGCGCGCCCTGATGGCGTCACGGCCGAGCGGGAAAAACAAAACGGCCGCCGCCGCCATGGAGGACCCGGAGTCGCGTTTCCTGCACTTCCTGCAGCCCATCCGGGACCTGACCAAGAACTGGGAGGTGGACGTGGCCGCGCAGCTGGGGGAGTACCTGGAGGAGGTAGGAGGGGAGCGAGGGGGAGGGGATGGTTGGTCACCGCACGACGACCCCGCAAGGTAGGCTGGAGAGGGAGAATATGGGGATACGCTGACCGCCCCGCCGCCTCTTCTCCTTCCCTCCGTATGTTAGAAACGTGATTAAAACACTAACAACGTTGGACTGGTAAGAAAAGAGTTTCTTCTGCAGAAAAGGGAAAAAGCAGCTTGCAAAGTGCGGTGCGTCTCTAAGAGATTTCTCAACGCGAAGTCTCTAAATTAGAAACCACCCCGAATTGTTCAAAATCAAAGCATTATATACACCCCTATTGCGACGGCCCCCCCCCGCTCCCCTCCCCTTTGGTCCCACTTCAAAGGACTTCAGGGTTCACAGTCTTATCCGAGTCGCCTAACCAGAATACATCACCCCCCCTTCCTTAATTACATCTGTTTCAAAACTTCCCCCGGCCACTTTCCCTTTTGTCTGGTTAAAATAGGCAATAAACCAGTGGTTTTCAACCTTTTTAATGCTGCGACCCCAACTGGTCATAAGTCAAGGACTATTCAACCGGTCGTAAATCGAGGACTACTCAACTGGTGCAGCACCGTTTGCAGACTGGGACTTTTGGCGGGCTCAGCAGGGCAGAGACAGCCTGGACAATTCCTACTGGCTTTTGAAAGCCAATAGAATTAGACTCTATTCAAGAGAGTCTATTCTATTGGCTTTCAAAAGCCAATAGAATAAAAGGGAGTAACACAGCTAAGGAAAAGGGGAAAAAAATGGCGGACTGCGTTGTTTGGCGACCCCCGTGAAATGGTCGTTCGACCCCAAATGGGGTCCCGACCCACAGGCTGAGAACCACTGCAATAAACAAAGGCAATAAACAAGCACATGGAGGAAGCAGGCACATTCTCCCCCCCCCCCCATAGGATGGGAATGAATTTGAAGAATCATTTGATTTTTAAACATGTGTTCCTAACACCTGCAGCTAGACCAGATCTGCATCTCCTTTGACGGCGGGAAGACCACCATGAATTTCATCGAAGCGGCGCTGCTCATCCAGGGCTCTGCCTGCATCTACAGCAAGAAGGTTTTTTGGGGGGTGGGGGAGTGAGCATGGCCTGGGGAGGGGTGGAGAGGGCCGGGGGAGGGGAGGCGCAGCCCTGGGGGATGGCCAGGTAGGGGGGAGAAGATGGTCTGCCATGGGGACAGGGGAGGGGCCCATGGGGGGTGGGCAGGTGGGGGGGACAGGAGGATGGCTCTGTGGATGGAGAGGGGGATGACAAAAGGGGGCGTCTGGGGAGGATGGCCAGTTGGGGGGGGGGACACAGGAGGATGGACCCTTCCCTTTTTTGAATTTTTAGAGTAAACTCTTTGGGACATTTGGGGGTTATTGCCCATTTTGTTCTCTAATCCATTGCATTTGCTTTTCCCAGGTGGAGTATCTTTACACACTGGTGTACCAAGCCCTTGATTTTATCTCCAATAAAAAGTGAGCAAGCCCCTCCATGGATGGATGGATGGATGAGAGAAAGGGAGGGAGTAAAGAATCGGGGGGGGGGGAGGGAAGGAGTAAGGAAGAAAGGAAAGAAAAGGAAAATGGAGGAAGAAAGAAAGGAAAAAGGCAGAAAGGGATAGGAAAAAAAGGGATGGAGGAAGGGAAAGGGGGGGATCACTTCCAGCAATGCGTTTGCTGAACGACCACCACATTCGCTTAATGACCGCTGAAAAAGTCATAAAATCAGGTCAGTTGCAGGACTGACCAATTTTACAACTGTAGTGAGGCTGTCACGGTTGTCATTTGTAGCAGGGGTCCCCAACCGTGGCAACTTTAAGACTTGGGGACTTCAACTCCCAGAATTCCCCAGCCAGCCCTCTCTCTCTCTCTCTCTCTCTCTCTCTCTCTCTCTCTCTCTCTCTCTCTCTCTCTCTCTCTCTCTCTCTCTCTCGTAATTCTCCTACGACATAGACGTGAGAAACAGCCCACCTCAGTCGGTGCCGACGGGACTGATGGGGATGCCGGAGCAAGCACAGCAGCAGCAGCAGCAGAAGAAGAGGTGAGCTCCAGGGTGAACGTTGCTGGTTTTCTTCCCTTTGGTAGGCCAACTTGTGCCCTTGACCCAACAGGCCCTCCTAGGAAGTAGCCATCAGTAGGTAAGGCCTGGGAAAATTCAAAGCAAGATTCAGCCTGGTCTTCCCCAGAAAGGAGGCAGGGGAGCTGTAGACTGTGCTTGAAAGCTGATGCTTAAATGGAGCAGGATCCAGGAGGAAAAAAAAAAAAATAGCAAATGAAACTGACCGGACCTCTGTCGGTTTCACACCAAAGTTTTTTTCTTGTCCCAAATGTGCACATTGGCTGGAAAAGAGATTATTATTGCCGTATCTGCAGATGCTGGCTTGCGATCTGGAGCAATTGCTAAATCAGGACCGCCTTAGTTTGAGGTTGGGTCTCCCCTTGATCTACTTCCAGCTTTTGCTTAAGCATTCTTGTCTTCAAGTGCTTTGAAAAATAAGTTGAGCTCTCTCTGTGATGGGGGAGCCCTTCAGATATTGGAATATTGCTACTTTACATCCTCCTTTTTCAGGCAAAAGCCTGAAGTTCAAACTAAGCAGGGGAAAAAAACTGGTTAAAAGGAACAGAAAATAAAGTGCAACACCCCCCCCCCTTTTTTTCCCCCTACCAAGGCAAAATAAGATTTACATTAACTGTCTCTATGTGAGTTGTAAACGGTTGGCAGATATGGAATATGGTGGGTTCCCAAAACCTGTCTGGTCAGCTTTCATCCCATCCAGCCCAGCACAGAGGCACTTTCTGGCCCAAACAGCTAGGGAGATTGTCCATCAATCCAGGTCCTGGTTGTCCCAAAGGTGCTTTTTCATATGAGGCCACTGGACTTCCTTGTTTTTCCTTGAAGACGTTTCGCTTCTCACCCCAGAAGCTTTTTCAGCTCTGACTGGGTGGATCCTTCCGTTCCCCACCACCCACTCAGAACCTGAAGAAGCTTCTGGGATGAGAAGCGAAACGTCTTTCTTCAAAGAAAAACAAGGAAGTCCAGTGACCTCCTGAAAAAGCTCCTTTGGGACAACACCTGTCTTGGTTTCTTCTCTGAGGGAGGATTGTCCGTTTCCCTCTGCAGTTCCTCTCGTTGGATGACATCCAGCAGGCCAGCAAAACCAACATGGACCTGAGGGACGACCAGCAACAGCACGTTAGTGGATCCATGGCTCTCTCTTGTTAGCTTCTGGCCAGGGTGGGCTGCCTAAGTAAGCCTGGAACAGCTTTGTCTGCTCCCAGGACCACACACACACACACACACACACACACACACACACACACACACACACACACACACACCTTTGCAGGTTTACAGATAATCCTTGGCTTACAACAGTTTAGTGATTGAATGAATGGAGTGGAGTGGAGTGGAGTAGAGTACAGTAGAGTAGAATAGAAGAATGGATGGAATAGAAATAGAATAGAATAGAATATATGGAATAGAATAGAATAGAATAGAAAATGAATGGAATAGAATAGAAAAGAAAATATGGAATGGAATAGAATAGAATAGAAGAATGAATGGAATAGAATAGAATAGAATAGAATAGAAAATATGGAATGGAATAGAAAAGAAAATATGGAATGGAATAGAATAGAAGAATGAATGGAATAGAATAGAATAGAATAGAATAGAATCAGAGTTGAAAGGGACCTTGGAGGTCTTCTAGCCCAGCCCTGTCCGTCATCCCTCCTGCCCCCCCAGCCAGGGCTTAGAGCAGACAAGTCTTCCCAACTCCAATCCTTGATTCCCTCCCCCAGGACCCTTCCCAACACACCCCCTTCCCTTCCCCACCTGTAGTTTCTCTGCTGCCTCCGCAGACGGTCCCCGTTGTGCCCTTGACCCCGATGGCACTGGTTCCCCCCGAAGACTCGGACAAGAAGGACAACCCCCTCTTCAGGTGAGAGACCCCCACCCCCCCTCCTCCAGCCCTGGGGTGGGAAGAGCGGCCTCCCCCAGCAACCTCCAGCTGATCTCGGCTTTTTTCCCTGCAGCCGGAAGGGGGAACTCCTGGCCAGCCGGAAGGACTTCCGCATGAACACCTGCACCCCACAGAACAACGGGCTCTTCAGGCTGGACCTGGCGGGGCGCTCCCCCACCCGGTGCCCAGCAGGTAGGAGCGGCGATTGGGGCCGGGCTGACCCAACCGGTACAGCCGGGGTCACCCCCTGTTCTTCCCAAAAGGGCCCCCCCTCCTTTGAAAGTTTAATTCATCCTTTTAACTGGATCCTTTTCCACTTCTTTCGATTTTTTTTTTATTATTTTAATTTTTTGTTGTTTGAGCTCAGTTCAGTTCTAATTTTGTTTTCTTTCGCTTTAATTTTATATTTTAATTATTCACTTTATTTTATTTCACTTTTATTTCAGTCTTTTAATTATTCACTTTATTTTATTTTGCTTTAATTTTATTTTTATCTTTTAATGATTCCCGGTTAAATTGTGTGCGTTTTTAATTTAACTTTGCCTTATTTGGATTCATTTTAAATTTTACCTTTGTTTCGTTTTTAACGTTATTTTTTTTTTTGTTGCTTCGTTTCGTTTGGTTTAGTTTAATTTTTAATTTTACTCAACCTTGGCTTGATTTTTATTTCATTGTTTTATTTTCATTTTCTAATTTTGTATCCTGTTCAATTTCATTCATTTTACCTTTAATTTTATTTAATTTTGATTCTTCTCATTTTATTATTGTTATTTATACATTTATCTTTGTTCATGGATTTAGTTTTATTTTTAATTTTATTTCCAGTTCTGTTTTCCTTTTGATTTTGTTTTATTATTTTCTCTCTTTTTTTTGTTATTTATTTTAAGCCCGTTTTTGGTTAGGAATCCATTAGAAAAGCAGCAAACGCAGCTCCTAGCCCTGTGTTTTGTTTCCTAGAGAGGCTGGGAAGGCCCCTACAATGCATTTGCCTCTGCAAAAGATTTGCCACCCATAGAGGAAAATTGCCTTTATGCCGGTGACCAAGGACGCTTCTGCAAATTGGTTCCCTCCATTATTGTGTGTCCTTTGCGACTCCTGTCCTAGTGCGATGGAGGCTTTGCCATTCTGCACAAGATTTCTGGCAGGGCTTTTGGGACCTTCCCTCTTCGCTGGGTGCCACCTAGAACTGCTCAATTGGGAGTGGAGTTGTGGTAGGTGCGCTCACACACACACTCTTTTTTGCTTCTGTGCAGGAACTCGGAGCCTGGCTCCAACAGCGGGCTCCATGCCCATGGAGGTCAGCGCCTGCGAGACCCCCGTCCTTGCTCTGGACTTCTCTGGAGAAGGAAGCGAGTCGCAGAGACCCAGTGAGTTGACGGGTGGGAGGAAAACAAATGTTCTAGAACATTAGGAGAGGCGCCAAGACAAAATCCCAGCTGGAGGATGGGAGGCCGGCTCAAGTTATGCGGCGAAGCTCACGGCCTTGAAAGCCTTTTGTACGCGCTCTTTCGTTCCGCAGGCAGCTTATGAGAATTTGGTGCCAGCTGGGGGTTCTGTAGGTTGATGCCCTGGATAAATTCCGTTTAACTGATAGAAGAGGATCTTTAAAGCTCAGCTGCTGAATTGCGGGGCTTGGTCTCGGCTGGGTGGTTGTCTTGCAGACGTTTCGTGACCCAACTAGGGAATATCATCAGTGCTAGAAGGGAGGGGTGTTGCAGAGGAGGAGGAGGAAGGGGGGAAATGGGAGGTGGAGCAGAAGGAGGAGGTGGGGAAAAGGACTACAGGGTGCTGGGTGCTCTCTGAGGTTGGTGGTTTTCTTGCAGACGTTTCATGACCCAACTAGGGAACACCATCAGTGCTAGAAGAGGGTGGGAAGGAGAAGGGAAGGAAGGAAGGAAGGAAGGAAGGAAGGAAGGAAGGAAGGAAGGAAGGAAGGAAGGAAGGAAGGAAGGGAACTGTGGGGTCCTTGGTGCTCTCTGAGCTGGGTGGTTTTCTTGCAGACGTTTCATGACCCAACTAGGGAACATCATCAGTGCTAGAAGGGAGGGTGGTTGGAGAGGAGGAGGAGGAAGGGGGGATGGGAGGAGGAGGAGGAGGCGAGGACTGTAGGGGCCTTGATACTCTCTGAGCCTGGTGGTTTTCTTGCAGACGTTTCATGACCCAACTAGGGAACACCATCAGTGTTAGAAGGGAGGAGGAAGGGGGAGCGGGAGGAGGAAGACTCTGGGGTCCCTGATGCTTTCTGAACTTGGTGGTTTCCTTGCAGACCTTTCATGACCCAACTAGGGAACATCATCCATGCTAGAAGGGTATATAAACAGACGGCAAACACCCATCCCGCTCTCTCCTAGGCGGGCCGTGCCTGACACGCTTCCTCAAATTACAATTCTCTCCTGGACTCAGCTTTCTCTTATCGGACATCTGCATTTTCCTCCTCTCCCCCGTGGCCCTTCTTTCCGCCCGGGGTCCCAGAGAGAGGCTGGCCGTCCCAGGGAGCCACCTGAGCTCTGCAGGGCTGAACCCGTTCTTTCTCTCTCTTTCCTCCCCGGTGTCCCCCCACCCACCCAGCGGGAGCAGCGAGCCCTGCGGGGGACCACGAGGACGGCTGCGACCCCTTCCTGGCAGACATCCCTGAAGAGGACGGTCAGGAGGCCTCCCTGGCGGGAGCAGAGGAGCACGTCGCCCATCAGATGGTATAGAGCAGTGGTTCTCAACCTTTTTAATGCCGCGACCCCCCCCCAAACCGGTCGTAAGTTGAGGACTACTCAACCGGTCGTAAGTCGAGGACTACTCAACTGGTGCAGCACCGTTTGCAGAATGGGACTTTTGGCGGGCTCAGCAGGGCAGAGACAGCCTGGACAATTCCTATTGGCTTTTGAAAGCCAATAGAATTAGACTCTATTCAAGGGAGTCTATTCTACGGGTTTTCAAAAGCCAACAGAATAAAAGGGAGGAGCACAGCTAAGGAAAAGGGGGAAAAAATGGCGGACTGCGTTGTTTGGCGACCCCCGTGAAATGGTCGTTCGACCCCAAATGGGGTCCCGACCCACAGGTTGAGAACCACTGGTATAGATGGCAGGCAGGGGGGGGGGTCATTTTTGGAATTGGGTAGGATCCGGAGACTGGACGCCCGTTTCTCTCTCTCCTAGAGCGCCCCCCGGAACAGAGGGTACATGTTGCGGGAGAGACCCCCTGCCCCGGACGCAAATCCCCGCCTCAAGGTAAGGGGCGTGCCCCACTTTGCAGCCTTTCTTGCCACGGTGGTTAAGAGGAGGGCTGCAGTTGTTAAGTGAGACACCCGGTCATGAAGCAGACCCCGCTTCCCCGTGGACTTTGCTCGGGAGGGGGGTCGCGAAAGGGGGCCGTGCGGCCCCTGGGGACGCTGCCGACCTTCATAAATAGGTGTCAGCTTCCAAGCGTCTTGAATTTCGCCCCCTTGACCCCGGGGGGGGGGGCGGCTGCAGCAGTTGTGAGTATGAAAAACGGTCGTAAATCACCTTTTCGGCGGCCTTGTAACTCTGCAACGGTCACTAAACGGGTGGTGGTCAGTTGAGGACCACCTGCAGTGGAGACCTTTGGCCTGGTGGTTTGTAACGAAAGGCCCCGAAGTTTAGTGGTCCCCCTCAGCTCTAGAGAAGCTTCTGGACGTGAGGCCGTGCCAGGCCGAACCCCGTCTTTGCCTGATCTGGATCGGGCTCCTTTGGTGGTGCTGAGGCCCAGTTCTTGAACACACACACACACACAAACACACCTAGGCAGCCCTTACCAGTTGTCCTCCCTCTCTTCCAGGACACGGGACACCCCTGGCGCGGCCTTGACCCCTTCAGCTCCTCGGAGGACAAGCCCTTGAAGAAAGGTGCGGATCCCCCCCCCAGGCCCGTCGGTGGGATTCGAACCCGCCACCCTTCAGCCCAGATGCGCCTCTCTGGGAGACCGGGGTTGTCCTGCGGGAGCGGTCAAAAAGTCAAGTGGAACCCCGTCACGGCTCCGACTGTTTTTGACCGCGCTCTGCGGACACCCTGGCCTGGACCGCCGCTCCCGTGCCCGAGGAAAGTGAATGGGAGTTGTAGTCCAAGGTGGCAGGGCAGGCTGGGTTCTAAGGGAGTGGGAGGAGCTTCCAGCCCTGCCCGCCTCTTTTCACGATCTTCTGGAGGTCCTGGCTCGTTAGCGGCGACCCCGACGGGCAGCCCTTCTGGACCTCGGGAGCGATCCAAGCCCTAAGAGAGGTGGGCTGACCTTCCTGGGGGTCAGGGGGTCTCACCCACCCACCCACCCTCTCCCCTCTCTGGCTTCAGGAAGACCCTTCAGCGTGCCCCGCGGCCTGGAAGATTTCCCCGGGGTCAAGCGCAAGAGGCGGCCGTCCAGCAAGCTGCAGGATTTCGTCTCGTGGTTTGCGTCCTCAGGTGAGTGTCCTGCGGCTTGGGTGGGTGTCACCCACTCACCTGGACCCACCTGGGGGGGAGGGTTCTGTCGCTTGGGTGGGTGTCACCCACTCACCTGGACCCACCTGGGGGGGAGGGTTCTGTCGCTTGGGTGGGTATCACCCACTCACCTAGGGGGGGGGGGTTCTGTCGCTTGGGTGGGTATCACCCACTCACCTAGGGGGGGGGGTTCTGTCGCTTGGGTGGGCATCACCCACTCACCTGGACCCACCTGTTGGGGGAGGGTTCTGTCGCTTGGGTGGGTATCACCCACTCACCTTGGGGGGGGTTCTGTCGCTTGGGTGGGCATCACCCACTCACCTGGACCCACCTGGGGGGAGGGTTCTGCGGCTTGGGTGGCCATCATCCACTCACCTTGACCCACCTGGGGGGGGAGGGCCCACGACATCTGTCAGGTCACCCACCAGCTCAAAAATCACGGGGAGTTTTGGAAGAAACGTCCAGGTTTTTTGACAAAACTGTCATAAGCGTCAAGTCGGGATGGCGGGACACTTCATACGCCCCTAAGCGTGGCTGGGTTGCTGAGCCTTTAAGTGCGGTCACCTGGCCCCGGGGGGGAGGGGGACCCTCTGAACTTCAGAACCAGGTGGTAGCTCACCCCCCCCCCCCATTTGCACGTAGGTCTCACCTTTGACTGGTCGTTAACAATTGGTTATAAGTCAGAAATGGTTAGCAGAGATTTGAAGATTAGTGTAAGGCAGGGGTCTTCCAACTTGGCTCTTTTATGACTTGTGGACTTCGACTCCCAGAATTCCAACCACGTGCCTGGCTGAGGAATTCTGGGAGTTGAAGTCCACAAGTCATAAAAGAGCCAAGTTGGAAGACCCCTGATGTAAGGCTTAGCTCAACCTGTTGACTGCTCTTTCTTCTCTTTTCCTAGGCGCACGCACAGGCACACATATATACATATAATATACTGTATATAACATATAACAATAAGTTGGAAGGGACCTTGGAGATCATCTAGTCCAACCCCCTGCTCAGGCAGGAAACCCTATACTATTTCAGACAAAGGGCTGTCCAGTTTCTCCTTTAAAACCTCCAGTGTTGGGGCATTCACCGCTTCTGGAGGCAGGTTGTTCCACTGGGTAATTGTTTTGTCAGAAAATTTATTGAAGAATAGAATAGAATAGAGTAAGAATAGAATAAGAAGAGAAGAGAAGAGAAGCAGAATGGAATGGCATGGCATAGAATAGAATAGAATAGAATAGAATAGAATAGAATAGAATAGAATAGAATATATGGAATGGAATTGGAAATGGAATAGAATAGAATAAACAGTAAATTCTGCCCTTTTAATATATATTATACTATACTTATATTTGTATTCTATTCTATTAGGACAGGAGATCATACTGTTTTTTTGGGTTTTTTTTTTTTTCAGAGTCCAGCTGGGGTGGATTCTATATATTCAATGTTAAATTTATTTTGCGTTTTGATCGCTTTTTTCTCTCTTCTTTTTTTTCCTTTTTGTTGTTGTTAGCGCCGGACCTGTCTCTCCGTTTTTTGTTTTGCTTTTCTGTTTTGCATTTTCCCTTTTTATGATCAAACAAAACCAAGAGGCAGGGAAGGGGCTTCTCGTGGGGTCCGAGCCCCTCCCTGCCCCCCGTCTCATTTTGCACCCCTTCTGCTTCTGACCTCAGGGCCCCAGCTTCCGTTCTGTGCCGGGGGGGGGTGCGGGAGGGAGGAGACCAGAGGGCTGCTGTGCCCCCAAAGCCTCTCCTATCTCCTCCTCCTCAGAGACCCGCTTGCTTTCCAGAGCCCAACCAAGCCGGCTGCCAGAGACGCTGCAGGAAAGGCTCCACGTTTGCTGGTAGGGAAAGGGGATCCCCGGCTGGGGGGCTGGCTCTGTCTGGGGCTGGGGCAGCACGGGGGGGGGAGGCCCCTGGTTCCTGCAAGACTTGCCCAGAAGCAGAAGCAGTGGGGCGTGGAGGGCCGGGCAGAGGTAGCCGGGGCCCCGGAGAGGCCTAGTCCTTAGGGGCCCCCAATGCTGGAGTCACTGGGGCCTAGAGGACACTCCTGCTGCCGTGTGAACCTCCTTAGCTTTCTATTGATTTGCCTCCTGCCTTTAATTATTTTTATAAATCACTCAAAGTGGCAAACATCCCACACATCTTCCTATTTGCCCCACCACAACAACCCTGTGAGGTGGACTGGGCTGAAAGAGAGGGACTGGCCCAATGCCACCCAGTTGGTTTTCACGCCTAAGGCAGGACTAGAACTCGCCGTCTCCTGGGGATTGGCCCAAAGTCACTCAGCCATCATTCATGGCTAAGACGGGACTAGAATTCACCGTCTCCGGGTGATTGACCCAAAGTCACTCAGCCACCATTCATGGCCAAGATGGGACTAGAACTCACCGTCTGCTGGGGATTGGCCCAAAGTCATTCAGCCACCATTCATGGCCAAGACAGGACTAGAACTCACCATCTCCGGGTGATTGACCCAAAGTCATTCAGCCACCATTCATGGCCAACACAGGACTAGAACTCACCATCTCCTGGGGATTGGCCCAAAGTCACCCAGCCACCATTCATGGCTAAGACGGGACTAGAACTCACCGTCTCCTGGGGATTGGTCCAAAGTCACCCAGCCACCATTCATGGCTAAGACGGGACTAGAACTCACCATATCCGGGTGATTGACCCAAAGTCACTCAGCCACCATTCATAGCTAAAGTGGGACTAGAACTCACCGTCTCCTGGTGATTGACCCAAAGTCACTCAGCCACCGTTCATGGCCAAGATGGGACTAGAACTCCCCGTCTCCTGGGGATTGACCCAAAGTCATTCAGCCACCATTCATGGCTAAAGCGGGACTAGAACTCAACGTCTCCGGGTGATTGGCCCAAAGTCACTCAGCCACCATTCATAGCTAAGACGGGACTAGAACTCAACGTCTCCTGGTTTCTGACCTGTGCTTTACCCAGTAGATTCAAGGTTTGAATATTTAACTCTGATTCTACTTTTTATTTGTTTCTAATCCATGCTTTGAGTCGCACCCCCTTGCAGGGTCTTATTAGGATGTTCTAAGCCACAAGAAGGCCCCTGGGGCAGATGGGCGGTGTGGAAAATTTAACGGCTCAACGCTGGGCTACTTTCGTTTCTGAGCAGACCTCGAGGTCCTGTACTGGCGGAACGTGAAGGAGCGCCTGGTGGCCCAGAGGAAGCTGCAGAAGAGGGCGGTGAGTCAGGCGGGCAGAGCGGCCCACGGCCGGCCGGGCTGGCGTCCTCACCCGTCCCAAAGGGAGGGCTGGCCGATGCAGCGGAGGGGAAGCGAGAGCCACAGAGATGAATGCGCGGAGGAGGAGCTGGGGGTTCTTCCTCTGGCTGGGTCTGAAAAATGACGGTGCTCTTAGTCTAGCTGGGTCAGGAAAGGTCTGCCGGGAAACCAAGTTCAGAGAGCGCCGAGGACTCCATAGCGAACAAATGAATGAACGAACGAACGAATGACTCCCTTCTCCGACACTGGCAGAGCAAGCTGCTGTATGTAAGCAGACATCCAACCCCACGGCATTCTAGCACTCAGGATGCCCCCTATTTGGGTCTGCAAGAAAATCACCCAGCTCAGGGAGCACCAGGGACCCTATAGTCCTCCTCCTCCTCCCTTCCAGCGCTGATGATGTTCCCTAGTTGGGTCATGCAACGTCTGCAAGAAAACAACCAAGTTCGGAGAGCACCAAGGACCCCATAATCCTCCTCCTCCTTGCAAACCCCCCTCCCTTCTACCACTGATGATGTTCCTTAGTTGGGTCACGAAACGTCTGCAAGAAAGCCACCCAGCTCAGAAAGAATCAAGGACTCCACAGTCCTTCCTTCCTTCCTTCTTCTCCTTCTCCTTCTCCTTCTTCTTTCCACTCTCTTCTAGCACTGATGGTGTTCCATAATTGGGTCATGAAACATCTGCAAGAAAACCACCCAGCTTAGAGAGCACCAGGGACCCCACAATCTTCCTTCCTTCCTTCCTTCCTTCCTTCCTTCCTTTCTTCCTCTCTCTTCTCCTTTCTATTCCCTTCTAGCACTGATGGTGTTCCATAGTTGGGTCATGGAACGTCCGCAAGGAAACCACCCAGCTCAGAGAGCACCAGGGACCCCACAGTTCCTTCCTTCCTTCCTTCCTTCCTTCCTTCCTTCCTTCCTTCCTTCCTTCCTTCCTTCCTTCCTTCCTTCCTCTCTCTTCTCCTTTCTACTCCCTTCTAGCACTGATGGTGTTCCATAGTTGGGTCATGGAACGTCCGCAAGGAAACCACCCAGCTCAGAGAGCACCAGGGACACCCACAGTTCAACCCTGAGCTACAAAATCATCTATTGATTCCTTGTATGACTGACACGATGCTAAAATGGCCACTTGGCTGTGGTCTGGGAATCATTTTTCATAGATAAATGGGAGGGGTGGGGGGCGGGAAAGGAGCCTGATCTAAGATCAAAGCAAGATCAGGCTGGCCTTTTTTTTCCCATTCCCCTTGAACCAGGTTCCGCAACTGGAGTGGCCGTGCGGAGACCCTGGTGCTGTGGATGATTACCGGGAAGAGGAGGAGGACTTTGACGATGCGGCCGATGATGGGCCAGGTAAGTCTTCCACGTTGTCTGGGGGCTGGGCCAGGGGATGGCCCTCTCGGCTGGGGGGGGTGTGTGTAAGACCCTCCCCCCACATCACCTCCAATCTCTCAACCTGCTCTAAGAGACCCTTTGTCAAGTTAGGACTTCCCCCCCCCCTTACTACCTGTCTTCATTCATTCATTAATTTTTGCTCCAGAAGATGTCTTAGAGCAGAGGTTCTCCACCTGTGGGTCAGGACCCCATTTGGGGTCGAACGACCATTTCACGGGGGTCGCCAAACAATGCAGTCCGCCATTTTCTTCCCCCTTTTCCTTAGCTGTGCTACTCCCTTTTCTTCTATTGGCTTTTGAAAGCCAATAGAATAGACTCTCTTGAATAGAGTCTAATTCTATTGGCTTTCAAAAGCCAATAGGAATTGTCCAGGCTGTCTCTGCCCTGCTGAGCCCACCGAAAGTCCCATTCTGCAAACGGTGCTGCACCAGTTGAGTAGTGCTTGACTTAACGACCGGTTGGGGGTCGCGGCATTAAAAAGGTTGAGAACCACTGCCTTAGAGCTTATTTTCTGGCTAGGGCTTATATTTGGGGAAATACAGCAGTAAGTATGTCTGTCTGTCTGTCTGGCTAATGATCTTATCAGAGGCTTATTTTTGGGATGGGGCTTATATTACATGCTACGGCAGGGGTGGGAAACCTGGGCTCTTTTATGACTGGTGGACCTCAACTCCCAGAATTCCTGAGAGTTGAAGTCCACGAGTCATCAAGGGAGCCATAGTTCCCCCGTGCTGGCTCAGGAATTCTGGGAGTTGAAGTCCACGAGTCATGAGGGGGCCATAGTTCCCCCATGCTGGCTCAGGAATTCTGGGAGTTGAAGTCCAGGAGTCATAAAAGAGCCATGGTTCCCCACCTCCGTGCTAGGACTTATTTTCCGGCTGGGTCTTCTTATCGGGGAAATACGGTACCTCAACTCGCCTCCATTTCTTTCGTGATGGTTGGAGCAGGATTCGTGCTCAAGCCCTAAATTCCCAGGGGACCTAAGGCAGTGTCCCATCAAACTTTTTATTTTATTTTATTGTATGCTTGAGGGTGATATTGCGTCTTCTCCTTTCCCAGGGGAGTTTCTGGCCGAGGAGGAGATCCCCCCCTTGGAACCCTCTGAAGGGATGCTGGGCGGCGCGGCAGGTAACGGCCGGGCGAACCGGCCCCTTCCTGTCCCCGGGGCTCTGAGCAGGCTGAGGAGGGGGCTGGGGCCACGAGGCCAGCTGGGGTCCTCAGCTGTGGAAAGGCCAAAGGAATGGAGCCCCCGACACCCTCAATGTCAATCACGAAGGTGCCGACTCATTGGCAGGCGAGGGGTGGCTATCCATGGGCTGTTTTCAGCCCATCTTTCCCACTGTCCGTCCATCCATTACCCACCCACCATCTACCATCCATCTGACCATCCATTCATCCACCCTTCCATCCATCCATCTGACCATCCGTCCACCTTTCCATCCATTCGACCATCCATCCACCCTTCCCTCTATCCATCCAACCATCCATTCATCCACCCATCCATCCACCCACCCTTCCGACCATCCATTCATACAGCATTCCATCCACCTTTCCAACCATCCATTCATCCACCCTTCCATCCATCCATCCATCCATCTGACTATCCGACCACCCATCCATCCACCCTTCCATCCATCCACCTTTCCATCTGACCATCCACCTTTCCATCCATCCATCCGACCACCCATCCATCCATCCTTCCATCTGACCATCCATTCATCCACCCTTCCATCTATCTATTCATCTGACCTTCCATTCATCCACCCATTCATCCATCCGACCATCCATTCATCCACCCATCCATCTGACCACCCATCCTTCCATCCATCCATCCATCCGACCATTCATCCATCCACCCACCCATCCATCCATCCGACCATCCATCCATCCATCTGACCATCCACCTTTCCATCCATCCATCCGACCACCCATCCATCTGACCATCCGACCATCCATTCATCCACCCTTCCATCCATCCACCTTTCCATCTGACCATCCATTCATCCACCCTTCCATCTATCTATTCATCTGACCATCCATTCATCCATCCATGTGGCCATTCATCCATCCATCCATCCATCCAACCATTCATCCATCCACCCACCCATCCATCCATCCATCCATCCGATCATCCATCCATCTGACCATCCACCTTTCCATCCATCCATCCGACCACCCATCCATCTGACCATCCGACCATCCATTCATCCACCCTTCCATCCATCCACCTTTCCATCTGACCATCCATTCATCCACCCTTCCATCTATCTATTCATCTGACCATCCATTCATCCATCCATGTGGCCATTCATCCATCCATCCATCCATCCAACCATTCATCCATCCACCCACCCATCCATCCATCCATCCATCCGATCATCCATCCATCTGACCATCCACCTTTCCATCCATCCATCCGACCACCCATCCATCTGACCATCCGACCATCCATTCATCCACCCTTCCATCCATCCACCTTTCCATCTGACCATCCATTCATCCACCCCTCCATCTATCTATTCATCTGACCATCCATTCATCCATCCATGTGGCCATTCATCCATCCATCCATCCGACCATTCATCCATCCACCCACCCATCCATCCATCCATCCATCCATCCATCTGACCATCCACCTTTCCATCCATCCATCCGACCACCCATCCATCTGACCATCCATTCATCCACCCTTCCATCCATCCACCTTTCCATCTGACCATCCATTCATCCACCCTTCCATCTATCTATTCATCTGACCTTCCATTCATCCATCCGACCATCCATTCATCCATCCATCCATCTGACCACCCATCCTTCCATCCTCTGGGGTGGGAAAAGAAATCACAGCCGCAGAAATGCCTCGTGAGAAAGTGGGAGGGGTCCCTCAAATTTCTCAATTCCCTTTCAGGCCCTGGCGAAGTCCCCTCTTCCCTTAGCTACGAGGAGCTGTTCAGCAGAAACGTGGTACGTGTCCTGCACCCCCTCCAGAGGAGAAGCCACTTAGACGTTGAATGGAGTCTCCTCCTCGGGGGTGGCCCCTCCTTTACGGAACCTCATTCTTCCCCGAGGGACGGTTGCCCCCCCCCCCGCGTTGCTTTTCTAAAAGGCTCCGGGTCAGCCGAGCCGGTTCCTTCCCTTCCCCGCGAGAGACCCTCTCTTTTCCCCTGCTGCTTCCAGGAGCTCTTCATGGCCCACTCCCAGAAGTACACCCGGGAGACGGCGCTGTCCCAGCGGGTCCGCGACTGGGAGGAGATGATGGGCCCGCAGCTGGAGGAACAGGTGAGATTAGGGACAGGGAAGAGCCCCCCCAGGGGCAGGGGACAGAGAGCCCCGGTGGCCCAGTGGTTAGAATGCAGCATTGCAGGCTGACTCACTGCTCACTGCCAGCAGTGCGATCCTGACTGGCTCAAGGTTGACTCAGCTTTCCGTCCTTCCCAGGTCAGTAAAATGAGGACCTAGATTGTTGGGGGCAAAAGGCTGACTCTGTAAACTGCTTAGAGAGGGCTGTAAAGCACTGTGACGAGGTATATAAGTCTAAGGCAGTGTTTCTCAACCTTGACCATTTTAAGGCATGTGGACTTCAACTCCCAGAATTCCACAGCCAGCATTACTGGCTGTGGAATTCTGGGAGTTGAAGTCCACATGCCTTAAAATGGTCAAGGTTGAGAAACACTGGTCTAAGGGCTATTGCTAAGTTGGAAGGAAAGAAGGAAGGAAGGACCCTGGTGACACAGTGGTTCAAATGCAGCATTGCAGGCTGACTCACTGCCCATTGCCAGCAGTTCGGTCCTGACCGCTCAAACAGTAAATGCTCCAACACTGGAAGTTTTTAAGAAGAGACTGGACAGCCATTTGTCTGAAATGGTGTAGGGCACAGGTCGGCAACCTGCGGCTCCGGAGCCGCATGCGGCTCTTTGAGCCTTCCCCTGTGGCTCCCAGCCTCCTCTGCCTTTGCAGAGAGAGACAGAGACAGAGAGAGGCAATTGCACTTCCCTGCTTCTCTCTCTCTCTCTCTCTCTCTCTGTGTGTGTGTGTGTGTGTGTGTAAAAGAGAGTGCACTCACAGCGATCTCCGAGGAGCTGAAAAGCTTATTGGGTGGGGCTCTTCCCTTTGCTGCGTCTCTGAAGGAAGCAGGAAGGGCAGGAGAGAGCTAGCTAGCCCAGCTAGGCTGACTCAGGAATTCTGGGAGTTGAAGTCCATGAGTCATAAAAGAGACAAGGTTGCCTACCCTGGAGGTTGTTGGACAACAGCTTGAAGCTTGCCAGGTGAGCAGCAGATAGGGGGGGGGGGGAGAAAGAGAGAGAGAGAAATAGAGAGAGGGGGGGAGAGAGAGAGAGTGGGGGAAGAGGAGTGGCAGACCAAGGGCAGATAGAGAGGGAGGGAGAGAGAGACCCTTTTGACATCTAAAATGAAGATAACACTGCATATATCCTTTTTTTACCTCTGTGTGTATGTAATTTTATTCTCTTAAAGCATTCTCTTGGTGATCATTGTTTTAATAGTATGGATATTCCCAAGAGTCATATTTTTACTTTTATTTTTAGTGTGTGTGTATACACATATACACATACACACACACACACACACACACACACACCCCTATAATAAAGATAAAAAAGGATATATGCAGTGTTATCTTCATTTTAGATATCAAAAGGGTTTTGCGGCTCCCAGTGTTTTGTTTTTGGTGGGAAATGGGTCCAAGTGGCTCTTTGAGTGTTTTGGGTTGCCTACCCCTGGTGTAGGGTTTCCTGCCTGTGCAGGGGATTGGACTAGATGACCTCCAGGGTCCCTTCCAACTTTACCACTATTACAAGGTTGACTCAGCCTTCCGTCCTTCCGAGGTCGGTAAATTGAGGACCCAGATTGTTGGGGGGCAACAGGCTGACTCTGCAAACCGCTTAGAGAGGGCCAGCAGGCACGGTGAAGCGGGATATAAGCCTACGTGCTCTTGCGATGTGGTCTTCAGCGCCCAACTGTCCCCCTCCTTCAACAGGAATCCCGCAGCGCCTTCGACATCCACAGCTACGGAGACCAGCTGGTGTCCCGGTTCAGCCGCGTGGGCGAGTGGTGCTCGTTCGCTAGCCTGCTGGCAGGGCAGCCGGCCTTTGAGGTCTGCCGCGCCATGCTGGCCTCCCTGCAACTGGTGAGGATGTCTGCAGCCTGGGGGGGGGGGAGGCTGGGAGGCAGGAGGGCCAGGCCGTTGCCCCACAGGGAGAGACCAGGAGCAGCGGGCTAAAACTGCAAGGAACTTCGCGACTGGGCGACCCAGCAGCCGGTGGGACACGGAGGGGAAGGTTTTTGCACATGGGTGTAACTTTAAGGCTTGTAGACTTCAACTCCCAGAGTTCAATTCTCATTCAGGGGAATTCTGGGAGTTGAAGTCCACAAGTCTTACAGTTGCCAGGTTTGGAGAGCCCTGCCCACAGGCAGCGTTTTGCAATCTGGGCAGCTGGCTGGCTGGAGGAGTCTGGGACTTAAAAAAGTCCACTTCTCTGAGTTGCCAAAGCTAAGCAGCCCAGCTTCAGGAGATCCTCCCCGGGTAGAGGGTGAGTCTAGTTGATCTCTAAGGTTGTTCCAACTCTGGGATTCTAGAGTTTTCTTTGCAAAATTGGATCCTACCCATAGAAGTGAATATTTGTAGCTTGGGGTTGGACTCGGGGGTCCTTGGTGCTCCCTCCGCTTGGCTGTTTTCTTGCAGACATTTCATGACCCAACTAGGGAACATCATCAGTGCTAGGAGGGAGAGGAGGAGGAAAAGGATTGTGGGGTCCTTGGTGCCCTCTTGAGCTCGGTGGTTTTCTTGCAGACGTTTCAAGACCCTACTAGGTTACGTCAGTGCAGAATGGAGGAGGAGGAGAAGTGGAAACAGAAGGGGAGAGAGGAGGAGGAAGACTGTGGGGTCCTTGGTGCTCTCTGAGCTTGGTCACTTTTCTTGTAGACGTTTCATGACCCAACTAGGGAACACTATCAGTGCTAGAAGGGGGAGGAGGGGAAACAGAAGGAAAGAGGGAAGGAGGAGGAAAATGGGGGTCCCTGATGCTCTTTGAGCTTGGTTGCTTTTCTTGTAGACTGGGGTCCCCAACCCCTGGTCCATGGACCAGCATCATGACGCTGCATGCCAGCAACTGGGCCGTACAGACAACCAAAGCCTCATCCGCAGGATGCAGGCACTACGCGAAACTAGTCCACAGGAAAAAAACCTCTCTCCACGGAACTGGTCCCTGGTGCTCAAAAGGCTGGGGACCTCTGTTGTAGACGTTTCATGACCCAGCCAGGTAACTTCCTCAGGTCTAGAAGAATTGAACTGGAAGGCTTCCAAGACTGATGACGTAGCCTAGCTGGGTCATGAAACGTCTGCAAGAAGACCGCCAAGGACTCCACCCACCGGGATCTTTCCACCCCTGAAACCTTTTTTTTTTAAAATACTCCTTTTTTTTACAGCAATTACGTAACGGTAATCTAATATTTACATTTCCCCCTTATTCTTCTTTAAATATTTGTCTTTATAGCCCCATTATTTCTTATTTACATTTTTCTTCCTTCGTGTTCTACTTCTTACTAAGAATAATTCTTATTATTATTGTTATACATTATACACATATTTTCACTTTTGACCTTTCCATATTTATTCTCCTCTATTATTTCTAGTCTCCAACCAGACATACACCTTGTTCCATACTATATAATACTCTGTGTCTTCCTTTTCTTTTATCTCTTTTGTTAATTTGTCCATCTCAGCACAGTCCAGGATTTTTCTTATCACTTCTTCCTCTGATGGTATATTCTCATTTTTCCAGCACTGTGCATATGCTATTCTTGCCGCCGTTATTATATGTAAAATTAAGTACCATGTTTCTTTACTATATTTTCTATTTAAAATACCCAACAAAAAGATCTCTGGTTTCCAGTCAACAGGTTGGTCTATTATTTCTTGGATCCATTTTCTTATTGTAAACCAGTATTTTCCAGCCCTGAAATCTTTTTGTGTCCCTCCAGGCCAACGACTACACCGTGGAAATCTGCCAACAGCCGGGCCTGGAGGAAGCCGTCGACACCATGGCGCTGCGACTCTTGACCCGGGAAAGGGCCCATCAGCGGTTTCACACGTACACGGCTCCCTCGCTCAACCAGCAGTGATGGCTCTCTTCTCCTCTGCGTGGTGTCCGTCTTTGTGTATATATGTACATAGATATAAATATATATATATATATATATATATATATATATATATATATATATATATATATATATATATATATATATATATATATTTGCACGTATGTAAATGTATAAATTTGTATAGCTTCTCCTTCCCTTCTGGTCTGCCCCCTACTTCCCTCACCACCCTCCACCCCAAGTGTTTCAGCAGTGGGTCCTTTCTGCTTTCTCACAATAAAGGCTGTCTTGTAGAGATACAGTTTGTGTTCCTTTTTTACCCCAACCCTTTTAAGCAGTGGTTCTCAGCCTGTGGGTCGGGACCCCATTTGGGGTCGAACAACCATTTCATGGGGGTCGCCAAACAACGCAGTCTGCCATTTTTTCCCCCCTTTTCCTTAGCTGTGCTACTCCTTTTTATTCTATTGGCTTTTGAAAGCCAATAGAATAGACTCTCTTGAATAGAGTCTATTGGCTTTCAAAAGCCAATAGGAATTGTCCAGGCTGTCTCTGCCCTGCTAAGCCCGCCAAAAGTCCCAGTCTGCAAACGGTGCTGCACCAGTTGAGTAGTCCTCGACTTACAACCAGTTGGGGGGTCGCGGCATTAAAAAAGTTGAGAACCACTGTTTTTAAGCATCCCCTAGGGCAGGATATGTGACCTTGGCTCTTTTATGACTCATATTGGCTCAGGAATTCTGGGAGTTGAAGTCCACGAGTCATAAAAGAGCCAAGGTTGCCTACCCCTGCCCTAGGAGAGGGGTCTCCAAACTTGGCAACTTAAAACTTGTGGACTTCAACTCCCAGGATTCCTCAGCCAGCCCCCACCCCCTCAACCAAGAGCCAGAGGCGACCTTCAGAGTCAAAGTGGGGGGGGACATTTGCCACTAACTTGGCAACTAGTTGTGGGCAACCTCCTGTCCCATCCATGCTTTGCAACTCTAGAGTCAGCTGTTTACCACCAGGTGCCCTTCCAGGAGGCTGCACTACAAACCCCATGTTCCTTGGCCAGGAAGTCCTTTGGCTTGGCTATTTAGGGTAGCGAAACTCAGCCACGTGGCCGTTTGGGATGGACCTTAAGCGAGTCGGTGGTTTGCCCCAGGAACAGCTTGGCCAAGTTTTCATCAGAACCGTCGTACACGCAAGTCGCGGGACAGCGGGATCCCGCAGCTGTGTTGCCCAAAGCTCGGTCACGTGACCCTGGAGGAGGGGCTCGGCCATCAGAGCCTCGAATCCAGATCCTGAGCCCCCTTTTTTAGTTGGTCGTCATTCAAAGACAAGCTACTGGTAGTCCTCAACTACAAAAGTTCATTTAGTGACTGAGAAAAAAGCGACACGACTGTTTTTCACACGGCCGTCACCTGATCCAGATTCAGACGCTCAGCCACTGACTCGTATTTACGACGGCCGCAGCGTCCCGGGCAGATCGTGCGATCCTCTTTTGCGACCTGACCAGCCAAGTCAGTGGGGGAAGCCGGATTCACTTAACAACCGGCTTATGAACTTAACAACTGCAAGGATTCACGTAACGACTGCGACAAGGAAGGTCGTAAAACGGGACGAACGTCTCACTTAGCAACAAAAACCTTGGGCTCAAATTGCATTCATGACTCTAGGGCAGAGTTTCCCAAACTTGACCATTTTAAGGCATGTGGACTTCAACTCCCAGAATTCCACAGCCAGCGTTGCTGGCTGTGGAATTCTGGGAGTTGAAGTCCTTATGCCTTAAAATGGTCAAGTTTGGGAAACACTGCTCTAGGGGACAAGTATACAAACACTGCCTGGATGCAAATGAAAAAGAAAAAAAAAAAAGAAACGCCAGCCAAATATGCACACCATACAAAAGTGTGATTGTTGTTAGCGTGACAATCCCTGCAGAACCCACCACTCCAAAACGGCACGCAGGTCTGCAAGAAAACACACAAACACACAAAAAAGACTGGGCCCCTTCAGCCGAGCATCCCAAACTGATCTCCCCCCCCCCCGCCACTTTGCTCCCCCCCCGTCCCCATCTCAGACCAGGAGGCTCTTGTAGGTGGTCATGTGTCCCCGGATGTTCTCCGCAATCTTGACGTCCGTCTTATACCGATTGTAGTAATCCAGGAAGAGCCCGTCCGGACTGAGCAGGTAGAGGATGACCGTGTGGTCCACTAGGTAATCATTGTCTTCACCTTTGGGACCAGTGCTGTAGTAGACGCGGTAGGACCGCCCGGCCTTCTGCACCTGTTCAGGAGTGCCGGTCAGTCCCCGGAGCCGTGGGTGGAACTCCTTCACGTACTTGGCCACGGCCTCCACCGTGTCCCGCTCGGGGTCCACCGTGATGAAGATGGGCTGGAGACGGGGCAGTTTGGGGTCCGCGTCCAGCATGTCCACCACCCGACTCATCTTCTCCAGCTCCTCCGGACAGATGTCCGGGCAGTGGGTGAAGCCAAAGTAGAGCAGGACCCAGCTGCCCTGGAGGTCCTCCTTGGAGCAGGGCTGGCCGGTGTGGTCCACCAGCTCGAAACTGCCTTGCCCGATGGACACTTTCCGCAGCTCCTCGATGCGTTTCTGCTTCTCCTGCTTCTCCTTCTCCCACAGGAAATAGCGCCAGGCCAGGCCCAGCTGACGGGTGATAAGGGAGACCACCAGCAGCCGGGTCCTGAAAGGGTACTGGCGCTCGGACGGGGGGCTCGGACGAGGGCCTGGGCAGAAGGGTCTGCGGGTGCTCAAAGCAAGCTGGCTAGCCGGAACCGAGGGGCGGGAATCCTTCCCCATCCAGAACGGAGAGGTCCGCTGGGCCGGGCAGTGACCGGAGGAGGAGGAGGAGGTATGGTGGCTTAGCCAGCGGGACAGAAGGCGGGGGCTTCCAGCCTGGCCCCTCCCCCAAGGGGCGGAGCAGGCTCCCAACCGCCAAGGCCTCAGCCTGCCCCAGCACTGCAACATCCCAGAAAGAGCTGGAAAGACAAAATGCAAGAATCGGTGCAAAAATAAGGAAATTCCCGGGGGGATTGCAAGAATCATTTTGCAATCCCCCATCACGAAAACGCTCCTTTTCCTTCACAGGAGAAGTTTCCTAACAGTGAGGATGATTAGCCAGTGGAACAGCCCACCACCAGACGTGGTGGGTGCTCCGTCCCTGGAGGCTTTTAAGAAGAGACTGGGCAGCCATTTGTCCGAAATGATAGGGAGCTTCCTGCCTGAGGAATCATCATCATCATCATCTCCAAGATCCCCTTCCAGCTCTATTCTGGATTGACTGATTGATTGAATACAGGCGGAAACTCCAGGTTTCTCAACCCTGGCTGTTTGAAGACAGGTGGACTTCAACTCCCAGAATTCCCCATGTGCGGGGGGGGAGGTCCCTGCAGGGGAATTCTGGGAGTTGAAGTTGAAGTTCAAGCAGCCAAGGTTGAGAAAAAAAGGGTGGCAAACCTTCGCAGGACTTTCCAAGATTGGGAGGGACAAAGCAGCCCCAGCCCCAACTTGGGGGCTCAAGGAGAACCCCGCTTTTGGGGGGTGCGCTATCCAGGTTTTGCTTGCAAGCCGCAGGCTGGAGGGGGGAGCCCCGAATCTGCCCTCCGTGGGGGTCGGGTTGGACTCGCCTCCGATGTAGCCCGGCGGAGCTGCTGCTTATCTCCTGGCTGCTGGCTGAGTCCGGGGCCGCACGGAGCAGACCCGGGAGATCTTGGGGGGGAAGGAGGTGGGGGGTCCCGGCAATCCCGCCACGCCCCGAAGCCCCCCAATTGGGGGGGGGTCCACAGGTTGCAGCTCCTGCGGCTCGGACCGCTTTCTCGGGGTTTGCAACCGGGAGGGAGAGGAGGGCCTCCAGCCCCAGCCCAGCCTCCCTGCCCCGATCCTGCGCCCCACTTGCGCAGCCCCCCCCCGGGGGTGTTTGCATGCTCAGGGACCCCTGGACTCCCCCTCCAGCCTTGCGCTCGCTCTCCCATCCTCCCCGGCCAGTTTGCACGCAAAGCATGACTTATTGCAGTCCAGGACCCCAAAAGCAGGAGTCCCCACCCCCACCCCCACCCCTCCCCTCCCCGCTTTCTCCTGACACGTGTTTGCCCCACTCACTTCCGCGTCGCGCAGCTCCGAGATGCTGGGCGGCGCGCTCCGAGCAGTTCCTCCCGCGCATGCGCACCGACGCTGCTGCCGACGCTGCCGCCGGCCGGCAGAGGGCGCGCGGGAGCAGCGCGCAGCCTCGCGATTCGCCGAGGCGGGTTTGGATCGGGCGCAGCAAGCCCGGCTAAAGAAGGAGGGAAAAAGCGCTCCTCCTTTGGCAGAGGGACGGTGGGGTCAGACCCCTCTGGAGGCACGCCGAGGCCTCGCTGGAGCCGGAGTCGTGGGGTCCCCAAAGGGAAGCCCCCCTCCTCAAACTCAGGATCAGCATTCATTGCCCAGCCCCCCCCCCAAGGGCGCGCAGGCTCCTTTGCAGGCATTCAGACAGACCGGGGGGTTGCTCTGATTTTCGGAGCAGACGCTGGGCAGGCACTTTGGGGAGGGGGCGAAGGGTTGGGTGGGGTTGATCTGCGAGCAGTAAGGCGTACAGTGGGCCAGAACATGCAGTTGTGGTTGGTGGGTTGGAGAGTACCGGCTCCTGTGTGGGGCAATCTGTGATTGGTTGCTGGGGGTGGAGGGGGAATTTCCTGGCTTTCCCGCCTTTTTCTTCTGTGTGCGTGCTTGTTCCTTGATTTACCTGCTGATTTACCTCATGATACATTGTGATGTGTCTGCCTATCTCAGGGGTACGCAACCTTGGCTCTTTTATGGACTTCAACTCCCAGAATTCCTGAGCCAGCATGGGGGAACTATGGCCCCTTCATAAGTTGCGGACTTCAATTCCCAGAATTCCTGAGTCAACATGAGGGAACTATGGCCCCCTCATGACTTGTGGACTTTAACTCCCAGAATTCCTAAACAAGCATGAGGGAACTATGGCTCCCTCATGACTCGTGGATTTCAACTCCCAGAATTCCTGAGCCAGCATGGGGGAACTATGGCCCCTTCATAAGTTGCGGACTTCAACTCCCAGGATTTCTGAGTCAACATGAGGGAATTATGGCCCCCTCATGACTCGTGGACTTCAACTCCCAGAATTCCTGAGCCAGCATGGGGGAACTATGGCCCCCTCATGACTTGTGGACTTCAACTCCCAGAATTCCTGAGCCAGCCTGGCTCAGCTTAGAAACCTCTCCCTTTCCTTTCAGCATGGCTGGCTCAGGAATTCTGGGAGTTGAAGTCCATGAGTCATAAAAAAGCCAAGGTTACCTACTCCTGGCCTATCTTGTTTGCTGTCAATAGAGATGTAAAAATATATTTATTGATATAAAGCGACAAGTTCGTGTCGTCCCAGTCAGCCACATTGAAGCCTACAAGTCTCACCGTTGCCAAGTTCGGAGAGTCCTGCGTGAGACGATCTCCAAGATCCCTTCCAAATCTGCTATTCTGTGTTGTTGTTGTTTTTATCCTGTTCTAAGAAGTGGAGACAACTCCTTAAGCCAACAATGCCTAAACTCTCCGTTCAGTTTGCCGTTTAGCTTTAGGGTTATTAAAGGCTTAGCTGGGAGTAACAGTTTCTTTCATTTGAAAAAAAAAAAAGAACACGGAAATATCGCCGGTCAGATTCCTGAATCAACCAGACAAATCTATCCGTCCGTTCATGGACTTCGTGTTTGCACAGCGGAGCAAGTATCCACCCATGCTCAGAACTACTAGGGGGAACCAGATGGGGAAGACAGAAAAAAGGGAGTCCCGACAACCTTGTCTCAAGTTGCCCATTACGGTGTCGGTTGGTTCCTCTCCCTACTTCAGGGGTGTCAAACTCAATTTCATTGAGGGCCGCACCAGCATTGCGGTTGCCCTTGGGATGGTGTGTGGCCAGGGTGGGTGTGGCCTACTGGGTGGGCGTGGAGGGAGTGGGTGTGGCCTACTGGGTGGGCATGGCCAGCTCTACATCGTTCATGTCAAGGGTGCCTGTGGGGGCCTGGGCAGGAGTGGGACAGATCTGGGGGTCTCTGGCAGAAGGGGGTGGGACCGGGGCAAGCGCCAAGGCATGGTCCACTGGAGGAGCTTCACTGCCTGCTGAAACCCCTCCGCCGGAGCCCATCAAGCCGGATAGGTGAAGTACGCAGGGGCCATTTGCTGACCACTTCCAGGTGATGGTGCATTTCTTCATTCCTCACAAAGGGTGACACCTCCCCGGCATGCACCCAGGGGGCAGGACCAACGCGGCAGGGGCTGGTTCCTCACTGTTTCCAGACGGCCTTGTGGAGCTAGGACTGAATGCATTTCAGCATAGATGGCCACCACAAAATTGTACATTGGCTCCCGGCCGGCCTGGGCCAGGGCCAAGGCAGCAGGGGCCGTTCCCTCACTGTTTCCAGGGTGGCTTCGCGGGCCACATGAAACCACTTTGTGGACCGCATCCGGGCCCCGGGCCTTGTGATTGACATGTCTGCCCAACTTGGCTAGCAAGAAAATGGGGACAAGCAAAACCACCAAACTCGGAGAGCAACAAGAACCCCGTAGTTCTTCCCCTTCTCTTCCTTCTCCTCCTCCTCCCTTTGGTTGGGGGTGGATGTGGAGAACCAAGTAGGTAGGCTAGAAACCAGGAGAATGTGAGTTCTAGTTTTAGTTTCCCAGATTAAGCATGGAAACTAGCCAGCTGTATGACTTTGGGCCAGTCACCAGGAGACGGTGAATTCTAGTTCCACCTTAGTATGGTTATTGGCTGGGTGACTTTGGGCCAGTCACCAGGAGACGGTAAGTTCTAGTTCCACCTTAGCATGGTAATTGCTGGTGATTTTGGGCCAGTCACCAGGAGATGTGAGTTCTAGTTCCAGCTTAGCATGGTTATTGGCTGGGTGACTTTGGGCCAGTCACCAGGAGACGGTGAGTTCTAGTTCCACCTTAGCATGGTTATTGGCTGGGTGATTTTGGGCCAGTCACCTGGAGACGGTGAGTTCTAGTTTCACCTTAGTAGGGTAATTGGCTGGGTGATTTTGGGCCAGTCACCTGGAGACGGTGAGTTCTAGTTTCACCTTAGTAGGGTAATTGGCTGGGTGATTTTGGGCCAGTCACCTGGAGACGGTGAGTTCTAGTTTCACCTTAGTAGGGTAATTGGCTGGGTGATTTTGGGCCAGTCACCAGGAGACGATGTGTTCTAGTTCCAGCTTAGCAGGGTAATTGGCTGGGTGATTTGGGGCCAGTCACCAGGAGACGGTGAGTTCTAGTTCCAGCTTAGCATGGTAATTGGCTGGGTGATTTTGGGCCAGTCACCAGGAGACGGTGAGTTCTAGTTCCAGCTTAGCAGGGTAATTGGCTGGGTGATTTGGGGCCAGTCACCAGGAGACGGTGAGTTCTAGTTCCATTCTGGACATGAAAACCAATTGGGTGTCTGGGCTACTCACCTGGAGAAACTTCTAGTCCCTCCTTGCACATGAAAGCTAGCTGGTTGAATTTGGACCAGTGACTCAGCCCAACCCCCCTTGTTGAGGGTAAAGAGGAGAAGCAGAGGGCATTAAGTATGTTCACCATCTTGAGTTATTTATAAAACTAATAGAGGTGTGATAAAAACAAACAAAGAGCTGGTCCCATATACTAAACCAAAATTGTTCGGTTGGAATTGTTCATATATTGCTCTGTTTCATCCCTTTTGGGCTGGGCGGTTGCCAAACAGAAATAAAATGAATGTTCTTATGTTGGCAGGTGCGTAAACTGGATTGCAAAGTGCATGAATATAATACGGGTTTATGTAAAACATTTTGCAATATGGGTTGAGCAAAGTTTTGAGCTGATAATTCTCAGAAATGACATTTGAAGATGGAACCAGCTTTGGATTGCTTAAAGAATCTGCTTCCTTGTTCCTTCTCCTTTTCTTCCAGTTTTTCTTTCCAAAGGGAAGATGACAACTTTTGGATTGGGGCACTGTGTGTCGATGCTTTGTGATGCTCTTTCTCTTGGAGGCTCGAAGGACCAGCTTCAAATATCGGACACCTTAAAAATGGAGGAAATAAATTAATGAAATTAGCTGTTCCCCCAGTTACACCCTGGGAAGTGGCCATGCTGAGATTCTCACACCAGAAAAAAAAACTCAACTAGATTCAGACAACATGTTGATAGCTCTGAGAAATATCTCTGCCTCTTTTTAATGCAACCCACAATGCTTGACCAGTTCTTCTGTGGCTTAGTGTGCCATGCACAGGAAGCTGGGATGGGGGGGAGGGGTTTCAGCTTGCACAATACAAATCCAGAAAGGGGGAGGGGGTCACTCAGTCCCAAATTAATGGGCGATAGAAAAAATGATTCAGATAAGGAGAGGTGATTTTGCAGATAAATCTACATTAAAACAGAGTTGGCTGGTTTGTGCTTCGGCGCTTCTTCAAAACTCAGCCATTCGTTCAGCAGATTGTGTGAACGGGGCAGCAGTTCCCGTTCCTTAACCTGGGTTTAGATCCTGGCATATTGTGGGAACGCAGCAATGCCCTCCCTTAAGGAGGATGCTGGGAGCTGTTCATTCCTGCAGGTTCTGAAGGAAAGTTAGAAAAATCTCGCTCAGAAAAAGGGAAAGTCAACCTGTCAACAGCAGCCCCAAGACCCAGAGGAGGTGGGAGGGGGGATCCCCTTGTCTGGGCGCCCTCAAGGGGTGGAGGCTCATCAGCCACCTATCCGGGGTTCTTTGGATTGCAGCACTGAGTTGGGGCTGGACTGGATGACCTCAAATTGCAGGATTCTGTCTCTAAGATGTGACCTGGCAGAATGCAAATCCTGTGAGATTAAAATTCTTACGTGCAAACAAGCTACATCCTGGTAGTTAGACCAAAAATCTCTTCTCACGCCAAGCAATTTCTCTCATTGCCCCCCCAACAGAAAACGCCCCCCTCTCCACTTGCCTATAAATACCCCGGTTCCCCTCGCAGGAGGAAAGCCTGGAGTTGCCTCTGAGCAAACTTGCTACCTGTGGAGGCCGAGGGACAGGTGAGTCCGGCTGTCCCACCTGTGGGCACCGGACAGGTTAGCCCCGCTGCATTACTTCACTCCTGCACCTGTCTGTCCCCACCTGCAGGGACCACTTGCAGGAGCTGCTGGCACTGCTTCTGTTTCAGAAGGGGATCTGGGAGGCAAGGACTAAGGGATCTTACCAGGGGATCTCTGGGGGAGAGAGAAAGAGACCCACAGGAGAGCTTTTCTTAGGAACTCCCCCAACAACGATAGAGCAGTGCTATATTAAAGCTATTGCAAGACCAGGGAGGGAGAAATGGGGTCCAGCTGGGCAAGTGAAAAAATGCAACGCAAAGTCTGGGACTCCCAGCTTGGCCACAGGTTGGACTTCCCCCCCATCTCACCCCCCTTTCCTCTCTCCCCCCCCCCAGTTCTCTCTGCAGGGAAGGAAAGAAGGCCATGGGGCGATTGATCTTCGTGAGCTTCGGCTTGCTGGTCGTGTTCCTCTCCCTGAGTGGTGAGTCCGAGCAGAGTCCCTCGTGTCCGGAGAGGCCAAAGCTCTCCCACCTCCAACCCCTTCCTGATATGACCCCCCCCCCAAGAATCCTCTCCCCCAAGTTGCTTTTATTCCCGTTTGGCTCCTTCTGCCATCCAGATCCTACCTTCTCTCTCTGCCCCAAATCTCCCGCTTTCTAGCCAGGTGCCCTAACCACTAGGCCATAATTGCCTCCGTTGGGGCTGCAAAGGTTAATCTGATCCTTCAAGGTTCTGTTCTGGCTCGGCACCGTCCAGCGAATGATGGGCCAATGAGGCTGGACAGGAACCCAGCAGACTTGCAGCTTCAGGGAAATGAACCAAGACTAAACGGAACCAGGCTTTGGACCGCTTGCAAATGCAGTCACTGTGTCTGTGGCCCAAGTCAGATTCACTTTATTGTCATCAAAGATGTTTATACTCAGTAGGTCCAGAAGGTTCTGCAGACCCATCTGACTCCTCTTCTTCCTCCCTCCTCTTTCTCCTTCTCGCTTCCTCTCTCCCTCCTCCCCTCCTCCTCCTCCCTCTCTCTACCTCCCCTCCTCCTCCTCCTCCTCCCCCTCCTCTTCCTCTTTCCCTCCTCCCTCCTCCTCCCCCTCCCTCCTCTTCCTCCTCCTCTCTCCCTCCTCCTCTCCTCCCCTCCTCCTCCTCCTTTTTTCCTGGCTATCTCTTCCTCTCTTCCCACACAGGAACTGGAGCTGATTCTGATTGTCCCTCTGGTTGGTCCTTCTTCGACCAGCATTGCTACAGGGTCTTCAAACAACGGATGACCTGGGCCGATGCAGAGGTGAGGGGGTCTTTTCTTGTCCCTGAGGGTCTCCCAGCCCAGGCGGAGGAGACGTGCAGGGAGAGCCTTGCAAAGCCCCCAAGCCCCCTCTGGCTCTGATGGGAGGGAGGGAGGGAGGGAGGGAGGGAGGGAGGGAGACTCGGCTGGGGGTCTGGAAAGGGACCCCCGAGAGGCAGATATCCCGGGGACTCTCCCCCTCAGCCCCCTGCAGCTTCCCTTCTCCGCCCTTGGAGCCAGCAGGAAAGGGTGGCAGGATCGTCTGTGCTGCCCCCCCCAGATGCCGGTCCCTCTGCTGCCTCCGGGCATCAGGTGGGGGGAGGGCAGCAGCCTCATCTGGGGCCGATGAAGGGCCGGGATTGGCAACTTTAATGGCTTGTTTTCCTGCCCTCCTGCCACGCATCTCCACCAAGAACTTTCCTCAAGGTGGCTGCTCATGGCTTCAGTCCGGGGCCTTAATAAGGGGGGTTGGGGGGAATGAAACACTAACTCATGAAGCTGAAACAGGCGTTGCTCAAAAACTGCCTGTTCGGGGAGGGCAACTGTGGGGGCCAACCGAGTTAAGATGGTGGCCATGCAGTCAGATCCCTGCTCCTTTCTGACAGGCACAAATACTCAAACAGAGACAACTTGGTCCTTCTCCGCTGAACAAGGGTCTTTCTCTGTGCTCTCCCAGAGGTCCTGCAGCCGAAAGGCGGAAGGCGGCCATCTGGCCTCCATCCAGAGCTTGGCAGAGTCAGCTTACGTGGCCCAACTGGCCTCCAGCCCTCCCCGCCTCTCCAATGTCTGGATCGGACTGAGTGGTTCAAGGAAGGTAGGTCCTCTCCAATGCTCATCTTCATCCATTCCCCCCCCCCTCTCTCTCCCCTCCCCAAATCCTTCCTTCCTCCCGAAGGACCCACTGCGGTCTTGAAGGGCCGGATCCTGTCCTGGCCCCCATCTCGGCCTCCAGCCTTTGGAGGGCCCCTTGGATGGCCCCCACACCTGGGGAGACTCTGCTGGGCCTTCAGCTCAGGGGCTTTGGAGGCCTGGCCTGGGGGGGGCTGTTCTTTCCTCCCCCCTTTTTTTTAATTTAAGGCAGAAATTCCTCATTTCTATGACCGGCAAGATTTCGTCTCCTGCTCTGTTGGGTTTTCAGCTCTTGGAAGAAGCTCCGCCGTGTACAAAGGAGGGGGGGGGGATTCCCTGGAGTTGAAATCAGCTCCTGGGGACTTTGTGAAGAGAAACGTGAATTTCTGGCAACAACAAAAGAGTAGTCTGCTCCCACCACACTAAGTAACTAACTAACTAACTAACTAACCTACAAACCAACTCTAGGACACGTTTCCATTCCTAAGTGTTTCACGGGGTGAATTCATGGAAACCTCCAGGTAGCTTTTTTCTGAAATCTTTCTTTCCCTGGATCTCCTGATCATCACCTATCCAAGCATGAAGAGAGAGAGGGAGGGAGAGGGAGAGAAGGAGGAAGAGAGAGAGGGAGGGAGAGGGAGGGAGAGAGGGAGAAAGAGGGAGAGGGAGGGAGGGAGAGAGGGAGACAGAGGGGGAGAGAGAAAGGGAATGGGAGAGAGAGGGAGAGAGGGAAGGGGGAGAGAGAGAGGGAAGGAGAAGGAGGGAGGGAGAGAGGGAGAGACAGAGAGGGAGGGAGAGAGGCGGGAGGGAGAGGGAGAGGGAGGGAGAGAGAGGGAGAAGGAGAGGGAGAGAGGGGGGAGAGAGGGAGGGATGGAGAGTGGAGAGAGAGGGAGGAGGGAGGGAGAGAGAGAGAGAAATCGGTGAAATCGCCCAGCTTTTCTCTCTCTGCTCCTGGGCCCTGCAGAGTCAGAGCCCCCTCCTCACTTGGTAACGTGGTTTCCCTGTCATTCCAGGGAGGCAACTGGCAATGGACTGATGGCTCCCCCTTCGGCTACCAATCCTGGAAACGAGGTCAACCCAACAATTTTTTATCAAAGAAGTACTGCATTGAGCTGTCGCTCTTCTCAGGTAAGCTGAGATGGAGGGGTGGGAGCTGTTCCCATAACAAAGGCCCTTCTCCCAACCCCCACCCCTCGGCCGCTGATGACCTTTCCTGACCTCCTGGATCGCTGATCTGCCGCAGTCCCACACGCTGTCCAGACAAGGGAACACAGCAGGTCCACGGGACAAAGCCATCATTCCTCCAAACGGTCAAACTGTGTCTCGGACTCATTAGGGGGCCATCGGCTCATAATGAAACAAACAAGCTGCATCTTAACCTTGTTCCGAAAGGCCACCGTCGTCACAGGGCACCTGGCCTTGTGTGGCCGCTTTCCTTGCCTTAATAGACCATCAGATATCTACCCCGTCGCGGTGAGATAAACCTCAGCCATTTTTAGCATGTATAGAACAGAAATATTAATGCGCGCTCAGTCCAATGATAAACCAATCACAAGAGCAGCCGAAAAACCAGTTTGGTCTAGTGGTTAAGGCACCAGGTTAGAAAGGGGGAGACGGGGAGTTCTAGTCCCGCCTTAGGCATGAAAGCCAGCTGGGTGACTCTGGGCCAGTAACTAAGAGTGAGATCTAGTCTCATCTAGGGATGAAAGACAGCTGGGGGACTTTGGACCGATCACCAGGAGACTGGGAGTTCTAGTCCCGCTTTAGGCGTGAAAGCTGGATTGGTAAATTTGGACCAATCACCAGGAGACAGGGAATCCTAGTCCCGCCTTAGGCACAAAAGCTGGGTGGGTGACTTTGGGCCCATCACCAGGAGACCCGGGAATTCTAGTCCCAGCTTACGCATGAAAGTGGCTAGGTGGTCAAAATGTCTCTTTTGCTACCCAGGATATCTCAGATGGAAAGATCAGCCTTGTTGGTTCCTGCGTTATTTCGTCTGCAAGTTCCAGCCTCAGTTTGAGGGAAGCAGCTGATGAACCCTGGAGAAGCAAGGAAGCCCCCCACCCCCCCGCCTGCCACAATCTCTGCTCTGCACCCTGTCATTCCATGGATGCTCTCTGTGGCTGGATCTGGTTTTGCTGCTCCTGATGGGCCAGAAGGTCCAATAAATTCTGCCTAGCATGATTGGCCTTGTTTCTTTCGGGCACCCAGGAGATGGTTGAGGCCCAAAGCTCCAGACCCCCCAGTCTCCTTCCTGGCAGGGCTCGGCCTTAAGGAGTGGGGGTGGGGGGCTCCTTAGAAGGACCATCTGTTGATGCTACAATGCTTCCTTGCATGTCCATCGCCTTCTAACTGGAGGACTGTCAATCTGTTCTGTCCCCAAAGCAGATTGGCGCTGGGTATACCCACTGTGGGCATGAAGGTAGCACGCTTAAAAAAAAAAAAAAAGGTTAAAATCATAGCGACTGGACCAAAATGTGTTAAACTGAGACCGGTCATTACTCATCCAAGTAACGTCTTCAGTCAAAATGAAAAATTATTTAGGCAGGGAGTCACAGAGTCGTTGGAATACGCCTACTCTTGCTCCCCCCAAATGTATTGCAATATGTCAGTGAAGACTCAATAATCCAGGCCAAATGTATCTCTAAAAAGGTTAAAATTGTACCTCTCAGATGAGCAAATTAATTACTACCTTACTGCGACATTCTGCGTGGGGTGGGATGTTCGGCCTGGAGAAGGCAATGGATATCCTTTGGGGGGGGCGTCCCTTATCCTCCTAAAGAGGGTCTCCATTGTGGAAATGGCAAGCAGAAGCAAGGGGGATGCTGGGTGATTGCTATGCCAGGCCAGAGGAAGACCACCGAGATGCCTCCTGCCTGTGGTCCATCTCCAGAGCGAGGGTGGTGAGCTGCTTTGACTGACCAACAATGATTGTGGCCAAAGGCAACTGGTACATTCTCCTTTATCGTACATCGACCTGAAGTTGACTAACTCATTAGAATAAGGGAAACAAGCCTCCTGAATATGAGGAGGAGCATGGCACCAAAGAGCCAGTTTGGGCAGCAAAATAATAGTAGTAGTAATAATAATAATAATAATAATTAATAATAATAATAAAAAAGTTGGAAGGGACCTTGGAGGTCATCTAGTCCAACCCCCTGCTCAGGCAGGAAACCCTCTACCATTTCAGACAAATGGCTGTCCAGTCTTTTCTTAAAAACTTCCACTGTTGGAGCATCCACAGCTTCTGGAGGCAGGTTGTTCCACTGGTTAATTGTCAGGAAGTTTCTCCTTAGTTTTAGGTTGCTTCTCTCCTTGATTAGATTCCACCCGTTGCTTCTTGTCCTGCCTTCAGGCGCTTTGGAAAATAACTTGACTCCTTCTTCTTTGTGGCAGCCCCTGAGATATTGGAACACTGCTATCATGTCCCCCCTCGTCCTCTTCATTAGACTAGACCTACCCAATTCTTCATATGTTTCAGCCTCCAGTCCCCTGATCATCTTTGTTGCTCTTCTCTGCACTCTTTCTAGAGTCTCAACATCTTTTTTACATCGTGGTGACCCAAACTGGATGCAGTATTCCAAGTGTGGCCTTACCAAGGCCTTGTAAAGTACTTTTAATACTTTTACTGTTAATACTTCACGTGATCTTGATTCTATCCCTCTGTTAATGCAGCCCAGCACTGTGTTGGCTTTTTTGGCAGCTGCAGCACATGGCTGGCTCCTATTAAATCAGCCGTTTGTCGGCAAGAGCGAAAAATCACCCTGCTTCTCAGTCTCTGGAGGACTCTGGGACCTTTTCTATTTTAGTTTAGTAAAGGCAAGAACCACTTTGCAACTTACTTATTTGTTACACAGATATGTCACCCATCCTACTGTTCCTGGTAGCTCCAATTTCCCCCGCTTGGTGTCCTCCAGATGCTTGGAAAGCTCAAATGCCAACAGGCGTGTTTGGAGAGTAGCAGGTGAGGAAATGAGTGTTGGAGTCAAGAGAACAATTTGTCAATAGAACACTTGTGTAAGCATGGTTCTCCCTTCCCTGTAGTGTTGTACGCATTTGAGATCACGAGGGCTTCATGACGACAAGCTCTATAGGGGAAGTGGGCCATCTTTGAGAGGCAGTTTTGTCTAGTGGTTAAGGCACAAGGGTGGAAAGCAGGAGATGGTGAATTGTAGTCCCGTCTCAGGTGTGAATGCCAAGCGGGTGACTTTGGGCCAATCACGCTATGAGTTCTAGTCCCACCTTGGGACTAGGATTGTGTGTGTGTGTGTGTGTGTGTGTGTGTGTGTTTGTGTATGCACAGGAGCACATATGCACTCATGTGTGCATAAGTATAACGTGGCGTTAGGTAAAACATTTTGCAACATGGGATGGGCAAACTTTTGACATGTTAATTCCCGCAAATGACATTTAGTGACCCAACCAACTCACCGTTTCATTGCTTAAGATCTTTGCTTCCTTGTTCCTTCTCCTCTTCTTCTGCGCTTCTTTCTTTTTTCTTTTAAAGGGAAAAAAACCAACTTTTGGCTCCTGGCACTGGTTGTCAATGTTTCATGGGGCTCTCTAGTTTAATTGTTAACACTGAGCTTGCCAACCACCAGCTAAACTGCTGCTCTGGGCATTTGGGAGATCCTTCTTTCTTGTTGTTAATTGCGACGTCGGGTCCGACCAATCACGACTCCATGGACAACATTGCTCCAGGCCTTCCTGTCCTCGATCATCTTCTGGAGTCCATTTAAGCTCACGCCTGCTGCTTCAGTGACTCCATCCAGCCACCTCCTTCTCTGTCGTCCCCTTCTTCTCTTGCCCTCCATCTTTCCCAGCATCAGGCTCTTCTCCAGGAAGTCCTTCCTTCTCATTAGGTGGCCAAAGCAGAGTTTCCACTTCAGGATCTGGCCTTCTCAAGAACAACTGGGGTTGATCTCCTCTAGGACTGACCTGTTGGATCGCCTTGCAGTCCAGGGG